CGAACTTGCTTTTAGCACGGATGCGGTGGCCGTAGAAATAGAAGATCACTGGGATCGGGCAGAGAGCCGCCGAGAAGCAGCCCAACAGCGTCCCTGCCCAATTTATTCCAAGACCTTTGAACTACAAAGATGTTAGACATGCCCGACAACCAAAGAAAAAAAAGGTGGGTAATAGGGCTCACCATGTACGAAGCAAAGAGAGGGAAGACAGCTCCGGCAAGGGATCGAAGAAGAGTGTTTGCTGCAATAGCAGATGCGGCACTAGACATGGATTAGTTAGCTGGATGGACGTGAAACTGAAAGGTTGCTCCGGTTGGACGTACAATAGCAGGTAGGCGTCAATTAAATAATTGAGACTCTGTAAGAAAATAACCAGCAGCCCAAACCCAGTGAGCACGCCAGAAGCAGTAGGCACCATCCAGTGTATGTCTGCCTTATACCCTGTCCATCCAAACCAGAAGAGACCAATGGAGAATGTCACTCCGCCGAGGATAACATGTGGCAATCTCCATTCAGGGACGGTTACGCCGCCGTTAGCTTCTAGCTTGCGTATATACCATGGCTGCGAGAGGATGATTGATGCACCACCGATGAGCTGGCCGAGGATCATGCCAAAGTAAGGTAGCCCACCAACACCTTTGTTGAACCCATGAATATGTTGAAAGACAAGCGGGTACGCGGTAAGGAAGAGGTATAGCAAGCCGTAGATGAAGGCCAAGTAGATGCTGAGAAGAAGGACAATAGGTTCAGTGAAGAGGATCTTGATTGGACGAGAGAAGTTCTTCTCTACGAGCTCGCCGAACTCGATTTCAATTTCCTCCTGTTTGGCATGGATACCCCAGTTCTTGGTCAGACGGCGGAGCTCAGCTGCCTTTTCGATGAGGACTACAGGCGGATATGTCTCTGCGAGGAAGAAGACATTGAGGATGAGTGCAGAAGCCCCCAGGATGCCAGGCAGGAAAGCAGTCCAGCGCCAGCCCAGGTAAGAATCGACTATGAAGCCACCAATAAAGGGTGCAAGCAAGGGTCCAGTGAACACGGTCATGGAGAAAGGGGTGATTGCAAGGCCACGAAGACGGTTGTCGAACATGTCTGAGAAGACGGCAGCCACGACGGCGACAGGACAGGCCCCGAAGAAGCCGCCGAAGAAGCGGCAGAGCATGACGGTCTGCAGGTCCTTGGCCGCTGCAAGGCCGAATTGGAAGATGGTGAAGCCAACGCTGCCCAGGATGATGGGAAACCGTCTACCACGAAGCTCGGAGAGCGGAGCCCAGACGATAGGCCCGGTAGCATAGCCCAGGACGAAGAGGGAGAGGCCGAGAACGCCTACTTCGGTAGAGACGCCGAAGTGGTGAGAGACTTCGAGAGTAGCAGTAGAAAAGATGCTGCTGGTAAAGGATGATATGATGGTTGTCCACGCTAGTATCAGTGCAGTGAATACCCTATAGCCGTTAAGTTAGCCTTGATCCATATATGATATTGCTGAAGAGGCATAACATATACTTACTTCCGCTTCAGAGACCAGTTCTGAGGGTGTAGAGGGTCATCCGGCCCGTCAAACTCGACGACATACTCTTCCTTCTCCGGCAGGGGAGGAGGATACGGCTTTCCCGCACCAAAAGGGGGCAGCGGTTTATCCAGGGGCCGTGATCTGGTAGAGCCGACGGTCTCGTTGTGCTGGCTGCGCTGGGTGGCCATGCGACTGAGCAAGGTCGGGTGGCGCTCCAGGTCGCGAGTCGTGGCCCGGGACATGCAGGCCGACATGTCGTACCCATTGCTGCCACTGTTGACTGCGTGGACGTCTGTGTGATGGGTTGCTATGGGCTCTAGGGCGGAGGAGCGGCCAGAGGAGCCGGAGCTGGACACGATAGAGTGGGAGCGGGAGGGGACGGGGGTCTCATAGTCTGGCCGGACGGGCGACTCGTCTGCCGCCGCCTTCTCGATATCCGGCTCGGGCATCGTGGGGATATATTGGTGGCTAGGGCGCTGAGGTTGAAGCTGGTGAGATGCGACCCTGCGACGGCCTCTGAACAGCTTTTCAGCCGATACCCGTAGATGATCGTGGACTTAGTTGGTTAACTATGCGACTGGCTGCCAAGCAGGCCGTTCCTCGGTACTGGCAAGCCCAATGGACAGAGGATGAGTCGTCCTCGCGAGCATCTACTCCGTATAACGCAGGAATATCTACAGGGGAGGAAGAAGCCCACAGAACTTGTCTTCGCGCTGCTCAAGGTCTTCTGCTGTTTAGGTAACTAGTGGGGGGCTGGTCAGGTTAGTTTGCCATCCCGGACGACAGTAGCTGCTCCCCCCACTGTCAAGATCAGCGGCCGAGATGCAGTCTCCTCGTCTTCTCATCCTCCTTCAGCTTGCTATCGCCATCGTATCTGTGATGCGACGCTTCTTCCTGTCTGTTCCTCCCTCCCGCCCGTCTATCTTCCTCTCTGTCTCTTATTTATTGAAGCTCGGCTGTCGTTGTTCTTTTTGCCGAGCGGTAAAACCGAGGCAGCTTAAACTAGTTTAGACGAAAACTTGCATTAGCTTGAGAATTTGAGTCTTCTTATTGGTCAGTGTGAAATATTTATCATGTGACACTAATAATACGACAAAGCGTTGTATTAGTTACATAAGCAGTTCTATCAAGAGTCCCTACTACTTGGCTCTGGAGTTTTCATTTTTCATACATTATCTAGGCGGTTGCAACATTTACCGATAGGTTCTGGCAGTTGCAGACGAAAGCTTGTATCTAACTACTGCTTCTTTGGCAGGTTGGAGTAAGATGTGGTGCTAAAGGAACAGGAACAGGAACAGGAACAGGACTAGTCACCCCACGCATCCATGGGTCTATTTCAAGGTTCTAGGGCCTAGTTATGTCCCGTGGGCATCGAGCCTTTTTTAAATTGTTGACTATTTACTCCGTATATATAATTGTGTTGAGGAAGATCGGTTTAACAACATATCTGAGTTCATACTAACTTGGTGCTGGATATCTTATATCAATATCAATCACGGCAATTTGAGATAGTTTGCTTGATAACTAGTGCCGTAAATATTGAAACGGTTAAACGTAGTATGCTCAACAAACCCATATTGTAAGAAGCAGAAGAAGTGGGCTACTTTCCCGGGTAGTGGCCCTCGTAAAGCGTAAAGGAGATTTTGTCAGAATAAGGGAGGTGACTTTAAGCAGTCTTTGGGATATTAACACGCCTTTAGCAACTCCCGAGGGCTCGGAAATGACAGTAACTCCACCCGCGAACCTGGTCCCTGGCAGCAGCTAAGCTCACCACTTGGCTAGAGAGCGAACTTGCCGTGAGACATGGCCGTCGCGTGGTAACTAGCTGGCAGTTGCCAGGCCGATGCTGGCGGTGGATATCGTAGTTATATATTGCAGTGGCGAAGGACCTGAGCCATCATTAACCGGATGGGTACGGTGGGTGGAAGGGCTCCTGGGACTCCCTTGCCATCCAGGCACCGCTTAAGCTTACATACTCTTATGCTTCGTTCTTCGTGCCGCCGACAAGTGTTTAATATAACGAGCTGTGGCTTGACGTCACGACACGCGCCTTGGAGCCATTGGCCAATGACGGCCGAGTTTTCTCCTTTCATCACGTAAGAGCGAGAGATGTGACTAATTGATTCCGCATTAGGAAATCGAGACTACACGGGAAGATGAAAAAACGGTCCTTCTCATGATCCTTCATTTAAATATCGTTGGGCTTTTTTAATCATCATCATAAGTGGAAAATACAACTAGTGAGCCTTAGCGACACCCGCTGCGTCAGCCTGGGCAATGATTCTCTTCTTGTACGCGTTGACGTCTCCGGGGAACTTCTCTACGGTTCCCTTGTCGCACACCCAGAGACTGGTGCAGACGTTCTGTACCATGGTCACGTCGTGGGAAACTATCAGGACACCGCCTTGGAATCTGTTGAGAGCATCCGTCAGGGCGTCCATGGCCTCGATATCGAGATGGTTGGACGGTTCGTCGAGGACGAGGATGTGTGGGTTTGTCAGGGATATGCAGGCAAATGCTACACGGGATTTTTGACCTCCGGAGAGAAGTTCGAGTTTCTGTAGGCCTGTCATGCCAGTAATGCCGAATCTAAAGATAAACAAAGTCAGCAGTGAGTTTCATAAATGAAAAAAAGAGAGGGGGGGGGAACCCTGGTAGACTCACGCTCCGAGATGCCGTCTGTACTCTTCCTCGGTCTTTCCGGGATAATTCTTAGCCATGAATCCTACAGCCGAGGTGGTCATGTCCAGGGCATCGACGTGGTGCTGGGCAAAGAAACCAATTCGGAGTCTTGGGTGTTGGGATATGAGTCCACCTGAGGGCTGTAGCCGGCCAGTAAGCAGCTTCAATACCGTTGTTTTACCAGCACCATTGGGGCCGACGATACCGATACGAGAATCCAGCTGGACGTCTAGGTCGACATTGCGAAGTAGGACGTTGTCCTTGGTATAGCCGAACGTGACGTCCGTCATCTGGATGATTGGAGGAGAAAGCTTCTCGACGTCGGGGAACTTGAAGTGAACGGTGTATTCGCTCTCTGGGGGTTCGAGAACCGGCATCTTTTCCAGTTTCTTGATCCTAGACTGGGCTTCAGCAGCCTTGGAGGCGTTGTATCTGAATTTGTCGATGAAGGCTGTCGTAAAAGTATAAGTTTATATTGCCGTTTCAAATACGGGGAGTTGGCCTGTGGTATCCTACCTTGTAGATGGGCTCTCTGGACCATTTGGTTTTCATATTCACGCTTGGCATTCTTCTTTCGTTCTTCCTTCGTAGCGTAGAATGAATCTAAGAAAGTCTGTTAGATATATATAGATAAATCGGTCAAAGAAAAGGTGTAAAAGACCAACGTACCGAAATTAGCACCCTTGTAGTAGTCCAGTCTCTCTGAGTGCTGGTGGATGATGTCTGTAGCGACTTCGTTGAGGAAGGCCCTGTCGTGAGAAACAACAAGGATGGTGCTGGGATAAGTTTGGAGGTAGTTGGAGAGGAAAGTAATGGACGGCACGTCCAACATGTTAGACGGTTCTGCAAGTAGTCAGCTTTCGGCTCAGCTTTTGGAAGTTTGAGAGAGCAAGTAAAGTAAGGAGTAGAACGCACCGTCGAGGAGAAGGAGGTCAGGTTCGCAGAAGAGAGCTCGGGCAAGGGCAAGTCGCATACGCCAACCACCAGAGAAGGTCTTGGTAGCGTACTTCTGGCGTTCGGGTGAGAAACCCAGGCCAGCGAGGATGCTGGCAGCACGAGGCTCGGCCTTGTCTGACTCCATCTCAGCCAGTTTGGCGTGGATATCAGAGAGAGTTACATCCAGGGCCTCTCGTTCCTGATCCAGCCGTATGGCATCTTTGGAGGTGTCTGCCATGGTAGACCGTTCGGCCTCGATGGCAGCCAATTGAGATGATATTTTCTACTCAGTCAGTATATATAGTATCTATGTATGGAAGTGAAGGATACGAGAATAAAGTACCTCTTGATCTGCAAGGAGACGCTTGCGCCAGACGTCTGCATCTAGAACTGCCTGTAGAGCCGGGGTATCATCACCAGTAATCTGTTTTCGTAGTCAGTATGTAAAAGAAAAAGAAGTGACAGGAAAAGGAGAATAAGAAAACTACTGACCTCTTGCTCGACGTGGAGAATGGAGATGTGAGTGGGAACGGCAATCTCTCTCCTACTGAGGGCACGCAGGAGGGTAGACTTTCCGATACCGTTCTGACCGACCATGCCGTAACGGCGGCCAAAGGCAAGCGAGAGAGTGGTGTCAGTGAGAATGCGTTTACCGCCGATGGAGACATCGACGCCGTCGACCTTGATGTCCTTGCTCTTGGACTGGGCGTCAGCACCGAGCTGCAGCGGGTTGACGGCCATGAAGAACTCCTCGTAGGACTGGGCGTCTGTGGGCTGTGAGATGAGCTTGGAGGCCTCGTACTCGACGTTCTTCATGATCTTGCGGTCCTGCTTGTCCCTGATCTTGCGCTCGGCCTTTTCGAGCTTCTTCTTGTCGACCCTGGACTCTACTTTGCGGGTATTGGCCGACTCGAGGTCGACGGTGACTCCTGAGAGGCCCAGGGTCGAGGAGATGTTGCGCTGCGAGCCGACGTGGATGGTCTGGTCGAGCTTCTTTGCAGCGGTCGAGGCCGTCAGCCTCTTCTCCGGGTCGACAGCGCTCAGGGTGGTGATGAACTTCTCCACCAGTTTGCGGACGGCCTCTTCGTTCTGGCTACTGAAGTCCCCCGAGGCCGAGACGAGCAGTGAGGACACCGTCTCTGCGGCCTCGGACAGCGGGGAGAAGCCGCCGTGCTCTTCATCTCCAGCATATGCTCTGGAGGCATGCGTGAGGTATCCCTAGGCAGAGTCAGCTGTGTCCATGCATGTCTTGTATACAATATCTATATCTATCAACCGGTCCCGTCGTCGTCTTCTTCTGGACTCACCACGGCGTAATCTGATATCACATGATCAATCGATGGGATTTGGGCTCTGATCTCTGCCTCCATCGTCGCTGGTATAAAGAAGACTTCTACTGCTTTACCTCTTTGCCTTATTTATATTGTGCTTCTTCTTCGTCTTCTCTTATTCCTCCTCGTCGTCGTCTCGTCTTCATCATCTTCATCTTCTTCTTTTGTGGTCTTTGGTGGTTATCTAATATTACGTAATACACCCAAAAAAGATAAAAATAAACAACAATAATTGATATTCAACGACGTTAATTGAGAATTGGGTGAGAATAAAAGAATAAAAGGAGACAGGAATTGAGAGACAGGAGGAGACAGGAGAGATAGGAGTGGGCAGAGAATCGTACAGAGTAGCTACTCCGTAACGTCTGTAGGACCGTCTGTCACCTTTGTCAGGCACGAGAGAGAAAGGGAGAAGCGACAATGATGCATATTCCTTTTCTCCGTGCAGCGTTTGACCGGTTGCTCCGTACATGTTGGTAGCTACTCCTGCTGCATCCTGTATTCCCCCCTTGCTCTGCCTGCTCCGGCCTGCATCTGCATCTCGTCTGCATCGGCTGCTTGTCCTGTCCTGTGCCTGTCCTGTGCCTGTGAGACTGGCTCTGCTGTAGAACCTGGCATCAGCAGCAGCTGCGGCCGTCCCTGTCCCATCCCATGTACGATGGCGCATCCGGCAACGCTGTCGACCCGCCAACCAACCAACTTCGCTCCTCTCGTCTCGTCTCTCGCTCGCTGAATCAACATCCTGGTGCAGCATCAGCCAGCAGCAGCGAGACCAGGGCCCACGGAGGTATAAATAAATAATAGTAAAGTAAATAGTAAACAAGAGGTGAGCGCGGGCAGCAGCCAAAGAGAGGGCGAGGAGCGAGCAAGATGGGGATGCTCTGCCGCCATCTTGAAACAGGGCCCCCAATCCTGCTTTGCCTTTGCCTGCTTGCCCCCTGAGCCCCAGCAGCACACGCTACACTAGCTCGACCAAGCAAGCCCAGGCAGGGACCAGGAAGAAAGAAGAAAGACGAAGAAGGGCGAGAGACGAAGGGACAGGACCAGCTAAAAGGCGATGCCAGCACGACGGAGACGCCAAGTTGGCAAGCCGGGCCGTCGATTGGCTGCAACCGGGGGGAGGCAGGAGGATTGCTGCGATGCTGGAGATGCTGAGATCTGCCTTCTCGCGCTCTCCTTTTTAGCCTTCGCTTCGTCCCTTCTGGCGCCAAAGAAGGAAGAAGAAGCAGCAGCTGGAAAAAGCAAAGAAAGGGGATGGTCGAGCATCCCGTCTCGTCTCAGGCGGTCCCTTTTGATATCGTCGTCCAATTATCACCAGCCATCACTATCACCGCCGTATCAATATCACCGCCAGCGTCAGTCACCAGCATCAGCATCGACACCGATATCAACATCGGCATCGACATCTCGTCTGGCTGTCTAGAGTCTTGATTGACTGTCTGCCTGCCTGTTATCTGTCTGTGTCTCGCTGTCAGTCTGGAATCAACTCAGCAGCCCATCCAACGTATATCAACCACACTCACTTGTCGCTGTCAAATGCTCCCCTCCGTACTCCGTATCTTGCTTGCCCTGTAACTAACCAGCCCAGGCGGCCTAACGAGATCCACGTCTCTCTCTTCCAAGGCGCCGGCTGCTCAAGATCCAACTTTTGCCTGTCTTGTCTCTTGCTTCTTCTTCTTCTCCTGCTCGTCTTCCTCCACCAGGAAGAAAGAAAAAAACCCTCCTTGAGCCGCCGCTCATCTCGGGCATAATCAGATCTCAGCTCGCTTGTCGCTTTTGTCCCTTTCTTTTCTTTTCTTCTTCCTGTCCTTCGTCCTCGTCCTCGTCCTCGTCTTTTGGTCTCGCTGGGCCGTTCCTGATGGAGTCGTAGCAGCGGAAGAACGAACAGCCACAACCTCTCATCCCTGCGTCTCTTGCAAGGTTGCGCCGGCTCTTCTCTTCGTCTCCTTCTTCGTCACTTCTTCGGCCGTCTTTCGGTTGTCGTTCTGTTGTTGTTATTGTTGTTTGTTTATCGATGTCGCCGCGAGCTCCAACTCTTCGCCGTCCACCACCATGACTCCGACATAACGAGAGCTGCCGGATGCTCAGTCTCGCGCTTCCTCGCTTTCTCTTCTTCCTCCTCTTCTCTTCTTCTCTTTCTTCTTCTCTTCCTTGTATTTTCTTGTCTCTGCCTTCTTTTCCTTCTTCCGCGTCGTCTTGATGGAGTTTGTGCCTGCGGTGAGTCTCCAGCCTCTTCTTTTTCACGACTCCGACATCTACGCTGCATCACCTACATCTACACCTACATCGCCTACATATCTACTACATCTACCACGCCTACCTCCGTCTACTTCTACCTACATCTATCTACTTCTACTTCCACGGCGATACTGACTGATTAGCTGTGTGCTGCGGGCACAATTGGCATCGCTCCCGCCGGACTCGCCCTGGGCCGCCCCGAGGCCAGCACCGCCAGCAGCACCGCCAGACGCCCCTCGGCCCTCGCATACCAACGAGCATCCTTCTTCGCCGGCCAGCCTGCTGAGGCCTCGCTGCAGTCGCCTCTCGCGCCGCTGTCTCCTCTGTCGCTGCCGCCCGTCTTCTCTCCGCTGCATGAGCCCGAGAGCCAGCTGAGCCCGTCCAGCTCGCTCAGCCCGCGCCGCCTGCCCCTGGACGAGGAGCTCTCGACCGCCGCGAAGCTGGACGCCCTCATCCAGCGGACAGACGAGAAGATCCTCCTGCGGCCGCGGCGAGAGAACAACCAGACCGTCCTGGCCCGCGATGTCGAGATAGAGCCCGAGCAGGCGCCCGCTCTCGATCCCTCAGCCTCTGCGCGGCCGTCCTCTTCCTGGGTGCGCCGCCTGTCCACCATCACCTCCTCCGTCTACGGCACCACCAGCTCCGCCGTCAGCTCGCGGCCGCAGTCTCCCTCTGTCAACGGCTCGACGGCCCCATTCTTCCCCCAGAAACAGCATCGCAGCAATCGATCCTCCCTGCCGCCAAACAAGCTCGTCAAGCGCTCGACCTCCCAGCTCGATTTCCCAGACTCCCCTACCTCCCCCTGCTACAGCCAACACCCCTACCACGACTCCTCGAGGCCGCGCCGCTCAAACTCCATCATCCGGCGCCCGGCTACCAGCCATCAACGGAGCGCTGCTGCTGCTGCTGCCATGAGGAACCGCTCTGCTACCGAGTCCAACGTCCTGGACGCTGCTGGCTGCTTGGTGCCGCCGCACACTTCCTGCTCTTCGTCGTCCCCCCTGGCGTCTCCCCATCATCTCCATCCTCGTCCGCTTTCTTCTACCTTTCCTTCTGCTTCTTCTGCTCCTGCTCCTTCTGCTCCTCCAGGGGAACCCGTCTGGCGCCCTTACTTTCGCGGAATCGCTTCCAACTTCTCCTCCATCCGCACGCGGCGGCGGTCCTCTTCGGTCAGACAGAGGCGCGAGCGCTCCCAGCAGCAGCTTCATCTTCTGCTCGAGCAGCCTGACGTCGTGCCCACCCTCGTCCTGGCATCCGCCATCAAGCCCCAGGATGCCGCTCATACTCCTCCTCGCTTTAGCTCCAGTTTCAAGTCGTCAGAGCAGCCCCGCCAGCATCTGCATCAGCATCAGCGCCAACCGTCAGACCTAGCTTCTTGGAGCAGAGCTGTCCCCGTTGCGCGCAGCCAGGTCTCTCGCATGCTGAGTTCAAAAAAAGAGCAGGATTCGGAGACAGAGACTGAGGCCGAACCTGAATCAGAACCTGAGCCTGCTCTGTTACTGTCAACTTCAGCGCCCCTGACTCCCTTTGCAGCAGAATCAACGACAAAAAACCCTCCTCAGCCGTGGGAAGAGTCGATAGCTAAGCTGCAGCGGCGGCAGCAGCGTGCCTCCCTCGACCTGAAACGCAACCCGCATTCAGACAGTGAGGTCCGGACCAGCAAGAGTGAGCGGCTGAGCGGGAACTCGATGCGCTCGCGGCGGAGGAAGAACATCACCGACCCTGACATATTTCAACGGCCGGCCACTTCCCACCACCACCAACAACAACATCAACACCAACACCAACCACTACATCTACGTCTACATCATAACCAGCGGCACGATCCTGATGATCACTTCGATACTAACCACGGCGATAACAGCCACCACGACCAATCAGAGGACCAAGACCCCCTCGAGCCCGTATCCCCCAAGACGGTCTCAAAGGCTAAGCCTCGCCTACGGCATTTGCCACAGTTCCACGACCTGCGCAACGAGCTCCTGAACGAAAGACGGTCAGCGCCGTCCTCGGCCTCTGGCTCCAGGCAGTCATCTGCCGAGCAGAAGATCTACAGCGCACCACGAGACCGCGACCGAGACCAGCGGCTCTCCGTGACTGCGTCAGACCCGGCGTCGACCGTCCCCGGCTCTGATAATGATACCCGCATCTTCTCGTCCGGCGAGGAAGACGAGACCGACTGCCACAGCGACACCATCTTCGACTCCTACCCGACGCGCGCCACAAGCAGCAACAAGTCGACGTCCACCCCCCGGGGGCCCAGGATAGATACCCTCTTCGACAAGCCCGACGACGTCACTGTCACTCCAAAGCAGCAGCAACAACCACAAAACTACTATCCAGATGAACTGCACTTGTCTTCGTCGGTCGTCTCGTCGGTTCGGAAGAGGTCAGACCTAGTCGTACTCGACGCCCTCGGCCATAATAACGGCAGCCTGAGGCACGCCTCGTCCTCAGAGGCTGCCGTCCGGAGAATGTCGCCCTCGCCCAAGACCGTCATCACCGGCCCATCCCAGCGAGCCAGCCGGAAGTCCAGCTACTTTCCTGCTCCCTCAGCCGACAGCGCAGAGAAACTGCGGTTTTTCGCCGAGACGTCGGATGATGATTATGACGACGACGACGACGACGACGATGACTTCCCCATGGCGCTTAACTCGCCCCCTCACTCCAGGTCGGCTATCACGCTGTCAAAGGCATCGGAGGCCGGCTCGAGGATGAGCGTGTTTGACTGGTCGGAGCAGCAGAAGCCTTCCAAGGACGGCGACAGCGCTGGGTATCGGCCAAAGACCGCGCATGAGAAGAACCTGCTTGACTTGCGCGGAGGACGCTCGACCGCGCGCAGTGCACCCAACACTCTCCATCTCAGAAGCCAGAGTGTGCCCATCGCAACGAAGGAGTCGACGGGGCAAAAGGACGCCGGCTTCCCTCTCAAGTTCGGCACCTGGGGGCTCGGCAACAAGGGTCCCAGCGAAGACTGGGATGGCGACTTCGACTTCGAGGACTCGGATGACCAGCCGTTCCCTGGCTCCCTGGCCAACGGCAAATGCTCTACCAGCAGCATGAAGGTTCCCCAGGCTATATTGGATCGGCAGGAGAGCGTACATGGCCAATACGGCCTCGTCCAGGAACTCACCGTCCTGGTCGAGGAACTCAAGCGACTCCAGGCCCAGGCCAAAGCGCTGAACATCCTGGAAGGCCAGTCCGGAGAATTATGGAAAGAGGCACAGGGGATCATAAACCTTGCAACCCTTGAAGAAGACGATGACCAACCACGTTCAAACGGCTGCAGCAGCAGGCATCAACGCCAGCGATCCTCATCAGCCACAACGTTTGACTCGGGTAACTTTGGCCTGGAAGCTTCCCCTGAGCCCATGCCCATGGCCACCAAGCAGAACAGTAACGAGAGCCAGGGCCAGGGCAAACAGTCCTCTCCTCTTCCCGGCAAAGAAAACGCCGACCCAAGCGCCAATATCAACGCTACTTTCCCGTTGTCCAAGAAGCCACGCAGAGAGTCCTCAGTCAGAGCAAGATCAGTGCTAGATAACATTCATCATCTCCGAGAGCTTCACAACGGCAACTCGACCGCCTCTCTACCAACCCATGATAGCCAGCAGCGCTTCGCCTTTGATACCCAGTCACTCCGTGATCTCGTCGTCCGTGCCGGCGCCATAACTCGCTCTCTAAAGGACATCGTCCGCAAAGCAGAAGGAGTCTACGTCCCGTCCGATACAAACTATCTCACCCCCGACCCACCCTTCAGCCAAATATTCGTCCATCCTTCACAACCTATACCTGCGAATGGACTCTCCTGAACCCTTCCCCAAGCTTTCACCAGGTCAACAAAACAGCATGATATAAACCAAACACCCCCCCTCGGGCTGGAATTGTATTTTCAATTCTCCTCCTCCCCGCCTTATCTCTTTCTTTTCCCGCTCCGTCCCGCCTGAGGAGGTACTCTAATGACCCGTTATGGCTCAATGTGTCATGTGCACTCTAAAAGAAAGATAATATCACCCCCGGCTTCACGGCCCCTTTTTCCTTTCGCATCGACTAATACTGTCTCTCTGTCCATGCCTCTCCTTACTTTCTTCTTTTAACCAAAAGCTGCCGTTCCTTTACTGTACAATCCAAAAGATCTTTTCCCTTTTCTTTTTCTCGTCTCATTTGCATATTTCTTGTTCCTTTTCCTATTTGTCGTTTCCTTTTTCCCTTTTCTTCCAATTTCCTTCTGCTTGCTTTGCTTTTAGCCGGTAATGACTGAGTTGTGGGTTTCTCCTTTTCTTGTCTTGTAGGAAGTAATATTCTGCTTCCAACCCCCCTTTTTTTTCTTTTCTGTCGCTGTTTCTTTGATCATTCGGGAAGGCTTATGTGATAACGTCTGCTTTGCTTGCGTTTTTTGCTGGCTTGGATGGACCCTATAGACGCTTCATCACCGCTTGGTATGAATTTCGCTGAATAGCTGTACACGAACAAACCAGAGAATTATAAATGGAATGAGTGAACATGCCCTTGAATGGTGTCTTTCTTGTCCAGCCAATAAAATAAATGTTTAGGTGGATATTCTAGTTGTATAAATACAGAGGGGTGTTGCGCTGGGAATCTGTCTATCAAATGCCAAATGTATACAGAGGTGAGAATGGTAGAAGGCAGAGGGTGGAAATGCAGTAGCCTGGAATCAATTCTTGGGTTTCCGTTTACCGATATTCCAGCCCCAGCTTCGTAGCTTCTTGACGATTTTAGGTGTCACCGCTGCTGTAAGCGGTACTCGGAAGAAGATGAAGCTCTTATGTATGGCGTATGCAAGCGCAAGTTGTGTCCATATACCTATGCATCAGATTAGCAACTGGCCAACAACATAGCTGTTTAAAAGAAAAGAACGAAAGAAAGGCCAACAAGCAAACAAAATAACGTACTTGCTTCTCCCTTAACAGCTTTCTGCGCTTCTTCAATATCATCCGCAATGCCTATCTCGTCTTCTTCTTCTGGTCGAGGAGGCGCATCCCCTTCTTTGCTAGGCCATATCTTCGCTATGGCATCCTTCACGGATCCCACAATGATATGCTCATAATGTCCTATGCGATCAACGCCTAACAACCGCACAGCAGCGAAGCAGAACGGGAAATCCAGCGCTGATAGGAAGAAGTAGATTCCTAGAGCCGCCCAGCCATATTCGCGGGAAAGCGTGCGCATGCGCTGTGAAAACGAGGGTTTTGCAGTGTTGTTGCTGTTTGTAGAGTTCGAGCGAGTGAATGGTCGGTGTGTATATGGTCTTCTTGAAAACTGAGGGCGGATATATCTAACGGGAGAGGATGTTGATATTGTTGACTGCTGCTGTCGTTGTAGTATGCGTGAGCTCTGGCGGAGGCCTATCCATGACGGGGACGGTCGGGACAGCTGTGGTGATCTGAAGGCTGCGGAAAGCAGCTGTCTAGCTGGCTCTCTAGCCAGTCCGCGCGAGGATATCATCTTTTCTAGTTATCTTCTAGTAACCTGCTGCGTTCCAAGTTGTCTCTTCTTGTCCTTGCTTGTTGTGCCTGAGATATCAAAAATAAAAAAACAGCCAGAGACGAAGTCATGTCTTGGCGTTTAAGCTTGGCGCGAAGCCTAAAGGTCGAATTTCGTTTTTTGATCGTTGATATAAGTAAATTTTTGGAGAGCGAGAAAACCGCCTGCATCGTCGAATTGAACGCGGAGACTTGAGTAGGATAACGAAGGAAACATGCCGCCGCGGCTACCTCGAGGCTCTCTGCAGCAATTGTTGGCGCCCGTCACATCCTCACAGCTATGCAGCAATCCATCCAGAATCGCCGTGACCACGGCCATACGGTCCTTTGGCATCAAGCCAATGTATCCTCCCAAAGTCAACATTAAACCTCTCGACCCAGACGTACCGATCCTCACGTCGCATCCTATAGCGGCTCATCTACGGAAAGCTGCCACTCTGCCTCTCCGGACGGGAGCCCTTGCCATCAAGAAGGGAATGACGGCCATCTACGATCCTGAGACTGGCGTACGGACTCCGTGTACTGTTCTCCAATTAGACGGTGCTCAGGTTGTTTCACACAAGACGTTCGAGAAGAATGGCTACTGTGCAGTCCAGGTCGGGTCTGGGTTTAAATATGAGAGAAACGTGACAAAGCCGATGTTGGGCCATTTCAGCGCAAACGGCGTCTCGCCTAAACGACATATACATGAATTCAGAGTCAAGGATGAAGCTGGTTTATTACCAATCGGAGAAGTTATCAACGCCGATTGGTTCCAAGAGGGCCAATACGTCGATGTTCGGTCCAACAGCCGTGGAATGGGATTTGCCGGTGCTATGAAGAAATGGGGTTTCCACGGTCAGGACAGGAGTCACGGTGTCAGTTTGACGCATCGTTCCCTCGGTTCTACGGCTCCTTCCCAGGGAGGTGGTTCTCGAGTATACCCCGGAAAGAAGATGCCTGGACGGATGGGAAACCATCAGGTAACACTGCAAAGCTTAAAGGTGTTGAAGGTTGACGCTGAAAAGGGCATTGTTGTTGTTAAGGGTGAGTTTTTGCCTATCCACGTTATTCAATTCTATGGTCTTTTCTTCTAGGCGGTTTGTGCTAACAGATATGGTTTATCAGGGGGTGTTGCTGGTCCCAAGGGACGCTGCGTCAAGATCCAAGACGCAATCAAGAAGCCATGGCCGAAAATCGAGGCTGCACAGCCTGCTACAGCTAAGGAATGAGCGTTGTATTGTTTCATGAAATTCTTCTTTATCTACTGTACAATAGCCCTTCAGAGTGGCGTTTAACTGTGTATTTTTTTTTCACCCATCTTCCAAATATCAGGGATATGCATGAATGTAATTTGGATTGTCCAGGCGTTTAGCTTGCCTTTTCCCTCTTTTGTTTCCAAGTAATCACCTTCTGCATCTCTTCAAAGTGAAAATATTATAATGGAGCGACCTCCATGATCCTATGCTTTCCAAACGCCATGCCAAGTTATACAATTATACAACCCGTAGGGTAAAAAGGGGTGATGTGAGTTATAGGCCCTTGGGCCGAGAGTAACGCAATTAATCTCTTTATATTGCGCCTTTGAATGGGTCGTCTTCGGTGTGGTTGAGTAGCGGCACGGACGTACCATCTTCCATCTCAAGGCTCCATACCTCGGTAACAAACTGCATAAGTGTTACGTTAGTAAATCCATGTTCACAGCCAATATATGCAACTCCGATGTAGATGACGGGAAGTCCTTACGTAGCCTAATCTGCTTTCTCTTATGCTCTTGAATCGCATCTTTCCCTTCCCGCGGGTTCCCTTAACCCAGAATGAAATGTCAATTCGGCCATGGAGCTGGTTCATCTCCCCGCTTATCCATGGTATCTTCTGTGCAAAATATATCTCATCACCGAGTAACTCCCGGGCCTGGGGAGAATGTCGTAGAGCATACAGCGTACTGCTAACAATGCTGGACGAAGACTTCTGGTAATTGAATATCGCCAGACTTGATACGCCAATTATCGCAAGAAATATTGGTATAGTGCGTAGCCATTGTCTGTGGGAGCCGAGTGAAGGTAATTCTCGGTCAGCTCGTCGTGAGAGTAAAGGGCCGCTGTTCGGCTGAGGGGGCGCGATGAGGGTGCGGCGTGCGGGTATCGGCGAGTGCAGAGAGACCCTGGGCTTCAGCAGTAGCCGATAGCACCGTAGGCCCCGTATGGAATTCATGGCTGTCGCACGCAGTCGGCTGGGGTGACTTGCTTGACTTGATCTTTAATCGTTGCGGCTTCTGCGCTTCTCTTCGTGCTTGATGTAAATGTAAGCTTTGATTATATAATAATTTGGTCATGTGATCACCATTTTCACCATATAAAGCGCAAACGACTCCTTGATTCTATTCTTTGCTCGTGGTTCTGCTGCGCTGCGCTGAAATATTGATGCACACGGAAAGTCGCTACTAAATACAATCCAATTGGCCTTTCATATACCCTTGGCTATCGCCACAGTGTTTTGAAAAGCAGGGCATTTTTAATGACTAACTGCAATACCCTTGTCAACTTCAATACCCTTGGTCAACTTCCTAGCATTGTTAATACGGCCTTCACTTTTGCGGATAAACGAGGCACCTACGGAGTACAGCACAGGATTTTTTGTATTTACGGATCAGGGTTCTCAGTGTGCCCGTATGGGAGCTGAACTACTCAATTATTGCCCAACCACCCTCCGTCTATTCGGGCTCCTGTGACTTTATGAGAAAGTAAAAAAGGGGCAATCTCAACGACAGTGCATATCTATGAGAGCCTTGAACGAAGGGCCATGTAGAAGTCCCTTTGCATTCGGGCGATCCACGATGCACAATTCCACCAGAATGTAGGTTTGCTAAAGCTTATAGTGACTGTCTCACAGCAGACATGCGACTGGCCATAGGTATTTCCCTTCCAGCATGAGAGTCAAGACATAGGCAACGTAGGGGAAACACGAGAGCCCGGTGGTTCGAGTCTCTGCCACGAAGGGGAAATGTTGATAGGTAGACAACAAGGCCGGAACCATCCCTCATACTGTTCTGTATCTCCTCCTGTGCATGGTATTCATGCTCTCTTGAATCTCCCGCAGCAAGGGCCACGTTCATATTCTTTGTAGATCATAAGCCATCCAGAGGCATCCTCGGTAATCCGGGAGCAATGTCAATAGAGCATTGGGTATCTGTCTTCAGGCTAGCCATTATCTGCGCTCTCATACACTGTGGAGGGATAGATGTGGTATTAGAGATGTGAAGATGACTATAAAGGGTGATATCTTCAGGCAATGACTGGGCTATTTTTCCACTATATATATCCACTCCTTCTATGTTCCAGTACATGCGACCACAGGAAGTGGAAAACAGAGCTTCCCGTCCGCTCAGCTGTACTTAAGCCACTTGCCGGTCGGTTAGTAGTTGGGTGGGTGACCACCAGCGAATCCCGACTGTCGCATGTATAGTTTTTTTTGGCGTTTTTTGCTGTTTTCTGGCTCTCTGATGGTCACAGTAACTTAACTGCGCAGCAATATCTGGTCGCGGCTTCAAAATATGGATGTTTACAAGGTCGAATGAAATCACAGAAAAGTGGTTTTGTTGGGCGTAACTAGCTGCAGCAGTCACGTGCAGTCGACTTTGTCAACGTCAGGCGCATTTGGAGGCATCAATTTGATACTTTGGAAAACCAGACATATTTTTTTAGAAAGGACTAAGGACTATCGGTTGGGGAGGAGAAATAGGCTACTTGTCATGGCATCTACACGGCTACGGAAGACATTCAAATATCCAGACTCGGACGGCGATGATGATACACGTCCAGAACTAGATGACCAAGGTTTGTGCTGTGGAATGTAGCTATGGCAGCCTAAACGTACCCAGTCGCTTACAGATGTGTAGAACAGGAGGCTTTGATTGAATCCTTGCGCAGGGATAATGAGACGGCAAACGCTTTCTACCAGGTACCTAGTATCCAACCCTATGCTTTCATTCAGGGAGCTAACGAGATACTGTAGGTCGTGCTAGCTGTGATACCTTGCATATCTAGTTGCATCTTCATACCCACAATAATATCATTCAACTCTGCGTTTTGGGACAGGACTTCGGCATTTCTTAGTGCCGCCTCTCTCCTGTGGACGGCCTATTATATGAAATATACCCGTCTGCCTCAAAATAAACCCAAAGGAAGACGCTCTATCAGCCTATCGGAGGAGAAAGAAGACCCTATTAGCCGATATACAGTAACAGTTAACGCTGTGATTTCTCTCTTCCTGGCACTCTCCGGATTCCTAAGTTTCCAAAAGGACCCGGGCAATGCATACCATATCTTATATATTGTACCAGCCGGTAATACTCAGTCCTTTATATTAACTACTTGGTGTTTTTGCCAAATGCTAAGTCGCCTCATTATAGTTGTGTTATTCACCATCGTAGCGGCTAGGAGAACCATGGTTTCAGTCGACCTTGACGAATTAGAGCACCTGCGGTACGAATATAAAGGAGCGTAATGATGCCCTCAAAATGGTATACATTTATGATAGATAATTTGTATTTGGCAATCCCCAAATCATGTCCGAATCTACCGAGCAGAATCAACCATATGACGGCATACCATCGACTTTAATGATTAAGGCTTCTGTTGGCGGTTACTTGTATTTTCCATTACACTTTGATTTAAGATAGATAGCAAACCCAAAACAGGGTCACATTTATGCCCATCCATCATTATCATCATCCTCTACCCAGCCCATCGCCTGAAGTTTGGCCGTTTTGGTTTTTGTAGTCTGCTTAGCTGAACCATTCATCTCGGGTATAGGTTCCAGCGGTGACTTGGGTTCCGGCTGCGCGGCGGGTATTGACTCACCCATCTCCTCTGTTTGACTTACTTCGCCAGTTATCTTAGTGGGGGGCGCAGCTTTGGATTTCAAGGTTTTGGCTGCTACCGACTTCTTGACGGTCTTCTTTGCAGGTCGCGAGCTTCGAGGGCGTAACATAGCCTGTGAAGTTTGTTTCTCAGCCATATCTTCACCTTCGCTTTGATCACTACCAGATCCCTCAAGCTCATCTGGCCGCATGGGATTCGGTTGACTCCGTCTTGTCGCAACCTTTCTCGTCCCAGAAACATTGATACGAGAAATAGATCGTCGAGAAAGAGTAAAATCGTCATCGATTTCAATCCCTCGTTTTCGTCTACTGCCAGCACCATCGTCCAGCCGTGGGTCTACAGGAAGATCTTCGGGTTCATCTTCATCCATTTCGCCCCCATTAACTGCTTCTGGTGCCTGTCCGTTAGTTTGAAAGAGGTTCGGGTCAACAGGAAATTCTTGGGGTTTATTCTGTTCTGCTGGTTGCTCCGGCTCGGGGTATTCAAATGTAATGCCCTCGGTAGGTTGATAACGATCAGCCATGTCTTCTCGAAAAACTGCATTTTGGGGGACAACAAAGCTTGTTTGTCGGCCTATGCCCATAAGGGCCGGATCTATGAGACTTTCATCCAAGTTGATGTCATTGTTTTGATCTCCTTCCGGCCTCACCTCGCCGTCGTCAGAGTCATGATCATCTAAAACGGGTTCATCCAATTTAGCCTTTTCTGCTTCTTCTATCCTCAGTTGCATTCTTCGGCTATCCTGTGATGTTTCAGGATGCTCGCCTGATTTCTTGAGCCAAAATAGGTTGGAGTGACTAAAATCCACCAGCGACTCCACGCTTCTGATATCAGCAATTTTCTTGGTATCATGGCCAATTCGGGTCTCAGTTGGTACATATCCTTCAATTGTTGGGTCGCGGCGCTTGCAATTAGCACATGGACATATCCTTTCGCATCTCGGGCATTTCCAGCTCCGTACTTCCAGCACTGTCATTGGCATAATATCGAATGCTCTGTACAAACTGCCATAACACCAGTGCAAATTGCATTGGGAACATGTCTCGAGCTTCCAGTTCAATGTCGGGCCACAAATGTGGCATCGACTATACTTATGTTTATCAGCTTTGGTTATTTTTCGACGTTTTCTATTTGAATCCCTGTGGTCTTCATCATCGTCGTCAACATTATCTTTGACCGGTTTTTTGATGTCTGTCCACGGCCGGCGTTTCAATTCCACTTGGCATATTTCTGCCAGCGTCTTTTTTTCATATTTCTCCTGCTCAACCGAAAGAGGCTCAAAAACTTCCGTATCACGCTTGCGGCTTTTCGGTATAGGGAGCTTGGCGATCTGGTTCCTCCAGCGTTCATGGTCCCGAGTAAGATCTTTCCAACGAAATTGCTCCACCCATCTCAACTTAGAAATGCAAGCACAGCTTCGACCCATCACAAAGCAATCCATGCAAATGTCATAAGTGTCATCTTCGCCATCCGGGAATTTACCAATGCACGAGGGGCAGGTAAGAAATCTGTTGAAGATATTGCACCGACAATATGAACAAGTGATGTTGCTTGAAAACGGAATCAACTCGACGTTTTTGGGCTCCGGTATACGTGTAGAAAAACTTTCAGATAAAAGAATCTGGGTGAATAACGCAAATAGACGTTTAATGTCGGTCTGTAGGTTGCGGTATCTTAATTTGTCACGACTAGTTGCCCTTTCGAGGAGACCCGAATATTTCTTGAGGGAAAAGTAAATGATTGCCTTGTTCTTGTACTGTTCGTCTCTGCACACCATTCTAGCCCGGGGTAGCGCTTCAGTCAGAGCAAGATCGAGTGTTTCGGCAGTCGTCCTATTCCATGCAACTTTCATCGTACGAGTGCCCCTATTCCAGACCTGATGAGGCGCAAGTGGAGGAATTAAAATGAAGTCACCGACTTTCTGTTCCACAACCCAAGTCTTGAAAGGCGCAGACTTCCAGGCATTTATTTGCGCAAAGTGGTCCTCGATTTCAATATCGTGTCCTAACGTTGACAGCCAATACTCTGAGACAACCTTAAGGTCTTTTTTTTCCGTCATGAACCAGATTGAGGACCCCGGTTTTGTCGGTTTTCCGTCTTCTAATCCACCAGTTGAAGCTTCGACCATGATATTGTGCCCAAGTGTAGCGCACATCTCCCGGTGAGCAGGGGTGTAGGTACCCTCATGACCAATATAGCACATCATGTTCATTGCCCTCATCTCTTCGGGGAGGCTACTCATCAAGTCACCAGCAGCAGCCACCTCTCCCTCTTTACCCCCAACAGACCCATTCATGTAATAAAGAAACGGTGGAAGGAGTGATCGTAGTTTCTCATGCCAGACTGGAGGGCAATCGATATCTTTCAGATACATGCGTTGCCGGCTGGGGTCTTTGTAATTTGTTGCGTCAAATTGGTCAGTAAGGCCGCCCATGCTAGAAAGGTAGTGCTGAATAGTTAGCGGTACATTTGTCTTATGTGTGAGATCTCTTGCGAATTCGACTAATAAGTTGTTAGGTTTGCGCGTTAGCTGTTGTACCATATCTCATACATAGGATTGACATACCTTTGCTTCCGTGGTTGTCTTTGAGCCAGCGTGGGGAAAAGATCCATTTCTCCAGCTTACTCCCATAGCCCTCTACAACCAGAGGCTTCCCCGCTTGAATGACATGTAACTTCACCAACTTCTCAAAATCCTCGATCCCTTGTTCTTCGATCGCGTGGGCAGGAATTCGCGTTACCGGCATGAAATTAGGCGTGGATTCAATCAGTTCTGTAAAATCAAGATCCGGCGAGATGGGCTCAAAGGCCGCGCGCGGCAGCTGAAGCCCAGGCATCGCTCTGAAGCGAGGATGTTGCGTCGCAACAGCTGTGTATCTGATGATGGTCAATTCGTCACTTAAATTGAATATTGGAAGCTAGCTGCTTAATTTAACGCGAAAATACATCACGTGACATGACTTTTTCTAAGGTTTTCAACGGCGTGAAAGGTAGCTGTGAAGAGTCCAACTTCCAGAGTTCGCGGCGAAAGAAGCTAAGGGTTGCAATTGGGACGGTACAATTGGGGATTTTCATGGATACAGTGCTAACTTTATGATCAATATGCTGCCTCATAGCTGTGGCTATCTTAGAGCCGGGTTGGCTGTTTCCCGACATACCTTTGCCGGTTGCCATGCGCCGCACACCAGGAGAATACCGAGCATATCAAAATTTCAACTATTAAGCCAAATACGACAGCCTCGAGAGCCATTGCTGCGATATAATTCTTCTGCTCCCGCTATAGCTGCTAGCCAGAAGCTAGAGCGATATTCACCACCAACAACAGGCGTTCTCGCTGCTCTTCCGAAGAAATGGGTACCATATGCGGAATTGATACGCCTCGACAAACCAACCGGGACTTACTATCTATACTTCCCTTGCCTCTTTTCGACACTCCTTGCGGCGCCATTAGCCATGCCAATGGCTACTCCTCTCGAAGTTGCTTGGTTTTCTGGCCTGTTTTTCGCCGGAGCTTTAGTCATGCGAGGAGCTGGGTGTACGATAAATGATCTATGGGACCGAAACCTGGATCCTCATGTAGAACGAACGAAGTTTCGGCCAATTGCGCGGAGAGCTATTACTCCGAAAGACGCGATTATATTTACTGGCGCTCAGCTCTTTGCTGGACTTGCGATACTCCTTCAATTCCCTTTTGAATGCTTCTGGTATGCAACTCCAAGTCTCCTCTTCGTTGCAGCATATCCACTAGCAAAGCGGGTGACGAATTATCCCCAAGCAATGTTAGGGTTAACATTTTCCTGGGGCGCGGTGATGGGATTCCCTGCTCTGGGGGTTGATGTTTTGGGTGATACTAGCATCCTAGCAGCGTGTGCCGCTCTATATGCAAGCAATGTGGCCTGGACTATACTTTATGACACTATATATGCGCATATGGATGTCAAAGATGATGCCAAAGCAGGAATAAAATCGATTGCTTTGGCTCATATTGACAATAGCAAATATGTGATGTCAGGGCTTGCAGCAGTTCAGGTTGGTCTGCTTGCTGCGGCGGGTGTAGCGGCTGGTGCTGGGCCTGTCTTCTTTGTGGGAAGCTGTGGTGGTGCCATGTTATCACTGGGAACCATGATCTGGCGAGTAAAGCTTACCGACCCCAGGGATTGTTGGTGGTGGTTCAAGTACGGCTGCTGGTTCACGGGAAGCACCATATCGCTTGGCCTACTTGGTGACTATGTTATGAGAAGATCTGATCAAAATGAAGATCTTAAACACGAAGAAGTGACACTGTAATTGTGTGACATGGAGTTTGTATCAATAGATTGTATAATATATTCAGTAGCCTAATACTATACGTCACAGTACTCTTCAATGATTTTTACTATCTTTCTCCAGTCTTCCATTGCACCATCCCCCACATCACCGCAAGCAAGGGCTTTTTCCATTGGCTTTATAACTGTCACCCAGCCGCCTTCAGTTTCAGACTGGAAGCCCCAGCTCGTCTTAAGAGTTTCGACCTGCCTGCGCGTCAGCGGGTTTTTCCACATCGCAGTGTTCATTGCAGGTGCCACAAATATACGTGGCTTAGGCTTCTTTCCCGGATCAATCGTGCCTGAAGTGTCCCACGCCCGCACAACAGAGAGTAGCAGGTTATCCGCCATCCCAACTGTCATTTTTGCCAGGGTATTCGCGGACAGTGGTGCTATAAGTAGGACATGAGCCCACCTCCGTAGCTCGATATGTAAAATGTCCGCACCCCGCACCCAGGGTTTCTTCCATTCGTCCTCATCATGGTATATTCCCTCGACATTTTTCATCCTCCGGATTTGTTGCAAACTCGGCTGTTCGTCACTCTGTCCATTGAGGAAGTTGGCTGAAGACTCCGTGACAATGATACGAATGGAAAATCTATTTTGGGATCCCAGAGAAGTGACTATATTCGGTAGTTTTATTGTAGCCACTGAGCCAGTGGCTGCGAGCAGAATATGGGTTTTCCCATCATTGACATAGTTTGCGGCTGAAAATGCCGGGGCTAGTTCTTCATCCATTGCGTGAATCTGTTATAGCTTTCCTCTCAACCTTAGACTGGTAGCTAATCCCACCTGAGCATAACATGTAGAAGGGGAGGTAAAGAATGAGTTTTTTAGCCGTGAGGATAAGTAGTTAAAGTTGGGTGGGGCAAAGGCTGTTCGGATGCGGCTCGTCGGCTAAAGAGGCGCCGTTTCCGACAACCTTGAGGCCATGAGCTTGACAACCCATTTTGTCCCTAAGCAGAGTGTGTAGGAGTTGGGTATGGGAAGGAGTTAAGGGTGATTCAAATCCCAATTTCTTTACTCTTGCTCAAATTACTATAATGTCTAATGCTGTCTTTTCCTCTTGTCCAGTCTATCTTCCTCATACAAGAAGGCATCTAGGTAGTCTCTACCGTTCAATAAGGTGTCATGTCTTTTCGGGTTCTATACTACCCTCAGGCTACCTGGCTTCTGTTTACAGGCGTAATTATTCGAACAACTTTCCCTCTGGGGCAAAAAAACCACACAGAATTGCATCCACTGGAGCAGAGATAGTCGGTGAATCCGGCCAGCGATACATTATCGAAAAGGTTCTTCAAAAGAAAGAAGTTCCCGGTACTTGCGTTTACCTTGCAAAGTCTGTCACTCTTGGTTGCATTTTTCTCTTCTTATCATCAGGCCTCAGGGTCCTAACCATTGAACTAGAGATGGGGAACAGAGATTTATACTAAAGAATACCCATGACTTCGGTTACTATCGTGACATTTATCGCCGTCTTTCAACCTCACCCTGCCTTCGATTATTGCATGATACTGTGCCAAACCAGTCAATTTTTATCTATGAATACCTTAAGGATGACCTGCTTACCTTTGCTAGAAAAGATTTACCAATAGTGACCACAAAGCGCATTCTTCGAGATGCTCTACGCGGGCTGGAAGCGCTACATGATCAGAACATTGTTCACACTGGTATGGCTTGTTCAGAATTTGTTTCTCCCTCACTTGCTATGGTGATAATTACTCATATCCCTAACGTAGATATCAAGGCAAAAAACATCATGATTGACTGGGAGAAAGAAGCAGGAGAAACAGTCATCCATCGAGTTCAGCTTGCCGATCTGGAGGATAGTGCAATTCTACCTCCCAACTGCAATGTTCTTGGAAAAGCTGTGGGGAACTGGATGTGGCGTAGTCCAGAAGCCCATGCAGAAGCCCGGGTGAATACATCATCCGATATTTTCTCTTTTGGGCTTGTTGTGAGTAGATTTTCCGAAATTTACTACCAATTGATAGTAATCACACTAATGGAGATCAACCAGTGCATATGTGCAGTCTTCAAACATGTCATCCTTGCTGTAGACCCAAAGACTCTTCCAGAGGGCGTGGAAGCCCAAGCGATTATTCTACAGCGCCAACTCTCATATTTTGGGAACGATGAGTCCGTCGCTGCGTTCTTAAAGCATATAGGTGATGAGAATCCTTGGGGCGCAGTTTTTAATGTATTGTGGAACGGGTGGGATGAAACCACTCCTCGCGAGCCATTTGCTCTATGGAAAGGAGTTGATCCTGTATTTAAGGATCTCATTGCTGGGCTAACAGATATAGACCCTGGGAAGCGGCTCACTGCTAATGCTGCTTTGTGCCACCCGTGGTTCCAGCTCGACGAGTAAACCAGGTACTCCTGTACTATACAATCTCTATAACTAATTTAACATCTCGTCTCTCACAGTTCACTTACGGAGTACATATTGCTCAATTGAATTTCTTGCCCTGTGATTGGCTTCTCTGATTAATAATATCCGCTTTGCCCGAGGCCAAACTTAGATCCGAATGCAAAAAAGTTCCCCAAGAGCATCCGACAACTTTGCTGTATTAGCAATCATTTCACCGGGTCTTTAAACATATTATCGTTCTTTTAATAAGACACAGCAGCGGAAATAATAATGGCTTCCAGACTCTCGGTTTCGTCGGTAAGGACTACGGTACAATTATGTTGCTCTACATTGACACCAAGCTCACGTCCTTGATAGCTTCTCCGATTCTCCCGCCTACCAAACCCAGCGACTAAGAGATTTGGGCTCACTCCTTTGCAAATACGCCTACTCTCCGACGAAACCCGATCCGCCATCGATAAAGCCGTAGCTTCGGCGCCCGTGGTCCTGTTTATGAAAGGCACTCCAGAGACGCCACAATGCGGGTTTTCAAGGGCTAGCATTCAAGTTCTAGGTCTACAAGGGCTGGACCCAAAGAAGTTCACAGCATTCAACGTGCTAGAGGATCCTGAGCTAAGACAAGGTGCGACGCAACCGTAATATGATGATGAAATCTGAATTATCTGGCTGACTTGCTAGTTTTATCGATCATAGGGATCAAAGAATATTCCGACTGGCCAACCATTCCCCAGCTATACGTCGAGAAGGAGTTCATCGGTGGATGCGATATCTTGATGAGCATGCATCAGAATGGAGAGTTGTCTAAGCTCCTTGAAGATAAGGGCTTGGTCGTACAGGCCGAGCAGTGATCAAATCTATGCTTGCTCATAGGAGGAAATATGTGTTTGTATATGTTACAATAGTCGGCGTTATTGAGAAGGTCAAATTCTGGATTTTATATGTTTTACTTCTTTCACTAATGAGCCGTAAATTCGACTGTCTATACGTCTCTACCACCGGGTCAATGTTGAACCGATGAATGCAATGCATTCAATGTGCAATCCCAATTATACCCCCAGGCTTCTGGTTTACTTTCTTTGACTCTATCTCGATACCCAGCGGAATATTAAAATCTACGGGGGTTATTTGAGGCCGTGCGCGTCCGGTTTTGGTAAAGAGTCCCAAATAGGAAATCTTCACTACATGCCTCCAACCACATCTCTTTCGTCTGCCAATATTACCGAACAAGATACCATATCTACCATCACTCTCCCAATAGCACATACGTAACGATCCAATGGCTGAATCGCACCGTTACCGCTCAATATTCCAAACCCGAACGACCCGCGGCTCAGCATCACAGCGTTCACCCGGTCACACCCCATTCACTCGAGCGAATGCGAGGATGATGAGACTTAGACCTTCCATCCGTATGGAGCCCCCTAGTCCCCCAGACTTAAGAATGGATACAGCCAAGCTACGCTCAGTTGCTGCGGGATTAAGTGACGGACAAAATGCTCTGGACTCCTTCGTAGGTTAGTATGCCAACTGGGCATTGCGGCACTAGAATTACTCTGACTCCGGGTAACAGAACAACTGGAGAAGACTCGAGAGGGTATTGCAAAAGAACTTTCTACAGCAATTTCAAATACTGAGGACTCCATGAAGACTCGCCTTGATAAGATGACTACAAAATATGCTCAAAAGGCAGAGCAATTACAAGCCGACTACACAAAGGTATTGGGCCAACTCCGGGTACCAGTAACCGGGAAAAATGCTGCTGAGGACCAACCTGCGGAATTAGACTCTGTAGATGTGTTCGGGTTTGATCGGGATGCGTTCTTGAGCAAGGTAGAAGCTGAGAACCGGTCCCTGAAGCGGCTGTGGTGCGAATGGGAGAAAGTACAGCAGAAAATAGTCTGCCTTGCTGTTGAAGTACTCGGCGTGGAAAGGGCTGGTGTTACTAAGAATCATAAAAGGAGGGTGATGAAGAAGAGAGTGAACCGTGCTGCGGCTTTATTCGACAAGCAACAGGCTGAGCAGGGAGCTATGCTGGGAGAACTGCAAAAACAGGAAAAAGCCATTACGTTGATGGCAGAAATTTCTGTAAAAGCGTTGAAAGCCCGCCAAAAGGTATGTACTTTTCTACCGTCTGTTACTCGTTGGGCCAATGATGTATAGTTAGTGACTAATAACTGTCACTTACTGAATATAGAAACGTATGGATGAGAGGAAGAAACAGCGCGCAGAAGTCTGCCAGTTAGCAAAGAAGGTGATAGCCAATGTTTAAGTCGCTTCTTTGATATATGTATGTTTATTAAATAATAGTTTATTTAAGCACGAAGTCCTCTGTTGAAAGGGGAGCTGTCATGTACATTATTAATAGTTTTATAGTTTCAACTGTAATTCATCAATGTTTTGCACGAAGACGGTATTAGTATGGGATACCCCATATATCTAATTACCTTGTCCAGCCAACTTAGCTGATTCTTCTTGTTTTTTAACTTCTGCCTCATTGATGCTCTTGAGCATCTTGATCCTCTGCCGTTCTTCGAAGGCTGCTCTAGCTGTCATGATACGCTGTACTATTTCTCCAGCATTAACGTTTTGGAACTGATGATTGCCGATTTCTCTAAATATCCCTAGTTTTCTGGGCTCTTCATACGGGTCAAAGGTTAGAGGCATGAAGGTTGTGGGACCATGATACACCACATCAGCCATTCCAAAAGGTAGGGCCTTGAGGTATGCTTCAGTTGGAGTAAAAGGGGCAGCAAACACAACAGCATTTACATACTTCGGAAAACATTAGTTTGATGTACTTATTTGAAGGGGAGGGACAAGTCTTACACGACATTGGAGGACGCAGAGGCCTCGCTCAAAGATGTTCATGATTGGATAGTTTAGACCCTTCCAGCGGTTGATTACTTCGTCGTCATGTACACCAGCCACGATGTACGCAGGTCCGTAGTCCTCACCGTGTTCCTTTACTCTCTGGGCTGCTTTGTCTGGATGGAACCATCCACGGGCATCTCCCTCCCTTTCTTCTTCAACGTGTACGCGGCGGAGGAACTCGATATGGCCGGATGAAAACAAGTCGAAGCCACCGTCAACATAAACAATCTTCTGTCCTGGCTTCGGCTTTATACCTTCTACCAGCTGCTGCAGCTGCTCATGGGTTCCGGTAGTGGTAGGCGTACTCAGAGTCGAAGGGCCGTTCCAATGCCAGACCTCAGGTCCTGGACGTAGGCCTGTCTCGTCTGTGGCATAGTCTCTGATACGCTGGAAATGGCTCTTGCTAGTCTCCTCCATCTCTTCAGGAGTACCAGATCCCTCCTTTCCCGTGATATATGCAAGAAGAGACTTGATAAAGTGCGTCTTGGTGCAGAGAAGCATGCGGCCGACCAGATCAGTGGTCGAGATGCCAGGGGTACGCTTCACCACTAGAAAGCGGCCTGCCTCCTTGACGAACCGGTAGCAGTCGTTACCGTCACTGTCTGAGGTGATGTCGTCACCATGAACGACATACTGACATCCATAGTGGGATATCCAGTCTAGAGAAGTAACATATGGAGCGTACGGGATGGACTTTGATGACCATCGACAAGCATCCACGGCAGCGATCCTTCAGGGCTAATCAGCAATAAGAAGAAGAAGACAGCAATAGCAACAAATGGATCCCGCTTGTAAGCCGTAGGAGTATTGATTGACCAACCGTTCAGCAAGGGTCATGACGGTAGGGCCCTTATTATCTGCTATCTCCTCGTCCGAATGCACGCCAACGAGCAGTTCTTTTCCCAGTCTGCGGGCCTGTAGCATGGCTCCCGCATGGCCTAACCAAGCAAGCTCATTAGAACGACAGCCATCAGAAGAGTGTAATCCAATGCATCAATTGACGAACCATGGTGACTGAAGTCGAAGCAGCCATCCACCCAGATCCTGTCCTTTGATATCTCGACATCCTCCTGGGGATCTGCTGGCCACTGGCCCGGCTGTGGGAGGGCCCCGCGCTCAAACGCTGCCATCCCAGCAGCAGCAAAAATACACAGAACAGTCGGTCCGGCGTGTGTCTTCTACAGGAGCAAATGAGTAAGTGATCGCGTGTAGTCCTTAGCTACTAAGTCGATCCTCCCAAGTGGCGCTCGCCATCGTATTCCTTTCCGTCTCTTCTCGTCTTCCTCTTCGTCTTTCTCTTCTTCGCAAACTAGAAAAGGCACCACTTGATGACTAAGCTTCTCTCCCCTTGCCCGACAATACGCCCTCGTTACACGGAACTTCGGTAACTTTGCCCTGGCTCTATGGCATCGCTGGTAGCTTTGCCCCTGACCCGCCGGCCGTCTTGTCACGTACCGTATTTCCGACCTCGTTCTTCCGTCATCCATCCTTATCCTGCACTGCTGCTTCGAATCCCTGGCTCGTTCCAACGTCGAAGGCTCGCATTAGCGTCACATCTCCAACAAAAGTCGACCACAGCTCCCGCAGGCCCTTCGAGAGGCGCTGCACCTTGCCCGTCTCTTGGTCCATCGAGGACTTAGCATGTACCATCGGCTCCCGCGCGAGAGGAGGAGGGTTCCACACCCTTGAACAGTCGAGGAGATGCAGTCAGCTATAAAGATGCCCAAGCTCGAGACGGAGAAGGCTTCGGCTCACAACACTGTACGTTGGATGTCTCCTTTTCCTGTCCTATTTCTGCTTCTATCTCTCTCTCTCTCCTTTCTTTTTACGTCTTAATATACCTTCATATACCTCAAAGCCGCAAAGCTGGAGTACTCGGCCGTTCTTCATGTCGGGCCTCTTATGCCCAGGGGAGACTCCCTTGCTCCTCCCCCAAACCTTAGAGCTAGAGAGGTAAATCTCGATATATACTCCAATGCTTACCACCTGTGCCTCTTTTCTGGCATCTAAACATGTTTAGGGGTTCAACTCGTCCTCCACTCTATCTACACCCATAACCGGGAACAACAGCCTTGGTCCCCAGAGTGCTACTAATATATACACCCAAATACACGAAACTGCATCAAAACGGATACAGACACTAGATTACCTGCGTAGCGCGTGAGATACCTTCCCCTCTCCATGACTGTTGCCTTTTTTTTATCCGTGGGAATTCCGTGCTAACATGATATCAATTGGCCAACAGTCACAATGGCAGAGTATACTGGTTTAACACCACACACTTCTCCAAAGCTGACCTCGCTCGCATGCCCTACTTCGAGAAACGAAAACTCACCCGCCGTGCCATAAATTTCCTCTTCCTGGGATTCTCCCTCCCGCCGATACTGGATGTCAGCTCGGGACTATCCGAATATCTCAAATCTCTCAACGCTCTCCTGCTCGAGTTCGAATCCTTCCAACAAATCCATTCCGTGGATGGGGGACCTGCTGCAACTCTGGCCCGCGCAAGGCTGCCGCACATGTTCAAGCGGTCAGGCCAGTCCACCAAGGTGAGACGGACAAGCTCAGCTACCGAGATCGGTCTGCCCATGCAATCAGGAGGAGTAGATCACCACTCTGAACTTAAGCCCATGGGTAACATGGCCTCCGCAGGCGGTACCTCTGCAGTCTCCACGTTCCCGTCTAACTCTGAATCACAGGATCTGCTCCCTGGTGAAGAATATACATTCCTCCTAACGCCTTCATTGCCCTTTGACCCTGACTACTTTGAGATATTCGCCACTTTATGCGATGTGCTTATCGACTGCTATTCGAGGCTGGTTTCTCTTGTTTCTCACCCTAGCCTTTGCAATGCTGCCATGGGGGAGCTCTTTACCAAGGCTGATGCAAAGATACGAAAAGTAATCGTAAGCGGTATTGTTAGAGAGTTTGAGGATGCCAGTCGAGCCAGCGCGAAGAGCGAGGTTGCTGGCGTTGGACGTGTGGTTTTAGGTGGACTGCTGGGCTAATTTGAACAACGGTTTGAGTTTTCTTTCTTTTGTAATTAGCTATGTCTATCGGTGATAGATTTGACATCATTTCATGACGATCTAATGAACATATACCCAGTCTATTTTGTTTGTTGCATTTTACTTGGTTTATCAATATTGACTTACTACTCGAGAGAGAAAGTAATAATTCTAAGGTCATCACGACATGTAATTGTGTGCTGCAACACTAGCCTCTAAAGTTGTCTCCCCACTTGTATAATGTATATAGTGTACAATCGGACATCGATATTGGGACATGAAGAAGAGGTATAAACGAAGGAAAGAAAAAAAAGGAACAGAAGTAGAAATGGAAAACAAAGGGGAACGCTCATCTAATCCGAGTTGCGCCGTTCCCATTTTTATTTAGCCACCCAGATGAACAAAAGAAAATGGTATCCAACGCCAAAAATCAAATATAAAGCACGGTCTTTCTTTTTTAATGTAGTCGTGATTTAGGTAAACGCAAACCGCTCACAGGGAAATAAAGTCAAAGCCGTAAACTCCGCTGGTATTGGGATATAGAGGGGAGATATTCCGGTTTCTCAAGATCGATGTCGACGATTGCGTGGCAGAGAGAGCCCGTAGTTATCGGTAAAGTAATAGGCGTGGCCAGTTGTTAAGGCTTCCCCAAGGGTATTGATAGTAATATTAACCGTAGAACCGTTGGCTATTGGTGCGCGCGCTGAGCCTCCATTTCCTTCTTGTGCTCCAAGAAGACCCTCCGGCTCATTTCGAGGACAGACTCGAAGCCCTCTCGGCCCTTCTTCGCGTTCTGGCTGAAAGTTTCCACGCTAACGTCCTCGATCTTGTTCTTGATCTTCTGCCATCCGCTGCACATTGCAGTGATCTGGGCCTCCTGCTTAAAGTCCGTTTTGTGGCCGGGCATCGAGTTTGATGGTTGATAGGTGACGACCTCCCGCACCTTAAGGACGTTGGCCCATGATAGATTCGTGGAGCACATAGTGACTTTCTTTGATCGCGGATCGACATAGGATACCTCGTACACGTGAGATGTCGAACTGCCTCCGAACAGTTTAAGAATCCATTGAGGGGCCGTCTGGTTGCATGTTATTAGGCGCTCTGTCCGTAGCTATTATGAGAGAAGCCATAAGATTAGCCAGTTTATCCAAGATACTTTCAATGCTGTGTCTCGGAGAGATCAGAAGGAAGAACTCACAATGCCAGACTCTGGGTTGATATCGTGTGAGAGCACGTCCACCGCGATGACATGGGTCGACTTCTCGTTCCAGGGACAGTATTTACGCCAGTTGGCCGTGGACACCTCGTCCCAGGAGTAGTCGAATGTGCATGTGGACTCGAAGACCTTCATCGTCGCTCTGGCACGGAGAAGAGGAGTAACCGATTTGACGTCCTTTCGCTAACACGACACGAGGGATTAACCCCAGCCCCGACTGAGGCCGACACGTATAGGATAGTATTATATATTAGTCTATTAGTGCAGATTGACTGGCTGCCGACGACCTCGACCGTCTGCTATGTTGACTGACGATAGGAAAGATGAAATGCTCAAAACCCTTGATGACGCTTTCCCTCCGATCGAATTTCAAAGCAAAAAAAATTGTTACGAGAAAAAAAGTCAGGGCCCCAGCTGACTCATCAACGCCAAGCCCGCATGTGCCGGTTTGACCCGCCAAGGCACATGAGCATCACGTGCCGCATGTGTTATTTCTTTTCTTCGGTTACTTTATTTTTCTTCTGCTCGGCTTTTTTGAGCATATCTGAAGTTTGCTGCAATTGATTGAATATTGAATGCTTGCGTCTTATAGCCTCCATGATGGCCTGTTTAGCAGAGCCTGGGACCTTGATCGCGGGCTGGCGGACACGGTGGATGCGGGAGTGGTGGGTGCTCCATCCACAGACGGAGACATGGCACGTGACTGGCGCCTCGCCTCCTTATCGCCAGATCTATCAAACAAACGGACCAAACATGAAGCTCCAACAGCTTCCAACATCAATGATGCGATGAGTGGCCACTGTCTGGGATGGGAGTAAGGCCGTTTCACAGCTCCTTATATCCTTGATTTATGTCTCTGTTTCGAAATATGCGCTCTGTGCCTTGAAAGTCGATTTTCCTCTTTGACCAACTCCATCGGGGCCGCCGCCGCCGCCAACCCTGGCTACTGGAATAGAATGCACCTCGACGGATATACTGCCTGCTCAAGCCCATAATTGATGCAACAACCAAGCCATGGCTACAGAGGATGAAAAAATCGCTGCCACCGCGCACTTTGAACCCATTGCTCAACCGAAGCCTGCTACTATACCACCGAACTCTACTTCCCAGTCACTTGTCGACCAAGTCAGCCTTTTCGTTGCACACGCGGACAGAACAACCTTGATTTCAACTGCGGCCGGCGCTGTTGCCGTGTCGTATGTGCTGTTCGGAAGGCTTGCACTTCTTCTTATTGGTGCCATTGGAGGAGTGGTCCTGCACATATGGTGGGAAGGGCAGAACAGCGGAGCGGACGGTGATAATGAAGGAGCAGCAAAGCGCAAACGGCATGAGCTTAGCTTGGAGGTGGCCAACAGGTTGACAGCTTTATACGCTGACAACGCCTCCAAGGTGGATGACGATGAGGCCGCTAGCTCAGGAGAGTCTGCCCTAGATTACTCGAGGATGGGGCCAGCAACAGAAGTCGCATTGACTGCTCTAACTAATTCGGTGATTGCAGACTATGTAAGGTGAGCGTGATAATACTTCTGGATCCTTCTAAAGGTATGTATGAGGCTAATTATCCTGTTAGCTGGTGGTATAAACCAATTTTACCATCTGAGGACCAGTTTCCTGAAGCATGCCGCAATACACTCGTGAGCATGGTCCTGGCTGTGTCATCCCGCGTTTCCCGCAAACGGCCTGCCGACATGTTCCTGCAGTTTGCGACTAATTCAACATCCTTCATGATTGTATTCTTCAGTGAACTGTCTGCTGCTGTCGGCACAGCCACAACCGGGTCTAGGCCCGTGGCGGACTCTATAGACGAATACCTGGACAAAAACCCAGAAAGCAGTCTAGCCAATGTGCTATCATCCGACCAACAGGAAAATAAGCTTGGTCTCGTTGGAACAGACATACTCAAAACCTTCCTTGAACCATCGGTTTATAACTGTGGTCCTCTACGCATTTTTCTGCGTGAAGTTTTGTCTCGGTTGATACTACAACCCACTATAGATATGTGTTCTGATGCAGAGTATATCAATACCTGGATTGTATATCTACTTGAGCAAGGGGAGCCGCAGCTTCTGAATGCCATTGATGCAGGGCTAGAGCAAGCAGACAACATCAAACATAAAAGGCCGATCAGTACAGGGACTCCAACAACCAATGAATTGGAAAGGGAGGTCTCCAATATTGCTCCTAATCTTGGAGATCAGAAGCCAGTCGAACAAGTGCAGTCTGCAAAGCAGCTTTCCGATATCAATTTTGCACATAATGAAAATCTCAGTACAGTAGCAAACTTAGGAGACACCCCTAGACCACAAAACACTGAGCAGACAAGCAGGGATTCTGCCGTATATACACATATACCCACTGACTCCTCTTCATCCAATACCACCGATCCCAAACCCACCCCTGGCTCAAGCGGCAGCGTCAACGAAAACCCTCTCAATAGCCCCCCTCTTGGCAGCCAAACAACGCCAATTTTAGATAGTGCTAGCCCCTCCCCAGTTACGGCACAGCCTTCGCAGTTTCGCGGCTCCTCGGTTTCCATTATCGAAGACTTCAACGAAGATGACAAAAGCAATATACGCTCAAAGCCAACGAGCGAGTATCTGATCCAGATTGAGCCCAGCAACACTAAGCTTACTGGCTGGATGATTGCTAGGAAGTATAGCGATTTTGAAATACTGCATGAAACTCTACGACGGATTTCCGTTGTATCTGGAATTTCTGATTTCTCCCTACACCACAATGAATTACCTGGGTGGAAAGGAAGAAACAGAAGTAGCTTACGAGTTTCCCTTGAGAAATACCTACAGGCAGCTTTACAATATGAGCAACTAGCAGAATGTGAGGGGATAAAAAAATTTTTGGAGAAGGGGCGGCAATCCGGCCTCGAGCCGGACTCTGCCTTGCCTAAGTCTGGATTTCCGTTTGCAGCACCTGCGGCTGTTTTTGAAAACGTGGGCAAGGGAGTAATGGGTGTCCTGGGAACTGCGCCGAAGGGTGTTGCAAATAGTGGAAAGGCCCTCGTCGGCGGGGTTTCAGGGATATTCGGGGCCTCGGGGAACGACAGCAGGAAGCGAGTCAACAGTAATGCAGCAGACAGGCCTACGGCTATTCGCGGTACCTCCATGGATATCCAACCGTCAGCCATGAAGAGCTTCACAGCTCACTCTAAGAATCTCTCAATGAGTAACTTGCAGGAGCGGCCTCGAACGGTGTTCCAGCCGCAGCCAGCCCATCAAGAAACTGAATCGGGAGATATCAGTGCTGAATTACCTACTTCGACCGCTCGTGCTAGTAGTTCGTTGGCTAGCTCTTGTGAAAATTTAGCAGAAGAAGGAAATATTACACCGCAGTCATCACCGGATACCCTAGATGCACCGCATGTGGCCCTTCCCCCAGCGGGCAACATCGAGACCAATGCAGAGCCAGTAGATAAAGATAAAGCTGAATCCACCAGCTCGAATGGTATAGAATCACCGCCAAAGAGAAGTTCGGAGGGTCGCAATTACGCCCCTGTTTCAGAGGAAGAAGCAGTCGTCGTGGTTGAACTGCTTTTTGCGGTAATCAACGAAGTCTACAGTCTTTCATCGGCGTGGAATATCCGGAAGAGACTGCTGAACGCTTCGAAATCTTTCCTGTTGCGCCCGGGAAACCCTAGTTTGGAGGCTATTCGGGCTCTACTCCAAGATTCAATCATTGATGGCAATACGACCGATGAGGCGCTAGCTGGGTATATAACTAAGCTACACAAAAGCAGCTTACCAACAGAGGAGGATATAAAGGCATATCCTCCTCCGCTATCGTTAGAGCAGAAAGAACAGCTCAGGATCAAGGCCCGGGCACTACTGATAAGTAGAGGCATGCCGCCAGCTCTAATGGGTATTATGGGTGCAAATGCGACTGGAGAGGCCCTTGGGAAAATATTTGACTGTCTACAGATACCATCTGTTGGCAGAGCTTTCGTCTTTGCCATCCTTCTGCAGGCGATCAGAGTGATGACACAATGAAAAATCCGGTAGAGCTGTATAAATATATATATATATAAACATATTTTTCATGAACTAGCTAGGCCAATACAAGTCGTATAGATCCAACCCTTTCTCTAAGCCTGGAAGTAAATCCTGGAAACCGAAGGAAAATAGTTCTATCTCAATCGAAGAAAAATCTAGTCCTAGATCTGGCCAAAGCTAAAATTACATCTATTTAATCGTCCCGTCTTCCCCAGGAGAAACCGATCACCGCTTTTTAGAAGAATTGTGAGAAAAAAAAAGAATGCTGCAAACAATAAGATCCGATGTGAGACAAGGACGAAGGAAGAAAAGGTAGAAAGGAAGTTACTGGAGTCAGGAAATCACCAGGATGCTCTAGATGCCAACCAATGTCGAAGAGTGAAAAAGATCGACATAACGAAGGAGATATGAATCTATGGATGAGGTTGAGAAAGGAAATTGAGTGGTTAGTGAGGTTCGTCTATTTCGATAGACCAACGAAGAAGTCCCGTGTAAGCTCGAAACTGAGCCAGCTGCTGGCCATGCTTGGAGCAACTTTTAGGAGGTTTGGAACGATGCCCTTGTAGAAGCCGCGAATGCCTTCTTCAAGAGCGATTACTCGGACAGCATCGAAGATGGAAGTGTACTTGTATCCCATGCCGGACATGGTATTTATCTGGAACCGACGACGGAGGACATCACTAGAAGTTATGTAAGCTGGGAAGTCCGGTGAAGTTGGTTGGTCTAGGGGAGGCTCACAATGGATATGTGCATGTTTGAGCCACGGCACCAGATATGGCTCCGGCTAATAGTTTTCTCGGAGCACTTGGGTTTGACTCGCCCTCGGGCGTGAGGACCTTTCGTATTGATTCATACGTCATGAAATTCAATCCAACCTTTGCATGGTCAGCTGATGCAGTCGATGACATCGGGGACATCCTCCAGGTAAGACTTACGTAAGGAGCCACGCCGGCAACGGTAGGGAGTATTCCTCTGTACAGCGCAACGATGCCGCCCTCATTTTTGTACATGAGGCGCATTGTCTCATACATTCCGGGTAGTTTCGTTTGATGTTGACCTTTCAGTTCCGCAAAGGATGCCGACTGGATCGAAAGACGGGTGCGTACGATGTCCAGGGGGTAAGTGAAAGTGACGGACGTAATACCAGCGAGTCCACCGCATGTAAGCCGTCTTAGGGGAGTCAGCTCTCCGCCAGGCGTCGGTTCAAATGCCTAGAATCGAAGCCAGTTAGCAAAATATTCTCTAGTAATGGAGAGCACCTTTCAAGCCTCTACCTTTTTGTATAGATTGTAGCTTCCAAACTGAACTGCGGAATATGGAACGATTCGAATGCAGTTTGTTCCGTTACCACGCATGAACCCTCTCCAGCCTTCTTCTCTCCACATTTTAGCAAGACCTTTGCCTATGGAGAGCTTGTATTCTTCTCGACCAACGCTCTGGACCTGAAGGAGAATCTTCAACCGTTCTAGCGGAGACACGATCGTTCTGGATACGGCGCCTGCAACGCCGCCGCCGATGAAGGCCGCAACGACGGGGTCTGCTAACCTCTCGGTCACCGCTGCGAGGGTAGCATTTCGTTGCTTGACCTATATAAAGTAAATCCAGCCACACTGTCAGCCCGCCACAGTCAATTCCGTAGAAAACAGCGTGTTAACCGTCGAAGAGAGCTCTAACCTGTGCCTGTGGGAATACATCTGCAGCTCCGGCAGGCAGCTGTGTCAAGCTGTGACGCAGAGCGGCTCTGTCGTCTGGATTATCGTCTTTGCGATTGAGACTCATCGTGAGGGGTTACAGTCGAATAGCTTCAGGCCAGAGAAACAATCAGTAACCGTCTTACTACCAGCTGACGGGCAAATGGAACTACCTATATTCCCCGGTGTTATATCCTTATAGCTTTGAAAACTGCTTTGCGCGCAAGTGGCCGACGGACGGACTCCGGTTTGGAGAAAGGCGAAAGCTAGACCCAAGAGGGGCAAATGGCAACAGTGAAGTGTCTAGAGCGAAACATGCTCTGAAATAGAGAGCTGCTGGAGGGGAGATTGGTCGGTCGAGTCGACTGTGTGCTGTCTTAAACCATCCGGATGTATAGAGTGGCAGGCGAGGCTTGATAGGCGAGAATATTTAGGGGGATCTCGACTTTATCCGGGCTGGGCTGGTGACAACAGGGCGAACAAGTGACTTGCTGGCTAAGTCACGGCTCCATCTAAGCCTGGACAAGTGATGTAAGGTAAAAGTGAACAACACAAAGAACAGCTAATGCTCTGGCGTTCAAATGACCTGCTCCAGAGTGTTAATCCAGTGAGTGGAAGGTGAATCGTCCTTTGCAAAGCAGCGAAATTGTTGTCTTTTTTTTTCTTTCTTATGAACAAATAAAAAAAGAAAAGAAAAAGCCCGTTTTTTGTTAAGCTTACGTCATATCTTACATAATAACGGAACAAGGTAGCTCCGAGGTTGTTCCGGCCGTCCTTCCCTTTTTCCTCCAAGTCCTTTTTTTCCCTTTTTCCTTCCAGCAACAAACAACCAACAACAGCCTTGGAACAACGTCCACCTTTTTGCTGCCTGCAGGACATACGACAGCTCTTGACACAGCGCAGTCGTCTTGCTATACGCGTATACAGCGCATATAAACTTCTTCTCTATAGTAGGGCTTCCCCCTGTTGTTCTTCTCGACCCTTCAGCATGTCTCGTGGCGGCGGCACGACGCTTTACGTTACCGGTTTTGGCCACGGCACTCGAGCCCGAGAACTCGCCTACGAATTCGAACGGTATGTCCTCATCGTCGAGCTCCCCCTGATCGATACCTCTCGACCGATCCTTCTCTCTACGTCTTGAGTCCGAACCGTCAAAAAAGCGATATTCTTTTCTTCCTCTGTCCCTGTCTCGTCAACGGTCCTACGCCCCCCGAACGCCCTTGGCATCAAGTTCTGTTCACGATGAGCTCCCTCGTCCATCAAGATAGCTTCTACCATATACCCCCCTGGCTGGTTCTTGTTGTGAGGCTCATACGGAATTATACGCATATATATATCTCTTATCCTTACTCTTCCTATCAAGAACAAAAAAAGCGGCGGTGGATACGTATTTTGTTGCTAACATTTCTACTAAAGATATGGGCGCCTCGTGAGATGCGATATCCCAGCTCCCAGGACAGCTTCAAGCCGACTGTAAGATACTCATAGGTCCAGATTAGGTTGATAAGCAACGACGACGAACTGATGACATTTTCAGCTTTGCCTTCGTGGAATATGAGAGCCGTCGCGATGCTGACGACGCTTACCATGAAATGCACAACAAGCGCATCGGCCGTGATGACGTTTTGAAGATTGAGGTAAGCTTGGGCCTATGATCCGTATTTGTTCTTATGATATCGTGCTCATATGTTTATCAGTGGGCTCGCACTCCGCCATCCGCATCATGGCGCTTCGATTCCGGGCGTGACCGTCGTCGGGAGCGCACTCCACCACGCCGCAGCCACCGCTCTCCATCCCCACGACGAGGCCGCGACTACTCGCCACGGAAGGACGACCGCCGTGACCGTGACTTTGATCGTCGTGATAGAGACCGTTCTCGCAGCCCTGACGACCGTGAGCGTGAGCGTGACCGGGATAGAGATAACCGGGATGACCGTGAACGCCGCGAAAGTGAGCGTGAGAACGGTACCACTAATGGAGATGAAAGGAAAGGTAATGAAACTACAATCTCGTTTTTTGCTGATTGTCAATCTATGAATACTGACTCGATATAGTTCCCATGGATTCTCCTCCCCCAGCACATGACGAGTTGGACACTGCTGAGTAGGTCAATCGCCAAGTTGCGAAGCTCCCCCCTTTTCCGTCTTAATGTCGGAAAGCCGTATCTTTCGCCCTTCAGAAATCGCCGATTTATGTTAGTCCGCACGGGAGTGAGGAACTAGTTGCTATACTGGGTAGTATCCCTCTACTCCGACAGTTAACCCTCCTCACAGGTCATGACTTCCCTCCCGTTCTATTACCTCGGTTCTTTATCCTTAATCTCCTTTTCTTCGTTCGTGCTTGCATGTTCTTCTTTCTATTCGTTATTTTTAGTGGGCAACTGGGTCTTCTTGCGATGTATAAACACCTTTTATCAGCGTTAGGTAAAATCTATCTTAGAGCTCTATGGCGTCCTTTCTTTTAACCATAACCTTGAGAGACAGGTTTTAACAGGTTGGTGGTGTATCCTTGCTCAAGCCATGCTGGCAGACTCGTGCTAGCTCCACTAAACATCTAATTCGCGACTATCAATACAAGTTTCATTTGTTGATGAGCCATTCATGCAGCTGTAAGTTAATTCCGATAAAGAATTGATGCATTATCCTTGGCCGGTATATATGGAGTAATCTATTAGTAATTGTTCGATTGAGTATGCAGTCGTGTACGAACCTCACTGTTGATGTCACTTTGTAGTTTAGTCGTAGTTTGTGGCTCAGCACAACATGCTAGATGCTAATAACTGACGGGCCCTAGCATCGCTCACCATACTAAACGTCACATCCTCTCCTACTTGACAGACAACGTCATCTATTCAGCTACATATTCGGTCTAACTCCCGTATATCAAATCATCTCAGCCAGAATGGGGTCCCCGTCGATTGCTTGCATTGGCATTATCGGGAAACAGGTTCGGACTTCCACCCAGTATACCACATGTTCATAAATATACAAGCTGACATCGAGAACCGCAAAAGAATAATCTACTGCACATGTCCCTCTTTGAGCCGCATGCAGACGATCAACTTGAATTCTCATTCATCTTGAATTCGAGCCTAGATATATTTGACATGCGGCAACAGCATACCTCCGTGGATCAAGACCTTGGCCTGCTCCACGCTTTGGATGAAAGACTCTCCGTCTACGGATGGTTGACCAACACAGGGGTCAAGTTTGCGATTGTCGTGGACCTTGAAGGGAGAACCTCAGCACCTTCCGCAGAGCATGAGCGGTCTTTGCCTGTTGTCGGGCTGCGGGATTCTGATCTGAAGCCAGTACGCATATGCTGATAACCGCTTTTATGTACAGGTCATGCTTACATTGTGAACCAGGCATTCCGAGCTTTACAAACTGCATATGTAAAACTACTGCAGAATCCTTTTTACAACCCGGATGATAATATGCTCGGGAAGGAAAACCAGACACAGCCAAAGCCCAAGGGGATCGCCAGCCGTCAGTTCGTTGAAGAGGTCAACCGGATTGGCAAGACATGGGCCCCAGGCATGACAGGTCATTAATACAGCTTCTCTTGATAGTTATTCCTACGACAGGCGAAGTTCTCGCCTCGCTTCATTTGGCTGCATAGTTCTTCGAGGCTGTGGTTTATTATAATGTGTATAGGAGTGAGGAGTTTGGCTACATTTGGTTCAAAATCGGCTTCGAGGCGTTTGAGATAGAGACAACACGAACACCAAAACACCACAGTTATATTCTTTCACCCACTCTTCCTCGCCTTATCTTCTATCATATTATTTACCGTCGACGGTGCTCCTCGACAAGCGTTAGGATCGTTACAAAAACCGCGTCCCTAGATAAGATTTTATATCACGTGATGTATTCCCCTTTAGGCCTAGCGTAGGGCTTCTTCCCACACACTCCACTCACCAAAATTCATCGCCAAAAATTCTTGAAACTCGAGCAGTTGTTCAACCACGCCGCTGCGAAAAGAAGTCCACCAGCAAGACCATTTCGCACCGCAGCCATGGGTAAGTAGCTGTGTCTTTCGATGTCTTGAGCAGCTTTTAGACTGCCATCTCGTGTTCATAGCGCTCGAAAAGCTTGGAAGCGAGTTGTTTCAATCCGTTGCTAATAAACAATATTTGCAGGTATCGATTTGGACCGTCACCACGTCCGCAACACCCACCGCAAGGCTCCAAAGAGCGACAATGTCTACCTTCAGCTCCTCGTGAAGCTTTACCGCTTCCTGGCCCGTACGTTCTGAAGAAACCCCTCCGAAAAGATCGCGAATGTGAAAAAATGTTTAGAGTGTGAAGGAAGAGTGAAATTAACCAGGGGTATTTTGTGTGAATTATAGGCCGTACGGACGCCAACTTCAACAAGGTCATCCTCCGCCGTCTTTTCATGTCCCGCATCAACCGCCCACCAGTTTCTCTCTCGCGCATTGTATCCAGCATTAAGGGATCAGAGAAAGCCAACGCTGGAAAGACCATTGTTGTCGTCGGCACTATCACCGATGACAACCGCCTGCTCGAGGTCCCAAAGATGTCCATTGCCGCTTTGCGCCTCACCTCTTCCGCCAGAGCCAGAATTGAGAAGGCCGGTGGTGAGATTTTGACCTTGGACCAGCTTGCTCTCCGAGCCCCAACTGGTGCCAACACCATCTTGTTGCGCGGACCAAAGAACTCTCGCGAGGCCGTCAAGCACTTCGGATTCGGCCCACACAGCGGAAAGGTTAGTTTTCGATTATCGATATATATATATATATGCCCACGTTGGGGATGGTTCTATGGGACTAACGCGTTGCTACTTTTATAGAAACCACTTGTTGCCAGCAAGGGACGCAAATTCGAGCGGGCTCGTGGACGAAGAAGATCGCGTGGTTTCAAGGTTTAAAGTGGCTGTTGATGGGATACTGTTTCAAAAGTCAGCTTATAAAAATAGTGTAGCTGTACTTGTGATTGAAATGAAATGAATTTCCTACCCCTTTTCACCCATACACGACTGCTACAGGGATTCCCTAATGTGAAATAATTCTCCTACCAAAATGGCATGACCTTTCGATCTAGCGGCACGCAAGAAAATTGTGACTGTTTCTTTTTCTCAGTTCAATCTGGTATCTATATAAAATGCGGCCGTTTTCATATCAAATGTCCATCTTTTCATGTTTCCAGGTTCTACCGCCCTCGCCCTGGAAATAGTCACCAGCAATATGGCCTTCACCCCGGATCAAGTACTTATATATTGTTAAACCTTCCAATCCGACTGGGCCTCGCGAGTGAATCTTGTTGGTGCTTATTCCAACCTCTGTGCCAAACCCGTACCTCATTCCATCTGCCATTCTGGAGCTGGCATTCCAATAAACTCCGGCACTATCAACCGCGCTCAAGAAGCGTTCAGCAAGCTCTCTCGTAGATGTTAATATCACATCTGTGTGCTTTGACGAGTGACCCCCAATGTGTGCGATTGCTGCATCCACATATGACTGGTCGGTTGTCCCCTCAACAGTCTTCACAGCTATGATTGCTTCGAGGAACTCGGTGTTGTAGTCCTCCTCGGTTGCATCTTTAAGCAATGCAAGTTGGGCTGAATCCAGTTTATCTTGGAGTGCCGCTTTGGACTTAGGATCACACTTCATAGTGACTCCTTTAGCAGTTAAAGCCGCAGCTACCTTGGGAAAAATGGTTGATAATGCTCTTTCATCCACCAGGAGTGTCTCCGCGGCATTGCATGCAGCAGGGTAGTGCAGCTTTGAATCAACTATGACCCGTTCAGCCATGTTGGCGTCGGCATCCGAGTGGAGGTAGATGGCACATCTTCCGTCCGCATGGCCAAGGACAGGGATCTTTGTATTGGTTTTCACAAACTTCACCAAGTCGTTTGAGCCCCGGGGAATCACCAGGTCAATATGGTCATCCAATGCCAAAAGTGGGAGAATTGCGTCTCGTGTTTTGACCAACTGGACAGCTGCCTTTGGCACTTCGGTGGTAGCGGCAGCTTCCGCTATTACCCTAGATATTTCTATGAATGATTCGGTTGACTCCTTTCCACCTGGCGCATAGTTAACATCTGTATTTCTTGCTATATTCCCTAGGACAAACCTACCCTTTAAGATGGCAGCGTTTCCAGATTTAATGGAGAGAGCTGCAATGTTGGCAATGACTTCTGGACGAGCCTCAAAGATTATCAGCAAAACACCGATTGGACAGCTAACCCGTTCAAGGATCAGGCCATCATCTAGCTTTGTACGTAACGAGATATTGCCGACTAAAAAATGACAGGAGAATTAGCATGCGACGAACAATTGCAGGGGATAAGATATTTTTACTACATACTCGGATCATCTAAGTTCTTAACATCGAGAATGCCCTTGAGCATATCGTCATACTTCCCTGGGCGAGCCAAGTCAAGTCTCTTCAGGATACTCGAGCTGAGATCTCCTTTCTCAACTGCCTTAGTAGCGGCTTCGACATCTCTGGCATTGGCCTGGAGAATGACATCTTTGTTCTTCTTGAGTGCATCGTGTATGGCCACAAGGGCCTTGTTCCTAGCGTCAGACGAGAGGATAGCCAGCTGTCTAGCACCTGCAGAAGCGAGCTTTGCTATCTCAGCTGGAGAAGAATCAGTCAACGACATGATTCCGGAAGGAAAATTGACAGCAGCAGCAAGTGCTAATATATATGTGCCTGGTCTGATATAGAGTACTCTGATCTATATCGATGATATTATTATTACGACTGGTTCCAAGGTTGGCCTGTAATGGTGGGGGTGGAAGTTGTGCCGCGCTAGTAACTTATTACGTCTTGGGGCTGGTATCAACGAGTAATATTACATACCGAAAGTACTTACATAAGCAGCTCTTTCAACATGGATCTACTTCATTCCTTCTAAACGCTCCAAAGTCGACAAGCTTACATGCTGGACCTTCGCTTGCTTGGTACTTCTCTCCTCGCCTTTCGACGACGTTCACGACTGGAGTTGGGTCTCTTTTTTTGCGGTTAGGGTACGGGTTTTGCAGCGGGCTCTTCTTTGCTACCGCCACGTTCAGCTTATACCACTATTGTCGTGTTCAATTCAAGGAAGCCTGATATCGTTGTCTGTGTAGGGAGTTCCTACCAAGTACTCCCTTTGTTCGAATCTCACTTTTCCATTGACCTACACTGCCCCCGGAATATGGCTACTCAGCTGCTGCTGTCATTCCCTCCCTTGGCGGAGATATCGGATGTGGAGTATGACAAGACAATACGTGCATTCTGTGTCAATGTAAAAAAGCTATCGGTAAATGCTTTAGTCGGTTCAAGCACAAATGGGCAGGGAAATAATCTTGAGGTGAGCATAATACTCTATTTCTGGGCCATTCTGTGTTTTCCGTATATTATTCTCATCAATGTCATTGTTATGACTTCTGTTAAACATTAGTGCCTAATATATTTGCTTATCTAGATACTGGACCCAGCCTTACATTCTGTAGCATATTTGAATGTGCTTCTTGCTTATTATCAGGTTGCTCAAAAGTCTGATAAATCATCCTTTCAGCCAGGCGGGGAAGGTTGGAAGAAAGCATTATTATTCTTTGAGACGTTTGACCCGATCCAAGTCCGCTACGCGGGGCGTGAGTTCACAAGGCTAGTTGAAATCATTGCATCGATTGCAAACTCTCCATATCAGGTATGTGCTTATAGAGAAGCAATAACTGCACTGTTGGTAGAGCTTTAACTGACATACTTGTAGTCACTGCTGGCTGTTCAACCTCTTAAGAATGCTCTGCTTCGGCTAGATCCATCATGCTCTACTTTGACAATAACGCACACTTTATTTGTGCGTACATGCCTCAAAGCTAATGCTTGTCGCGCTGCGCTATCAGTACTGGAGAAACCTATTTTTCATATCCCTGCATCAGTGGATAAAACCTACCATAAACGGGCCCAAATTCTCCCATGTGTCAAGGACCAATCCAGCTCTACATTCATTACAGATACCTCTGGGCTAGCGGGGAAGATCACTCACCAAACGTATCTTGAATATTACCTATATGGTGCCATGATCTACATGATTCGAAAGGAGTGGGATAACGCACTGAGATTCTTGCACATTGTTATGGCTGCTCCAGTCACCAATGCCGTGAGTAAGATCATGGTTGAAGCGTACAAGAAGTGGGTTCTAGTACGTCTGCTAGCCAAAGGACAGGTAGGTTAACTATTCCTTTTCATTCTTAGTACCGATATTGGATTGTCTAGATTAATAATCCCTTAACAGGTCTCAGATCTGCCCCGAGGGATACCTCCGTTTGCAGTGAAGATATATAAATCTTTATCTCGACCTTATGAGGCGCTTGCAGAAATCTTCCGAGACGGTACTCTGCAACGATTGGAGGCAGAAATGATGGTAGGGATTGATGTCTGGGATAAGGTAAGTCAAAAGCCTTTTCTAGTAACTTTATTTTGAGAGGGATATACATGTTGACTATGGCAGGATGGCAACGCATGCCTTGTATACCAGCTTCCTGCCGCAAATCGGCGGTTCTCTATATTGAAACTAGAAAAAGTGTTTTCAGCGATATCGATACCTGAAATTGCAAACAGAGTCTCCTACGAATGCGGCTCCACCCAAGAGTTAGAGGAGTATATCGCTTCAATGATAGCGGATGGCCAGTTAAACGCACGACTTGTCCAAGCTTCCGAACCCTCTGGGCCTACTGTGCTTCGTTTTGGCAAGGACGATGTGAGCATGGATATGTCTACGGAATCCCAGCTGTGGGTAGATCTCGTAAAGGAGAAGAACCGTATCAATGCCATGATAGACAATATTGCGAGAGTCGATGTGAGACTGGAACTGGGAGAAGACTACATTGATGGGTTGGCGAAAGCTCAACGGAGGGCTGGCGCGAAGAATAGAAACGCCACTGCCTTCGACGAAGATCTCATGGCCACTTCCCGCTAAAAGGGCTTACCAGGTTTACAAGTTCATGATATATAGAATTTGAAGTAGGAGAAAGAGGGACGATGGTTGAGCTGAGAACGTGAATGATTGGTTCCCTCAGGGATGATACATTTGGTAGCGCAAGTTTCAAAAGAAATATACAATTTGCGCTTCTTTGGCGCTAAGAAGATATTCCCAGTTTATGGCCGGGAAGAAAAGAATGGCTCATGGGGATATTTTTCTTGAACACAAAAAAACAAGAAAGAAGAGGCCAGTACATGATGCCTGATGATAGGCAGCAAGTAAATATTCGGATAAGGTATTATTTAAGAAAAGAACGAAGACGACTTAATTTGCGGCGGGAGGCGTAGCCGTTGCGGGCTGAGCGGCGGGTTGAGCGGCCACTTCAGCGATGGAGGCTCCGGTGCCAGAGAGGTCGGTGGCCGTTGGGTTCTTGGAGTAGTAGTTGTTGATAGCCGACTTGATAGCATCCTCCGCGAGCATAGAGCAGTGTACTATTCGTTATCAGTATTTGATAAATTTTTATACATATCCAACGACAGATACTCACGCTTAACTGGTGGAAGACAGAGTTCCTTTGCGATCTCGGTATTTCTGATTTTAGCGGCTTCCTCCAGCGTCATGCCCCGTACAAGCTCGGTGAGATAACTTGAGCTGGCGATGGCACTTCCACAGCCAAAAGTCTTGAACTTGACGTCGCTGATGGTGTTGTTGCTCTTGTCGACTCTGATCTGTAGTTTCATCACATCGCCGCAGGCCGGGGCTCCGACCAAGCCGGTTCCAACGTCCATGTCCGTCTTTGACATTGAACCGACGTTCCGTGGGTTGCTATAATGATCTAGCAGTGCATGGGGTCAGTCAAACGAACGGCTAGGATGGCGATACCAGTAACGAAGGGGAGACATATCTTTCTCATGGTAACCTCTGGTGGATCGGAGGGTGAGCGCAGGCACCGGAGAGAGTGGCGTCAAAGCCGGTCGCGATATGGCGGGAGATGCGATGCATCTGGTCGCTCTGGGAGCAAGAGAAACAGCTCGTCTGAACATTGTAAGGAGCGTATGTGTGATATTCTCTGCGTCCGACTCTTGTTGTTGTACAAAGGAAGAGCGAGAGGGCGACGAAGAGAGGAAAAAAGAGTTGAAACTTATCTGATGGACCAAAAGTCGGAGAAAGCAAGAAAGATCAGATAAAGTCGCCTCCGATGCTCCGCGCAGTCACATGATATCACGTGAGAGCACCAGCCATCCTATCACAGCCGCGATATAAGATATTAGCTAAAAACAGCGACGACGACATCAGAAAACGAGGACGAGAGCGACAGCGAGCTGAAGGACGAGACGACCGAGCATCCGTCTGTCAACTCTTCTCCATACAACGATAGAGGCCATGAATCCCTCTCGGGGAGGCAACTTTGCCGTCAGGCTGCTGGGTGGGTTTTCCTTTTTTTCCCGCTTCAATTTGTTGATTGATGCGACCTTTGCTGAACAGAGATGGTATATAATACACAGGCCAACATCGCCCAATCCTTTCTACCACTCTCCCGACCCTTTCCAGCGCCCGATTCCAGTCGACACAGGCAGCGACTGAGCAGTCGAGCGCCCTCCAGTCTACAGCCGGTTCTGTCCCTGCGCGGAAACCAAGGAGAGAGGTCCCTCTGCCCAGCCAGGAGAAACCCCAGGGTGTCCTTGACTATGCATTGTTCGTTAACTCCTCTATATTTCTGCTTGTTGCATCTCAGGGGGAATGCTAAATGTGAGGGGGTGCAATTGCTAATGGGGAAATTGAAATTGGTAGGACCACACTTGACCAAGTAGCCAACTGGGCTCGCCAGGGCTCTTTGTGGCCGATGACCTTCGGACTGGCATGCTGTGCCGTAGAGATGATGCACCTGTCTACACCCCGATACGACCAGGACAGATTGGGAATTATTTTCCGAGCCTCGCCGCGTCAGTCTGATGTGATGATTGTTGCCGGCACGTTGACGAACAAGATGGCACCGGCCTTGAGACAGGTGTACGATCAGATGCCGGAGCCTCGATGGGTGATTAGTATGGGCAGTTGTGCCAATGGCGGTGGATACTACCACTACAGTTACTCTGTTACCCGTGGATGTGACAGAATTGTACCTGTTGACATCTACGTTCCTGGCTGTGCGTTTCAACTCCGACTTGAACCAAGCTTTTACTTTTGTTATAGTCATTGACTAATAGCGGTGATATATAGGCCCCCCGACTTCCGAAGCACTAATGTACGGTATCTTCCAGCTGCAGAGGAAGATGCGAAACACAAAGATCACCCGTATGTGGTACCGACGATGAGCTGGTTGTGCTGGTTGTGTTCCGGGAAGAAATGAAAAATGGAAGATATCCTGTAAAGTACTTTCTTTGTACAGCAACTTGGTGAATGTGGATGAATTGAGGTCACCTCGTTCTTGTCCCTGCGCTCTTTTGCCTTTTTTGTTCTGTTGTTCCCTTTTTTTACCTCTATAGATTGATCCAGGCCTTGTAATGCAAGTTGAATTCTATGGACTCTCGACAATAATACAAGAAATTTGATCATAAGATCGGTCAATTATATCAAAGAAGATGTGAAACGCTTGCTAAGAGAGTAAGGATACTAGAACGCCGAACTTGGGACTGGAGAACAGGAAAAAGGAAACTACTTGGTCTCATCCTCGATGAGGTCCTGTCCATAGTCGCTGTCCTCGTCATCTACCTTGGTGGTAGATGTAGATGTAGTTGTAGTAGCTGTCTCTGTAGCCGTCTCTGTAGCTGTCTCTGTAACTGTATCTGTGGTTGTAGCTGTGGTTGTAGCTGTGGTTGTAGCTACATCCGTAATGGTGTCAGTGACACTAACTGTCTTCGACACAGTGTCTGACTTTTCTTCAACTGCCTTTGATACTGTGTTTGTCTTCTCGTCCTCCGTGGCTGTCTCTGTAGTGGTAATGGTATCAGTGACAGCAGTGAAGAGTGGCGTCGAGGTGAGACTCCAGTCAATGATACCGTCGTCCCCGTATCTAGTCTGCAGCCAGTCATTGGCCTTTCTGAAATGCCCACAGGTCAACTAGAAGAGTCAGCCGAGCCGTAGAAGCAAGCACGCCCATGGTATACATACGAATCCCTTGTGAGCACTGAGGGGACTTGGATGGACCGACTGCAGGACGCAGTGTCTCTCCTTGTTTACTGCAGACACCCTCTTGGCCGCCGGGCTGCCCCAGGCCAAGAACACAACACCCTTTGTGCGTACACGGGCTACAAGGTCAATGGCCCGCTGGGTGAAACGCTCCCATCCGCGCTGCGAGTGGGAGTTTGCGTTGTGAGCCCTGACGGTGAGACAGGTGTTGAGCAAGAGCACTCCCTGCTGGGCCCAGGGCGTGAGCAGCCCCCCACGGTTGGCAGGTGCCTCGAAGGCCGGGTAGTCATTCTTCAGTGCAATATAGATGTTCTTGAGCGAAGGGGGAGCTGGCGTAGGCGGGCGTACGGAAAAGCAGAGGCCGTGAGCCTGGCCGTGGTTGTGGTACGGGTCCTGGCCAACGATGACAGCCTTGACCGTGTGTAGCGGCGTGTACCTCGACCTGTTGTCCAATCCATGCAGAGTCAGCAGTGAGCACCTGTACGCCCGCATGGAGCAAGTTATTTAACGGGCAGGGACTGACCATGAGTAGATGTCCTGCTCCGGGGGGAAGATGTTGGCTCCGGACTTCTTCTCGTCACGCAGGAACCGCTTCAGGGCCAGGAACTCGCGGGAGAGCAGCTCGTCCGTGAGATGGGCAAGCCAGCTCTCGTCCAGCGTGTCTATCTCGAGCTTCAGCAGCTCCCGCTGCTCGGCTGTCAGGCTGCTCGCCCATTTGGCCTTGTCGAAGGCTGCGGCCTTGGACGCTGAAGCTGAAGCTGTACCTGACGACGAGAAGAACGCCGTGATGGTCGACTTGGGCTTCTTTGCCTCCTTCGACGTGATGCTCGCTGCCCTCTTCATTTCTCTTCTCTTCTTTTCCTTCTATTCTTCTTCTCTTTATCTCTTCTCCTTGTATCTTGTCTTCTTGTCTTCTTTCTATCTCGTCTTCGTCTCAAGCTTCAACTTTCAGCTTCTGCCTGCAAGCTGACTAAGCAACCTAAAAACGAACCAAAAAACCTTCGACTTTTTTGTTTTTTGTTTTTTTTTTTTGCTTCTATCAAAAACTTCGACTTTCAACGGCTTCGGCTTTTTTTTTCTTCTTCTGCTTCTTCGTTGCTTTTGCTGCTTCAGGAGCTTTCTTCTTCTATCTTCCTCTCTTGCGGACGAGGGGCCTCTGCTCATCTTCCCTGTAGTTCCCTTTTTTCCGCGGTCTCGGCTTATCGTCAAAGAGCGAGCCTGCTATCGCCTCCGCTCGCTTACCCCCTACTAGTCGGACGCTGCATATACGACCCCTGGATTAGTTTACAATCGGCGCTGGGGCTCAAATTATGTCACGGCATGCCTTAATTAATCCTACCTGCGGGCTTTGGTTCGAGTCGAAGGAAGGCGAGAAAGAGTAACAAGGGCGAAATATCAACAGCAACCACAATAACAAGTCATCCCGGCGTACAATTCTTCATGCGCCCCTGAGGCCTCCTCCTGCTCGGACAGGCTATCCCATCCCTACGCAAAGTACAGCACAGCACTGCCCAGGACGATGGCCTCTACCATAACCTCCGCGGTGACGACGGCTTCTGCGACTGTGACGGTGTCGTCGCCAACGTCGCCCGCGTCGGAGTCGTCCTCGGCCGCTGAATCAGAGGTCTACCGGCCTACCCACCCCATTGCGCACCTCCAGGGCCCCTTCGAAGAGTCCATCCTCGAGTCCATCCACGGCTTCAACCAGCGCGTCCTCTCCCCGCCGGACGCTGTTACCCGGCGCAAGCAGCTCCTCCAGAACCCCAAGTACCAGCGGTCATGTTCCGGCAAGTGGCAGCAGCGCGCCGGCGAGAGATACCACCCGCTCTGGAAGATCATGGCCCAGGTCTCCTTTGGCATTCACCTGCTGGCCACCGGCTCGGCCAGGTCGGAGCTCGAGTCCGTCCAGATCCTGCGAGTCCACGTCGCGGAGATCGATGGCTTCGTGCGCCGCACCATGGAGGACTACCAGCTCGCCCACGAAGACCTCACCGCGCGGTTCGATCTGCTCGCCGTGCCCCTGGCCAACCTGGACGTGCTCGACTCAATGCTCGGCGACGAGTCCTTCAAGCTCTTCCTCATCGACTGCATCGGCAAGATAAACCATGTCGTCCGCCGCTCGGAGATTGCTCTGCAGGACTCCCTCAAGGATCTCAGAAAGGCCGCAATTGCCGTGCGCACCGTCAAGGACTACCTGAACATCATCCCCCAGCACCAGCACACCTGGTCGCCGTCCTTTGGCGGTGTCTACGCCGACATGTTCCAGCGTGTCGGCCTCTGGCTTACCAGTCTGTCCAACCTCCAGGCCCAGGGCGTTCGCCTAGTCGAGTTCCTCGTCAATCTCTCCTCTTCCATATCCCGGCTGCGACTGAGGATTGGCCTCAACCAAGCTGGCAGTGCGGTTTGTCTACCTAGTTCCTTTTGCACTTCCCTCCCGATTTTATACATACTAACAACTCCTATAGCGTTCTTTTACCCTCACGCCGAACATGTTTCCTCCACCACGGGCCGCTGTCTCCATGGAGAATCTGCATCAGTCCCACCAGCGAACCTCCTACGTCGACAAGCCTCTTCCGGACATACGGCAGAGAAACCGCTCGATCCTCTCTCTCAAGCGCTTTGGCGCGAAGTTACAGCACCGATTCTCCTCCGTCAGCAACCAGCAACAGCACTCCTCCCCGACACCCTCCAGGACAAACTACTCTACTACCACTGGCTCCCCCAGGCCGCACTCTCCCGTCCGAGCTCCCTCTTCTCTAGCTACATTCCCCTCTCCATCTACAATCAGCATACACACCACCACCCCCGACATACCAGAGCTACCAGAACTCGTTGGCTCCCATCCTTTGCAGCATCCCAACATCCCCGAACTAGCGGGATCCCCCCTCATACATTCAAATATCCCCGAACTGCCTGGCTCGCCCCCGATCAAGTCGCAGCTGCTAAAGTCGGTTGAACTCGGCTCATCTCTGGGCGAAATCCCGCGCGACAGCATCGACTCGGGCGCCCGCACCTTTGCATACGAAAATGTCGTCTCTCTCCCTGAATTCGAACGTGGCGCTCCTCTATCTTACATCGAGAAACACTTTCCTGAACTCGCCCTGTCAGACATCCCCATCCACCAATGGCCCACCCAATCCTTCAAACCTCGCCAGCGGCCCCTGACGCCAGCCCAGCTCCCGCGCCGAGAAACTACAGCTAAACTAAAGCCTTTCCTGCGCGGTCTCTTCTCAAAGTCCTCGTGCGTGCAGCCCACAGTCTCCGAGTCAAACTCAATAGATGATTGCTCGGAAAAGTCGCCCGTATCCACTCCCAGCGATCCTTCGCCCATCCAGAGGGCCAAGCACGAACCGCCGAATACCATCTCTATACGCACACTGACCAATAGCGAACCCCGGCTGCCGCTTCCTTCATCAATTTATAATCGAGATACCCTCAACAGCTGCGACACTCCTTCGCGCTCGCCTTCTACCGCTTCCAGAGCTACCGTCCTCACCACGGACGGATAGCCGTTTACAGCCTCAGCCGGCACATGTATATACACAATACACACACGCACACACCCGCCGTTTTATACATATATACACCTCCTTATGTGACACGTTTATATTATACATACTTCTTTTAGCGCCCATACCGCAGGTCCTTACATATGCTTCATATACATTATTTTACCCCTTCCTCATATCTTTGCAGCGTTCTTTTCTTTTTTTCTTCTTCTAGCAAGGGGTGAAACCAGGCATCGTGAGCTGAGCATCTTCAGGAGATAAATACTAATACAATTGATCACCATGTACCAGATGCAAAGTGCAAAGTTTGTTTGTATTCGGTCTCAATCTAGTACGGAGTAATGCATGTAACAAATCGACTAACATATATGCGCTCTATTCTCCCAGCGTCCATTGCAAGGATTTTCCTCGTACTGTGTGCCATTCTCGATTCAAGCCCCTGGTAACGTATGTAACCCCCATCATGCCAATTGCCACCAACTAATCATGCACCGCGACCCAACCATCCCCCCCGCAAATGCAAGAATTACACACGACGGAATATGTAAATATATGCAAACTGTTTCATCTCCTCGACGTCGCCAGCTTCAGCAACAACTTTCTCGTCGTTGAAGAGAATCCACTTCGGTTCCTTCTCCGACGGTACCTGCTTGCGGATAAAAGCAACGTAGTGACTAGGTTTTCGCGTTAGCAAAGTTGGAAAAAAAAATACGGGAGTGTAGGATTATGGCTTTTTCTTACCCTGCATGAACTGACGTGCCCTTGTGGCAGACGATGGATTGCAGGTCGAACAAGGCTGGCTTCTCGCTCGATCCTGGGATGCTGCCTGATGGGCCCGAGCTGCTTGCGGCTGCCGTAGGATTCGGCTCGACAGCTTCGTCGGGATGGCTAAAGACCCAGTCCAATGCTCTCGTCACGTCCCAGTCTGTGGCCCCAAGCGCCTTCTCAGCCCTATCTCGCTCGATACCCATGTCGGCTAGTTGGCTGATCTTCTCGTCTCCGTCGGAAGGTTTCTGGGCACCGGAAGATGAGCCCGCGCCAGCAGCCATGGGCTGGTCGATGTCTGGGTCATCCATGTGAGCGAGTATCCAGTTCAAAGCTGCCTCCTGATCCGAGTTGCCAGTATTGAACAGTCCCTTCTTCACCCTATTCTCGGGGAAGCCCATACCGCATAGCGCAGCAAATGCATCCGAGTTAGGCACGAATTCAGGAGCAGAATTTTCGGGTTCGTCTTCCAGAACCTCTTCATTTTCCTGTTTACCCTTGGAAAGGTACTGCGTCAGGTCTAGTGGCTCGTTGCCAACCACCACTGGGATGTCTAACTTCATGGGCACATAGTTCACGACCTCCCATCGCCGTGCATTGACAACCAAATTCTGCGGGAGTGTCTTGAACAGCGACTGTTTCGAGAATTGTTTGTTACCGCAGCTTGAACAAGTCAATTCAACATTCTCCATTCTTGTGAACAGGTCAATGCAATCTTGAAGAGGGACCGTTTCCCACATCTGATCCGTTCCAGGACCTGGCATGAAATGATTGAGCCGGATTGCCGGAACCTCGACAGAGATGTTGTCCTGCTCGTCGACCTTGTATCGTACCTTTTTGCACGATGTACATTGCAATCGCTGTTCCACGGCGAATCTGAATGATTCAACTGGGTTTGGATTGGCACCAGAGTGTGGGGATACACTGATGATCTTAAATAGATGCAAGAGCAGTTCAAATGCGTCCTGTTGGCGCATAGTTGAGAATTCAGGGTGGCCTCGGCCAATCAAGTGCTTGAACATAGATGGTGAGAGTCCGCGTTGGTAGACAACATCAGAGGCACTACCAGCTGCAGCAGGGTCTGGTACAGAATAACGTCCGGAGAGGAGGCCATCGGCAATTTTTCTTAGTTGAGTCTCAAGGTCCTCCGCTGGAACAGAGGAAGATGGAGGCTCCTCATTGGGTTTGAAATAGCGATCCTTGAATTCAGGCAATGCAAACAAGCATTGCAGGACGCTGGCCATGTAACAGCTGTTTCCGAGGTTTTTAAGCCCAGTAAGCTCCGGCCCAAAGACTGGGTTCAACACCTGCCCATCATTGGATGTCATTGAGAAGTCCCATTTCAGGTTCTGCTCAATCTGGAGCTCGGTTAAGCTTTTCTCAGTTTTCTCTTGCTCTGCAATATTGATTCCCCAGTGGGACAGGTGTTGTGCTAGCTCCGGGTCCGTCCTCTCTTCATTGCAGGTATAGCAGTAGATATCTGCAGAACCCTCGGGAGTAATGGATCGAAGTTTGACCGCCACGCCATGTGATTTCTCATTTGAATGAGCAAGGGCGTGGGAGTTACCGCCCACACCGCCAAACTGTGCTCGTCCACAGCCAACAGTGCCACACTCCAGGCAGAGCCAGAGGTTTTCCTGGAGGTCACACCCGTAGCATTTGGACGGTTCTATAGCAATTGTTAGACACAGCTCGATATAGTAAATAAATATCTCCAGTTCATACCTCTGATTCTGATGCCCTGGTTGGAACCCTGTTGTAGACCTGTGGTATGTTCGCAGGGAACGAGTTCCTGTTCCCATGCCTTGACCTCTTCCTTCCGGGAGAAAGTAGGAGCTTTCATCAGTTTGTCAATAACTTCGGCTGCTTTAGGTGGGCAATCTTCCACTTTGTCAACACCGCATTCAAGGCAAACAACCTTTGTGGCTACGTCGTACTGATCGTCCTCAGAGCTTGCTTCAATAGCAAGCTTCGACATCTTAACCGGTGGCTCGGCACGCTTTGCAAATATCATTAGCTTAACTCTCGCATTACTAGAGTATCATAGTGATATTCCTACCTCCACCTGCTTTCTGGTTCTCTTGATATTCAGTGCCAACGGGTGGCCATGACGGCGGCTGTGTAGAGCGGCATGCTGCCTCTCTCCGGCACAACCTCCATTAAAGCAATGAAGACAGACATTTAGTCCTGTATCATTATCCTAATGGCACTCCCGTCAGTTCAACGCCCATAAAATATCGTGCTATTCGTGGCAGCTTACTATTGAGTCGAAACACAGGGTACAGTCTTCTCGGTAAACAGACTGGTTTACAGTAGGTGGCTTGAGGTCTGGAGTTGAGGCAGCTATTAGCTTCTGAATCTTAATACCCTAAAGTCCGCTAAAGAGGCACTTACCAGCCGAAGGTAAGTGTACGCACGCCATCTCGAATCAACTGCGTGTGATGCTGGTAGTTGGAGGTAGTTGGAAGTGTTGACGTCGAAGGGCGGGCAGCTGCCTAGAGGAAGGTCTGTTTATCATGTTTGACTTAGATAAGATAGGTACGCAACAGCACCCCACGTCTAGCCGCCTTAGTCAGCTTGCTTTTAGCCGCTCGCTGAGCTAATCAAAGTTAAAGCTTCTTTGACTTTTGCCGAGCTTCGGGAAGCAAAAAGCGAGAGAGACAAAAGTGACTTCGAGGAGCCGTTCAAGCTCGATATTATCACTGTGTTGCAAGATGCTCAAGCCAGCTCTACAGAATAGGGGTCTCCCTAGCTGTGGCTCTTTTGTGAAAGTGTTTTTTAGGTCGATCTCCTCGAAACAATGGCAGTCCAGGCAGGGAAAGGATACCTACACCAAGGAAGCTGGCATGCAGGGACTGAAAAGTCGAGCTGCCTTTAAGCTATTACAGGTACGGACACTCCGCTTATAGGCCAATGGTCATATTCTAACGTTTAAACTAGATCAACGATAGATACAGGCTGTTTAAAAGTGGCCAAACAGTGGTTGACCTTGTGAGATTACCCGGATAAGTCAAAGGAACAATGCTCGCGTGCTAATGAATATACAAAAAGGGGTATGCACCAGGTTCTTGGTCACAGGTTTGTCAATCAATTGAGAATCTTCTGTGAATTATTAAACTAACGGATGAGTAGGTTGCCTTCAACCTCACGAAGCCCCGAGGACGAGTCGTCGGTGTCGACATTATCCCCGCCCAACCCCCAAGAGGAGTTTCCACGATTCAGGGAAATTTCCTCTCTCCAAGAGTACAGGAATATGTCAAGGACTTTGTTCGGGATCCAAACCGCGGTCGGCCACGATCGCAGTTACCGACGTCCAGCGAGCAGGAAGAATCCTCACCGTTTACAAAGCCAGATACGGAGACCGATGGGGGCTACATAGATCTGGAAAGGAGCTCTAGCGCCCATATCAATAAAGAGGGAGATGAGGTTGCCCAACCTCCAAATAAAGCCAAAGTAGGGTCGGTTGATGTGGTTCTAAGTGATATGTGAGTTCCCTCGACATTACCCGGAAAGCTAAGAAAAGTTTCCTGGTTAACACCTCAATAGGTTGATGAACACAAGTGGCACCAAGTCCCGCGATCACTTGGGCAGCATGGTACGTATGGGGTATGTCAACTACATATATAACATCCGGTGTTAATAAATTATTGAACAGGAATTATGCAAGGCGGCACTTGATTTTGCTTCCAACGTTTTAAAACAAGGCGGTCACTTCGTGTGCAAATATTATCAGGGGCCCGGGGAAAAGGAGTTTGAAAATGAATTGAAACGGCTATTCTACAGAGTGTATCGTGAGAAGCCTGATTCTTCCCGCAGTGTAGGTCTTTCATATCAACCAGTATTCCCCTGCCTGTTAAGAGTTGCTAATGATTATGCTCAGGAATCCAAAGAAGCCTACTTCATTGGTATACGAAGAAGAAGCGAAAGGCCTCAAGAAGATTAAGGCATCCAAATGAGGCTCAACATTCAGCATAGAGCCATAACACCGACTCTTGAAGTTTTTAAATCTCGACTAATTCGTCATCATCGGCATCGTCCGAGTCAGAAAATCCCATGCCCTCAGCAACTGCATCCGCCAGACGCTGGACCTACGTTGGTTAGCTTTGATGAATATACTTGGAGTAAAAACGGCTTTTTTGGCATACCTCTTTAAGGCCGCTTACTTCCTCGATATATGATTTCTCATTCATGGCTCTCTTAACAAAGTCCCAGCCATCTTGCATGTACAGGTCAATAATCCGACCGGAGCAGGCACTGCAACAAGAATAATCTTTGCCGGTGACAATGACATTGTTGAACCTGGAAAGATACCCCCGGATTTGATGAGGCACTATACCGAGCGGGTGAGGGTTTTCAGTGCTGTCTTCGTCCAACGAGGTAGTTGCTGGAGCGTCAGCGCCTTGTGGGTGCTGAACAATTGAGACAAAGAGCTCTACCAAAAGAGCGGATGCAATTGCGGCAATACCCGGTCGTGTGACAGTGCACTGCTGATCCAAAGTCTGCGCTTTCGTGGACTGTGTAAGTTGAGTGTTAGCATTAATTCTCAACAGGGCAAGCAGCGGATGACAATGAATCTCACATTGCCCGGTGCAACAACATCGTTGCAAAAGTAGCATCCGAGCCCATTTGCTGACCCTGCTGTCGCCAAAGAACCATGACGCATCACTACGAAAGTGTCAAATCCCAGAGCAGCATTTAAAACTATTTTTCCAGCTGCTTTGCCTAGCAACGTTGGAAGCCATCGGGACTCCCGAGTGTCCATCAATAAAAATATGGCATCGTGCTCCTCAACAAGCTTCTTAAGCAACTCAAATTCTGCTTTTGCTTTATCTTCGTCTACCACGGGATGTCCTGCCATTGGCACAGAGAGAACATGTCCAGTCGAGTCAACACCGGGGTATATTTCTTTTAGAGCCTCAGCAGCGCGAAGAGCCTTCTTTGCGCCTCCTCCAAGACAATCGTTGAAGTTGAACAGAGGTTGTCTGACCGGATTCGAGAAAGAAACAGACCCGTTATCGACGAATGTGACCTTGTTCACACCCCAGCCCTGGAACTTAGAGTTAGCGGTTATACTGTCAGTCTTTACAATGCACCCATACGTACGAGCAAGTTTCTTGCAACATAGCTTCCAAGAGTCCCTGCACCTAGCAACAGGCATTTTGTTTTCTTGATGTCATCCAGGTTAAGGTTAGGACTTATCCTCCACTTCATTAACTTGAGGTTCAAATCTACGGATTGGTCGGCCAGTCTGTGTTAAAAGAAGAAGTGAGCGTTGTTCAAACGGATGATGTTCTTGCCAAAAAACGAACCTTTGAGGATCCATGTATTCTTTGAGGTCAACTATTCGGCCCGCGAGCTTTCCTGCTGAATTCCGCTCCCATCCTGTGATCTTGGGCAACATTGATTGGGCATCACTTCCTTCCGTGTTGGTACTTGTTTGAGAGTTGTCGGTCTCCAATGTCATTATCAAAGTCCTTCCTTGATCTCGCCTTGAATGCAGGTCTCGGTATCGCATGATTTGGACTTTATTCAGCTTCCATCTTTTCTGGACAAGAACCAGAAGGTTTCTCAACACCCAGCTTGGCGCATCATCATAGTTGGAAGGGTCGGCAAAACAGACATAACAATCTTCCTCCTTGGAGTTATTGAAGAACCCTTCTTCATACCCAGAAAGTGGTGAGATTTGCCATTCATACGGCCCCTTTAGTGGCTTCTCGTCGGGATTTGTCCATACTTTTTTGGCAAGGAAAAAGCCGTGTTGACGAGCATCAACGCCGTACCGCCATGTCTGTACAGCGTCCACCAAATTCACAGTCTCAGGCCCAGTCAACTGCCGTGATGCATTACTGGAAGGTTTCTGGCCAGTGGAGTCCACCTCTTCCTTATTGATGGAGCTTGCTGCTGGTGCCCATGGCGGACTTGAATGTATGGCTGGGAAAGCAAACCAGTAAGAAAATTTGTATTTCTTGAGATCCGCAAATGAAAGAACTGTGAAAGATGCAAGCAGTGAAGGGCACGAGTATATGGTCCCATCGTTAATAGCTTCCCATATCTTCGGCCGAAGTTTGATCATCAGCAAACCCGACAAGCCGAAAATCAACGAGGACAATAAACGATAAAAGGATGAAAGTCAACACCTACAGTCTTTCCTGCTAGCTGTAATATCGCTGGCTTATCTGCATTTCGGTATTCCTCCATCGTGTTCACATTCTTAATCATACCCTCCGCTCGATAGTAGCCCGCCGGGACACTGATGATGTCATTTGTGAGCTGCGATGTAGATCCTAGCAATATATTGAACCAGACACTTACTCATCTTTGAGCAAAGCATTCCCCAATATTTGCATGCGACAGGACTCTTCAGGGCGGTCAGACGGTTTTATTTCATACAAGCCCAAGACCTTGCGCGCAGAGTCATCGAGTTTGTCATGGTCAACCTTGAGTGAGGCCAGGGACGAATAGAAGGGCAACTCTATGTCGGAGATGAAGGGCGTGTACTGCATCCTGGCTGGAGGTGGAAGCTACAGCAAGGCTATTATAGTAGTGGTACCAACGAACTGTTTGATTCATGCATACGCAACAGCAGCAACAGCCTGTAGCAGAGAGGGAGATGTATTTGGATGTTTATATATTCCCGCTTTGGCGCCAGGCGGGAGACTGCCTTTGGCTGATCTAGATTAGGTAAGCCAGCCAGCGGGGGTAAACACCTGACTTAGTCAGCAGACCTTCTTCCCGCTGTTTTTGGCTGACTCGTGGCCGCTTTTACGCTCTCCTGACCTTTTTCATCGTCGGTCGTTGTTGTTTGCGTATTGGATGTGATATCAACTCGAGTGGTGATGTTGTTTATTTACCCAAAGAGATATACGGATTAGACGGGAGCGTCGTGGCCAGGATAACTGTTAGACGGGGAGATGTCTGAAGAGAATGTGGAGTACTCCGTAGTGCTGCTCTGGTTTCACGAACGCCGTAAACAACGTCTCAGAAGATCATTCACAGCTATCTGCAAATCCACTGCAGGCGCCACCTGTAACAGTCTAACATTGGCTATCTTCATCCAGCTAACCACTGCTATGTGGGAATTACATGTATGGAAATCAGTCGTGCCAACACCCTTCCTATGACATGTGCGTTGGCATGTTTATTGGACTCACTAGCTAGTTAGCTAGCTGGGAAGTTAGGCAGTAAACCATGTACGCCAATGTTCAGAAAAGATATTTAAACATAGTATTCGGTATCATTTCGCCATAGCTCTCCCTATTCTGTTTTCTCTTAGTAGTTCCGTTGTTATTGACCTGGGGTTAATTATTGGGACGACACCCACCCGAAACCTGCATGTTTATGTGTTATTTTTCAAGAGGAAAGTTTAGCTACTTGCCGGGGCGCACACAATTCACCTCACGCACACGAAGCGGTGCGATATCAATCATATTCTTGGAGTTCCTCCTGACTGCGTGTATTATCTATATATAATAAGCCCTTGGGCAGAAACAAGGAGCGTGTCAGGGAGATATGTTGGTTGGCATATGCGGAGGTAGATACATCGGTACATCGGAGTGCCTGAGAACGTCTACTGACAACAGAATATAGGCATATGTGCCGGGAAGAAGTCCGTAGCCAATTTTCTGGTAAAGAATCACGGCTTCCAGCAGATCAGTGTCGCCCCAGGAAGCCATCAGACCATAGTCGAGGAAGAATTTGAACAGCTCTCCCTCACCAGCTCGCCAAACCCATCAGCCCAAACTTTCCAGACCATTGACGAGTTAATCGACTTCGTGACCCCAAGATGGCGGGAACTATGGGTGACCACGGATATACCAGATGATACAGCGTTAGAGCGCCTGCTTTTGCGTCCTTTCTTTTTGCTAATCAGCGTTGATGCTCCGATTACCTTGCGCTGGCGTCGGTTCACTGATAGGTTGGTTTGACGCTTTATATTCCACTACTGTGGGACAAGAAATGGCTGATTACAGGTGAATAGATGCTGGAGAAAACAGCTAGAACCTCCAGACCTGGAAAAGTTCGTTTTGATAAGCGACCATAGCCAGTATGACCCTAAAATCGGGGTTTCATATCTGTTAGACCGCGCCCATGTCCGGCTATTCAATACGTCTTCGTCATTGCATGCGCTGCATGCTGCCTTGGACTCTCTGGATTTGCTTAATGTTCAACGATTACGGCCTGCTTGGGATCAGTATTTTATGCAGTTAGCGTCACTGGCAGCACAGCGAAGCAATTGCATGAAGCGGCGGGTCGGCTGCGTTGTCGTCAAAGACAACAGAGTCATGTCTACAGGATACAACGGGACTCCACGGAACGTGAAGAACTGTAACGAAGGCGGATGTATGTCTTGGTACCACCTTTTCCTTTATCAAACCTTTGAGCTGTACACTGATGATATTAATTCACAGGCCCTCGCTGCAACCTAGGGCAAGCCGGCGGTACGGTTCTCTCAACATGTCTCTGCATCCATGCTGAGGAGAATGCTTTGCTTGAGGCCGGCAGACAAAGAATTGGAGAGGGATCAATTCTTTACTGTGACACGTCGGTCTTCCCTTATACCCCACTGATTCTGCTCTTTCACTAACATCCAGCAGCTGTCCATGTCTGACCTGCAGTGTCAAGATAGCCCAGGTTGGCATCTCAGAAGTTGTATACTCCCAAGGATATCACATGGACAGCGACGTGAGTACCCCGTCTTTTGTGCAACTTAAATTTCTCGGCTGTTTCGGGGTGGTCAGAATGTCTAATAGATGTCTAACTTTGGTGCAGTCGGCAGCCGTATTGAAGGAGGCAGGAGTAAAACTTCGCCAGTTCTCGCCTGTAAGTTGTTTCTCCCGTCTAGACGAGGCCTCCTTACTGACATCTGGGTAGCCATGTAACCGCCTGATCGACCTCAAAGGTCTAGATATAAAGATCCCAAAGTCTGGACACTAGAAGAGGGGGGAAAGAGTTGACCAAACCTCCAGACATGGATTCATGACGGCTGGTGCCCTGATACGTCGCTACTAGCCTGTTATCTCCTTCGTATCCAACACCCCACCAAAGTTTTTCGACCAAGACGGATATCCAGCCAGCCACGAAGCTTAACCAGCATGCAGCTGCCTCTTTTCTTATACTTTGATTTCCATTTCGTTCTGCTTATCCTTGAAGCGAGCATCCAAGGGGGATAAATTACATTATTATATATGGTAATGATTGCATATTTAGAATGAATTGTTCCTTATCTTCGCAGAGAGCGGGGTTAACTAGAACCTAAAGTGCAGAAGCCTTATTTCAACCTTTAAAATAGCTTACTTAGCTGTAGTTGGTGAGCTAAATATTAGTGACTCCTCGCTAATATAACAAAAAAAGTCGGCTTCTGAGTCACGATATATAGGGGCCACATAATTGCTGAGGGAAGAGCTTGTATTCAATTCTTTCTTTTTGTACATTGTGGTAGGCTGTCAAAATGCCTACCGTTCATCTCCTAGACTACGTCGCCGGCAATATTCGGTCGCTTGTCAATGCATTGAATAAGCTTGATTGCCAGGTAGAATGGATAAAGACACCAGAAGATGTCAAGAAAGCTGACGTATGTGTACTGTGCGATTCCAATTCTGCTCCCGGCCTATTGCTAATTTGCGGTGAATGTATAGATCCTGATTTTACCTGGTGTTGGTCATTTCGGCCATTGTATGAGCCAGCTTGCAAGTGGCGGGTTCCTCGAACCTATCAAGGAGCATATCAACTCTGGAAAGCCGTTCATGGGGATATGTGTTGGCCTTCAGGCTTTGTTTGAAACATCCGAAGAAGCTCCCGATGTCAAAGGATTAGGATTGATTCCCATCTCGCTAAAGAAATTTGATTCTTCTAACAAGAGCGTTCCACACATTGGCTGGAATTCAGCCATCTACAGTGAGAACAAAAGTTACTATGGTCTAAACCCTCGCAGCAAATATTACTATGTTCACTCATATGCTGCTCCTGTTGATACCACTGCCATTCAAGCTCACGGATGGAAGATCGCCACAGGCAAGTACCAGGATGAAACTTTTATCGGAGCTTTGGGTAAAGGAAACGTGTTTGCAACCCAGTTTCACCCAGAAAAGAGTGGACAAGCTGGGTTAAAAGTTCTTGATGCATTTTTAAAGGGCAAGGAGTTAGAAGAGTTGCCTGCATCTGATCTTACTTCTGCCCGGGACGGGCTCACGAGGAGAATTATTGCCTGTCTCGATGTCCGGACCAACGATGATGGTGATTTGGTAGTTACAAAGGGTGACCAGTACGATGTAAGGGAAAAGTCTGGAGCCGAGGGGAAAGGACAAGTGAGAAATCTAGGAAAGCCCGTCGACATGGCGAAGAAATATTATCAGGAGGGTGCGGATGAAGTGACATTCCTCAACATCACATCGTACAGAAACTGTCCCCTAGCGGATGTGCCGATGCTGGAAGTTCTACGTCAAACATCAGAGACTGTCTTTGTACCCCTTACAATTGGTGGCGGTATTAGGGACACTACAGACACTGATGGAACCGTTGTCTCTGCACTTGATGTTGCAAAGATGTACTTCAAATCTGGTGCTGACAAAGTTAGCATTGGGTCGGATGCAGTGATTGCCGCAGAAGAATACTACGCCTCTGGAAAGAAGCTAACTGGGAAGACTGCTATTGAAACAATCTCAAACGCCTATGGCAAGCAAGCTGTTGTTATTAGCGTTGACCCTCGGCGTATATATGTGTCGTCCCCAGAGGATACCACTCACCACACTTTCGAGACAAAGTTCCCCAACGAACAAGGGCAGAAATACTGCTGGTTCCAATGTACCATTAAAGGAGGCCGAGAAGGAAGAGACTTTGATGTTAAACAGCTGATTGAAGCAGTCGAAGCGATGGGGGCTGGAGAGATACTGTTGAACTGCATCGATAAAGATGGAACTAACAGTGGATTTGACCTTGAATTGATCAATGATGTCAAAGCGTTTACCACGATTCCTGTGATAGCTTCTAGTGGAGCCGGAAACCCTGGACATTTTGCGGAGGTTTTTGAAAAGACAACTACCGACGCTGCCTTGGGAGCTGGGATGGTAAGAAAATCGATACATCTGGGTATTCTCTTTTTTATCTGGACATTTAAGCTAACATCTTTTTAAATAGTTCCACCGGGGCACTTATACCGTATCGGACGTGAAGAACCATCTCCGCGACGGTGGCTTTTTGATACGGGAGGTAGAGTGAGGTAAAGGAAGCTTCTTGACGTTGTCAATTGAATCAAGACAACGCCTGGTATACATTTTTCATGAGTTACTAGGGTTAATATATCTTCCTCTCCACTAGTTATAAGGTCCCCAAACTATAACTGGATCATCAAATCTATTCAAATCGTACTATTTTAGCTGGTCCTGCGTCAATCATTAATTTGGAAGCTATATGTAAGATGCTTGCTCAATACTAGAGAACTTCTTCCTTTATAGACCCCTTTTTCGTGGTCATGTTAAATTCTATCCATCTTGCGACGTCATTACTACCCTCAACAACGAAACGACCGGGGTTCATGGCATGGCACCCCTCATAAGTGACAGTGAATGGATCTGCCTCCGGATCTGCCATGACGAGAGCGGTAGGGAGAGGATATAAATGGAGTGCAGACGCATAGTCCCAAAGAATTGGGCGTACGGCGGGAGAAAACGGGCTGAGATATCCTTGATCAAGGATTGATTTGACTAGTCGTCGAGCCGCAACTAAACTTGCGTCTACTTCGTCTTGCTGGTCCTCATTTGATTCCATAGGGCTGTCCTCTTCGAGGTCTGTAACCGTGGTAGCCTGGCTAAAGGCTCCGGCATCTCCCTGACCACTAGATGATTTCTTTGCCTTATCATCCTTCAGAATAACTGCATTCCGCCGTAGCCTGCCAGAAATGTCGTCTCTGAATATGACCATTTCGGAAACACTTGGTTCGTCAACAGTCAGCTTCGTAGGATTAGAAGTCCAGACAGCCGATTCATCTATCTGCCGGGAGGAGACGGAATGGTCCTGACTATAAGCTGTTTGAAAGACCCGACGGACTCGAGATCTAAACAGCTCAGGAACTATGGGTCTGGGTACGCATGCGGTAGCTCCAGGAGAGAACGAAGAAGCCCACGGGTCATTTTCTCCGGGAACAAAGACAAAAGTAGATTTTCGCAAGAGATTCGGAAATTGCGTCAACACTGAGGCAAGGCTGTCGAAGAATTCTTTATATTCAATGCTTCCACAATTTCCAGCTCCAATCGCCGCGTCATGGACGAAATTGCCTATTAGAATAAATGCTGGGGGTAGTGCGTCGTCTGAGGCTGCATCATACTGGCCGAGAACCAATGAAAGGGCCTGAAGCGTCTTTGGATTGTCCAAATTCACTTCCCCCATGATAACAACTCGCTGTGCTTCTGATGACTGGCGGGATATGGAACCAGGATGCATAAACTCAGGCTGATTTGAGTCCCCGACAGCACTCATTGGGTCAGCAGAAGAGTCCGTTGGTGGCAAGGTATTCCAGCCACGGCTTTGGTTGTCAACACCCAAAGAAACCTCCCTTCTTTCGCACGGTGGCCCCCCAACCGATACTGCAATGAACTTGCCGCCAATTGCTCCTGCACCGCGGGCCACAGTATCTTCGTCTTCGTCCTCATAGACGCCATCGACAAGAAGGATCATTCCCGGTACAAACCAGGCACCGTTTGCCGGAATCCCTTTGGCATGTTCCATGTCTATGGCCACGGTCCCTGAAGGATCAGAAAGATTATACCCTCCACTTGGTGAAATGGTGAGTAAACCAAGGAGTAAGTGGTTTGTGTGTCCCCTACCCTGTAAGCTTGTAATTGATGTGATCTTATATGGTTGATTCGAGGAGGTAGCTGCATTGGATTCACTGAAGGATGTGGGTAATGTTGAAGTTTGAAACGTTTCGTTCCGTAGTAATCGCTGGTGAACCCGATAATAGCGATCCCTGAACAGACTGACTCTATTGCGGGCAGGAGGAAGCAGGGATGCAGATTCATATGGCGGTTCAAAGTGTTTCTTGTTGGGGTTATATGTTAGGCGTTGTTGTTCAAATGCGTTGACCACTTTGACCCGTTTCCTTGCGCGGTCATTAGAGGCATCCTCTGGAGGCTCAGCAGGCTCTGGGGCATCAGGCCCAGCCTCTCGGGTTTCTGAAACGGAGTTATCAGCTTCCTGAGCGTGGGAATCAATGACACTGTGCTCTCGCTTCTTTTGGGGTATGGGTGCGTCCGTAGATTTTCTTGCGGCCTTTTTATCGTGTTGGACCCGCCCTCCGACCATGTACGTTTCCAATTCAGCCAAAATGGTCTTCAACGACAGCTTTGCGCAATCTTCCACTATCGACCCACCCCCTGACTGCTTCCATAACTTGGCTACTTCATCCAGAACCAGGTCTGCGAGCCCTTCCTGGCGCCATCTTGAGCCGCAGGACTTTCCGATGAAGGTTGCAAGGGCCTGTAGTGTAGTCGAGGTGAAGGCTAGATTGTGTTTCTTTGAAAGTGTCCGGAAAGCAAGTGGTCTAATGGTATTAGGAGGGATAACGACGGGAAGTACGGAGGGCTCATGGACGGTCCTGGGGGCGTTTTGTTCATTGATACCTGAGCTTTAACATGAGCGTTAGCACAATCCAACAACCAGAGTGGAGTGAAACTGAAAGAGTCTTACCGAATAGGTACTGATGCCTGGAGGTTGACCATGAGTGATACACAGAATATACCTTTCTTTTCTGAATATAAATTTAGACCCTCTGCCTCTGCTGTGTTCCTGAAGCGAAGTCAATGGCTTGAAATGTTCAACTGACCAAAAGCTTGACGCGTCGATTTCCACTTAACGCGTCGCCTATTTTTAGCTGACAAGCGCGCGTGAGTCTAAAAGCTTCAACTTCTACTTTTTCTTCCGTAACTACAACACAAAAGATAAGAAGACAACGACGTATGAAAAGAGACAGGACCAGCAGATTAGCTTCAGATTTACAGACTACAGCTACCAGTGGAATTCGGTAACCGCTATTGCGATGGGTGACGAGATCCCGACCAAGCCTGAGACGGGCTATGAAGGCACCACGGCTGAAGTTGAAGCTGCAGCAGGAGCAGGCGCAGGAGCAGGAGCTGACCAGAAGAAGGGCGAGCTAGCTCAACTGGTCAAGCTGGCGACAGCAAACGAAGCAGCTAAAGACTATGGCAAAGCCGTAGACCTCTATTCCCAAGCAGCTGGGCTTCAGGCTGAGATAAACGGCGACATGGCACCTGAGAACGCCGATATCCTGTACTCCTACGGGAAGTGTCTGTACCATGTTGGTGTGAGCAAGAGTGACGTGTTGGGTGCGAAGATGCCCCAGACTGCCACCGAGCCTGCTGGAGGATCGAGCAGTAAGCCTGGAAAGAAGTCGGGGTCTGGGGAGGGGGCGGAGGAGCTATCGTCAAGCATTATCAAGGATGCAATTGCCAAACAGGCCGAGACTGGTGAGTCTGCAGGACCATCAAGCAGTCGAGGCAAGGCTGGAGCAACACCGCTTTTCCAGTTTATCGGGGATGAGAACCTGGAAGCATCTGATGACGACGATGAAGATGAGGATGGAGAGGGTGAAGGTGAAGGTGACGAGGAAGGGAAGGGAGACGGGGAAGAAGAGGAAGACGACGACTTTGCGAATGCGTTTGAGATACTTGACCTGAGCCGTGTGCTGTATGAACGACAGCGGAGTGAGCTAGAGCAGGACAAGGAGAAGAATGAGGAGAAGCTACGGCGGGTCAAGGAACGGCTGGCAGACACATATGACTTGCAGGCAGAGATATCACTAGAAGGAGAGAGGTTCCCGGACGCAGCTACAGATCTCCAGTCATCATTACGGATCAAGGAAGAGCTATATTCAGCGGAAGACCCTATAATTGCAGAGTGCTACTATAAACTGTCACTTGCGATGGAGTTCTCATCGGTGATGAAGAAAGATGGAGAAGGAGAAGAGGGAGAAGAGGAAAAAGGGAAAGCGAGCGAGAGCAGCAGCGAAGAGCCGCAGTATGACGCAGCAGCGCGAGAGCAGGCAGCTGTATACATGGAGAAGGCAATCAAGAGCTGCAAGGGCAGGATTGCAAAGGAGGAAGCCCGGATTGAGAGCATTGGCAGCAATGACGGGGAGGCCGTGGCCAAGATCAAGCGGAATATCGAGGACGTCAGGGACATCGTGCTGGACATGGAGCAGCGGGTAAGTTTATTAAACAACCCCCCCAAAAAAAAGACAGATAAAACAACAACAAACTGCAAGAACCCAAAAATGTGAGGAGTACGATGCTAACTGGCACCAGCTTGTCGATCTCCGCCGCCCACCGGTGGCCATCCCCAATGCGGAACGGACCAAGGAAGAACAGGCCGCCGCTCAGGCCATCAAGCTGGAGGAACTTACGAAGGTGGCTAACGACCTGACGGGCCTGGTGAAGAAGAAGAAGCCAGCAGCACCGGCACCAGCACCGGCGGTGTCGTCCACGGCTGAGCGGCAACCCGAGGGCAAAGGGAAGAGACCACTGGAGTCCGCCGAAGAGGAGATGAACCCCAAGAAAGTAAAAGGCGAGGAGAGCAGCTAAGGTATGCCTCAAACGAAGGTGGGAAAAGGGGGGGGGGGGAAATGCACCAGCCTGTATGTTATGAGGAAATTAATAGAGAGCGACAACCAGCCATAACTATGATAATGAATGTCCAACGCAACCCATCTCTGAGTAGGTCATGACTTGTGTTTCCGTCTCTGCCGGCGCTTTGCAGCCAGCGAGGGCGTCCAGACGCCGGCGAAGAGGTCCTCGCACTCGTCCTCGTCCTGGCTATCAAACTCGACCTCTTCTTTCTTCCCGCTGCCACCAGCAACAGCGGCGGCGGCAGCAGCAGCAACGTGAGAGAAGTCTACCGGCCCGTCTCGCGAGAGACTGACCCGCTTGCTCTCGACGATGAACTTGCCGACCTTGTACTTCTGGCTCTCCTCCTCGGCGGCGAGGTACTTCCAGCCCAGCACGGTGTGGCAGAAGCGACAGGCGATGTCGCTGACCGTGTGCGAGCCGGTGACGAGCTGCCTGGGCACCGCGCGATGGGCGACGGTGTTTGCCAGCACGCTGAGGGCGGGATGCGGCGCCTTGGGGTCGGCAATGAGATACGCCCGTCCATGGCGGCCGGTGAAGCCTTTGCTGATGACCTGCGAGGCGAGGCAGATGCTGGCCGCGCAGTTGGTGCACCGCAGCGTCGACTCTTGCCTGCCTTCATATTAGCCGCTGGCTCGTCATATACATATCTGTATCTAGAAGCAGAAGTAGAAGTAAAGACAGGGGTCCTACTCGTCGCCCTGCAGGTAGCTGGGGAACCTCGCCGCCATCTCTGTGTATCTGTATCTGTATCTGTATCTGATATATCTGATATATCTGCTGTCTGCTGTCTGCTGTGTCTGTATCCGTACGGAGTGAATAACACGCATGAGAAGCCTCGCTACAGGCTGAAGCCCGAAAGCAATAGATTCACATCTGGCCCGTCCCTGAGCCACTCGCAGCACCGCCTTTTGCGGCCTCCAAGGAATAAGTAAACATGCCTAGCAGGTAACTCCCGACCATCCATGCACTGTCCTACGGCGTACGATGCAATAGAGAGTAACAGTTAACTAAGCAACTAAGCAGCCGCTGAGCGAGCGTAAAGAACAGCCTGTCCTCAAGCTAAAAGCAGCGAGTCGCCCGCCCCCAGCCCGCCGGCTGCAAGTATATAAGTAGATGTTGGAGCATCCTCGCCATCCTCGCCTTCCTCCCTCTCTCGTCTTCTTCGAGTCGCCTTCATCTTCATCTCCCCGACCTTCTTGACTCTTCCAGCTGAAGCACAGCGTCAATTGATATACAGAACAGCATGCCGGGCGTCCGCAGCCTCCTCCTCGCCCTCGCCGGCGCCTCGCTCGCTCCAGCCGTGCTCGCCGCAGACGCCTCGACCGACAAGTCGGACGTCCACGCCCTCAAGGCAGACACCTTCAAGGACTTCATCAAGACCCATGAGCTCGTCCTCGCTGAGTTCTACGCTCCATGGTGCGGCCACTGCAAGGCCCTCGCTCCCGAGTACGAGGTTGCGGCCACCGAGCTCAAGAGCAAGGACATCGCCCTCGTCAAGGTCGACTGCACCGAGGAGGCCGATCTCTGCCAGGAATATGGTGTCGAGGGATACCCTACGCTCAAGGTCTTCCGTGGCCTTGACTCGGTCAAGCCCTATAGCGGTGCCCGCAAGTCCCCTGCGTGAGTACCTAGTCTCGATAGATCTAGATGTTGGATCTATATCTAGATGCATACATACGCACATGCAAAGATATGGGCATTGGCTGACAGGCATTGATAGCATCACCTCGTACATGATCAAGCAGAGCCTTCCATCAGTCTCGGTGGTAACGGCAGACAACTTCGAGGAGGTCAAGTCCCTGGACAAGGTTGTCGTCATGGCCTTCATTAGCGAGGATGACAAGGAGACCAACGCTACCTTCACCTCCCTCGCTGACGCCATGCGAGACGATGTCCTCTTCGCCGGCACCAGCAGCGCTGAACTGGCCAAGAAGGAAGGTGTCTCGCTCCCTGCCATCGTCCTCTACAAGGAATTCGATGAACGCAAGGACATCTACGATGGCAAGCTCGAGTCTGACGCCATCAAGGCTTTCATCAAGTCCGCTAGCACACCCCTCGTTGGCGAGGTTGGCCCAGAGACCTACTCCGGATACATGTCGGTAAGTTCTCATCACGTCCCTCTGCTGCCAATTGCCAGATTGCTAACCACGAACAAATCAATAATAACAGGCTGGCATCCCTCTTGCATACATCTTCGCAGACACCGCTGAGGAGCGTGAGAAGTACAACACTGAGTTCAAGGACCTCGCCAAAAAGCTAAAGGGCAAGATCAACTTCGCTACCATTGACTCCAAGGCCTTTGGTGCTCACGCTGCCAACCTCAACCTCGTCCCTGAGAAGTTCCCTGCCTTTGCCATCCAGGACACCGTTTCCAACAAGAAGTACCCCTTCGACCAGGAGAAGAAGCTCACCAAGGAGGATATCACCAAGTTCGTTGAGGGCGTCATCTCCGGCGAGATCGCTCCTAGCGTCAAGTCCGAGCCCATCCCAGAGTCCAACGACGGCCCCGTCTCCGTCATCGTCGCCCACACCTACGAGGAGATCGTCATGAACAAGGATAAGGATGTCCTCGTTGAGTTCTACGCTCCATGGTGCGGACACTGCAAGGCGTAAGTTCACCCACATCCCCCTATACTTAGTCTCAATTGACTAACAAAATGTACAGTCTCGCTCCCAAGTACGACCAGCTCGGTGGCCTGTACAAGGACAACAAGGACTTCGACTCCAAGGTTACCATTGCCAAGGTCGATGCCACCGCCAACGACATCCCAGATGAGATCCAGGGCTTCCCTACCATCAAGCTCTTCCCAGCCGGTGCCAAGGACAAGCCAATCGAGTACACTGGCTCCCGTACCATCGAGGACCTTGCCAACTTCGTCCGTGACAACGGAAAGCACAAGGTTGACGCCTACGATGAGAAGAAGATCGAGAAGGACGGCAGCGACGTCACCGGCAAGCCAAAGGATGCCGAAGCCACCGCTAAGCCAGAGGAGACTGCCGAGACCAAGGAGGAGGCCTCCAAGGAGCACGAAGAGTTGTAATTCTTTTTCTTCCCTCCTTCGCCAGCATGCTTTGAAAAATTCTAATGTAAACTTATGAATCTTACGTTTACTCCCTCCCCGCCGGGTTGGTTTCCATCTACCCATTGCAACCAGCTCACAATGGACGTCCTTTTTTTCTTCTGAACTTGCCTCTTACCTGTCCGTCAACGGCTTGCTTTGCTTTATGATGTTTTTTTCTTTTCTCTCTTGGTTCATGAGAATGGGGGGACAAAGGGGAAAGGATAGGGAAATATTAAGAGTTCGAGAAAAGGACAGATAGCTTTTCTTTTACCTCTTTTGCGTGCGGTTTGCCTAGCAGAATACCTCTCTAGTTAATGATATATAACTATTTGTTTCGTGGTATTGGTAACAAGACGGTCATATTGAAAATATACCGGTAGCTCGCACTACATTGTCTAAAAAAGTAGAACCAATCGTGTCAAGATATATTATTGCTATTTATTTTATTTTATACATTCAAATCAAATCAGTCAATGGTGATTATGCTGCCGTTGTTGGCTTGCTTGCTGCTGTCTGATTCGCTATTCGGGGCGGCTGCTCCTGCAGTGCTCATCGCTGCTACTGCAGGCTGGCTGGTGCCGTCGCTGTTGTTACTCAACGCTGCAGGGATGGAACTGTTCTGGCTCCCTTCCTCCCGCTTAGTCTTGTCCACCATTATCGCTCTGCCGGCGCCATTCGCTTCCGGCTGCGTACGTTGTTGTGCAACATGTGTCTTGATAATGTTGTCGAGTACCATGACCAGGTTAACTGGCTTGTCTGCTTCCGCCATGGTTCCATCCCCGAGCCCACGCCAGCCATCCCCGTTGACCTTGAGTATTTTATTCGTCAGCTCGCTTTCTAGTGCTACCTGGCTCATGCGGACGCTAGGCATCGTGCCGTTCCGGAGAAGCCAGTAAGTGCTCTGTCGGCGTTGTTTCATTGTCAGGTGGAATCGGTATTGGAGGAACGGGTATGAGATATGGTACACTTTCGCAGACCGGGCCGCTATCCTGACTACAGCGCGGGACCGATCGCTTGATTCAGCAAGAATCGTCTCAACCGCCTCCAGGAGAGGTAGCGTGAGGGTAAGAAATTCCAACGTGAAGCCCAGGCCAGCTGAAGGGTCGTTGAGTATGGCTGTTAACGATTCCATGATGCGTCGATGCGGGTTTTTACCATGGAGATTCAGTGACATCCGAAGCCGAGCTAAAGGTTTACCATCATCTTTGGCCGTAGGTTGCGGGCTGCCAGATAAAAGTAAAGGCGTAGGCGTGTCGATGTACTGGAAGGATATGGAGGCCCGTAGGTCACCGTTGGAGGAAGGGTATGTAAAACTGATTTTTGAGGACGATATCGAAGTAACTACGAACTTCTTGCGGTATATGTACTCCAGGGCCAGAACGGTGTTGGTGAGCTGTTGCAGCCAGGAGAAGACCTGTGTAATAATAGGCACACCAGTGCGTGTAAGAAAGCGAATTGAAAATTTCCGAGATCGAGGCTTGAAGGTGATGTTTGAATCGGAAGCTAATCTGGCCATTCTAAGGTGTGAAACGGGAACTGCAAAGCATCCGGTAGCCACCACTATTGCTTCACGGGTTCGGTGATTGATTCCTTCGTACGCAAGGTAAACAGTGTCCCTGATGATAGTCTTGCCTCTGCTGGATAAGGGTGAGGTCACTCTCAGCTGGCCTGGAAGATCAGATGCTTGGAAGCGCACGCTGGTCTCTGGGACCTCGTTGTCAGCTCCCAACACTAGATTCTCAATCTTCGGGGAATGTTGAAGTTTTAGTGTGTCGAGGCAGTCTGCGTTTGAATGAGCCACAACCATACCCGATATGGCGTTGGCAAGTTTCGCAAAAGAACGATAACGATGTTTGTTGGACGCATATCCGCACTGCCCTGTAACGGCATGGGCTTGCTGTAACTGTATGAGGCGGCCATCACCAGGAGACCGGATCTGGGGTTCGGCTCTATTCTGCAATCGGATTACCCACCAGTCGTCCCTCTCTATGCTGCTTGTAAAGCCAACAAGCCAATTAGGGTCCCAGTCTTTGTGTTGGAAAAGAGAGATGTTTCGAATCTCATTAACAGGAAGTACTTTGCGCAGTGATTGCATATCGACATTTGCAGGGGCGATCAGCTTCCAGCCAAACACACGTCCATGGCCTTCGGCTTCCTCCATAGCGACCAGACACCTGAGACGGCAGATTCGTTCGTATGTTCCCACTGATAATCCTTTGCTGGAATCAGGTTCAACATCATGTCGGTTCAATGATAGTGGGACTGTCTGTAGAGCAACTATTCCACCTATGGGCTCGATAGCTAGCCTCAAAGTTTTCCTGCGGGTGAGGTGGACATCTAGATAACAGTTTCCAGGTTCCGTTGCAGATGTGTTTAGCCCCAGGAAGAGTGCTCCCTGGCCATATAATTTCGAAGCAGCAAGGTTGGTGTAGACTTCGAAGAAAATGTCGTGGATATGTTTTGATATAGTCCTTCGCAATATAGATTCAACTGATATTATGTTGCCATCGAGTTGTTTGCTTGTAACGGAAACCTCTTTGTTATCTCGGATCCAGCGAACATATAAACGGGGTATATCTGGTTGGTTTGCCCGGTTTCGGCGTTGTGGCTTATTTCGCCTGGTTCCGATTTCAATCCAGCTTTTTGGCCCAGGTCGATTGGTCCAGTACTGGATAACAAGAGTGCGATGGAGCAACTCTATTCGTAGATTGTTACCCCAGTGGGATCGGGCTAATTCAATGGCCTGTCTAAAATATGTCATGATCTTTTGGCTCAGAACAAGGTTGTGCAGGAGGTCGCAGCAGCCAACGATCCCCGACTTCATGAGAGCTGTATTGATAGTTCGCTCTAGACTGTCACGAACCGGACCCTTAGAAAGGGCAGATGACGGTGAGAATATGAACCGGAGATCAACAAAGAAGAACTGAGAGTTTCGCGTTTCCTGGGCTATTGACAGATCTAGCTCGATTTCATTTGGAATTGTGAATGTGACCCTTCCATCATGAATATGGTATGTAGCGTAATCCGGAATAGAATCATGGGTGATGAGTCGGATGCTTATTAATTTATTGATTTTTCGAAGTGTTTTCAGGGTATCTTTGGGTGACAATTTTCCTGGAGGCAAAAAGGGGAGCTACGTTGAAATGGTCAATAACGAGTCCAATCAATGCACATATACATAAGGAGAAACAAAACTTACTGCTGGAAGGGCAGAGACAGCTCCGGTCGAAAGCGCTTCTAATGCAGTTTCTAAGTCTGGGTTTCCCATCTGCGCCTTGAAGAGATCTCGCTTTATATTTCCTGCAAGGAAGAGTGTATAGTTGTATAAATCATAACGTTGGCGGATAAAAAACTGCAAATCGATCAATCTGCCAACATCAACTGCTTGCCTGCCCCATTGGGAGAGAACGAGTAGTTTGATGAACTCGGCTCGCTTTGCCTGAGCAAATTCAAGTATCTGACTCTTTTTGGCGTTAGAGGCGTTGGACGCGCTACTCCCGCCTTGCGCGTTGGGATGGGCATCTCCGAGCTCGCTGAGAAGCTGGAGTAGATCGTTCCAACACTGAACAACCACCCTGTTGATACCCTTGGCAAGTGGGAAGAACCCTTGAGTGATATGGGCTATTTCCGGAGGGGGGAGTTCTGGAGCCGCAATTAAATCGGATGATTGAGGTTTTATGCCGTTCGCTCGGCCATTTGCATGGGAGTTGTTATCCGTATGGTGAAAGGTGCCGTTATCTGAAGCCGCGTTATCTCCGTTCACCGTCCCTGCGGTGCGCCATCCTCCATGGGCGCTTGGGTCATCCATGACGATGCCAGGCATTTCCCAGAGCTAACCCCCTCGCCTGCTCCCCCGGAACAAGGATATATCGAGTTATCTCAGGGCGTCTCAATCACAGGTAGGCCATTCGTGATGAAGATTTGAAAGGTATGGGGAATCCAGCCACAAGTCTCGCAGAGAAGGCGGCGCAACAAGTACCATTAAATCGCAGGGTAAAGAGAGCACAGCCGGGCTACCAGACACCGCAACCGGGTTAGTAAAGTATTTCAAAGAGCATGCGAAATGAAGCAAACCGAAAGGGGATAGGAAAAACGATCAAACTCACCTCTCGTCAACCGCATCTCAGCCACCACTCTTGGGCGGACTGCACGCCGAAAACGTACACAACCTCAAGTGAGGCTATTGGGCTATCAGTTCGGCGCGCCTCGAGATGCAGGCAGCGCTTTGTAGGCGTGAATTGTGTCTCTATCGCCAGGCGAAGAAACGAAGCAAAAAAAAAAGGCGACGAGAAACCGACGGCGCATCGAAAAGTCACAACATGGAAGACGTCATGTTATGTAAGCAGCGGCTGGCCCCAAAATCCGGTCACGTGCCACAGTGACCTCTTTTTTTTTCTTTCTTTTCTTTCTTGTCAACTTCAACTTCGACTTCAACTTCCAACAACGACAACGACAGCAACAGCGAGAGCGACAACTTTGTCCCTTCTTCTTCTTGTTTTCTTTTACAATCACCAACCTCGTCTTTCTCCTCGAGTAGTTAGCGGAGAGGGTATTTTGGGTTGAGTTTCTCTATATTGTTTCTCTTTGTTAAGGTACCTGACATACGCCAAGTTATATCACCATCGCCTTCTCTTATCTTCTTTCGATGGGATGCTAACCGACCCTTTTCTTGTGACAGTGTAATAGCTATATACCATAGTTCCTTTGCGCCCTTGACCCGTGTGAGACTGTTGACCCACGCCTGTGCGGCCCTTCTCGCGCTGTGGTGTCCCCTTTTCTCCCCTCTTCCTGTTACGGGCTATTTCGCTATCGTTCTCAGCCCTTCGCTGAGCGGCCGTTTGGGTGCCTCTTGTTTCTATATGTGATATTTTCATCTTGTAACCCACTTGGGTGTTAGCAGGTCTGAAAGAAATATCAGAGAAAAGAAGAAAAGAAAGAAAGACAACCCAGTTTGATCCTTGAACAAAATCTGTTCCCTCGCCACTCGGTTTTTCCTTCTCGTTTCCTGGGAGAGCGACTTAAGCTAGGACGGCAGCGTCTGCTGTTTTCTTTCCAGCCCTCTGCCGTTTTGGTCCTTTCCCTCCGCCTAATAGCTCTCTTTCTTTTAACGATCCAAGCATAAGTCGCCGTAACTTGGCCATTACTCTCTCTTTCTCCCTCTTTTTCAAACTATCTCTCCTACCACCGTCTTCCTTTTTCACCGCCTTACATCTCCCATTTGTACTCCGTTAATCACTGATTCTGTTTTGTTTCATTCGCTCCCTCAACCGTCTCTCACACTCATAACATTCTCTATCAAGTGTCTGGCTCTTGGTCAAAAGTAGGTGACTGTTTTGACAAGGGTTCTTTCAGCTGTTTGTTTTACACATCGAGCTTGCCTCCTATCTCAAAATCTAGACATTGTTCATCTTTTTTCTTTTCCGCAGCCTTCGCTCCAAGCCATCATGGCTTCTTCTGTCCATTTCAAGTTCAAGTCTCAGAAAGAACCCTCGAGAGTGACGTTCGATGGAACTGGTATATCAGTCTTCGAGTTGAAGAGGGAAATTATCACTCAAAATCGATTGGGAGATGGCTCTGAATTTGAGCTGTCCATCTATAACGAGGATACGAATGAAGGTAAGTTGTTTGCTTGTAATTTGAACCTCCTTCATCACCTATATACTAACGTTCGTAGAATACGATGATGATACGGCTATTATTCCCCGCTCAACCTCTGTCATTGCTCGCCGTTTTCCTGCGACACGCCCTGGCAAAGGAGGTGCTGCGAGATACATGTCAGGGAAGGCACCTGTCACATCACGGAATGTGCAACACGATGCAGAACCATCCATTCGACAGGACACCGGCGATAGTGGTATCGAAATTAGTAGTATACAGTCTGAAGATGAGAAACTTAAAGCATTGTTTCGGCTACAGGAGACTCAGTGGAAGGAACAACAACAAGACATGACAAAGTGAGTCCGTAACCTAAGCAATACTACCTCTATGTGTCTTTGCTAACTGATAACAAAACAGTATGACTCCCGTTATGGGTCGAGGTCGCGGAAAACCCGTCACTGTCCCGGATCATCCACCTCCACCAGGGTATCTCTGTTACCGATGTGGAGAAAAAGGTAAGCTTGGCCAGCCTAACCGATATGGTGTAGAATAGTTCTAACATTTGAAATAGGGCATTGGATCCAGGCATGTCCAACAAATAATGACCCCCGATTTGATGGCCGATATCGTGTTAAGCGGTCCACAGGCATTCCTCGTTCATTTCAAAAACAAGTGGAAAAACCAGACTCGCCCGCTTTAGATGGCTCGGATGACAACTCGAAACTTACGGGGGTTATGGTGAATGCTGATGGGGATTTTGTTATTGCTCAGCCAGATAAAGCTTCGTGGGAGTTATATCAGGAGAAGGCAACTGCATCCAAAGCAGCTGAGGCCGAAGCAGCTAATGCGGAGCGAAACAAGCAATTACAAGACAGGGGACTTTTATGCCCCCTTGACAAAAGAATGTTGTTAGCGCCTACAAAGACACCGTGCTGCGAAAAGACATATTGTAGTGATTGTATCACTAATGCCCTAATTGAGAGCGATTTTGTCTGCCCCAACTGTTCGGCTGACGGTGTTTTGCTTGACAATCTATCTGTTGATGAAGATGCTATTAAAAGGCTGGCCGAATTCGAGACCAAAAAATCACAGAAGATGGAAGGAACCGAGACAAACGTGTCCGAAAAGGTAGACTCGGAGAAGGCTAGTAACAAGGAACAGCCGCAGCAAGAAACGACGACCTCAAAGAAGCGACCAGCAACTGAAAATGGAGCCCCCCAAGATAACGACCAGCTTCAGGCACCGGCTATGAAGAAACAAAAATCCCGGGATAGCACTGGAGATACACAGGACAACAATAAGCAGACCAATTTACAAAGCAATATTCCCCAGAGCAACACCGAGAGCAACACCCAGAGCAACATGCAGAATAATAACTCTCAAAACAATGTTCAAGGCACTGCAACCCAGAATAACGTCCCCCAGCCGGCTCCTATGATGAATCCATTCCCACAGATGCCACCACAGCCAATGATGGGTGCCTATGGACAGATAAACCCCTTTGCCGGGCAGGATATGATGTCTATGACGGGTTATTACAACGGCGGAAATAATTGGAGCCAGGGATCAGATCCATATATGATGGCCGGAGGGCCTTTCATGGGTGGCCCAAACCCCCAGATGGGCCAAATGGGATATGGAATGCCCAATCCAGGAATGAATTTCAATAATTTTAACCCCCAGATGATGAATCAAATGAATCAAATGCAACAGCCTTTTCAGCAACAGTACGGAATGACTCCATTTTCAAACCAACAGCGAACCCATATCAGTGAACCACTTGCGAATGAAGAAGATTCTCCTTATTTCAGGCAGCCTGTGAACCCCCACCGCCACCATGGACGACAGAAGAGAACCCGCCCTAGCGATTACCGGGAGCTGTAGGCAGGAGTATTTGGTTCTCCTAGGTCTAAAGATGCGGCGTTGTTGCATTCTTTTGCCTATGTCCTTTTGACTCTTAATACCTCAGAAGAGAATGAAGAAAAGAAACCTGTATCATAGCAATAGGGCTTCATGATGTATATACAATGTCTAATTAAAAAATCTTTTAAATTCAATACCATCTTTAATACATACTTTCATCAATTGAACGAGCTTCGTGTGTTGTAGAAAGCTGAAGTTGAAGTAGAATTTGGGACTAGGCCTAACTTGGCTTAGCGCTCTTGTCGCCGCATCAAGAGATTTATTGAAAAGAGTTAACCAAAACAAATGCAAAAAAATATCTTTGAAGGCTCAATTTAACATCAATTTCCTTACTCTCCTTCCTCTTTTCCGCGTTAATGAGAGGCTCATTGCTACGGTCACTCTTTTTGCCGCTGCAATGTTTTCTGCTCAGGGAGGTGTTTCCGTGACCGCAGCGTCCGCTCGACCCCGGCGACGACAGAGACCTAGATCAGAAGACGGCTTCCAACCTCCACGAGCAAAGAGACAACGGTCAGCGAAGCATGCTGAAGCTAGCGGAGATACAGAGCTCGACACGGCAGCATATGAACAAGTGCATTGTTTAGCAGGAGACGGAGACCTTGAAGGTGGCCCTTCGTTCGCTGGCGGCGACACGTCTATCGACCTCCCTGTGCGCGGTCGTAAGGAGTCAGATCGACATACCTATGATTCTCATTCAACTCTTATAGTAAGCTTACCCAGCTCATTATATTTACTATCGGTGACGCGTAATATAGCTAACTGGTAGCTTTAGCTGGATAATGGCCTCTACAGTGCTACTCGAGTTTCCGCCTTGCCAGTGCCTCTCCAGGGGTCTTCAGGTACGCTATCCTTATATCTCAGGTTTACCGCGTATTAACTGCCGAAATAACAACTCTAGCCCCATTTCGATGCGTTATATCACCAGAACATGCAAACTCCCTCATTCTCACTCACAACCAGGCCTATGTTTGGGCCTATTCGTCCGGTTCCTCCTCCATCAGTCCAAGTGATTTCTCTACATTTAACATACCTGAACCATCCCCGAGACACATCGACCCTTTGCCACTTGGCGCATTCACGTCAAGCTCTTCGACAAGCGATGCGGGCATGTTAGTAGTGATACCAGCTACGGGGAAGATTACATTCTGGCAAACTATTTCGAATAACGTTATCATCGGCCTGATAAAACAGAAGTGCAACACAGTTCATGGCTCAATACCTGGAATGATGTCTGGAGAATTTGTTACAGGCCTACTTAATGCGGAGCCATCTGGTTTCATCATCACTCTTTCTACTGGTCGCGTAGCCCACTTAACTATTATGGATGCGCATGGCAAAGCAGGCCTGAGCATAAGATTCCTTGACTTGGCTAATCGTGCCACAGCGGCGGGATATTTGGAGGGCTAATGAATGTATGAGCGTGCATCTGAGGAGATATGCGCTGCAAAGGGCGGTCGATCACACAGCGTGGCCAGCGTGAGGTCGTCATTGCGACTAGCTCAGGATTGATTGAAATCTGGGATATACACTGGAACAACGGCAGTGGCTTGAAGATACGCATGGATGCAATGCCCGAGTTAAACAGGGCGCTCAAAGGCACGGGCCTGTTCTCTGAAGACGGTTCTCTTACATCAGTGCAAGTCCTGGACTTTGCAATCAAAGACAGCGGCAAAGGTTCAAACGATGCGGAACATGACCTCTCGCTCTGGGTCTTATTCTCCGTCACTGGAGAGAGCACTTCATACTTCATTGTTGACTTGGCCTTTCCAGATAACCGTCCGGAAGCTGATCAGATCTTCAAAATTGATTATCAGGGCCCGCTACAAGACTCTGTCGACTATACCCCAAAGATTTATGTCCCCCGTCCCGGTAAAAGTGCCTTTATTGTTTTCAAAAACGCAACTGCCCTCGTGTCACTAGTACCAACGGAAAACTCTACAGAAGACGGTACACCTGAGTTCCAGGACCTTGTTCGATTTCGGGATCGAGATAACTTTGTGGTTATTGGATCGACTCTAGATAATGGTGGTGACGAACATCGTCAAGCCTGTTGTGTACTGGTTATCCAAAACTACGGACTTGTCCATCTGTCCAGCTTGCATTTGAAGCCTGAAGGGATACAAGATGCACAGCTGACGACTAAGCTGCGCCTTGAACAGATTGTCTTCTTTGAAAATGCCAAAGATAACCCCATTAACTTCCACCATTACAAGGAATTATCCTCGAAACCCCGCCTTGAAGAAGCAATTTTGAATATAACTGACGAAATCCTTCGTTCGAGCTCGAGGTACATTTCCTCCATAGCGGCATCTTTAGAACATCAAATGACACTGAGATCCAATGCTCTACAAGCTCTTGCAAAGTATATCAAGGACAAACATGTTGAACTCAGCTATTCGATCCGATGGCAGCTCCTCTGGGACGCAGAAAAAATGGCAGCGAGTAAAGCGATCTGGGCTCTTTATAATGACCTCAAGAAAAGATATCCTGAAAAGGATTTGTACCTTGGACATTTGATCGAGACCATGGGAGAACAGTTTAGGAGCCCCATTAGGGACGGAGACGGGCCGGAGGACCCAATCAGGCACTGGTTCATCTATGATACTTGGCAGATGGAACATATCATTCCATGGATAATGAATGGCATTCGAGTCGCCTATAACAAGCCACAGAGTGTGACGCGGGACTTTATCGACAAGCTGTGGCAGGCAAGCGAGATCTCACTCGCTGCATTAGAAACCGCGTTCACCTTCCGTCGAGAAAATGCACACTTGTATGGAATCGATGATGCTTCATTATCTTTGAGAAACCCACAGTGCGCTGAGCTTCCCGAATTCTGGACCTCACTGGACGTTAATTACGACGAGACAGAAAATCTGCTAGACACGGAACTAAATTCATGCATTCAGTGGATGCGACAACTGTCCCAGAGCAGCAAAACAGACCCCGACGACAGCCCGGCCAAGGCTCTCGAGAGAAATCTTTCCCGTCAATTTGCAGTCGTCTCACAAATCTACAAGGAGCGACGACAACTATGCGCGGTGAGCGAAGACCGTCAGATTCAGAATGAGGGTAGGATGCTCGAGAAGGCGCATCGCGAAAGAAGGAAGTTCCAGTTTTACAAGATGGCGGCAATCGGGCATTTAGAAGAGGCTGTGACATTAGCTGAGAATTTTCATGACATGACGGCACTTGTAGAGCTTATGGCCGAGGTGCATGATAAGATTGAGCAAAAACACCCACAGAAAGCAGGGGATCGAGCAGTACCTGGCCCGCGCGAGGAAGCAGTGAACCAATGGCGGTCTAGGATTGACAGCTACTTCACTAGGTACGGCGAGCCATGGGCAGATGCGTTTTTCACGAAGCAGATTACCGCTGGACAGCCGGCCATGCTGCTGATTATGCGAGAATACAAGGATGACGTAACTCGATTCCTACGCAAGAGGCCTGGTTACGGAAAGCTGTCGTGGATGAACGAAGTGCTGGGTGAGCGCAATTACGACAACGCAGCGAAGATCCTTACGGAGCTCGCGACCCAGCATGAAACCAATCTATGGAGCAAGCGGGTGGAGCTTGCACTGGCGAAACTGTCTACCCTGGCAGCACGAGAGACCCAGACAGGGATGCAGGTGAACCTGAGCTGCTTTGAGGACGAGACAGACTTGGCAATAATCCAGGAGTCTGTGTACGACAGCCTGCCGCATCTGAACGAAGCCATTGATGAAAGCGCGCGACTGCAGATAGCGAATGACCAGTTTGCAAACGTTATCGTGCGGTCGAAGCCTGCGCTGCGCGAGACCCTTCAGCGTGGCCTAGCGAAGCTAGTAACCCGCTGCCCGGTGCAGGGAGACGAGCTGGCGGACCTTTTGACGCTGATGGACCCGATTCCGGCGATCGAACCCGCGGAGGAGAATGAGGTAGCCGGCCACGAATTCAGCCTTGCTCTGCGTGCCCTGAACCTCAGCGGCTCGGTCAAGGAAGACAGTGCGTACCGCGAGAACCTAGAGAAGATTGTCTGGCGCCGCTGTATGATCCGGGACGACTGGGAACGCATCAGCGCGACGGCCGGCAAGACAGACGATGAGGTAGAGGCTGAGATCCGTTCTACCGCACTTTTCAAAACGATAATGGACTATACAAACGGTGAGTAGCTCTTTATATTTCTGCTAGTCTCATGCATCAGCTAGCTAACGTATGATCTTGCGTCACAGGGCTTGGTTTAGATAGCGAGTCGAACCACCTTCACCGACCCACCGACATCCTTGACAGAGTGGATGTTCCTCATAAGCTGGTCGCCCGGCTGCTTCCCGAGCAACGCGGCCACCTATCGACAGAGCTCGACGGGGAGAACAGCCTGTTGAAGCATTACATAGAGAAGGGCAAGCTTGAGCACTGGTTCTCATGGATCATCGAGCACGGCGTCCCAGGGGTGGTGGACTAAGCCTCTTAGTCCGCTCTTCTTTGGTTCTTCTCCTTCTTCCTCTTCCTCTCCTTCTATTTCTCCTCCAACATCATCTTCCTTTCCTCTTCATACTCCATAATGTACTCCTACCAGCGTGTCTCTTTGATGTATCTACCTCTTCATGCCGTCATGCAATCCACAGTGTTATTCGGCCCCTTTTCTTCCATCGGCTTCGCTGTGCTTACATAAGTCAAATATGACGCCACCAAATCCGGGGTAAAAGTGGGTCTCCCTGTGTTAGCTAATCAATCCGGCAGGCGGTCACGAGCCTTATTTGGGCGATGCAGCGGAAGTATAAAAGGGACGCAGCAGAGACGCTCGAAAGGGCGAGGGACCTCGACATCATCTCTTCCTCTTCCTCTTCTTCCTCTCAACAACTACTCCTGCTATAACTACTACTTCTAAATCTACAACAGGCCACTACCACCACCACTCTCTTACTCCTAACACCACCACTGCCACACTACCAGGACAACAGACAGCAATTCATCAGTGAGTAGCATGGTCATGGCCCATTGTACCTAGCTAACCGGACATCCAGTGACCCGCTCCCACAAGATGAACGACAGGGACCACTCTGCCGCCCACGACGACCCAGCCAGCTTCCAGGAGCATCTCCCTCGCTACTTTGCAAAGTCAGGACACATCGACGCTGACCCCAAGAAGACGAAGAAGGACGGTGGCGGCAAAGGCAACTGGTAAGCTGTCTTCTTCCCCCTTCTCCTCTGCGTCGTCACCCCCTCACCCCTTAAAACTCAAAGTCAGCCCAGGTTGAGGACGGGACCCCAAGACATATGCCATATCGTACGATTGATGCTTACTCGTCTCTCTTCCTGCATCTAGGGGCCGCTCTGGAGACGAAGTACACGACTACGGATACACATTCACCAACTCTCGCCGTCGGTCTAATAGCAGCACCAATGGCCTCGCCGACTTCAAGACCAAGTTCGAGACGCACGACCCCGAACCCGTCTTCGAAGAAGAACCACAGGAGGAAGAGGGCCAGACGAACGGTGCTAACCTTGCACGCACCGATTCCAGCTCTAGTGGAGAGGCTCGAAAGTCTTCATAGACTGAGGCCTTCTTCCCTCCCTCTCCTCCTTTCCCCTCCTAACTCCTCTGCTTAATGATGGACCTTCGGGTTGACACGTAAGGCATCGCCCGCGTCCATAATGTGGCATGACATGATATGACATGTTCATGGCCTCTCCGTCAATGGTCGGCCGGACGATATTTCCCGGCTACCATATATTACTCTGTGTATCCTAGTCAATCGTCTATCCTCTAGTTTCACGCCTTTTAGCGGCCTGTGGCCCTGGCGTCTTCAATAAACAACACATTTTTTTTAAGATCATGACTTCAATTCTTCGGGCACCGCCGCGAGTAGTGGACAAGGATCAGAACAATTAAGTTGTTTCGTGAATGATAAACACTGGATTTCATTCTTATACTTATTTATCCTCCTTAAAAAGGACAGATTTTATTTTCAGATGCTATTGCAATTGGATTATCATGAGGGCTCCCGTCTCAAAATGGTAATCTATAATGAATAGTAAATGATTAAAATGGAGGAATTGAGAGTGGATATGAGCCGTTCTTTATACGGAACAGGCTGATGAGGAAACTGTACATGACCCAGGTCACGGCACTCCAGAGAATTATAGTGACTCGCTGCGACTGAGGGTCCAGGATTCTAGGTGCTTTCATAGCAAGAGCTATGGAACCAAGGGACAAAACACCATCTACAGAGGCTTGTTAGCAGAAACACGCCAAGTGTACTCACTAACGTGGAGAACTCACAAATAGCAGCTATAATCTGACTTTCTAAGCCGAATTGGGTCTGGAATCCTCCAGCAAAATAGCTGATTCCTCCCTTACCATCACCCGCAACATACGGTACTTTGCGGATGTGGTTAAACATGTGACCGGTAGTAAAGAGCAAAATTGCAAGGAGACTCAGGGCTGTCCATAGATTTCGGCTTCGCAAAATTGGCACAGCGTATCTGGAGGACACAGTGAGAAGGGATATGACGGCTAACGCTCCAATCAACATTCCTGCCACTCGGGTGTAGTTTATAGGTCGAACAAGCTTGGGTGTCGGGACCCCGGCAAGGTGGCGGCTAATCCACACGTGCATCTGCTCTGCAGTGACCGGACTAGAAGAAACATCGTTTAGCTACTTGTTTGTTTGTTATTTCCACAAATATTCAGCTCACCTGTTGAAGTCATATCGAGCCGGCTGGTTCTCGGAGCCTGGACCAGAGGAGGGTGGCAGGAGAAGCACAATCGGTGCAGTTTGGAGTTTGAGCTTATAAATTTCAGTACCAGAGTTCAGTTCAATAGCGAGGCTTCATCTACCGTTCACTTACCTGCTGGAAAACGCCTTTTCCATTCAAGAAGTCAAGCGTACCAAAGACCAACTTTGAATCTCCAAGTTTGGCCTTGCTCCAAGTCCGGCTGAGAAGTTCCCACTCGGGCTGAAACATCTTGCAGATATCACATCCGAATCGCGAGTCCAGAGCTGTCAAAAGCACGATGCTATGGTAATCTCGGGGAGCCGCCGTAAGCTCATGATAGCTTGCCTCGTCCAGTGTTATCGCGCCAGTAGACCTTGACGCCGCCTTGAATTTCAGGTATTTATCCCCACCCTTGGACGAAGCGCCCAGGGCAAGGCCAATCGGCCATATTGCGTAAAGAATCAGCGAGAACAACCTCATGTTTGGCTTGTTGTTCGGGTGTTTCTATCTATCAAAGCGCTGTCATGACGAAAAGGTGTCATCTTGAGGCTGGAAGTAGGTGGTTCGTTGCTTATGTAAGCAACACGACATCACTCACTCTGGATAAAAGTTTCAAGGTGACCGCGAAGAACCATAGAACAACACATGCAGCGCCAATATCACATTTACATTTCTTACAGAAGATCGATAGAAAGATATATATTTTGGACTCGCATACATAAGGATAAACTGATTTATACATTTTGTTACGATTTTGGTTAAAAGATTCGGGAATATGGAGGTTGTAAGTTACCATGCCAAACAAACAAAACTAAAGGACATCTTCTGATTCGAGGTTTAGCACCCCTTCTCCGAGCTTGAAGCAAAATTTGAAAAGAGCCTTCAGTATACAAGTTTGCTGCTGGCTGACGAAAATGCACGGCTGCCTAGACTGCAATTACTGCTCTCTGAACATGATAAAGATGCCATTAGCAAACAGCTAAGCCAGACGAAACAGCAATTAAGTAATGTAGAGACCGAGCACTCGCGGGTACAGGAGCATTCAACCCGTTTGCAGCAAGATATGGAGGAGCTACAAATGTCCGTCCAGGCCAAAGTTAAGATGATAGATAATCTGCAGGTTAGTTAACGCGCTATGTAACGTGCCTATGACGCGTTGAAGTACTAACATCCTGGGTAGGCAGAATTATCATCCATGCAGGCTCTTGCAGCTGAAATGAACAAGTTACGGGCCGAAAATGCAACTCTGGCACGAGAAGTCTCGAGTATGAAGCCAGAGATTACCCGGCTTCGTTCCCAGAACAGCTCTTATCAGTCGATGCTATCAGAAAAGCTCTCCTTAGAGCGCCAGGTTAGCTCACTTGAGGTTGAACTTCGCGATGCGAGGCGGAACTCAGGGAAGGGACGAGTTTCCTATGTATCAGATAGAACGCTCATGAGCCCTGGACACGATGTAGCTGCCCCCCACACTAGCAAGGCTTTGAACGGTACATCCAGACCAGATACCCAAGGCGCAACTGTGTCCATAAAACAGGTTAAAACAAAGGGCCAAGATTCTGACATGTCCCCTGCTCGCCGCAATGGAACCTCTGCGGATACATCAGAAAACATTTCACGCCGCCTATACTTCGGAGCGGACACATCTATCGGGACACCTGGGCCAAACCACGTGTCAAAACTACCAACGAAAATATCTGCAGCTCCTGGTGACAAATCAATATTTTCCATTACCCCATTCCTGAACCGTCAGAGCAATGACTTTGGAGTAAATTTCACATCCAGTGAAAGCGAAGGCGATGGTCTTTCATTTGCGGAACCTCAGCCATCGAAGGTTAAAGCAAAGGGTCCGTCATTTTACGAAAAGGAGCCTTCCACCACGAATACCCGCAAATCAATTCTTCCTCAGCTGCAAAGGCCCCTGCAATCAGACACTATTCCGAAATCCGCAAATGCTCCAGCGCCGCGGATAGTCAAGCGTGGGCCAAAGCCGAAAGCTACAAACGACTTGTCCGAAGACGATGGACTTCCTGATCCTATCAAAAAGCGGCGAATACTTCGGACTATTGGTGACAAACCACCTCTTGATGAGAACTTCGGAGCCGTCCGTACTTTACCTAAACAGCATTCTTTTGTGCAAGACCAGAGTGGGATTTTTGCTGATTCGGATGGGAAACACTCTGAGAACGATCGTCGTAATCGGCGGCTTGGTCTGAATAAACCCTTGGAGATTCCGCCGTTTTCCCCTTTGAAACGTAACATACGGCCTAGCTAGTTGGTTTAATACTCAACTGACACGGTATCTTAATGTATAAACTTCATATCTGATTCATTCTATATTTCAATTTCTATGACCCTTTGCTACGCAAATTGTTCGTCATAGGCCAATCAGGGGTCAGCAAACCAATTAACTATAGCTATTATGTAATCAAAGTTAACTCCCATGATGTCTTCAAAGTTCCTAAGCAATATTCATATCCTTCTCATTCTAATCTCGACCCTTCTATCCGGAATATAATATTCTTGTGGCCTCTGCATATAAGGGCAGATGACTTTGACAGTTCAGGCCCTTGAGTCGGTAACCTACAAACATGGCGTTACTATGGCTTTCCGTCACCTCTACCGCACTGCGTTAAAAACCGTCCAATACTCCAGCCCTTCACGTTACGTTATTCGTTGGGTCCTACGATCATCCTTTAGAAAAGGTACTGATGTAGACTTTAATCCGCGTCGAATCGTCAATACGCTTCACTTTCTCGAAAACGCGTCCCAACTTGGAAGCCTTGAACGCAAGATCCTAAAGACGCTAACCATGGTTCGGTATTGGCAGCAACCACATATCGCATGCAATTCTCCAATGTAAGGCTATATGTAGCTCCCTTTGATTTTATCTACAGCTTTATACTAAGAAGTACTGTCTAGGGTTATCGGAAGAATACCTCGACCGCAGTCTATCGGTGCGAGACAATTTAACAGAACATTACACTTGTTGAACGAAAGCATGGGGCTTTGTCTCAAGTGAACTAGCTCCAATCAACTTGCCTTACCGCTCCATTCTCGAGAAACATATCAATTAGAGAGCGAAAGCCCTGAAACTGAGGGTTCTAACTACCCGCACCCGCCTGCATCGCGACTCGACCACCAATGCTGCAGCACCACCTTGGTTACATGATGCTGAAAACGTCATAAGAACACGATGGCAATAGCCTGACCTAACGTATACCAGCTTCCCTGCTGCCAATGCCTGGACCTTTGTCTATATCTCGGAACCATCCTCTGGCTCTTTGATCAATCAAAAATACATATGTTGGTATTGTAATTACGGGTCGCCCGATAAGCTTTATCACATGATCCTTCCCGATTCTGCACCTTTGGCTCGTGCCTTCATCCAAACCTTAACTTCCCTTATCGTTCATATCGTCCTCCTACAAAGGCGGTTTCAGCGTCCAGACGACCAGAAGCACTGGACTGCTATTCCCAGTTTTCCTTACAAACTGCCGTATATTTAAACAGTGACTTATCCTACCTCTTTTCTTGTGGTCTTTTAACCAGAAACTCTACAACACCCTGTCAATTCAGCTGAGAATACTGAGTATCTGCGAGGCAGCATCCTGTAGAACACGGAGGTTTTTGATAGCGTAAGAGCGAATGTAAGGCGTCTAGTTATCATATCAGCAGCCAACAAGTTTTACGAAAGAGCTAACCAAAGGCTGTTAATCAAATAGGCTCCGCGTCGGAGTGCATACTCGCTGTTCAAATCCAATTCCGCCGGGACCTGGGGCTAATCCGTAGCACTGGGTTGTACCATTTTCAGCCGCGTTAAAAAAGCGTACGGATAGCAGTGGACGAGAAGGTGGAATAAAACAGAAAATGCGGTGTTAGCATCGCTGCGTTTACATGATGGACTTAGACTCCGACTCCCAGGGTCAGCCTGGAAGCAATGGCACCGAGGCCACCTCACAAACACACTTAGATCAACCCGGATGGGAGGAAACTACCACGAAACATGCGGCAGAAAGCGATGCTACGGTAGAAATGCGGAGGCGGATCCATGCCATATGGGAATTGGACGTTTCAAGCCAGGAAAAAGCCCGGTTGATGCATGATATAATGACAGAAGGGTATTATTCCGCGATCAAGTCTCGCTCTGCCCCATCTGCCCCTCAAGGACATGATACCCCCTGTACACCCGAGTCCTCAAGGAAACAGCGAGCGCTGGGCAACCTTTCGTCTATTTCTGAGTCAACCGCCGGTATATCTGGTAGTCCATATTACCTCTCCCAAGACGACTTAGAACGAACATACTTTTGCAAGCCTGTCGATGAAGTCCAATCTGCAGACGACCCATTCATGGACAATCCTGAAGAATCCGCATCTGATGAATTAGCCGAGTTGGGCTGTATGCACTACAAAAGGAATGTGAAGATCCAATGCTTTACTTGCAAGAAATGGTACCCCTGCCGGTTCTGTCACAATGAAGGCGAACCTCATACCCTTGATCGAAAGAAGACAGAGAACATGCTTTGCATGTTATGTTATTCTCCTCAACCAGCAGGCCAATGGTGCAACTCCTGTGGTGCCCAGTCCGCTTTTTATTATTGCTCAATATGTAAGCTTTGGGATGATGATGCCGACAAAAGTATATACCATTGCAGTGATTGTGGAATCTGCCGTCTTGGTCAGGGACTTGGAAAAGATTTTTTCCATTGCCAGGTAATATCTACACACTCTCATAATTTACATTGAAGCCAGGCTGATTTCAATAGACTTGTTCTGCCTGTATACCAATCGCGATTCAGACTACGCATAGATGTATTGAACGCTCAACAAAATGCGACTGTCCAATATGTGGGGAGTTCATGTTTAGCTCACCAGATACGGTTATTTTCATGCGATGTGGCCATAGCATACATCAAAAGTGCTTTTCCGAGCATTCCCGCAGCTCATATCGCTGCCCCATCTGTAGCAAGAGCGTTACGAATATGGAAGCTAACTTCAGGAACCTTGACCGTACCATAATGAGTCAGCCAATGCCTCCTGAATTAAAAGATACCAATGCCCTTATATATTGCAATGATTGTCACGCAAAGAGCGTTGTGCCATACCATTGGCTAGGCCTGAAGTGTGAGATGTATGATATATCAATTAATTCCGGGCCATTTGCTTCTTGCTAACTAGTGTTAGATGCGAGTCGTACAACACTATCCAAAGACAGTTGCTGAATGGTAGTTACGATCCGGCGCAGCCTACTGAAGGAAGACAGAACCCCGTTACTAGTGGTGGTGAAGGCCTCACCGTCCCTATACCTGGAGCTTCCAATGATCACCGCACCGGAGCCAGGAATTCCGTTATTGAGACACCAGGTAATCATTTTCACGAGGCATCTACTGATAGTAGAGGCTCACAGGCGCGTAGCCTTCCGCATACATCTTTTCTTCATGACTCGAGGGCAACCCCGAAGTCGCCAGTAGTAACGAACTACTTTGCCCTTAGCCGTCAGGAAGATGTAGATAACTCGACTTCCCAATCCAGTGGACGCATGCGATTAACCAGAGGAAGCTTTAGTGGTTTCAATTTTTGGAGTGGTGTAAATATAAAGGAAAGGCTCGGGCTAGTTGGGAGCAGTGATGCCGAAACAGACCCTGGGAGTGATGGTAGTTCAGACAACGAAGGAGAGATGGAAGATGACGAAGACGAGGACGAAAGTCCTGATACCATCGATATCTTTGGTCACCGCTAGCAAGCACGATCATTCTTAAATTGCATTACGGTTGGAATGATAGCGAAATTAATTAGAGAGCAACCAATAAGCTGAATTCACCAAGCGCTAGTTCAAGCTAATACCTATCATCAATCTATCAAACAAATTACTGTCTGTATAGAGTCTATATTTAGATTGTATGATTGCATCGGAGGATTGCAATGGCCCAAACCCCTAACCAAACAGGCCAGTTTGTGTTCAAAATCCTGCGATACGTTTCTTTTTCTTCGACTTGGGCAGTTGTTTCCTCTTTCCGAATAGACCCTGCTCGCCCTGTGTCATAGTAAGGCCGCCTTCATTGACCTGACTACTGTTTATATTGGAGTTGAATACACTGGGTTCTGGCTGACTTCCCCACGGCCTAGCTATAGGGATGTCCGCTGAAACACTTCGCTGCGATTGTGCCGCAGATGAGGATTGCCTCCTTTCTTTCCGTTTACGTCGTTTCAAATTTTTGTCGTGCTCAGATTGTGGTTTATCGCGTAAAGATATCGTAGCTTGCCAGTCATATTGGCTAGGATCACTTCCATCAACCCAATGTGCGGCCGTGGTGATGGTCCTGCGCGAGATTGACTTTTGATTATTGATGGCTGTGTAGCGCGCAAGAGAAGCCAGAAAGTTTCCGGCCCGGCTGCTAGTTGAGCTTCCTGTTCGTGACGGAGATGAACGAACATCCTCTCTAGACCATTGGGTCAGTTGGTCTTTGAACTCGGAAATACTGCGGGCGTCAGGCCTGATAGGCGAACTGTCCCCAGCTTCCTGCCCGTCGTCGACTTCTTCAACTTTGCAGCGGGATATGATAACACTCGCAATGCAAAGTTCGGAGATCACCTCTCTGATGGTCCTTTCTTTTAACGCTCGAAGCCGATTTGGAATCCCGCCTGGTAAAGGAGCCAACCAGTGACATATCATCGCATCGTAAAGTTCCATCAAGGAGGTGCTATTCCATGCCCCTGGTTCGATCATTGAAAAGTTTGAAGAGGGTATAAAGGGCTGTAGCAAAATATGTATTTGGAACCCAAGAAACATGTCATCTCCTGAATTTGCAAATCTTAGGATAAAATCGTCAAATGCCTTTGCAATATTCTCGACCTCATCTACCGAAATGGATGATGTAACGGCTTCTGACCTAAATTAAGGTAAGTGCTATGAATACAAGGTAATTTAACGGGTAATACTGACATTGAAAGAGACGTTGAACAGGACGTTGGAGCTAAAATCAGGTCGGTAGTTCGCCTTTTTAGAGCATTCAGCCAGTCTCCGAAGAGGGTTTCGTCCCCACGCTCTGTGAGGTCGGTGATGTCCATGTGTTCGAGAACAGAGGTAGCTAAAGAGTATTGAAGTTGCCATTGTTCTCGAGTTTCGTATGTTGAGAAAATGGCCGTTGACGGGCCTTTCTTTGTCGGCTTGTTTGGTGGGCAAACGGGTACCAAAAGTGACTTTTCCCCATCGTCTACAACGAAATCGAACTCGTCAGGCAGCCTAGAGCGGTGTTTTGCAGGCCGTTTCTTCTTACCAGCCGATATTGGGATAATATCTGGCAATATCTCCTGGTCAGCGCCAGTAGCTAAATACATGCATTCAACAAGCCTTCCATCCATTAACTGTCCCATTAATTTAACCGATTTCGGTGAAACGGTGTCATCATCATCCAAAGACGAATTAGGAGTTTTGATTTCTTGGAAGGAAATACTCGAAAAGTTCACTGTATTATGAGACTGTTGCATTCCGTAAACCGCCTCTTCACTTTTAATCTTGGGCAAATGAAGAATCCTTGCATCACATATGGACACCGGGTAGGACGGTTCGTCAGATGGAAACACCTGGATAGTCATAGCAAGAAGATTTAGACGGGAATACAGCATTATAAATAGATCTGAAGTAAAGTTAGTTTCATAGAGTCTACAAGAACTGTACGGAGAGCTTACCTGTTCCTACGGATATCGGGGTTATCTGGAGACTTAAATCTTCTGGGTCTCGGAAATGGTTCCAGGAGAGGAGAATAGATGCAGCCTGAACGTTGCCGCCTTGGCTAAGTTGAGGGTCATCAGGTGGCGGAACATGTACCCACAGGATTCTCAACGTCGTGAGGATAAACACGTGGGAGGGTATCCTTGGACTGCGGATGACATCAAGAATCCATTCCGAAGGAAGTTTGAGGCCAAGGTCAAATTCCTCCTGCTCAGAGGGACGAACATCCATACGACAAATGTAAATATTTCGTCTATCACACACCAACAGCTGGTGGATAGTGCCGATCCATAATATTGCGCCCCAGCCGTCATAGTGATCAATCGACTTGGAAATATTTTCAAGCCCGGGAAGTCGTATGGAACCGTTTGGCCCACGCTCAGCAAACCAGCCAGCTTTACGCTGTTGTTTGCGTTGCAAATCCCAAACGCTCCAATTTCCTGCACGGTCAATGACGGCAACCTGCCGTTGATACCATGGGTTGAAGGTTACCGCAGCGTGAGGATGACCACCTGTCAATTTGCATGGAATATTAACAAGGGGATTCGGATCAATATATGATAATAGATATGAGTCCGCGTAAGTATCCTTATCATTCAAGTTCACTGGGATTGGGGTGCGGTGGTAAACCGGGCTGAATATTGTGGTGGAAAAGGATAACCTTGCCGCAAAGCAAGTCTTTGGTTCCTGAAATGATTCCGAAGATAATACTTGCTTCACGGGGCCACCGGGCAAAGTCCACAGAGCAGACTGGTCGTCATCAATAGTCAGTGTGGCATTTTGGGACAGGGAATCATTGCTGAAGTCGTATGGGCATAGAATGAGAGATGAACTGTGATTCTCTCTTGGCAATACAATTATTGGCGTTGTTTGGTTTGCTAAACGGTCGTCCATCATATTCTCTATTTCCCCAAACGCTAGACACCCATGGCTATTTGACTCGAAATGATAAGAGGCGGATGTAATAACTCGTGAAGTTGCCTCTTCAAGGGCCATATTTGAAAGTCCATGAGTAAGTTCTGGGTATAAATTCAATAGCACCTGCTCTGTTCTTTTCGTCACAACATTGTCATTTCTCGGCTCCTGAGAAGAGCCTGGGTTTTTGGTACAGGAGAGTACACTTGCTTCACCCGCAATTTTGAAGAGGAAACCTAGTAATACATATTAGAGGCCATTCCCAGTCTTAAGAATCCTATTTGAACCATACCTTGGTTGGGCGCACGCGAAAACCTCCATTCCTGCAACTCCTCGACATAAGTTGCCCTTCCCAGGTGGCCGAGCGATATCTCATTATTTAAATGATCAGCCATCTGGTTGTATCGTTACAGTACGTGTATACAGCGCAATGGTAGAGCAGTACAAAGACATGTCTAATCTGTGTCATGCAGAAAATTTTGCAACTCTAGACGCGAGACATTGAATACTGTTAGATTGCTCTTCGGAATGTTGATGTCGTCTCGATCTAAGAATTGGAAGAAACCCAAAAAAGAAAACTGACAAAAAGCTTAGCGGGTTTATAAAATGCCGCTTCCGAAAGCTTATCTAACGCTAGTCTGCTTTTGGCCTTTACCTCATACATATGTTTACTTTATCAACAAACGCGATAACATCCATGAACTCATACTCGCATTGAAGTCGAAGTCGAATACCCAAACAAGCATACTTGACAATTATTTAAGATGGCGGCCTTTGATCCCTACTCTTCAACTGCTCGCCCCCCACTTACAACGGCCGATGCGCCGTCAATGGCTGATCAGCTGCCAACCCTGAACTTTCGATTCGAGGAGTTGCGGTCGAGAATGTCACAGTTTTCCCAAAAATTCGACTCCTTCATTGAAAAAGGAAGAAAACAAGTGTTGGAAGAAAGAAACCAGTTTTACATTGATCTTGCAGAGCTTCAAGGTTTGCGCTCACACTAACATTCGGTGGTTTGGATTCTCATTCTTCTAACATGGCTTGTGAACATAGAGGACCAGCGGATGAAAGAGAAGGATATTGAGATTCTCAATTTAAAACTCCAGACACATAGGCAAACCCTTCAAAAGGAGAGTGCAGAAGCTGCCGAGATGCATGCAGCTATATCTCAAATCAGCCAACAGCGAGATTCTCGGTCAGCCATTCGTGACAGGCTCCAGCAGCAAATAAACGAAACACAACGAAGCATAAACCAAAGACTAGAGGCGCAAAGGGCACACGCCAAGCAGCTGGAACTACAGTCCCGTCAGAACGTACCCGAGTTAGAATTCTGGCAGGACCTGTTGTGTTTGCGGATTGAAGGGGCCGGAAGAGAGGACCGTCTAAAAATCATCTATACGCATCTTCTAGAAAAGGACTGGGAGAGAGAAGCTTGGTTTGAGCTTGGAACGGCAGGCCATGAATATGAGGTTCTCCATTGTCGGCCTAAGCTTGATAAGTCTGCCATCGCTGAAGTTGTTGAGATCGTGAATGATGATAGAGACTTTGGTGCTTTTCTCAAAAGAATGCGGAGACTTTTTATTGCAGCTTTGAATTGAAGCATGTTTATGAGTTATGCCTATCTTATGAGAAAACTTCATAACAGTTATGCTTCTACCTTCTTGCAATCTATACAATCGCATAATGATACCACATGGGCTGCCTTCTTTCTGAAACAATCCATAGACACAGATACCGGGGTATAGTAGCATAGCATCATAAATCAAACGAATGCTTAGCCACTGTTAGCTTCTCGGTATAATGTAATGTTTTGGCTGGCGCCTGCAGCTGCAAACCGTTCTGCCTTTCCCACCTTTGGCAGCCATCTGACGCTCCATATAGCCTTGTCGGACTCTGAGAGCGTTGCGACACATGTTTTTCTCTCGATTGACCATACCTTAACTTTGCCGTCAAAAGAACTAGCCAAACTTTCAATAAAATGATCCATCTAATATGTGCTAGTTCCACTCACCCGCTTAGAAGATATTCGCCAGACTCGCTCCAGTCCAAAGATGTGACCCAGGCAGAATGGCCTGTGAGCGTTGCGAACTGTTCTCCGGAGCTGGTTTCGTAAATCATAATCATCGTGGAGTCTCCAGCAGCAGCTAGTAATTTTCCTCCAGGAGAAAACGACACCGCTCTAACAGGTGCGGCCAGGCCTAGGTTGATCAGTTTGTGCCCATCTTAGTAGATGAGGGGTGAAAAACTACCTGAAAGAGAGAACGGCATCCGTCCTTCTGCAACGTCAAAGACATAAACACTACCGCTTTGATGGCCCGATGCAATCAAGCGTCCATCTGGTGACTTTCCAAGAACTTCAGCAACGTACATCTTAGAAGAATGGGCAGGATTATATTACCATATCAATGCACATGCCAAAGCTCCCTCTTGTCTCAAAATTCCATAATTCCTCTAGATTATTCTGAAGGTCCCAGACTTTGATACGGCCATCGTGGGTAGTGCCGGCAAGGTAGCGTGCATCCGCGGCCAGAGAAATAGCCCATATATCTTTTATCTTGCCATTATCTGTGTAGAATCAGCCTGAGTGTACGTGTTTGTTCCTGTGAAAGAGTGCCCTACCTTTGAAATCCTCATTCCACATTCCGTCCTCGTAGCGCCATAGCTTTACCTCTCCTCCAAAGCCAACACTGGCCGCATAACTTCCAGACCCTTTCGCCGTTGCCAGGTGGTGGCAGCCAATTTTATGAGCTGCTGAGAGTGACTGGGCTATGCCAAAGCCTTCCTCGTTGGCCGAATGGACCTTGAGCGAGGAGGCGCCAGAGGCTGACAAGATCTGGGTAGGAGTCACAGCGAGAGAAAAAATCTCAGAGACATGTGCTATTCCATGTTAGAAGATGCAGGTTCTTCTCCATAAAATACTGAAGCTGGTACGTACCATTCTCTATCGTGTGTAGGCTCAGTATTTGCTTGGACTGTGGTAGACAGTTAGCACTATGTCGACGTATGTTGGAACATCAAACCTGCCCACTTGCCATCTTGTCTGTAAGTTTTTGGGGGTATTATTATAGTGTAGTTATTCTCAATGTAACTTTGCAGGATACCTATCTTGTATGCAAAGTATGTGGTATATGTGATGTCTTGAGGATGTAGTGAGAGTTGATAATCCTAGATGCAAATAATGGAGTTCCTCACACTCCAGAACATTAATAGCTCCACATTCCGAGACTTTCTACACATCACCACACATGACATTGAAAATGCATAAATTACATGGATTTGAATATACTACAAGGCAATCAAGTGTCTTGCCGTACAAAATTTGTAAACTGCCAGCCAGGAAAGCCGGATTCCCTTGCACCAGGTAAACAAGCAGACAGCTTAGGTGTAGTTGCAGAAAGAAAAGACATATAGTACAGGATAACCAAAAACGCCCGCTTTTTCTTGTAGTAAAGCTTGCCCCCTGACGGTGCACCCAATGATTGTGATAAGAAACAGTCGTAATCGTGTAAATCGACTGGTGCGAAAAAAATAAATGGAGTTATACGTTGCGAGTAGCACTTTGAGAGTTCCAATGTCTCTTAACCTCTGTTCGACCCAATTAGTATTGAACTGGTATTGAAATAGCAGTATCAGGCAAGCAATAGCGGAGACGTACGGGCAACGCAGTGAGGACAGAGCAAGTGAGCTCGCTTGGTGTTCCCACAAGCCGGGCATGTGTTGAGGCTGGTGTTATCCTTCAAGGCCTTTCCAGCCATTTGTCTGTGTCGTTTCTTCATGTGCGAGGTCTTCTTCTTGGGCACAGCGCGGAGGATCGACTCCCAGATATCTGACAGCAGAGACGGCAGCACAGCAGCGACTGCATATCGGGATGCATGGTATTTCGAGGCAAGGGAAGCCGATATCGACGTGCTGGCGGTCGAGTATATGCCGAGTGTTCGAGTAACGGCGGTCAAAGAGAGGAATCCCACGGAGGGACCGGCGAGTCTGAGTGCGGCCATCCTGCCCGGTAGCTGTGGATCGCGTCTTCTCTACCAACTTCAACTTCAATTCCAATTTCAGCTCCGGCTCCAGCTCCAGCTTCGACGTCGACTTTCTTCCATCGTCACCAAGAGGAAAACGGAAAAAAAGTCACGAAAAGCAAGAAAACCGCTGATTGGCCCGTGTCACCACGCTAGTCCCAACATCGCCTAGCGCGCAACTTGCCCCTGACGTCCCGGTACAAAAAAACCAACGAGACAAAAAGTTCGCTTTTAGCTTCGCGCGCAAACGATCATCTCCTGGCTCTGGCAATAGCGACCCAAGAAAGGGGGCTGCAAAAGTTCAACGTCTTCTTCCTCTTCTCTCCTCTTGCTTCTACTTCTACGTCTTCCTTCCAACCGCCTTCTCCGACAGCTGCAGCAGAGCTAAGAGACTCGTCAATCGCTTGTCGTACCCTTCCTCTCCGTCGGTAGATAACATCGAGACCGTTTCACCCATAATAAACAGCAACGATGGCCGCCGCTGCGTCTCCCACCGACACCGTCTTCCCCAGAAGCCATGTCGGTTTCGACAGCATCACCTCGCAGATCGAGAAGAAGCTGCTGAAGCGTGGCTTTCAATTTAACGTCATCTGCGTTGGTACGTTCGTTGTCATATCACTGCTCTATAAGCCGTTTTACCCCCTGTTTCTCTGAGATGGATCCAGGTCTAACGCATACATTCTTGTCTCATAAACACAGGCCAGACCGGCTTAGGAAAATCGACCTTGATCAACACCATCTTCGCCTCTCACCTCATTGACTCCAAGGGACGTCTAGCACCTGACGAGCCTGTCCGCTCAACCACGGAGATTCAGACTGTGTCACACAGTACGTTGTTCCGATACGGCGCATCCGCAACCCCCCCTTTTTTTCACTTTTCAATCATATCTGATCGTACTTGATAGTCATCGAGGAAAATGGTGTACGCCTGAGATTGAACATTGTTGATACCCCTGGATACGGAGACCAAGTCAACAATGACAGATGGTATGTCGAGCGAGGCGTTCAGGTTACCCCTGGATAGAATGTTGCGGGGGCTAATTAATTTCACAGCTGGGACCCCATCGTCAAGTACATCAAAGACCAGCACTCCGCCTACCTGCGCAAGGAGCTTACTGCTCAGCGTGAACGATATATCCAGGACACCAGAATCCACTGCTGTCTCTTCTTCATCCAGCCATCTGGACATGCGTAAGTTTAAAGAAAAGGAACAATACTTCTAGCATATTTTACTAATTTGTTATTGCAGGCTAAAACCAATTGATATCGTCGTTCTCAAGAAACTGTCTGATGTTGTCAACGTTGTGCCTGTTATTGCCAAGTCCGACTCCCTCACCCTGGAGGAGCGTCTCGCTTTCAAGGAAAGAATCAAGGAGGAATTTACCTTCCACAACCTTAAGATGTATCCTTATGACAACGATGAGCTCGATGACGAAGAACGTGCTGTAAATGCGCAGATCAAGGTAAATTTTGCTAATCCCTCATATAACCAATTTCAGCCATTGCGATATCTCAACTAAGCATCATCATCATCATCTAGGACATCATTCCATTTGCTGTTGTTGGCAGTGAGAAGTCCATTATCGTCGACGGAAAGCAGGTCCGCGGCCGTCAGAACCGCTGGGGTGTGATAAACGTTGAAAACGAGAACCACTGCGAATTCGTCTACCTCCGCAACTTCCTCACCCGCACCCACCTCCAAGACTTGATCGAAACTACCAGCCAGATACACTATGAGACTTTCCGCGCTAAGCAGCTTCTTGCTCTGAAGGAGAGCAGTGCAACCGGCCACTCTGGAAGTCGACCAATTAGCCCTGCTGCCGACCGGGAACTGAGCCGCAACTCCCAAAGAGTTACCATGAATGGCAACTAAGGCCTTTTATGTTTTTGCTATTACCCAAACTCTTCCCCTTCTTGAGGGTTTCAAGTTAACGTGGAACATGATACCCAACCCACTTAATCTTCCATGGGCCATAGTTAACGGGCTCGGACGAGTCCCCGCGACGCCAACATTGATGCCCGTTACTCTTTATTATCTTACTATTTTTGTTATTCCGTATTTCTCATTTTGAAATTACTTTTTAATATCCTTATCTGCGTTCCGTTAGCCAGTCGAAAGTGCTTCAAGAACACTGTAGCCAATCTCATATCCATTTTAGAAGAGACGCCATCCTCCGGGCTTGTGTCTAAAGTGTAGTGTCTATATCAGTCTTATTTTCCATTCAGGGGCTATTAGCTACCAGTTCCAAGGCTGTAGCTTATGTCCAAAGAAGAAAAGGTATCCCAAAACTACTGCGAGCCAAATTTCCCGCCATCTACCACCCAGTCTCTCAGCTCAACGTATGCGGCCTCAAGCTCATCGTTGACAACAATTTTGTCGTGCGCACCGGGTTCCTTCGAGTATTCCAACTCCACTCGGGCCTGGGCCAGTCGCTTTTGCAGACTGTCCTCTGACTCAGTGCCGCGACCACGCAGGCGTTTTTCCAATTCTTCAATGGATGGAGGAGCAAGGAAAAGGAACCTTGCATTGAGATCAGTCCGTTTCACTTGTTTAACACCCTACACAGAGAAGATTTTCGCACAAACGGTTAGAACCCAAATAACCCAACATGCAGCTTGTTTCCTTTTTGCTTGACCCATTATTCACTGCTTACCTCCATCTCAATGTCCAGGACGCATATTCTTCCCTGGTCCGCAACACGTTTCACGGCAGCGATGCTGGTTCCGTAATGGTTGCCGCCAAACTGGGCATGCTCAATGAATCCTCCTTCATCGACGAGCTTCAGGAAAGCTTCTTTGTTGGTGAAGTTGTATTCTCTGCCATCTTCCTCGCCCGGTCTTGGGCCACGAGTGGTGTCTGTATACTCCCAGGAACAAGCAACGCATTAGCCAAAAGCTATCCACCGCAACGCACCGCTTTTTCTCCTTTGCGGCGGGGGGTACTGACGAGATACGGAGAAGCCGAATTTGTCTGGGTATTCGGCGAAGAGGCGTTTAAGCAGGGTTGATTTGCCTGTGCCTGAAGGCCCAGATATCACGACGGGTCGTGGACCTTGAGCTGATGCAGCAGGGAGCCGTTAGCAAACCATCGCCAAAAAAGGAGATTACGCCGTACGCAAGGCTTGCAATTTACCTGTGGAAGCCATGCGCGCAACGCCGTGGCTGTATGCAAATGGATGAAATAAAGAGCGAGATGAGGGCCTGCACCTGACTAACGGTGTATCACAGTTCAACAGTGCTCCGCCGCCCCTCCTCATATAAAATGTCATCCTCCCTCTCCTTGGCGCGCAAAGTTGCATGAATAAGAAACAAAGTTCCATTTAAAATGTTGTAGCTAGATATCCAATGACTAAGCACGCCGCCGCTGCTTGATACACGTAGTGGTTTTCATATCTTGTTTGAACTCCCTGATATCGGGGAGATAAAAGAAACAAAGGGAGGTTAAAAGAAGTATAGAGAAGGGGGAGAGTATTCTAACGCATACGTAACTCGGTCATGATGCAGTCTTGTCTAAGGAGTTCTCGTTTCCAGGCTCCGGCAGCTTTCCCTCTGCGCGCGCTTCTTGCTCAAGGAAATTCGACCATAGCTCAGCTAGAGACTCTTTCCGTGTGTCTGTATTAGTACCGAAGTACCCTGTTGCTAGAGAGGGCGAGCTAGGGGTTTTGAACATGGACGGTGACCGTGGAGCTCTAAGGCTGTTATAACCCCCTGAGGCACCAGGTCGAGCAAGACCAGCTTGCTCCCGTTGTTCTGTGATAGCAGTGTTAGCTAAAATGTAAAAGAATTAGCTGGAGTTAGCAGGCAGTGAGTACTTACCATCGTTCCACCCTAGGAGAGCAGCAATAAGTTGCAGTATCTGGAACTTCTTAGGGTCCGACCGATCAAGCGAGAGGAAATGCAAAAAGTGGTTCGTAACAAGATGCCTATCAACAGTCAGTGAGAGGTAGTATTGAGACAGCAAGAGCTTCAACATACCTATCCACGTTATCTTCAGGCTTTCCTTTCTTCAAAAACCGTAAAGCCTTTGTGAGATGCTCGTTCAATGTAACGGCTTCATGTCTAAGCTTCCCTATGAGCAGGTTCTTCTCCTTGACCTCCTTCTCAAACGGCAGGGCTTTTTCAAGGCTCTTTTGCGTTTCTTCCCGGGCAGCATCAGCCTCGGCAGCACGCTTCTCTGCTTCGTCCAGTTTCTTTCGAACCTCCTCTACTTGTGCATTGGTACTCTCCACCAGTTCTCGTAGCTCTTGCTTTCGAGCTACATGAGACAGTCAGTAAGCTGTTGTAGAGATTGATCTGAGAAGGATAATATTCATACCGGCTTGGATTTCTTTTAACGCTTTTTGGAGGCCTTCAACTGCCACTCCCTGAGAGTTATAATCGGATGTCACTTTCTCGTAATCCGTCCTGAGTGCCGACAGCTGTTCGTCCAAGTCTATAACTTTTTCTCCAAGGCTTTCCCGAATAGACCGCTCCTCCATGGCAATTATCTCCCAGCTATGCATTGCCTGCTTAGCTTCTTCAAATTCAGTTCGCAATTCTGATTCTTGCGTCAATAGCTCCTCTTTCTCCTTTACCCAATTCTGCTGGGCGAGGTTTATTCTATTTCGTAGACTGGAGAGCTCTTTTGACTGTTGCTCGCGTTCGCTTTCTAGAGACGATAGATTCGAAGACCTAGCCTCCAATTCAGCTCTCAGAGAGGCGTTTTCGCTTTCGTACTGCTCAATTTGGGTTCGCTTCTCAGTCAATTCTTCCTATTGTCCGGGTTAGCCACGCACGATAACTATCAGCATAGTATGGAGTGAGACGTACGGCGTCAGCCTTCAACCTCTCGCCCAGTTGAGATTTGATTGTATTCACTCTCCCTAATAAGCTGTGGAACTGCGACTCAGCCTGTTCTTTCTGGCTTTCTGAGACTCGGAGCCTTTCTTGCATGGTTTCCATTTCCTCATCGTGCTTGCTTTGTATCTCCTCAAGGGAACGGCGCATCTCGATGACCTCTTCCCGAAGAGAGTCTCGATCCCGCACAAGGACATCAAATCTATCGTCAGCGCCTCGGTCACCCACTTCATTCTTCATTGGGATGGTATCCGATTCTGGTTTATTTGCGTTCGAGTGCGACGTTCGGTCTTGGGTTGAGAGATTCTGAAGGCTCTCCGTAATTGACGTCGATGGTTCAGCCTCTTGTGATCCGTTCACCGTAGCACTATCAGAGTCCTGTAATGATGACCAAAAATCTTCAGTATTTCTTAACCCAGACAAGGTGTCATATCAACGTAGCGGGTATGTGATACCATGTCCACTTGTTCGTCATGCTGCTCATCCTTTTTAGTATCCGCGGGGTTCGCGCCAGTATTCCCATCCTTCTCGCTCTGCGCTCCGGCCTTTCCACCTTTCTTCTTCTTGTTCTTCTTCGATTTGCTTTCGGCCACTATACAAGGGAGATCGTTAGATCGTTGATAGGGCTAAGAAATGCGGCGCGACTGACCTTGGCCGGCGGGCGCTGAATTGACAGGCATTTGTTTGACTATTAAGATGTTTTACCCGGCAATCGGAGGCTGGAGTTGAAACAGCATCTAGGATCAGTGTTAATTGGACGTTTGGTGCGAACCAACCGTTGGAGGTTGAGGAATACGTTGTTGCTACTTTGTATATTTTAAACTGGTTAGCAAGTCTTGCGTCAGCAACCAACTCACTAGTTACTTAACTAGCAAAGATCGTTACATCAAACATGGTATCTATAACCATGAGTTTAAAACTATTTATTGATTTGGTAGTTACGCAGCCAGCAGGATCGGCTGTATTTTGGGTAGGCGTACCTTTTGTCTCACTTGTCCGAACACTGCAAGCTTTTTGATTCGACCTGGGGCATGTTTCTCGCCTATTTAGCGCCAAGGGCGTGTTTTGTCACCGAGATTGTCTTATTACTTTATTATAGTAGCATTATACCGATTAACACGGTAGTTTTCTTTCTATATTCATCATCTGATCTAGACATGAAAAGTACTAAGAGCGTAGGGTCCGGAAGCTATTTCAAGAGCAATGAATAGGCTCTGTTGTCACGCAAGGAGTTCGGCCCGGCCTTGTAGGATTGCTGCAGCATCAATCCTGTGCGGGAGATATACTCTCACCGGCCGTCGAGGCTACCCCTGGAGCAACTGTAAACCAAAATGTATCACATAAAGTCATCTAAAAAGTCTTCCCCTCGATCCTGGTTGTTACTTTGCTGAACGCTCTCTGGGCTCATGAGATCGTCGTAGGCGTGTTCCTTCTGCCACCGTAGCTCTTCCCTTTCTTTGCGTTCCTTCTTATCCAGTGCCTTCTTCTCTTCCCTGGCCTTGCGTTCCTCTTTTCTACACTGTGCCAGGTACTCTTCCTTCTCGGCCCTGAGGTCGGGGAACTTTTCAACCCGAGTCTTGTTCAGCCGATTGACAATGGGATTCTGTCTTTGAGGTACAAAGACCTTGCGTGTGAGCTTGGGGTTGTGGAAGGAGACCTGGCCCGTGGCCATAGCCGCGGTCTTGTGTAAGTTAGACCATGGAGTGTATATCACAGTCACATTGTCCTTTTTGTTGCCTGCTTTCGTCAATCGATGCTGCCACCAGCTGGACACCTAGAGGTAAGGAAGAAGAGGGAAAGAAAAAGGTGCAGCGGCTGTTGAACGTGCCTTCGATAGAATTTGCCTTGGTCAGCTGTGCGCAGTCCTCGAGCAGCTCCTGGGGTATATTTTCCCAGCTTTCGCCTTTCCGGAGTCGAAGGTAGACGTGGGCACTTGACAGATTGTCGACATGAAACTAGAGGGACCAAAGGCAAAAGACAAGTCAGCAATCCATGGCCCAATTCTGAGAGCTGAGAGCTGAGAAATTGGAGTTGGGTGGGGAGGGAGGGGAGAGTATCCAACACACCCTAGGGAGTAGGAAGATGAGGCAAGATAGCAACACCGAGTAAGCCGCGGGAACGGGAAAAACCTGACAGAGGAGCAGGATGCGTAGTTACCAGACGTCATTCTCAAGGCCATGCTTGATCAGATCTTCGTCTAAGGTGTTTTAGAGACCAACTGTTAGTTAGTGAGCGAGCAGCCTCTCGGCTTATCGAGAGAAGGAATGAAGGAGGGACTCTGGCTGGCTAACTTTCAACCTTGTCTTTGCCAACATATATGAACGCTGCAGGAGTCACCGTATTTGACGTAAAGTAGTACACCATCTTGCTGCAGGGCGAGGGCCGGATCAGAGTCCGGAGAGGCCAGCGTCGTCTGTTACTTCGTCCTCCTCGCCTCTCTGTCGTTTCCCACCTCTAGGTGTTTGTTATCCTTGCGCCCTTCTCGCAGGTTGAGCTTATCTCGTGATCAACACTTAATCACGCCAAGGGCCAGAGGGCTATCAAAATAAGGTTCTCTCGACGATAACTAGCACGTGACTTATTTGTCATCCAGCCTAACAAGAACTTCCCTTTCAGGGACGCTGGAAGCTTAAAAGCGCCAACTCGACAACGTCCGCAAGAACATCCGCGGACGAGGATGTTAAGCAGCCAGTGAGAAGACGCGGAATAAGAGGGAGAGGACGAGGGAGAGCGGGAGAGACGAGGGACCCTGAAAGAAAAGAAATTATGGGCACTGCGAGAACGCCGATTTACGAAAACAAAAGAAAAGAAAGACAGACGATATTCTAATCTTCATTTTTGCAATTCTTTTATTTACTACGGAGTATTAACCAGTTAGCTAAGGCTCCATCTGGAGTCATGGAGTATGCTTATAACAGCTGCGGACTAATATTTTACGCTCTGGCCAATAGCAACGGTTCCGCCGTCGCTAAAGTGTTGGAATATTGGGGGTGAAGGAAAACGACCAAATAAGACCAGCCTGTGCCTGTCAATAGCAAGCAGACGCCTCGGCAAACGGGCGCAATGTGTTGATCTGTGGTCGCCGTTGTTGGTATTCCAACCATCCTACGGAGTATCCCCTCTCTTCCTCTCTTCTTGTCGACCCCCCCACCGTCTATGTCCGTACTTATCTGCGGACCAGGGTATCAGGCTGTGGGGTGCATAACCAACCGATATATACAAACACTTTGCGGACGTTGAGAAGGATGATCCCAAGGGATTGATAATTGATGATTGATGAGACAACAACGCCTGCTCAGGCTCAACAGATCAGAGGCGGTGTCACAGATATATATGAGAGGATGCATGCGAGAACCCGTACTCTGACCGACAGGATGTAGTTGACTCTGTCCTAGCGGCGGCAGATCAGACGGGAAAGGAAAAAGAAAGCAACGACAGGAAGAAGGGAGACAGCGCGAGAGAGACGTGCAAAAAGAAAAGAGAGAAATAGGCTCCTGTGCACGAACAGGGGTTTTCGGATTTAAGCCGTTATCGCTTTATCCACGTATAGAACTAACATATATCAAAGTGCCCCCATACTGTGGTAGCGCTCCACGAGCTGCATGGAGCGTTTGTCGGTCCAGATTACCGTCCAAGCCCTCCACAGGAAACCCTGCTCCTTTGCCGCATGCATGCCAATGGCTTTTGCTTTCTCCCTCCTTTCCGAGCAATCAATCTGAGTTTTAACGCCGCTCCAAGGGGTTGCTGCGCCATCAACCCAGCCGGATCCTGACAATACCCGACCATTGGACTGAATATCCTGGTCGCTGGCGGTTCCCGACGTGCGGCACCTGTGCAATAGGGACGTCTTCCTCGCTGATCATGCAGGTGTGCCTTTTTTTATCCTCCTACCGTTCCTTTTTCTTTCGATTTTTTTTTTTTTTTCAATTTTTGATATCGGTGTCTACGGAGTACATTAGATACGTGAATCTCTTTTTCTTTTTACTCTTTTTTTTACGTTAATTTTTTGTTTTCGTACGGCGCTTTTTACCTTCCAACCTCCGGGACTTCCATCCGCTCTTATAATGGTTCTCCAGTTGGGATGAAAACCTCTCTTAGACTCTGCCCCACGCTGGGCCGCTACAATCCGGCTGCGATCCCAATGAAAATCATGACAAGGCACTGCTTAGAGAGGTAGCGGCGTAGCTGCAAAGATTTACGTGTTCAATCAACCTGAGTAGTTAGCCGCTGGTGATGCGGCTTACTACATGGAACTGACTCAGCAGAACCGTTGAGCAAGATATCTATCTCAAACAACGGGGGAGTGAAAGAGGAAGACGGAGAAGGCTTAATGAGAAGAAGGAGGCAAGGAGGCTCAAGTTGCGGCAGGCTTGACAACGCACACAGGAAAAATAGAGCACGCTTACTGAGTAGTAATCCAGCCAAGCAGGGGCGGGCCGCAGATTGAAGGGTGGATGTACATATATGCAAGCACGATGGAAAGGAAGAAAAAGGAACTAACCAACTAACTCATTAGGACTTGGGCTAGGGTTAAACTAGGTAAGATCTTGCTAGTTGTTTCTCCGATGGCAGAGAGAGACAGAGAGAGCGTGAGGCGGAGGCTAATATCTATCCCCGACTACAGGCCAGTGATGTACCCTTGCTCAATGCTAAGTATAACGCCGGTTCTAATCTAATGCATGGCAACACCACCTGGGCCACAGTCTTTCCCCTAACTACCTAGGCAGGGCACATCGCCAAATATACTTGGGTGATATACATACCTTCCTGGTATTAATGGCGGCTATGAGGCGTCCAGGCCCTGCTCATCGATGACCGGGGAGCTCGCCAGCATGACGCACGACCTGATGTCAAAGGCACGGCTTCCTGCTTAAAAAACTTGCTGCATGTCAGCCGTCAGCCTGTGCCGGCGGCTCCCCCCCTCCCGTTCCCCCGTTCCCCCACCGTCTAAGGATATCATTGGGCTCTGGGCTGACCACATGGTTAATCACTAAAACACAGACAACAAAAGCAGGATGGCTTGCTTAACGTCTTCCTATGGGCCTGTCCTCCCATCCCGGCTACATACTAGGGGGAGCAAACACGAGTCAAGCCTCACGGTCAACTACGGGTCACCACAGAAGCGTTGGTCACATCTCGTTGGTCGTACGCCTCTCCAGGGGTGTTTTGAGGGACCTGCACCTCCGCATAATCAGGAGAGCTATACTCTGTCTAGAGAGACGAAAGACGTTAAAATTTTTTCTCTGGACCCTGAAAAAAAAATAATAATAACAAATTCCCTATCCTACCTACCTGTCCATCGAGCCTCCTTCAACAATATAAATATATCGATCCGGACGGTCAAAGTTGAATTATTTTTTTCCTCCCATCATCAAGCAAGGAACCCAAAGCACATTGACACACTACCATCTCCATTCCAATACACACATAACAAAGCAACGCAGCACAAAAACGCAAGCCAGCTATCGCTCTCAACATCTAGCAGCATTTTCCAACTTCTCTGCTATTACTTCTACTCAAGCTTCTTTTCCCTCTACTTCCATCACCATGGCCAACAGCCCCAATACCACTAGCCCTGAGGCCGTCAGACGTGCTCTGGAGTCCGCCAGAAACAGCGACAGCGGCCAGGTTGACCCAAGAGCAAATGCCGTCCTGGAGGCCGCCATCAACGAGCTCTGGAGAAGAATACAAACCCAGCCAGACTCCTATGTTCTCAGCCGAGATGAGTTCTCTTTGTTCAACTACTTCCGGGACCGATTCAGAAACTCCCCTGTTGCTCAGCATGCTGTTGAGCGCTTCTGGAACAACTTCAGGGGCAACCCATCTGAGATTGACGGCTACCTGCAGCGCCGTGCATGAATAGGGAGACTTATTGCCTGACTCTCAGAAAAGCCCTATAAGGCAGCCGGCTGCCATTCGGGCTTTTTCTATGCTACCTACCGTCGACCAACCAAACCAAACCAAAGAAAAATCCCATCAAGGAATTTGGGGGGGGGAGGGAGAGAGGAAGCCCAGGAGTGGAGTACTATAAGCGAGAGAACGATTTCTATTAGACACAACCGCTCATCGATCGATCGACTTTGCCATGATATGATACCTAATTCACCTCCCCCTTTTTTTCTTGTTGCGCTCGTCATCAAAAGAAAGGGAGCTTTTCCGGTATTCACCACACATTTCCCGGTCTGCCTCTTCGTTTTTTCCTTTCTGTCTAGGGTTTCATCGTCATTATTTCCTTTTGGTTCAGTTATCTCTTGTTTCTTTATTTCCTTTCTAATATTCCTATTGCTACCCTTTAATGTCTGATTGTTTTTTTTTTTCCTTTGCTTTTCGGATTTTTGTGTCTGTCTCCATTGCTAGACAATGACTTTAGCGGGATAAGGGGGCAAAAACCAAGGAAGGGAGCTTCGGAGCTTATTGGACTGAATTCTTCTATAACTCTCTGGTTTGATGCTTTTTGTCAAAGGGTCTGTCTGTCTGTCTTTTTTTTTCTCTTTTCACACACACACGTTCTCTCTGGAAGAAGACATGTACCATTAGAATAGAATACTATTGTTCACACTCAAGCGCCGCTTCCAACACAAATATGTTTACAAAGCAAAAAGAAATGACAACTGGAGAAAAGCCTAGTGAAGCCCTTGCTGACTCAGGGTTGGTGAGCCTCAAACTCCCCCTTCTTCTGCTTCTCTTCTGCTTCTTCTTCTTCTTCGGCCTTTTCTCGCCTGCCTTGCTGTTCTTCTTGCTCAAGCTCAAGCGTTGTGATTGCCTACGAACAACCAAATTAGGCAATTGGACATCGAGCTCGAGTTAAAAAAAGGGCCCAGCAGAGGCGGAGACAGAGGGAGAGGAGAGGATCGGTCAGTAAACTCAAGAACCAAGAAAAGAAAAGAAAAGTATAAGAAGGAAAATAAGAAGAAAAAACGAATATTAAAAAGTTACTAAGTCAGTGGTTAACTTTTGGTCGGTGGAAATAGACGCTTTTGCCGGGATGGGCTCTTTATTTATCCCCATTTGGAGTATGGGTGTATAGCCGATATGTGGCTGGTTACATCTGAAATTGAGGAAAGCTTAATGGAGTAAAGCAGGAAACCTTCCCGCGTGGCTCATCCCGCGCTTCGATAGGGAGAGACGGGAAGGTGAAGGCTTTTTTCTCCGATGGTTGATGGTGGTTGTGATGGTGGTTGTGATGGTGGTTGTGATTGTGGTTGTGGTTGTGGTGGTTGAAGGTGACTTTCGTATCACGAGTGAGATCGGCTAACCAGTCAACTGTAACTAACTACCTGATCCCAGGACTGGTCCGTGTTTATCAGGGTTACTCTGCTTCTTGAGAAAGGACATACTCGGAAGTTAGGCTATGTAGACGGGGTTTTGAGTCAGGAGGTCGGGGAGCCCAGATAGCGAGATAGCGATCATAACGGCAGTTTTAAAATAAGGAGACCAACTCTCCAGAGTCGTCGACATGGCATCAGAGGTCAAGTTCGTTATTGGTGGCTGCAGGCTAGATCCTTGCTTCAGGCGCTTCCAGGCAGCAACAGCAGAGGAACATCGGCATTTCTGATTGTGGAAATCCCTCCTGTCTCCAACATCCAACCAACGGCTGCCTGACAGCGAAGAAGTAGGTGAGTTACTTTGTGTGAAAGTGGATAAATCTGGATCGCTATCATGTAGCCTTGCATATATAATGCGAGTATGCCAGTAAGTTAAGGAGACAAGGAGGCAGCAGGCGTCATCTCAGCATAGAGTTAGAGCCAAGGGAGGGAAAGCTTGCCCATAACTGCCCAGGTAGGAAAATGGAAGACGCTCTGTGGTCGATATCAGACTGCGCCAGGGCGGAGTAGCTAGTTAGGGGATGGGGATGGGGAGAGAGAAAGGGAGGGGGGTGTCAGTTTGCCAGCTACTTAGCTAGCAAGAGTGGTCGTTAGTTATAAGAGCGAAGCAAGGAGGTTGAGTTTGCAGCTGCTCTCCGTTAAGTTAGTTAAGGGGCCAGGGAGGGAAAAAGGATAAAAAACAAGACTTCACTAAGACGTGGACTATTAATATACCGTCCAGGGAGCAGCCAGGACGGACGAGACGGAGGGACGAGGAGGCTTCGACGACGTGAGCCAGAGGCAACACTTATCGGCGGGTATCTGGCTATATCCGAGCTGTAGTTAAGGATGGCCTGGGCTTGCTCTCGGAGGAGTAGCTAGTTAGCCAGTTGGTTAACCCGTCGTCGAAGGACAATAAGACGTTGTCTATATAGCCAAGTCAGTGTGGCATCGACTCCGCACAGGGCTAACAAACGACAGCTAAACGAGGATGTTTATCTGTTAGCTAAACTAGTGAGGTAGCTCTTTTATGTAGCATCTCCGCGCTTCGCTGTAGTTACTGGCTGGCTGGCAGGTCATCTCAGGGTGCTCATGTACGTAGCAAACCGACTAGTTACCACCCGCCAGCCAACGTCAGGCATGAACACACCCGGAACATAAGGGAAAAAAACAGAGTTGACCAGGGATGCCCGTTAATAAGATTTCTTTTCTTTTCTTTTCTCAGCGAGTGAGTGGCCCTCCCTCTCGCTGTCTGGTAACCCGACTCAGCTCGACTTCCCCCAAAGTTATCGAGCCTGGTGTCTGTATGCACCAACCGTGTGATCAACAGAAACCCGGCAGTCAGGTTCGACCAGGCGGATTTAAAATCCAGGCAGACCACTGGAAGGACAGGGAAATACCTCCGCAAGGGGTTGTACCGCTGGTTTAGGTTGAACACGTTGGGGCGGACGCCCTGGGCTTGCATGTTGTTGCTCTCGCTCGCTCATGTTAGACGCTGATCCCCATGCACGGCGAGGCGACAGAGAGTTCGACGGACGGACGGACGGGTGAGGAAGGAAAGGGAGGAAAAGCCATTGTCCTACCTGCGGGAGAGGCTCACTGCAGCTGTTGTTCGTTTCTTCGTGCCCAGATGTGAGGCATCATGGAGCGGTAGAGACGGGGATATCATAAAAGGTACCTAAGGTGTATAACGAATTAGCTGACCTGCTATGAATAGCCTATCTAACTGAGTTGACTAACTAACTTGGTTAACAAAGTGCAAAACTTAGAATTTATCCCGTAGAACCCTCTTTTTGCTTTTCGCCCGCTTCGTAAAAGAGTGCAACAGATATGCAGAGCGCACAGTCAGGCAGAGACAGACGGCTACCTGTAAACTCTCTCTGTCTCGCTGTCTCTACGGAACTATGTGCCTCGCCTGTGTTGGGGCTTCCAAGTGGCAGAGAGGATGACCCCGTCAGTAAGCAAATAACTTTGTTTAACTACTCGGTCGAATAGATGCGTCATCTGATGGTGGAGTTACGAGAGCGAGGCCACGAGGAAAACGAGAAGACAGTGATGCCGATGTGACGGATGGAAGATAGAGCATGTTTCGTGCATACATATGCGAGTGTCCTCTGCATAACCTAGCTGGCTGGCTGGCTGGCCGTGGGAGGATGCGAGGGAAGATGGAAGAAGCGAGATGAAGCTTTGATAGGTCGAAGCGACCTAAACGAAATACATGGTATTAAAAAAAGTGATAGAAAAGTCTATAGAGGTGATATACTGCAGTCAGAGACCAAAGGAGATTTAAAAAAAAATGGGAGGGAGTGAGAGTGTGAGGGAAGAAGAAATATACTATGATGGCATGGACGTGTGTCAAATAACCGTCAGGCGGACAGGCAGCCAGGGGGTGTAGGATTGAGAATTGAGCAGAATCCACGACAAGACTGAACAGGTCATAAGGGGCGAAAAAAGAGAGAGATGCTCCTTTAAAACTTTCTGGCTTCCACGTCCTTCCTGGAGATCCCGAGCCGCCTCTTGTCAAGACCCATGGACATCAGGAACTTTACGGAATCGTCCCATTCCGTCTGTTTTCGCCTTGCGTCCCACTTAAGCTCTTCAGCCATGAGATCGATGACGACGGGAAGCGTCTCCAGGGCGGCTTGGGCGTTTAGGAAGGCCAGTCTTGTTCGTCGAGCCAGCACGTCGACCGCGGTCTGGGCGTATTCGCGGCGCACAGCATATCGGACCTCACCATCGATGAACGGGTAGAGGGGTGAGAGACGCACGCCTCTCAGCGGGAAGCGCGTGTCAGTAGCATTTGATAAGGCGGCCACTTCCCACGCTCGATCACCGTAGGATTGAGTAAGGTGTTTAGCTACGTCAGTTGCGAGGCCAAAGTGCTGGATAAGGTTGATAAAGAGCGTCTTCGAGTATCCATGGGCGCCCATCAGTCGAACTTTGTGTGTCTGGCAAGTTCCATCTAGCACGGCGCTGCCACTGTACGAGAGGACGCCGCTGGTGTTGGGGTTTGAGAGAGGCTTCCCCGGCTGAAGGTTGAACTGCTTGATGGCTTCGTCAACTGCCTCCTCGGCCATTTGCCGGTAGGTGGTCCATTTACCACCAGCGCAGGTTAGTAGGCCAGAGTTCGAAACGGAGATCAAATGGTTGCGCACGAGAGACTCGGTATTTTTGGCCTTGGGGTCTCGGACTAAGGGCCGGATTCCAGACCACGCTGCCAGGACGTCATCACGCTGGACGTTGATGTCGGGTGCCAGGTATCCTCGGATCTCACTGAGAATCCAGTTGATGTCCTCTTCAGATGGAATAGGGTCCTTAGTGATCTCAGTCGGGCTGTCTGTGGTGCCTGCAATGGTGTTCCCTTGCCAAGGCAGGAAGAAGATAACCCGACCATCTGACGTTGAAGGGTCTATCAGTCCCATCTTTGCAGGGCTGTAGTACCCTGGAAGGATGATATGTACCCCAGAACTTGGTGCCACGATCTCATTGATGCCCGGATCGTCAAGCTTCCTGATTGAATCGGTGAATGGACCCGTAGCATTGATGATACTTTTGGCCCGGATCGTGAACTCGCCTTCCTTCTCCCCATTCCTCTCTGCGATCAAGTCTTTGACTTTGGCCCCGTTAAGTTTGCCATTGGCATCCTTCGTCAACCCTGTCACTTCCATGTGATTGACGACAGTACATCCGTATAGCGCTGCAGTCATGGCCAATGACACGTTCATACGAGAGTCATTATGCGCTCCATCTGTAAAATGTTGTTCCTAGTAAGTAATCTAACCGCAACAAAGATTCTATTAAAAGAAAAAGGTCATTGGACACACGAACCATAGTAAACCAGGGCTCCGAAAAGGTTATCTTTCCGAAGCATGGGAAATGCATCTAAGGCTTTACTTCGGGGCAAGAAGTACGAGCTTTCAATACCTTCCGAGCCAGCAAGGAAGTCGTAGCATTTCGTACCAGCCCAAAAATAGGGCACCTGCCACCACTTCTGCACAGGCACCATGATGGGCAGCCACATGGACAGATGGGGGGCAGTGTGAAGGAAGTATTTTCTCTCTCGTAAAGCCTCCTTCACCAATGCGTATCTTCACCGTTTGAAAAAAAGTTCTTCGGTCAGTCATGGACGGAGAAGAAAACAAAGGTGGGGGGGAGCATACTGGTTGTAGTCCATTTCCCAAACTGCCTTCTCCAGGTAGCGGACACCTCCGTGAACGAGCTTTGTACTCTTGCTACTTGTGCCAGCGCTGAAGTCATCACGCTCGACCAGAGCAACACGGAGGCCCCGTGTTGCAGCATCGAGAGCAATTCCAGACCCAGTAGCCCCTCCGCCGATAACCAGAATATCATACACATTATCATCTTCCTTTCCCTTTTCGGAGCTCTCGGTTGAACTCTGCGATTGTCCTTGCGCTGACTCAACAACGTCCTTCAGGGCCTTTATAGGCAGAACAGCAGCAGAATGCTTTCTCAAGTCATTGATCTGCTCGTCTCGCGACTTGATCAGGGGAAATTGAGGCGGCTGAAGTTTTCCATCGCGAGTAGTGGGCGGAGGAACGGCGGCTGGATCGGAACCGGGGAGGTTGCGCGGTCGATATGAGATGTAGAGAAGACCTCCACCACCAACCACAGCTCCTGCAGTATAGAGAAGAGGCTTCAAAATTCGCCGTCTCTGATTGAATGACATGATAGAGCTAATTGAGAGGTATCAAACAGTTAGCATATGGTTGGCCAGCTTTCCCCGATGGATTGGTCTCCGGAAGTGCCAGGAAACATTAGATAACACAGTCGAGACACTCACCTTTCCTTGCCTTTTGCTTTTCCAGCTTATTTGAAGAGCGAGATCAGAGCTCTTTTGTTTTAAAGCAATTGAGGAGGAGAAACAGTGTGCTTCCAGAAATTTGGGACGACGGACCCTTGTGGAGCAGGCGATCACGACACAACCCGACCTTGTATTTGCGACGGACACAGGCTGGAACCGGCTGCAGATTCTGACTCGAGAATCTGTTTATTTATTTTTGATTATATATACACAGCTCTGAAACGCAGCGATGCATTGGCTGTCGGGAGGCTGTCTCATCTTGTCGCCGCTCGCCGCATCTACGTCAATCTTCCTGTGAGCAACCAAGAAGCAGACCAAGAAGCTTCCTCCCGGCCGGCATGTGCTCCGGAAGACGGAAGTGCCGACGATGACAGCCGCGCGGTACCAGGACATATATTAATCCGATAGCCGAGGTGCGGCTGGACGCAAGGCGGAACGCTTCCGTGCTAAGCGCCGCTCCAAGAGGAGGAACGTGCTCGAGGCAGACACCCATATTAAGCGCGGGGTTTCCCCCCTATATTTTATTATTAGAAGCCCAGCTGGGGGTAAAATAAAAAAAATTCATTTTTTTGTTGAGAAAGGGGAATGATCAGTTGAAAAGGGGTGGTTTGCGCTGCATTTATCCTTCGTCGAAAGTTGCTCCCTCGTTGGAGCTGTATAACTCTTCAAAATGGTGTTCGTGAAGATGTTCTCGAATTTGGTCAACTACCCAGTCGAATCTTTGATCATTTTGTCTTGTGTGCTCTCCACCGTTTACATTCTCAGCAATGAGTTTAGGCGGTACATGGCCCGCATTAAGGGTTTCAAAGGCCCACCAGGCCTTCTCATGATTGGAAATCTCGAGCAAATCCAGGAGAATGCGGCAGAACAATATCGGCAATGGTCTGGAGAGTATGGACCTGTGTACCAGATCCAGTTGGGCAATATCCCTATTATCGTGGTCAATACTGCGGCTTCTGCAAAGGCGCTGTTCAGCCAGAACTCCCAAGCATTAAGTTCGCGACCTGAGTTCTATACATTCCATAAGGTGAGTTTGGCAGCTTCTCATTTTTTAATATCGCTACTGATAAATTGGGGTAGGTGGTGTCAAATACTGCTGGTACAACAATTGGGACTTCTCCTTACAGTGATTCCCTTAAAAGGCGAAGAAAGGGAGCCGCTTCTGCTCTCAACAAGCCATCTGTTCAGTCATATGTTGGCCACTTGGATCTCGAGACTAAGGATTTCGTCTCTGAACTTCTCAAATATGGACATGCGGGAAATACCGCCATTGATCCCATGCCCATGATCCAGCGACTGAGTCTTAGTCTTGCTCTTACCCTTAACTGGGGTGTTCGGATGGCATCGCAGGAGGAGGAACTCTTCAAGGAAATCACTCATGTCGAAGACGAAATTAGTCGGTTTAGGAGCACCACTGGAAACCTACAGGATTATATCCCTCTTCTACGCCTGAACCCTTTCAACTTTGGGTCCAAGAAAGCCGCAGAAATGCGGGATCGCCGTGACAAATACTTGCAGCACCTAAATGCCGGCCTTGAGGAGAGGATGGCTAAGAATGAACATCAGCCATGCATCCAAGCCAATATTATGCTTGACGAGGAAATTAAATTGAATAAAGAGGAGCTTACTTCCATTAGCTTGACCATGCTTTCTGGAGGACTGGATACTCTGACGACATTGATGGCTTGGAGTATTGCTCTCTTTTCGCAAAGGCCTGATATCCAGGATAAGGCTGCAGAGGCTATTAAAGAGTTTTACTCTCGAGATCAGCCATTATGTGATGCAATGGACGACCAAAAGTGTGAATATATTGTTGCGTTGGGCAAAGAGTGTCTTAGGTATTTATCCTTCCTCTACTCTGTTTTACGTCATTTTAGATATACAGGAAAGGGGCCTGGAGAGAAAGCTAACTTTACTCTACAGATATTTCACAGTCCTTCGCCTTGCACTTCCGCGAACTTCGATCAAGGATATCACCTACGATGACAAAGTTATCCCCAAAGGAACTGTCTTTTTCCTTAATGCATGGGCATGTAATATGGGTCAGTTCACTCGATATATTTCCTTCCCTAATTGTGCTCGGTCCCCGTTTGTAAATGCTAACTCTTTTACCTTTAAAGACCCTTATGTATGGACTGATCCAGAAGTGTTCCGGCCCGAGCGCTGGATCGAAAAACCAGACGCACCGCTATTCACATATGGTCTTGGCTATCGCATGTGCGCTGGGTCATTGCTGGCTAACCGCGAGATTTATCTCATCCTAATTTGCATGCTAAACAGCTTCAGAATTACGTCAGACGAAAAGATCAACACCCATCCAATCCACGGAAATTCTGATCCAACGAGCTTGGTTGCCATCCCTAATAAATACAAAGTGAGATTTACACCGAAAAACAAAACTGCACTTGACGAGGCCATTTCTAGCTTCTCTTCAAAATAATATGATACAAGCATTTGGTATATGTGGCTTAGCCTGCTCTGACAAATTGTGTTATATATATCTCTACAAAATCATATAACTGGGTTACATTTTTTATTTTTCTTTGCAAGACAGTTCCACTTAGGTGACCACTTATTCTCCGATAGCTTCATAATGGGACGCAATATGATCAACATTATTGATGCTCCATCCATGATACGTAAACGGGTATCCATGATTCTATAATAACTCTTACCAGCCTGCCGAGGGCCCTTCAGAATGCCTCGGATCTAACACAACTCATCGGGTGGTATGTTTCATCGGATAAAACTGTTGCAATTCTTAATGCTCACATTATTTTGACATGTTCGAAATACTGAACAAGCCAGGCACCTTTGAAGGATGGGCTTATAGCAGCTTCATTATTATAGCCTATCGCTTAGTCCCTTGGGCTTGCTGTTCCAGGAGTATTCTTACAAGGGGAACCGGAAGGGAGTCCTTGACATTATCCTCCTCCTTGGCACCCTCTTGTTGATTCGCATTAGACGGACTCTCCTGATTTTTGGCTTGAGGAAGGCCGCCTAATCCAACTCAGCATACAAATACAGGTATATTGGGTACAGAGTGGGTAAGCCAACTTACTCGCAGCCATATTAATGACTTTAAGTACACTGTCAAAGTTTGCCATTATGCAAGCGACAGCTAAAAATAACGGCCGCGGTTAACGCTTTGAAAATGGAATGAATAATATGGATGGCTCTTACCTTCTGCTCCATTTTGTAACGTTGCAAGTTTTGCTTCCAATGCCTCTAACTGTGTTGTCAGAGCATTGCTAATATCCCGTAACTGTTGGATATCTTCTAACTCCGCTCGCTTTGCAGCTACCAGTGCAGCTAAACTCGAGGATTGACTGCCAGGGCGTGACGATAAAGTGCCCGCAGCGGAAGAGGGGAATATTGCAGTTGCACGCTTATTGTAAGACATCAGGTTTATGGTAGCGATAACAGTTCATATGAATAGCAAAGAATTGCCCACATATCCGTCACAGAGCCCTGGAAACGTAGGGATACTCCCTAAAATCGCGAAGTCTTGATGCATCACCTCTAGAAACATGCCTCCCTCAGGTTTAAAAAGATATATCACGTGATTATCCTAATAATACATAATCAGTGTCGTTTTCTTATGTAATGAGCCAAACGGGAGACTAACTGTAAATGGATAAACATAAACAGTGTCAAGCCAAGACCTCCGACCTTTGGCTCAAGCAAACACAAGTGCTGATTTTATTTCTCACTGAAAACAAGACACGACTCGATACAGTTATCTGATAGGGGACCCTTAATATTCTATACTTACACATTTTGACCCGAGACGCACTGTCCGTATTGCTGGGCTACCACGACGGCCTCGATCAGTCATGGCTCGATTGAACGATCTACCGACAACTTTGGACTCCGTCGAGTCCTGTATGTCCCCCTGGTCGTCCACGATTCAACAGAATCATAGAAAATTAGCTACTAACAGGCCATGCAATAGTAAAACGGCGATTTATCAGACAAAACCGTGAGATTGCCCGAGCAAATTCAGTACAGTCCATTCGCATAAGAACCCTTGAGGCGGAGGTATCGCATCTCCTAGCCGAAAATATCACACTGCGAGAAGGGATTATCTCCGCAAATAACGAGCTTGAACAATATCGGTCAGGGACGCACTTTGAAAAGCGCATAAATTCTCTGCGAGAAAGATTTGAATCCGGCTTAGGGGAATTGTCGGCTCTCGTTAAGAATCTCAACAAGTTACCATCCCAGTTTTGTGAAAATAGTGCACCTGCTTTGAAGGGGGACCCACCGGAAAAGGAAGAGGAAACAAAACGAATTACGCCTAGAAACCGCTTGCGACTATCTGAAGACAACGCCCTGTTAGACGATGGCAGCTATATGCCCGCAATTCCCGAAGATAGAGCATATGCTCCAGAAGTCAACGAAGAGGCAGAGGAAGAAGAGGAAAGGCCGCAGAGAGACGATGTCGTTGAAGAATTTCGACCTATAGATAACGTTGAGGTACCGGAAACGGGGTCCGAAGTTGATGCCCGTACAAGGGACCAGGAGGAGCCGCATCTGCCATGCGCTACAAACGAGAACTCAGTAGCAGATGTCTTACGGAAAGTCCGACCAATAAATACCCGGCCAAAACGAAGAGATAGTTCTCTGGTTCAGACTTTGATATCAAAGAAAGATGTTGATACCGACAGTGATGTAGCAGTTCTTACGGTTGCTGGTTCTAAACGGAAACTTGAGGCCCAGGACTTTGAAAACCTTCCACAGGCTAAGCAACAAAAAGATGAATTCCAATACACCTTGACGAAGAAGGCCCCAAACAAACTACCCGACGACATTGGAACCGGTGCTGAAAACGAACCGGGGGTCATGTCTGTGAGCAAGGAGGGTATCAGGAGTTGCACGGGACCGGCAAAGTCTCGAAAGGCTCTTGAACCTAGTAAGTATATCCCTATTACAGGTCTATCCGGTTTCTTCAGACTTGAACTGACCCGATGTGGTAGAAAACGTGAATTTAAATCCAAAGTCAACAATGAAAAAGGTGGCTCATGATAACTTGGCTTCTGAGAAACGAAAGGCCTCTGGACGGAGAAAAACCGAGGGAGGCCGCAATCCTCGTCGCAGGGCTTCTGATCTCCTGACAAATGCGAAAACTGAGGTTATTGTTAGCGAGGATGCGCCTCCTTTAAATAAACCCATCGAGATCACTCTGGATGACCAGAGCCAAGATACTGTACCCTCGGAGATATTTATTGACAGTACGGATGGCCACGACAACCATTTGTATTCTGAATTTCAATCAACAAGCACCATAGAAGGGCAAGCTCAGCGATCAAGGCCTTCGAGACGCTCGCGTGGGCCAGTAAACTATGCTGAGCCTAGTCTAAGAGGCAAGATGAGACGCCCTACTGAAGACCTGGTGGATGCGGTAGCAGACCATACAATCAAGCGGCTTTCGAGGTCATATAACGACCATATTGACGCAATTGAGACTGGATTACCTGCTAAGTCGAGTATCGCAAAAAATGTGACCAAAATGGATGACCGAGATGGCTGCGAGGATAAGGATCTTGAAGAAGTGATCGAGGAGAGCAGCTACTCTAGCGAAAATGATACAGATACGGATGGGACATGGTCTAATCGGGGCCAAAGAGCTAGATCTATGAGAGCACCCACCCCAGACCCAACTACCAGGCCAGTGAGACATTCTCGCAGGAATTCGTCACACCCGAATTACAGGCTGGAAACGAATCCGATGGCACATATACCAGCATAGCCTGCTGCGGATAAGGCATTGTTGGGGAAACCCAGAATTTTGGTGTGGTCAAAGCCAGAGTGTTGCAGTCTAATCTAAACCATGTATATACGAAGCACTGCCATGCATATTTTAATGTGAACTTGAGACCAACAGGACTGGGACATATTAGCTCCAATTACAACTCTTCTTATCCTTGAGTAGTCGACCTTCATATGTCTGGAGGGGAGGTCCATATTTGTATAGGTTATGCTCGCTTGAAGCTCTCTCGGCTTTGGGAAATCACGGTCTTCGTCTTCGCTTATCCCAGCCCTCGCGTCATTCGCACAGCAGTCTCAAGTCATTCTACCGCCGGCCCCCCTGTCCTGCATGGACACCCATGCACCTTGAAGGGCGTCGGCTGGAAACATACGATGCTTGACACGGGAGTAATCGCTCATGGGATCCGGCCGAACCTTATTTACCGGATGCCTATCTCTTTGATGTGTTGGATCCAGTCTGACCGTGTGAGCTGTGCATCAAACGCTGAATTTCCCTGTTGGATCCGGAGTTTGAAGCGGTTAATATCCAAATCAACTCGGGTTTCCCGTTGCTTGCTTGGCACTATTTCTTATTCTTCGGAATCCGTTCATAAGCGTTTGGCCTTGGTTTGCGTTTCTGGTGGTCTGAGCATCCGGATCCCTGGTTGAGATATGCATGTTAGAGAAGCTCATGTCTGGCTAAGGGGAGAGCGCTTACCTTGTGAGAATGCGCCTTGTCTGATCGTCCGTCGTCGTCGGAAGAGTCATCATCGAAATCTGAGTCCGACGACTCTGATTCAGAGCTACTTTCGCCCGCGGGTCGTGGCTTATGATAGATACAACAGACTGTTGTTAAAGCAGTAAGCAGACTGATCTAGTAGTCCCTCGGAGACAGCGACGTACCTTTTGAGCGTTTCCTGCCCTGACCTTCGTTGTCGACAACATCCTCTGCCCATTTTATACGTCTCTCTTGTACCGGCGGCTCGTTACTTTGCTCTTCTGCTTCTCCCCTTAGCCTTAGAGTGCCTGTCAATGGTAGGCCACCCCGCTCTTGGGAAGTGGTTTGGGTGTTTGACGCCGTTCCCGAGGCGTTTTGCGCTGAAGTCCCGAGCATAGCTGCTGTATGGTACTCGGGATACACTTGTAGAGGTCTAAACAACAAACAGAATAAAAGGTATAACGCTTTTCTCGTACGGAGGTGAAGGGCCTCGTCGAAATGCTTGCTGACCTTTAAACCATCTCCAACTGGCACATGCAAGAAAAGAGAAAGACGTCACGAGAGGTTTTGGCTTCTTATCGCCGATGACTAATCATGAAAGACTAAAAAATTGTCCCGCCAGCTGAAGAAAAAAGGCTGGGGTAAGGGAAGACGAGGATGAAGCGTCTCTAATTGACGAAGAGCAATAAACAAGCAGAAGGAGGAGAGGGAAAAAGAAGGACATAATTGATATTGAAGATGTCGTTCTCTAATCTCGTGTCGGACATTGCATTCAGAGACTCCCAGGGCGATGAGCGTATACCCAGAGGCCCTCGCTCTCACATTGCCGCTCCATCTTCATACCAAAGCACCACCACAAGCGTCAGCATCTCAGGGAGCATTTCCAGCCAGCTTCATGCTGGATACAACCACCCATTGACCAGAGAATGGCAGGCAGAAAGGCAATTAACCAAGGTAGGCTCTGCTTCTGCTGTGTATCTTCTACCTCCATACTAACCAGTGCGCCCAGGCAATGCTCATGTACCCCCTCTTCATCACGGACAGACCCGACGACCAAATTGCCGTCCCCTCGCTACCAAACCAGTACCAGCTGGGCCTAAACAGACTAATTTCATTCCTTAAACCGCTAGTGAAAAAGGGTCTAAGATCCGTCATACTCTTCGGTGTACCGTTGGCTCCTGGATCCAAAGACGCTCTGGGAACAATGGCAGACGATCCTTCCGGACCAGTGATACAAGCCATTCGTCTGCTACGCAGTACTTTCCCATCGCTATACATTACGGCAGACGTGTGTATGTGCGAGTACACCTCGCACGGCCACTGTGGTATCCTGCGCGAAGACGGATCATTGAACAACACGCTCTCCGTGGAGAGAATGTCTGATATCGCTGTGGCATATGCACAGGCAGGAGCGCACTGCGTTGCACCCTCTGATATGAACGACGGAAGAGTCAGGGCAATTAAGCTTAAGCTTATTGAAGCGGGGATTTCGCATCAGGTAGTTCTAATGTCCTATGCGGCGAAGTTCAGTGGTTGTCTTTACGGGCCGTTCAGAGACGCGGCGGGCTCGACGCCTTCGTTCGGTGATAGGAAGTGTTACCAGCTCCCGCCTAGTGGCAGGGGATTGGCGAGGAGGGCTATTCGGAGAGATATTGATGAGGGAGCGGATATTATCATGGTGAAGCCTGCAGGGGCGTATTTGGATATTATTAGTGATGCGAAGGAGCTGGGGAGAGATCTTCCTGTTGCTGCGTATCAGGTGAGTGGGGAGTATGCGATGATTCATGCAGGTGCGAAGGCGGGCGTGTTTGAGCTTAGGGCGATGGTCATGGAGAGTATGCAGGGTATTCTTAGGGCTGGTGGGAGCATTGTGACGACGTACTTTGTTCCGGAGCTGCTTGACTGGCTGGAATCTTAAGGCTGTGGAATGTCGGGTTTTATAAGTTCGATTTCGGGGATAGAGTGATCAAAAGAAGTTAAAAAATAAAGGATCAACGGTCGTGATGATAATACATAATATGTATATGGATAGCAGGACATACCAGGAAATATAAATTTCTTCACAAGAGCAATAAATCGACTACGATACATAAACACATTAAACGGGGAGACGGACGGATGGACAAGACAAGAACGCCATTTTCATCAACGCCATTAAACCAGGGAGTTAAATTGGCAGTAAAGGGCGTAATGGGAGTAAAAGGTATATGCTCACCGGGCCAGAGCATAGAAGATAAAAGGGTCAAGGTCCGGGCAAAGGAAGCAACGAAAATAACAAGCAGGAAAACAAAAACAGAACTGAGAGTGTATCGAACATCGCAACAACGGAGAAAGGACAGCAGATAAGGAGATTGACGTTTGGTGAAGAAGGAAGATAGCAACCGTCCAGAGAATGCAAAATGCCATTCGCCTGATATTGAATTTGAGTTTATGGTATTTTTTTCCCTCCTTCCACCCTTTGCGCTTTTTGTAAGCAGTCGTGGCTAGCATAAAATATGGGGAGCAATGAAAAATCGAGCATCAGAGATAGTAGTATATAGTATATACGCCAAAACAGGGCTGCATGAGAGATGTCAGGGGCTGTGGCAGTAAAAAGTAACGACAACAACAGAAGAAGAAGGAAAAGTGATTATTATGGAGGATCACGATGAGGCCTGGTGCCTTTAAGGGTAGTTTGGCTTCAACCCTTGGAAGCCATAGGGCAGAATCTGCGAACGGACCACCTCGCCAGGGGCAATGTAGGCGCCACGTCCGAGCGTAACGCCGGGAAGAATGGTGCATCCGGCGCCGATCCAGCAGTCTTCGGCGATGACGACGGGACGGCCCTGGTACCTTGACTGGGAGCCCTTGCGTTCCTGCATGCTGCCGATAGCCATTGAACTGAGAATGGTGACGTTGGGGCCGATCCAGGTGTGGGCGCCGATGTTGATGGAGCAGTCATCGGCGAAGAAGCAATTTTCGGAGATGAGCACGTCCTCGCCAATATTGATGTTGTAGCCGTAGTGGCAGTTGAAGGGCGACTCGAGCACAGCGCCTGGGCCGAGGGAGCCGGTTGGAGTGCTGGTTGATGGTGGAGGAGCGTCTGGTGATGGTTCAATGGGCGGCGGTTGGAGGATCTGGGTGAGCAGACGGGTCTTCTCTGCAGAGCTGATGCCGTAGAGAGGGTTACCAGCGTTGGTGAAGCGCCAGAGAGCAGACTTGCACTGTTCACGATCGCGGACGAGTTCGGGGTCGAATGGGCGGTACTGTTCGCCGCTAAGCATCTTTTCCTTTTCGGATTTCTCCGTGGGACCCTCAAAGGGGACATGGGGCTCCATGCTGCTGAGGGCGAGGCGGGCCTGGGTGGGGTAGTTACCCGGGTCGACTCGAGGAGGAGCGTGGTTGGGACGCGGCTCCATGTTTGGCTGGAACACGGGGAGTCCAGGTTTTTGGTGCGCGTTGTTTCCGGAGCCATTGTTAGCGGGACTGTTGTTATTGTTATTATTGTTGGTGCTGGCGTTGTTAGCGTGTGAGTGGTGGTAGTCTGACTTTGGCGGTTCGGGACGCGACATGTCAGCCATGACGGGTCCGTCTCGGTACTCCATTTTGGGACCCGAGTCCTGCATCATATGGTGGTTGGCAGCCTGCCATGAGCCCTTCTGCCATGCCACGCGAGCAACAGAGCTGTTGGGGCTGGTCATGTAAGCCTGAGCTCGTTCGCTCTCTTCGACCGAGACCGGCCTGGCCTTGCTTCCGTCGGGAAGCATGGGGCCGCCTATTCGGGAATCATGGCGTTGGGGGCTCATGTCCTGCATGTACATGCTCGGTGGTTCAGGATATCGGTCCTTGGACTGGAGCGGGATGGGGCCTTTGGCCTGGGATGGTTTCTGCCAGGTGCTACGGACCGAGTATCCTTCGCAAGGGAAACCGCCGCGGATGCAATTGTTGCCTGCAGAAAAGTGTCAGAATACGAGTTGAGTTATATACAACATTTTTAATTAAGAACAAGGGAGAACGAAAAAAATAAAAAAACCACTAAAAAATTAAAAAGGAGAAAAAAAAAATTGAAGGACCAAAAACTAAAAAAAACTTACAAGACGGATGTTGTTCGTCGCACTTCTTCTTCCTTCGTCGGCAAGTCATGCATCCGGTCTTGGTGCGGTTGCTGAAGACTCTCTTTCGCTTTGGCGCGACCTGGGAGCCGCTGGGAGACTGGCTCTGCATGTTGTGAGCCGACGAGCCGCCACCTTGCATCTCCATGGTGGAGGCATTCTCGGAAGGGGTCTCGCTCTGGACCTCGCGCTGCAGAGCCTCGGCGAGCTGAGCGTCGGATGCATCCATGTGCTGCTGCGGCTTGGAGTGTCGTTGCGAGTTGTTCATCTCGTAGTCCCAGGCGACATTGCTGGTGCCTGGCCTGGCCTCGTCTGGGCGTTCAACACTGGTATATGGTTGTTGTTGCTGCTGTTGCTGCTGTTGCTGGTGGTGATGATGGTGAGGAGGATGTTCCGAATTGCCATTTGCGGCCGGCGGCGGTGGTTGTGAGTGAGGATGGTCAGCCGGCAGCGGGCCGGGAGGGCTCCGCACAAGGTCAGCGTGGTGGCTGTCTATGCTGGATCGCTTGCGCTTGTTTGACGCAGCAGCATTGCTGCTGTTGTTGGCACTGTTTGTATTGCTGGCGGCGGCGGCGACGGCCGAGGCAGTGGCAGCGGCAGCGGCAGTCGCGGTGTTGTCCTGAGCTGAGGCATCGGCGTGATCAACCGGCGAGTCACGAGACCCGTCCGCGCTTGCTGGCTTATCCGAGAGAGGCAAGTTGGCGCCGTTGCTGGCGGCAGCGCTGGCAGTGCCGCCGTTGTTCCCGCTGCTGTTCCCACTGGCATTACCGTTGCTGCTGCTGGTGGTATTACTGGTACTGCTGGTACTGTTGTTGCCGGCGCCGGCGTTGTTGTTGTTGCTGCTACTCTCGTCGCGAGAGGGCGACGGACGCATGTCAGCCTGCTGCCCGTTCATGAGCGAGCCCGAGCGATCTCTGCCGTTAACCGCGGTGAAGCTGGAGGGACTCTGTTCTGGACTGGCCTCAGCCGCGATCTCCCGGCTGCCGCTGGGCAACGGCGCAGGTGCGACGACCGACATGAGGTCGAGGATGCAAGGCAGTCAAGCAGTCCTTGTCGCTTAATGAATGGGGAGGAGGAGGAAGAAGGATGATAGTACGATGGAGTTTTTGGTCGATGGTTCCCTGATGCGACTCGTCGGGGGCGGGCGAACAATGCGACGAGACAAGGGAGAGAAAAAAAAATATAGAATAAATATAAAATATAGAACAAAATAAAAAAGAAAAAGAAGGTGGAACGAGACGCAAAGCAGGCTACAGAACGCTTACTTCATGTGCTCCGTACCATAGGAGGTGGGAAGCAGGCGACGGGAGAGAGCGAAAGGGGGTAGAGAGGTGGCAGGACGGGAGACGCAGCGCGAGAGGAAGGGCAGTAGGCGAGCGAGGCGAGGGTTTAGGCGCGAAGGAGGGAAGAAGAGGGAAGAAACAGAGAGAGGGAGAGGGAAGAGGGAAGAAGGAAGAGAGCGAAGGGAAAAGAGAGCGAAAGGCGAAGGGGGGAAGCGACGGCGCTAGTGAGAGGGCCTGCAACCGCCGGCGCTGGGGGCAACGGGCTGGCGGCAGCAGAGACGAGAACGCTGCTTAGTTAGCGAACCTTAGTCGCAGCCGGAGGCCGTAGTCGCAGCCGTAGCCGTCGTCGTAAGTCGCAGCGCAGTCACCGTCATGGAGGGCGAGGGACGGACCAGCATATCCGCATCCACATCCGCATCCGCATCCGCAGCAGCAGCATCCACACTCGCATCAGCAGGCCAAGCAGCCAACAGGCGTCGAGAGCGAGATAACAAGTCCAAAAAAAAGGGCCCCAAAAGGCAGGGAGAACTTAACGCAAAAGCAGCCGAAAGGGAACGAGCTTTTACCGCCTGATGCTGATGGGTTGGTTGGGTGGGTGGGCGGCTGGGCGGATCGCGCATGGGGGGGGCGAACTTTGGGCGCTGCCAGGCCGGCTAGTTCGACGAGGGCTGCGCTGCTGCTGCTGCTGCTGCTGCTGCTGCTTGTCTGAGGCTGGGCTGGCTGTTGGCGCGGCCGCTGGTTGGCTGCCTGCCCTTGCCCTTGCGCTGGCCTCTCGCTGCTGGCTGCTGGCTGCTGCTGCTGCTGCTTCCCCCTACGCACATAACAAATACTAGCTCTTGCCCGCCTGCTTGCCCGCCTGCTTGCTTGCTGCTTGCTACTTGCTTTCTTGCTTGCTGGCGCTGGACCGGCGCTCCCGGGGCATCCCGACGGGCCCCCGCTACCACGACTCTACCGCTGCTCGGTAAGGGCCCCCCCTTTCGCCTTTTTCTGCTTCTTCTTCTTCTTCGGCTGCTGTTCTTCTTTTCTTTTCCTCTTTCGCTTGCTGAGCTTCTCCCTTCCTTCTGCTGCTTCTATCTGCGTCTCTCCTGCGACTTTGGCTTTTCTCTCTCTCTTTTCCTTGCTGCGTTCCTTGCTCCTTGCTCCTGCTGGGCCCTTGTCTAGCCACCCCTGGGCGCCTCCCCTAGCGCGGCCCCCATTGGCCAGCAGCAAGCCAGACATCGCCCGCGCCCCCCTTCCTTGCCCTTCTCCCCGGCCTGTCCTCCCCCTTTGGCCGGTCTCTTTGGGGGGCTGACAGGGGGTGGGCCACCGCTGGCTTCAGGCTTGCTTGTCTCGCTGTGCCTCGTTCGTGTCTCTGACTGGCCGCGGCCGCCCTGGGACCCTGCTGCGGTGCCGCGACTAGCGGAGTCGCCCGCCAACTGCCGCTCTTCCCTCTCCCTTTCTCTTGTCTCTTGTCTCTTATCGACATTTTTGTTTTTTTTTTTTGTTTTTTCTTTCCTTTTGCTTTTGCTTTTGCTGTTCTCCTTCTTGTTCTTCTTTGACCCTCAGCCCAACCTGACATTCGACGTCGACATGGACATTTTATTACTACAGCCTTACGACACGTACAAAGTACGGAGTACGGGGTACAAAGCATGGAGTATTACGTACCCTCTCGCAGATAATAGGATACGGTCGTCGTCTGATGGAGATGATGGTAGCAAGCAAAGAGGCAGACTGTCGGATATTAACTCTCGTCCCTATAAATAGCCCGCCAGTCAGCCGCTGGCGACTTGTTTTAGTGGCGCCTAAGGGGAAGTGAATTAAGGACCACACGGAGAGAGGGTGATCTCCCTCTCTCTCGCCCTCCAGCTCCCACAGGCTGGGCGGGCAAGACCCTTTTCCCGACCAGCTGGTGGTCCGCCCTTGTGCACGACGGGTTTCATGTTTGACTTCCCCTTCGCTTATTCTAATTCCTTTTCTTCCTCGTCTCTTCGTCTCCCTCGTCTCCTTCTGATATACTCCGTAGATGGGTTGGGGGACCTTCTCGACATGTGACCTGATTACTCATCACTTATCACCTTCCTATTTTAATCATTATGTAATATATTCGGAACAATATATCTCCTTGCTTATGTAATGACATTACAAACCTCTTGCTTATATAAGCGAACTCGGCGCTTCGCTTCTTCCCTTCGGCAGTTGTTTGGCCTTCGACAAGCCAGGAAAAAGCGATCTCGACCTCTAACTTGACCGTTGGATGCTAGCTCGGGCAAACTAACTAACCTCACCGTCGTTGCGCTTCTCCATCTGCTGTCTTTCTATCTTACACACAGGCTCCACGTCCACTAGCCAACACGGCCCAAGCATGTTCTCCTCTTACTCACCCCCTGGATGGTCGTGGTCTTGACGCTGCATGGCATTCAAATCTGTCCTGACTTTGCGCCGCAACCCTCTTCTAACGGGTATCTCCTCCGAAGCTCCTGCTCGATGACCCCTCTGTCCAGACCTTAGGGGACCAGCGTCACTAGATACCCTTGCCGTCCTATTATATCCTGTTGTTTATTGTTTTTTTCCCCCGTCCTTTTCCCACCCTCCAGACCGTTAGTTTTGACTACTCGGGCGGATGGGTTAGCGAGGATGAGCGACTATTTTGCAGCCGTTTGTAGATGCCCAGTCTGCTAGTTTGCCATTTTACCTCTTGGTAGTTCAACTTAACTATCAATCCCAACAAACCTCTGTCTCTTCCTTTTCGGACTTGCATAACCCTCTTGCTTCCTAACCATGCTGCGGACGGATTACAGAGAGACCCTGCTCTGCTAGTTACTAGTTAACTTGTAACTTATATATATGTGCAGTGGGTACGTCCGAGACGTGCGTTTGAACTGTGAATTATCTTTCTTCTTTCTTCTTTCTTCAGACCTTTGTCTTCATTATTTTCATTTCCTCATTCATACATCCGCTCAAACATACCTGGTCCTTTTTCTTTTTCTTCCTCCCTTTCCGAGTGGATGAAGCTTGGTGGGCTCGTCCTCTTTCTATTTTCTCTTTCCCACCCCCCTCCCCGCTGCCGAGCCAGCATATACTCACTCTCCTATATTCTTTTTTGGGAACATATCTCCTCTTTTGATTTTGCTTGTCATACTCTGACGGGTTGAAAATACATATCATTTATCATGCATTCTCCTTGTTTCCATGTAGCTATAGTTGGTGCTGGCCTGGGAGGGCTGGCTGCTGCCATTGGTATCGCTCGAGCTGGCCACAAGGTCACTGTCTTGGAGCAGCAGGCAGACGTTCAAGAGGTAGTTTTCTTTCCCTCACTTTCGCTTTCACTTTATCTCTCTATTTCTTTCAAAGCAAATATATCTAAACAGGTAGATATAGGTTGGTGCGGGCATACAGGTCCCTCCCAATGCTTCGTACATTCTCCAGAAATGGGGGCTCCTACCCGAGGCAGAACAAGCGGCCGTTCGACCGAGGGACTTCATTGTTAGATCATACCGAACTGGCAAAGTGCTTTGTGTTCAGAATGCTTTTCCCTATACCTTTGAACGCTATGGCATGCCGTACCTACATATCCACCGGGCAGACTACCACCGCATCCTCCTCCGCGAGGCAAACAGACTTGGAGTTGATATACGTCTAGATAGCACCGTCATTGGCATCGATTTTGACTCTCCTGCTGTCCGCTTGCTGGACAAGCCAGATTTTCACGCTGATGTAGTCATTGGTGCTGACGGTCTTCGGTCCGTCTGCCGCCAGGCCCTGCTCGGCCACGCTGATCCTCCCCAAACGACCGGAGACATGGCCTATCGTATCATTGTGCGAGGAGAGGATATCAAGCGCGATCCAAATCTCGCTGAACTGGCTGAGAGACCCGGTATGACCCACTGGATTGGCCCGAATGGGCATGCCGTGTGCTACTCCCTCAAGGGCGGGGAGCTATTGAACCTCGTCCTCGTCTGCCCGGATGATCTGCCGGATACCGTGAATCTTGCCGATGCGGACCCCAACGAGATGAGAGCTTTCTTTCATAACTGGGACCCGCGGCTAAAGTCTCTGCTTGACCTGGTCAAGACAGCCCAGAAGTGGCGGCTACGGAATAGCGGAGAGATGGGCTCCTGGTCCCATCCAAGTGGGAAGTTTGTCTTGCTTGGTGATGCCTGCCACGCCACTCTGCCGTACCTGTACGTACCTTTTCTTCCTTTTTCTTTTCCTTTTTCTTTCAAAGCAGCCTCGCCCTTTCTCTCCTTTATTCCGGGGCTAGACCTTTTTTAACATAACTATTTGACCAGCGCCCAAGGAGCTGCCCAGGCTATAGAAGACGGCGCTGCACTCGGCACCCTATTCAAGCGAGTCAAACACCGTTCCCAGCTGCGTGATCTTCTGGCCGTATATGAAGCCACGCGCAAAGAACGCACCTCCAGGATTGTACAGAGCAGCGCCGCGCTGCGAGATATCCTGCACATGCGAGACGGTCCCGGCCAGCGCAACAGGGACATCAAGCTTCACCAGCGGAGCCCCTTTGAGCCGTATCCTATTCCGTGGATCGATCCCAAGTTCCAGGCCTATCTCTTCGGCTATGATGCTTTTTCCGAAGCATCTAAGGCTTGGGATAGGTATATGGATGGCGAAGACACCACGTCAAAACCAAGAATTCATGCCCATCTATAATGACGATAATAATAATACTAATAGTAATAGTCGACGGCCCGTTTCCTTGTTAATGAAAAAAGTATTTGCGTTATTTGCCCCATGTGTATACCTTATGCAGGGACGAGATATTGGTTACATTCCCCCTTTGATCTTAATAAAAAGTTGCTGATTAATATCATTTTGTTCACTACCTATTTAATCTCATACCTCACGTCCGCCTGCGTTCTTCTCCTCTCGAGCCCTCAACCACCTTATCTAATGAACATTCGAACCCATGCACAAGTCAACCATTTGATGTAAAGGTACTTGATTTTGGATATTTACAATGCTCTCAAAAGATAACATACATTGAAGTCATTACACGATCTCAAAGTGATAGTGTCGTATTAAAGCTTTGGGCAATGCTCGGCTACCACGGTCGCCCGTAACTCTGTCAGTAAGAGGTGAATATTTAGCGCAACGTTCAAAAAATAAGCCGCCAACAAGCGATTTTTGATAGCTTAGCCGCGGTCCTTCCAAATCCAATTTGATAGGTGCCTCATCTTCGTTTTTTACTACTGCTGCTGCTTTCAAAAGGGTCAAATTCCGACATTTAGCCTGCTGTGGCTACTGACCGATAGAGCGTAGACATGTCTCTCTAGTGGAAAGAATTTAGTAACTAGTTATCCTCCGCTTCTTCTTGCTAAACTAGGGCCTATCGATGTGTAACTAGCTAAGACTCACCAGCTATCCCAAGATTGTGCTAGACACTGTCCGAGAAATACGGGGTACTATCGCTGTCTTATGGCTTGGAGTAGCATCTTACGGTGTTTCAGCTGATCATATCTATCTATTTATCCATCTAGACTAGCTACCCAGGTACAGAGTAACAGCTTGTATCCTCCTCCTTTCCCTTTTGCGGCGCTGACTTTCGAGGTGCTGTCGCTGACTAATCTCAACCGCTGACTAAGCCATCATTTGTTTTTGGGAGTGGGATGGGCCTTTTTTGTTTTGGCGTCAAAGGCAACAACCTTGAACAAGCAGCGACTCTCGCAGCCAGACAGCATTGTGCCCATCGATCGCACAGCCTTCTTTCTCCAGACAGGGCATCTTCCAGCTGAATTGCACCACAGTCAGCTCGTCTCGTCGCCAGCGAGTCTATCACGAACCGCCTGGCTACTGCTATCCACCGGCGCTCTCTCGCTCTGTGCCCCTCCTCCCCTTCACCTCCTTCTCCGCCTTGGTTCAACGGGCTTTTGCTACTCTCTCTCCCTCCGTCATCCACGGCCCAGCCACACCTCCATCAACACATTACGAAGACGATAACACCGTTTGCTCGTTTGTTGTGGCCGGATTTTTTTGGACGGCAGTGCTTGAGAACTGGGCCTGTCCCCCCTTTAACCCTGACACTTGATGCGCCATGTCGGTCTCTATCCAGGAGCTAGATAACACCGTTCGGGCCTTCTACGAGGGAAAAGGCGAAGCTGTAAGTCCACCTCCCCCGTCCGTCAGAGGGGGTGTTTGGCGCATGTCAAGTACAAAGCGATGCTAAATCTTTCGTCTCTCTTTAGCAAAAACAAGCACAGCAAGCTCTTACTGAGGTACGCACACATTGACAGGAGGTATCCAGCTTCTCTACATAATGCATCGTTTTAACCGAGACCATTCAGTTTAAACAAAATCCCGAGTCATGGGTGCTCGTCGGCAATATCCTCCAGGAGTCTGAATATGTCCAGACCAAATGTATGCCCTCTTCCGCCTGTTGCCCACCCTTGTAGAATTTCTAGCGCTAAGATACGCTCATTAGACCTTGCTCTTCAAGTCCTCGACGATGTGATCATGACACGATGGAAGGTTCTCCCTCGCGAACAGTGTCAAGGTATGGAACATCGACCTGCATAGGGAGCCTATAAAGCTATTCGCTCTGACCAAACTACCATTAGGCATCCGAAATTTCATCGTCAATTGTATCATCGAACACTCCAAAACGGAGGATAAACTGAAGAGCGAGCGGGCCTTTCTCAACAAACTTAACCTCGTCTTGGTGTCTATTTTGAAGCAAGAATGGCCTCACAATTGGCCAACCTTTATCAACGAAATCATATCCTCATGCCACACGAGCTTGTCGATATGCGAAAACAACATGGCCATCCTCCGTCTGCTTTCCGAAGAAGTTTTCGACTACTCTCAGGACCAGATGACATCTACGAAGGCCAGGAACCTGAAAACAACCATGTGCCAGGAGTTTTCCGCCATTTTCCAGTTGTGCTCAGAAGTCCTGGATACTGCAAACCAGAGCAGCTTAATCAAAGCTACCTTGGAGACTCTGCTGCGATTCCTGAACTGGATCCCACTGGGATATGTCTTCGAAACGCCCATCATTAACACTCTCCTCACGCGGTTCTTGGACGTTCCCGAATTCCGCAACGTGACACTCAAGTGCCTTACAGAGATTGGGAGTCTTCAAATTGGCCCGCAGTACTCATACGATGAGAAGCTTGTCCAGATATTCACAGATCTGTTAACAACCGTGTCCAAGATCATCCCGCTATCTCTGGATTTGAGGGAAACGTATGCGAACAGCAATTCCCGGGACCAAGAATTCGTCCTCAATCTTGCTCTTTTCCTTTGCAACTTTTTCAGCGTTAGGTTACATGTAAGTAAACCATACATGTTCCACCGCTTGGGGCTTTTATTTTCTAACTCGCCGCATTATAGCTTATCGAGAAACTCCCCAATAGAGACTACCTTACTCATGCGCATTTCTATCTCATCCGAATTAGTCAAATTGATGACAGAGAAATCTTTAAAATCTGCCTGGAGTACTGGACTCGATTGGTCCAGGAGTTGTATGAAGAGATGCAACAACTTCCAATCACTGATATAAACCCATTGGTCAGCATGGGAGTGAGCGGACTGTCCAACGGCGGTGCCCCCCACCCAAGTACACTTGCCAACTATCCTCTTCGAAAGCATAAATACCAAGAAGTTCTCACCAGTCTGAGAACTGTTATGATTGAGAAGATGGTTAGACCAGAGGAGGTCTTGATTGTTGAGAACGACGAAGGTGAAATTGTACGCGAGTTCGTTAAAGAGAGTGATACTATTCAGCTGTACAAAACCACCAGAGAGTGCCTTGTCTACCTTACCCATTTGGATGTAGTAGACACAGAAAACATCATGGCCGACAAGTTGGCCAAGCAAGTTGATGGAACCGAATGGTCATGGGCTAACTGCAACACACTCTGCTGGGCCATTGGGTCTATCTCCGGAGCCATGAATGAGGAGACTGAGAAGAGATTCCTCGTTACCGTCATCAAAGATCTTCTCGGTCTGACAGAGATGAAGCGTGGCAAAGACAACAAAGCGGTCGTGGCGAGTAACATCATGTATATTGTCGGGCAATACCCGAGATTTTTGAAAGCACATTGGAAATTTTTGAAAACAGTTGTCAACAAGCTTTTTGAATTCATGCATGAAACCCACGAAGGTCTGTGTTCCCAATGAAACCAAAAGTTGAAGACCTCATGAAGATATCATTTGCTAACAACGAGAAATAACAGGTGTCCAAGACATGGCGTGTGATACGTTCATCAAAATCGCGAACAAATGCCGACGGCATTTCGTTGTGTTGCAGCCTAGTGAGACTGAGCCGTTCATAGACGAGATCGTGGGATCAATGAGAAAGATCACCTGCGACCTATCCCCTCAGCAAGTCCACACCTTTTATGAAGCTTGTGGCTATATGATTTCAGCCCAAGGTCAGAAAGGAGTCCAGGATCGTCTAATTGAAAATCTCATGGCTCTGCCAAATGCCGCATGGGATTCAATCATCAGCCAGGCAGCCCAAGACCCGTCCACGCTTCAGAATGCAGAAACAATCAAAATTGTTGGAAATATAATGAAGACCAACGTTGCGGCTTGTACCTCCATTGGCAGCTACTTCTATTCGCAGATCGGGCGCATTTATCTGGATATGCTCAACATGTACCGAGCATCTAGTCAGCTCATTTCAGATGCCATTGCCGCAGATAGTAAGCATTCCCGTATTAAATTTGATTCCCTCGGGCATTTACTAACGTCCTATAAAAGCAACTGGATACGCCACCAAAACGCCAAAAGTGCGAGGGCTGAGAACAATCAAAAAAGAGATCCTGAAGCTTATTGACACTTATGTCGAAAAGGCGGACGATCTCGAGATGGTCAACTCTAGCATGGTCCCGCCGCTTCTGGAGGCTGTTCTTCTCGACTATAACCGAAATGTGCCTGACGCCAGAGAAGCAGAAGTGCTGAATGTGATGACAACGATCATCCATAAATTACACGTATGTTTCCCCGGTATACAATATTATGCAATTTTGCAGCTCTCTGGCCATATATCATGTCTTAAGAGTACTCTTATTTCATCATTTGCTAATATCATACTTAGAACCTCATGGATGATAAAGTTCCCATTATTATGGAGAATGTCTTTGAATGTACGCTTGGAATGATCAACAAGGATTTCCATGAATATCCCGAGCATCGTGTAGGGTTCTTCAAGTTGCTGCAGGCCATCAATCTTTACTGCTTCTCTGCTCTCCTGAAGCTGGATACCAGCCAGTTCAAATTCGTCATCGATTCGTGCATGTGGGCTAGCAAGCATGATAATAGAGAAGTCGAGAACACCGGACTCACCATGTGTCTTGAGTTGATGAACAATATGGCGGACTCTGAACCCCAGACGTCAAATGTTTTCTTCAGACAATTTTACCTCCCGATATTACAGGATGTCTTTTTCGTGCTCACTGACACCGATCACAAGGCTGGTATGTTGATTTTATATCATATATTGACGCATTCAAGTACTAACGTGTAATTTCTTGTCTAGGCTTCAAATCTCAGGCAATGCTTCTTGCTCGCATGTTCTATTTCGTGCAGTCAGACAAGATCCGGGATCCCATCTATGCCCCTGACCAGGCTCCTGCAGGGACATCCAACAGGGATTTCCTCCAGGAGTATGTCGTAAATCTGCTACAGAGTGCCTTCAAGAACTTGCAAGAGTATGTCATATCTCCCTTTCTACTGATCAAGTATCGCGTTGATATTAACAATTCGTAGGGCTCAAACGAGACAGTTTGTTACTGGACTATTCGTTATAAATGACGACTTCAACAAATTCAAAACCCATCTGAGGGACTTCCTCATTTCCTTGAAGGAGTTTGCGGGTGATAACACGGAGCTGTATGCTGAAGAAAGGGAACAAGAACTGAAGGAGGCCAAGGCCGCTGAACGAGACCGAGCGATAAAGATAGGCGGACTTTTGAAACCCTCGGACATGGACCAAGAGGATGAGCTGTGATGCACAGACCTGGATGCTCTCTTACAACATTAAAAAAGAAAGACTACCTTACGGACCCCAGCTTTATGTTAAAAATCCTTGCTCTATTTTCATAGGAAGTTTGTAAATCATAACAGGCTATATCTCAGCGGTGCGTGATTGCATTCTACAATTGCACGTCGTTATCAAATAGTTTGACTTCTTCACCTGGTTTGAACGGCGGTAGCCCAATGTACGGACAGCCATCACAACGGAAAGCGTCTCCTAGGGAGCAATTTCCACAACTTCCGGTTTTCCCCTTAACAGTAAAATCTACCTCTGCTATTTCGCCAGAGTTCAATTTCAAGGCGGATAACTTTTCGTCTGCATTTGCACGCTGGGCCTTATCTTCTGCTTGGAGCTTCTGAGCTAGCCCGCAGGTACAATCCTTACACGCTCTTCTGCGTTTGCCAGCTTTGGGCCTGCACTCTGGGGCTATAGATTATTAGTTAGCCTTGAGCGGTATATATGCGCGCATAGAGAAAGGTTGTCTTACGTTGTATGATTGGTCTCTCAAGCTCATCCGCATCAATCAGTTCATCCTCGTCAATTAGCTCCTCATCATCATCTCCATCCGGGGTATTGAATGCATCGTTTGTGTTATCCAACGTCACTATGTTGTTCTGGAGTACTGCTGGCTGTTGTTCATTCTTATTTGTATTGGCATCTTTCTTAGGCTTCCGGCTTTTTAGCGAAAATGGCAATGAAATTGATTGCTCTTCAAACGCTGGCTTTATCAGCTCTCCCTTATCATTGATCATTAGGCCACATAGTATAGCTTCTGTACGGAGAGGTTCTTTAATAGAAGTAGAGGATTCGTCTTGATATTTCATTACTCCGCCTGGCTGTAGTGTTCGAGTGATCCGTTGTAATGCGTCTCGTCCCACCAACCGCTCGCTCTCCGCATTTGTTCCATCGATGCCTGTGAGCAGTAGAACTAGACTGTAGGCAGACTCTGGGAGAGATACAAGACCAGCGGCGAGGCGGTCTATCATTTGCAAATCTCTGGCATTTTTATCATATTGATTGATAAGTTCGGCTAGTTTGTCAGGGTTTGATGAGAGGGAGGGCGGGGACAGCAGCAGCACCCGAGATAAGCCACCCATGACGACGGTAGATGGATTGTTCCTAAACGCTTTGGATGTCACTGCGTGCGATATCAAGTGGAAGAAAAGCCGTGGACAGTAGAATGAACTACCTCTAGAGTCTTTTAATTTCAAGAGTATGACTGATAGCTAATAATTAGTTAAGTGGCAAGGATTACAAATGGAGATAAGAATGGTGGGCTTTGTCTTTTGGCCAAAGCTGCATCACGTGCTGATAAGACGATTAAAGTTATCCTGATGACTAACTACTACGTACAGGTAGTTACCACAGGATAGCATGTCATGGCTTGACTTGACCTATCAGTTGTCGTATATATCCTCTTTCCAGATATAAACTATCTCCCATCAGTAAAAGGTAATAATAGACCATGAGCTGAGGATAATACTTACATGGAAAACCCAACGCATATTCCTGTGGTTGCTACCTTAATCAGGTTTTCCAGATCTAGGCCTCCAGGAACGCTTGTATACCTCAAGGATAACCAGCCAATAGCTCCTGTAATGCAGACACCTAGACTGGGCAGAACTTCCCTGACATGGAGCTTGTTATCATGATTTTCAAAAAACCGCATGATAAAGAAACTGCTCCAGATTATACGAGCAGCCATGTTAACCAGGTTCGCCCATAACAGCCCGTATACCCCTGACTCCGTGATTTTTAGGAAGACGTATGCCGCGACAACAAAAACCGCAGACAATATCCCCATCCACTTGGTCTGTTGCCGTAGCTCGGAGTTTGTAGCCGCAGCAGAGACGAAGGCTTCGGTAATGCCGTTAACTGCCAGAAAGGGTATATAATAGCAGTACGATGATAAAACCTGCTGAGTTTCGGGAGAGTCCCAATGAGAGCCAATAATCAGCTTAATTGCAAGGGGAACAGCCGCAGGACCAACGGCGCCAATCGCGACGCAAAGAACGCCATATCCTCGTAGGATGTTGATAAATTGTGATTTTACAGCCTTGACCGACTTGTCAACAGCGCAGCCACCTTCTCTTATGCCCAGGAGTTTGCTAAAAAGGTTGCGGCTGTATTCTTCAATTGGCTGGAAAACCATTCGAGCAATTAGGCCGCCATAGTTTGACGCCAATGCGTACTGCCCTTGAATCTCAAGGCTTGCCAGCGACGCAAGGATGACAGAGTCACTCTGTGTGAGGATATGTTTTGCGACTGACTGCATATACAAGTTCATGCTTAACGTTAATAAACGTTGAGGAATAAATGAAAAGACAAAATTGGCGTGATTACTTCATGGAACATTAGCCTTCGCAGAGATTTGGATCAAGGTGAGAATGCAGACTCACACGTTGCCAATACGAACAGGATATAAATGGAACCCGAGTTTCTGTGCTAGTGGCTTAGCAGCAACAAAATATCCTGCTAGCAAGAAAGTGGCATATCCGAGTTGGCCAAGCGCAATAGGGAGTATTCCTGCATTCCCGTAGCTTCGGCTTATAATTAGTACAGAAGCGCAGCTAAAGAATGCCCTAGCCACTGAAGAAATCATCTCCACTTTCGCTCTTGTACCATAGAGCATTCTCTGTTGAACCACCGCAAAAAGAGGTTCTGAAAGTAGTTCTAACACAGTGGCCAATTGAACTATCAAGAAACTTATTCTTTCGATATGGCCAAGCGTGTTATCACTTTGACCTAAGTTAAGGTAGAGTGTGCCAAGTACGTATGCCATGGGAAGACCCAGTGCTATCGGAACATACGAAATGTTCACAACAGCCTGACTTGCAGTACATTCTTCTTGGTTTTTGGCATTCTTAGGGCGTTGATCAGTTGCATCGGTGTCTGAGGCCCTTGTGGCCTGAGCTGGTTGTCGCTGCGCAGCTAGCCTGATACTTTCCCTTGAAAAGAAGAGAACAGTGATTGAATATAGCTCGATCTGCGAAGCAAGGCCGAAGGCATAAGGCGTGATGTGCCTCAGGAGAATTTGGTTTGCTAGGAATGTGAGGCCACGAGAGACCACTTGAATAGCAATCAGGTAGATTGGACCCAGAGCTAGCCGAGAACCTGGCGCCATGTTAAGACGCGAGAGTTTCAAACAGTATGTGCCTCAAGGCAGTTTAATAGTCCCCAAGGGACCACAATGCATTGAAGCGCAGCAAACCCAGGATATCAAATGTCAACTTCGTTTACCAAAGACATGGATCGTTTGGAAGTTTGAAAGAACAAACACGCCAAGAAATAATCACGTGAGTTTAATTGGCTGGAGCCTATAGAACGCGTCGCGACAAATTTTTCTTAAGTAATCCCCCACCAGAACGTCCTTTCAACGCGTCTTTCTCGTCAACGGGGAAGTCTGACGGAGTCAACTTCGACTTTTCCACTCAGCAGCACCAACACTCCACCGGGGGCTGAAGACATTGACTGCACCGCTATCCGTACGTTTTTGAAGATGGCCAACCAAATATCTGTGGGCGCCCTGAGGTAAGGAACCCGCTGAATTAAGTAGTTTGCTGCTGGCTAACCAACGTCTTTCACAGCGCCATGTTCGATAACACGAAACAACATGATCCTCAGCCAATACTGCAGTGTCTGCGGATAAAACCAGTTGTTGTGCGGGAACAGGACCGTTACGGTGTGGTCTTTAGTGATGTAAACCATTTTGTTCGGACAATGCTTCCTACCCGTATGTATTATGGTCTATTAGCCGCTTTGCTTATCACCTAACTGTTTTCCCGTATAGAGTTGAATAACTATGTGACGGATGGGATACTTCGACGTGGTTCCTTCGTTCGACTGACCAATTTCCAAGTGAGCGTTGTGAAAGGCAAACAGTGAGTGAGCTTGTTGCATATAGTTGAGGCTCTCATACTGAATCATTTCTAGCCTTCTCATAATCATGGGCCTTGACGTCCTCAGTGCGCTAGGCGAGGCGGAGAGAATTGGAGACCCAAAACCTTTGGAACCAAAGTCCGGGGATGAGATGGGAGGCCAATCCACCACTCTTTCTAGTAACGAATTTTATAATGCACCACAGACTCACAATCCGCCACAACACTTCCAAAATGTTCAGCGACCTCGGCCATCCGGCACGGCCCCCAATGCGAACATATTCTCTATCGAAGCTTTGTCCCCATTCGCTAACAATAAGTGGACTATCAAAGCTCGTTGTACGCACAAATCCAACATCAAGACATGGAAGAACACATTTGGAGAGGGAAAACTTTTCAGTGTCAACCTGCTGGATGACAGTGGCGAAATCAGGGCTACTGCCTTCAAAGACCAGTGTGATTTGCTCTACCCTGTCTTTGAAGAAGGTGCTGTTTACTATATCTCGAGTCCTTGCACGGTCAAGATGGCAAAGAAAGAGTTTAGTAACGTGAACAATGACTATGAACTCACCTTTGATAGGGATACGGTCGTTGAAAAGGTAAGCAAGAACGCATCCAACCGTAAACTAAGAACCCCCTAACTTTCGTGACTAGGCCGAAGATCAAAACGACGTTCCGCAGATTCGCTTCAATTTTACTAGCTTAGGAAATTTACAGTCAATTGACAAGGGAACAACAATTGACGTGCTTGGGGTATTGAAAGACGTTGATACCACTTCACAAGTGACTTCTAAAACTTCAGGAAAACCATATGACAAGCGGGAGCTCACGCTTGTTGATAATTCTGGATTTTCGGTCCGTCTAACAGTATGGGGAAATACCGCCACTACCTTTGACACACCGCCCGAGTCGGTTGTTGCATTTAAAGGGGTTAAAGTATCTGATTTCGGAGGCCGCACTTTGAGTCTGCTAAGCTCGGGCACGATAACAGTTGACCCTGATATTGAAGAAGCACACAGATTGAAGGGCTGGTATGATGCTCAAGGAAAGGCAAACTCCTTCACTGCCTATTCCTCTGGAGTCACTGGAGGTGGTGGTGGCTCGTGGCCCACTTTCAAGACCATCTCTGAGATTCGAGACGAAGAGATTCCTAGTGCAGATAGCTTTGAAAATTTTGCGCTAAAGGCTACCGTAATCCATGTGAAAGACAACCTGTGCTACCCTGCCTGCCCCAACGAGGCATGCAAAAATAAGAAAGTGACACGGGGCGACTCAGATCAGTGGCATTGTGAGCGGTGCGAAAGGTCGTACGCCAACCCCAAATATCGTTACATACTTTCACTCAATGCCTCTGACCATACTGGCCAAATCTGGTTAAGCTGCTTCGACGAAGCTGGCCAGATGATATTTGGCATGACCGCGGATGAATTGATGAGAATCAAGGAGGAAGATGACGCAGCTGCAAATGAAATAACTAAAGGAGCAACCTATTGCACATGGAATTTTAAATGTCGAGCAAAGCTGGACACCTACCAGGAGCAACAACGGTAAGACCATTGGCCTCATCCCCTCTATGCTACTACCATCCACTTTGACGCTAATATTCTCGTCTCTTGCAGAACCAGGTACAATGTTTACGCAGCTACGCCCATTGACTATTCTACAGAGGCCGACCAGTTATCCAAATTGATCGCGTCGTACAGTATTTAGTAGGAACACATGCATATTTGACCCGAGGGTATTATCGAGTTTTAGATGTTAGGAGTAGTTTGAATAATAGCTATCCCTTCAACTAGTGATTTGTAGCTTCTAGGCGACCCCTGACTAAGTTTCCACCAGTCCTGAAGGGCTGCTTACTCATCCAATCAGGTGACTCTTTGATCACATGGCGGAGAAGACGAAACTCCAAAACGAAACTCCAAAGGCCCAAAAGAAGGAAAAGCAGCAACAAACAACAACGATAAGCGACGTGAGGGACTGAAAGCGAGAAGAGAAGACAGAGCCCCTACACTCGCAAAAACGAGCCCATTATGTCTTTACTGCAGCTGGTCAAGATCAAATTTCTGTAAAAATGGAAATATCTTGAGCTTCTGCGTCTTGACTTGTCTGATTTCTACAGCCACTTTGAAGGACAGCAGCCCTAGATATACGGGCTTCCTTCCGCGCTGTGGCTACCTGCAAGACGTCTGGATGATGATATCGTTGCCTAACTTGGGACGAACGATCATATCCGCTCCTTGCAATTACTTCTCCGTCTTAGCAGGCCATCCGGCCTTTGGTTCGCATCAATTTTTGATGAGTATAAGAAAAGAAGAAGAAAAGCCGAAAGTGCTAGCTTGACGTTACTATTGTCACTCCTTTGGTTTCGCTTTTTTTATTTTCAAAAAAGGCATATGCCATGACCAGTTGACCTTGTAGGAATTATATTTTCAACGATGACTCGGATACCATGCCGCTCGACGGCGGCCAGAGGTATTATGCGGCCTCGCCAAACCTTTCCTAAGGCTGCTGTGCGCAAGCACAAGATTATTTTGGAAAGCATCACGCAAGAGAAGAAGAAGCTTCGCATCGCAGTATGTGTTGTCAGCTCCCAGTTAATGCGCCTTGCGCCTGTATATCCAGTTCTAAGCGAAGGGCAGATTTCTTTTGAGACCAAACCGCCTCCGGGATACACGTTCATTCCTGCAGGGAACCCGGAGTTCACTAACGGATGCAAGGAGCTGTGCCGGAAAGATGGATACAAAGTTTACACTGTATCGGTGCGTACTTCGTAAAAAAAACCCATTCTGTTAAATATACCTGCTTACTCACTGTTTTAATTTGTTATTTGTTCAGACAACCCCCCATCAACGAGTGCATGACCTTTCTCAACATGTCCATAGGATTGGTTATCATTTTCCTAGTGTTGTGGTAGCTACAATATGCATGGAGCGGGGATTTTTCCTCTCATCCAGTGGGAGAGTGGTAGCGTATCAGAATCAACGCTCTGAACAGACCCAAGGTAACAAAAGTGCAAACTCGGAACAGTCACAGGAAACGATCAACGCAGAGGCGAGGGATGCAATCAAAGATTTGTTCCCTAACATCCCGACCAAAGATCTGAACCAGATTGTAAAAACGGCTTTCAAAAAGGTATGCCAACCATCACGGTTGCGTTCGTTGCTAATTGTTATGTTCAGGGAAAACGTAGGGTTGGAACAGCAATCGAACTTCCATTAGCACGCCGGGCTCAGCTCGCAGTAGTGGCCCATATTCGCCATATCTACACCAGCTATGATCGCTTACTTAAAACGACCTCCTTTCAGGAAGCTAGGGCGTCGGTTGAAGAGCCCACCCTTGCTAAATTAGTCCTTTGGCGAGGTGATGATGAAAACGGTACAACCGTACTTGAAGACGTTTTCCGTGAAGTCATCGTTATATCCGACGATGAAGATGATGAACAAGATGGTGAAGAGCAGGTAGAATTACCACTGCCACTTCTACCACCTCACCCTCATCATGATATCCCTAGAGAGAGCATGGAGCTAGCTTCCAGGAATACCACACAGAGGCAGATTCCACGTAATTATGGAACTCCAAGGGATAGCCACTTTGTTACCCGCCCTATCGCTGTACAAAATTCCAGACAAAACCCTTCTACTCCAAGTGTGATCACTATTGATACCCCTAGTCAGCATTCCGAACGGAGAAACCATGACCACAGAGGGTTCCGGAGGTATGAGGCATGGGACCGAGCAAGAACTCGGTATAGCCACCTTGTAAATGGTGCCCCTGCTGCCCCTGCTGCGCCAGAGTTTAGAGAACAACACTCTCCAAGATACCCGCAGGCTGAATCAAGACAGGATTTCTACGGCAGGGGAGAAGAACACCGTGTCCGATTATCGCCATCCATGGATACTCCAGCAATGAAAGCTACTGATATTACCAGGAGAGAAGTTGTTACAGATCGTGCACAACCTACAAACCCGTATACGCCAAGAAGAATTACGGCCCTGAAAGAGACAGAGCCTGAGGTAAGGTTCCTGGAGTTACTTGCGGCATGTATTTTTTTCCAGTGTGAGAAACTAACAGTAGGTGTAGCGGCACCGCCGGCTTCCGGACCATCCTCCATTCTTGCCGGCTGTCGAACGGCCCCAAATGGGTTATGATTATAGACAGAGTCCTGCTGTATCTTCTAACCTTCAGAGAGTGAACCGCCTCCAGTCGAGACTCAGCTATCCTCCATCTGTTGTCGCTCACCCTGGGTCATCGTCGGCGCCTCTTCAATCCCAGCTAGGGCCCCATGTTGAATCCCGGGATTACCCTATTATTCAATCGATTGAGAGCCCGGTGGCTCCGATCAGCCGGCCAGAGAGGCCGGACAGCATACCAAGAAACAGTCCAAGGTTGACGATGGTGATGCCGGGCCAGCCAGCATCCCGGACCATGAGATCCACTGAGAACGGGCATCCTCCCTCGCAATTAGACATGCATTCCAGGCACCAGGAAAGACACTGGGGTGATCCCAGGTTTTCTCGTGTCATTGGTACTCCCCAAAGACTGGCATCCACCACTGCACGTAATGGTATACCACCCTACAACGGCCATGGATCCCATCTGGATGGATCATCCTGGAGCCCCTCCTCTGGAGGTCAACACCAGCAGCCCCAACCGCTACGGAGTATAGAGAATATGCCACGCTCCCCATTATTGGAGAGGGCGAGGATCGTGCGAGTAGCTCAGCCAGGCCTGGGCGACATTGAGCAGCGACATGTCCACTATATGGGAGACCACAGCAATAGGGAGCGAGGCGTGGTGTCCTCCTCTCACCAATCGTCGCCTATTGCAGTGACTAACCCAGCAGATGCGTCTAGAAGGATAGCTTCACAGTATCCGTACCCAGAAAACCCAGCGATAGTGATCCGACAGAGGCATAGCCTGAACCCTCGCTTGGTCGCCTATCCAGCCAGTGGCCCTCCCGCAGATACTGGCAGCCGTTTGACGCAGGTTCGCATATATGATCAACCGACGGAACTACGGTCTTCTGTGGTAAGTAATTACAAGGAGAGTCCAACCGAGAAGCGAGACGATCTGATTCCCCTCCACATCGTTGCTTATCCTCTTTTTTTTTTTTTTTTTTTTTTTTGAGATCTTCCCTGGGATCTTCTTTTTTTTGTTTGATCGCTCCTGTTTTTGTTCCTGATAATATCCATCACCTTCCGCCAACAGTGCAATGCTGACAGACTGTGCCCTTTTCTTTTGCAAAAGATAAAACAAGCTCAGCTGGAGGAAGGTCTGCATCGTCAAGCACAGATGACGCACTTGGAAAACCGAGACCCTACTCCGGTGCAGAGCAATTTCAGCAGCAGCCGCTACAGCCATCCCTATCTCGATAAACCACCCTATACATATTTAGTGGACAGTGATCGGCCAGCACCAGCCGCAGCAGCAGTACCACCACCATTACCACCACCAAAGGCAGCACCACCAGGACACCATTATCCCAGTGCCGCCTCTGCTTTCCGGACATATCGATCACCTCCACCACAGGCATCGACACGCAGCTCCGAGTCGTTGACCACGGCCTCTACGCTCTCTCGCACCTGGACAGCTCCAGAGCTGGGCCCTACAAGCGGCCCCATCCGCAGCCACCGGCCATACACTACCCACAGGCCGTTCCTGTAGTAATAGAAGCAAGAAGCAGCAGTAACAGCAGTGCCTAGAAGAACGCCTGCGCATGACGAGATGGCTTGTATATACTTGTTTTTGTATTGAGCATGGCGTTGCATGCGGGCGGGCGTAGAGAGGGCGAGCGTGTGTATATATCTATATCCTTCCATGATATAAATACGTCATCATTATCATTACCATTATTATCATTCATTATTATCATTATTACGGAGTGCTCGGTCTTTTCAGTTAACTTCCCGTGGGAGAGAGAATGAGATCTATCAGATGGTTTATCCGAGACTGGCACCTCGACCTCCTCCCCCATGCATGGGCTGATGATGTATGTAAGTCCGGGGGTATGTGTATACAGAGTAGTAACCACGCATGAACTGCTGCACCTGTGAGATGAGATGGGAAACAAGAAACAAGGCACGAGAAACAAGAAGAGGGCGATCTCCTCAATCTCTCGATACGAGGCTTCAAATCTCCCAACGGCCCCCCCGGTCCCAGGAACCAGAGCCAGGGTGTGTCTGTCGTCTCTGGATCGATCGCGCATGTGAGACAGACTAGGTTAGGCAACTAGTCAAGGTCTTCTCAGCTCGCCACAGGAGATACAGCAACTAAACTAGCAGCCAGAAGGAGCTTGGTCGCCGTTTGTCACAGAGAGAGAGTCGCGGCCTCGGTTCACGAGTAGTTGCCTGTTGCCCATACGAGCCAGGCAGGACAGGACAGGACAGGAGAGGCAACCAGGAGGCCATCGCCATCTGACATCGCGGACGAACGGCAGCATCGCCAACTTCAGGTTCCTCTTCTGGCAGATTGGGTCCTTGACGTCGTCGCCATCCGCCGCCGCCGCCGCCGCCGCTGTAGTCGCCATCTGCCTCGACTCTTGCAACGTCTTCCAACGACTTTCCCTCGAGAAAGCTTCTCTGCCCGTGTCCGTCTCCGCCGTGCCAGGGCTCATCCTGACAAGCGCGAGACTTCGCATGGATCCTACCCACCGCGCCACTAGCCAGAACGAACCAGGGCCGAGGAAAAAGTCCCTGGTCTGGGTGGAGGAGGGCCCTCTCTCGAAGCGACTGTTGAGTTAAACTGATCCCGGGAGCGTCGTCGTGATGGACGTTGTTTTCCCACATTCACACCTAGAGAGGGTGACGAGCAGTGGAGCTTCGTGCTCCTCTTCGTCTCTCGGATTTGGACGTTTGCTCCGCGTCGGCTGGACGGCGATGTTGCTGTTTTCTGGTTCTTGTGGCCGCGATGGAGACGAGACGAGAAGACGAGAAGACGCGAAGATGTCGAGAAGGGCCATCCTCTGCTCTCGATCTGCCCTGGGATAGTCTTAGTCTTAGTCTTCCTCAGATAGCTAACTGGACCAGGAACGGAGTAACTCGACTGTCTCGTCCAATCTCGTGCATCCCTGTTTGCTGGGAAGATACCCATATACTCCGTACCAAGCTGCACTTGCATGCCCTGGACCCCATCTGGCCCTCGTAGTTATCTTTGGGTTCGTTGCCCTCTTCCTCGTCTTCTTCTTTTTCTTCTTCTCATATTTTTTTTTTAAACTCTGCCTCTCTCGCGACTGCTTGATATCTATCATATCAGGACCGGAGGGGGCGGCGAGCTTGGGTCCCGCGCAGTGTCGTTTCAACGTTGGACAAACTCTTGATCTGGGAGTCGAGCGTCTTAGCCGAACCAGTCATCCAGACGCTCCGGCTCATACTTCGCTGGGCCCTCTGCGTGTCCCGTCCCACTGCGCTGCCGATAGCCGCACGAGAAGAGGCTTGCTGCAGAGCGCAGACGCAGAAGCAAAGAGCAGGATTAAGCAGATGAGGAGTACGATCTCTCTCGGTTCTAGAGTTGCTTCGTTTCTTGGTACTGGGATGTGTGGGCTGGCTGGCTCTGGACAGAGATATATCGACGCTTCCCTCGCCCTCCCACTGCTACTGCTACTGCTCCAGCTGATCGTCCATGTCCATGTCCATGTCTAGCATATAGCATGCTTCTTATGAAGTGTCCCTGGACGGCTTGAAAACTCATCTTCCGAAATTTTTGCTCCTTCGGCCATCTACATCTACTCTCCTTCCCTTGTCATACATACATACATACATACATACATACACACATATACCGATATATATATATAATATTCAGCCATGGCCGGGAATGGCCCCGACCTCGAGAATATGGTGGTCGTACACCAATCCTTCCATCCAGAGTTTATCGTCTTATCGTTTATCGTGAGCTTCGTTGGCTGTGCGACATGTCTCGAGCTTCTGCATCGGCGAACAGCTCGTCTCGGACTCTATAACTGGTAAGCCGCAGCGAAGTGAGCAGATGAATGCGAGAGGCCACCGCTTTGCTAACCACTATCTTGCTAGGTATCTGCTCATCACTGCTGCCGTGTGCATGGGAGGCATCGGGATATGGTGCATGCACTTCATCGGAAACTGCGCAATCCGGCTGCATCGGGGCGACCTGCAGTACCAGATATCGTACTCTTCCTCCTTCACTGCAACCTCCTTCTTCCTGCCGATTGTCGTGCTCCTGTTCGCCTTTTACTTCATCGGCGCCAGTGAGAGAGCCGGCTACTGGTACATCATCGCCACGGGGACCCTGACCGGAATAGCTGTCTGCGGCATGCACTATGTCGGCCAGCTGGGAATTGCAAACTACTTGTGCACCTATAAGGTCGGAAACGTAGTTGGCGCGGCCGTCATTGCCATCTGCGCCAGTATCACTGCCCTGGGCGTCTTCTTCAGGCTCCGGGCATCATGGACTGACGACTGGTGGAAACGGCTCTTCTGCGGCCTCATTCTGGCCTCTGCCGTCTCCGGCATGCATTGGACCGCCGCCGTTGGAACGAACTATCGAGTGACAAACGCCATCGGCACATCTACCCAGCTTTTCTCTTCCTCGCAGGCCGTCATCATCTGCTGCACACTGGTATGCAAATCTTTACCCTCTTGTGCTATTCACCTTTACTAAACTTAATGTGTGTTATGCATGTATAGTCACTAAGCTCGTGCTTTTTCTTGATCTGTCTGGCTGTGATCGCCGGCCGCCAGCGCAAGAGGATGGCCAAGAGAGTCCAGCAGCTCTCTCTTGCCTGTGCCTTCTTCGATGCCTCTGGAAGTGTCATGGTGGCACCAGATGGCAGCATCCCAACGCACAAGATCACGAATCACTATGTTGAACGAGTACGTTTTCACTCCGTTTTAACCACCTGCATTCTGTTGTGTATACTGACCAAGCTACCCCCTACTCTACCAGAGCTTCGCCGATGACGAGTTTAACAGAGTACACCCGGCATTCCTCTGGGCTTTCAGAGCAAGCCGAAACTGGGAGCATCTAAAACAGTTCATACGAGGCATGAACTACAATGTCAAGTCTGATGACTCAATGAAGCAATACTACCCGGGCGCTGCCACCACCCCAGATACAGGGGACAACAACGTCAACTTCGAACTAGTCTTCAAGCAGCTCTTCTGCATAGCGGCCAACGGCCTCTCAGAACAGCTGCGCCTGCCGCTGGAGAAGCTGGGAGTGCTCTACGACGACGTTGTGCTTACCGGAACCCAGTCATCGAAAAAAACCAAACGCCGTGTCGGCGACCCTGAAGCATCGCCCGCACCATCGACCATCGTGGGCAAGGGCCAGTGTATATTTATAGTACGCCAGCTCAGCAAGCAGGAGACCATCGATCTCTCAATGTCGGGCTACCGTTTCGCTGCTCCCAATCACATCTCGGCTACTCTGGCCAGGCTGATGCAGGTCGAGCCCAGGGATATGCTGGACAATCTGACGCGGATGAGAGACTACTCCGCGCCCGAGAAGATGCTCGATCCTGGCGTCTATCTGGTGGGATTCTCGCTCTACCCTTCTGTCTGGACTGGATTCGACGTGCTTGTATATGGCGACGCTCCGAACCTGCTCCCCAACGTGCGGTTGCCCATAGAGGCAGTGACACAGCAACACCTAGACATATTATCACGGATGGATGGCTGGCCGCTCTCCCTCTGCTTGAAGTGGCTCAAGGCCAACGGCGGCTTCGAGGACCTCGAGGCCCAGAAGTTCTGCCAGGCCGTGTACGGAGCGGCATCGAATCTCTCTGCCTCGGTCGACAGCCCGACGTTTGCCCAGGCTAGATTCTCGTCTCGCCAGATCAAAATTCCCTGCCGGTCGCCGGGCCACGCAGAGGCAACGGGCCAGTGTGTTGCATTCTCCTTCCATATTATAAACGGGCTACTGACGCGGACGACACCGCCACATCTACGCCTTGCTCCTCTGCGGTTGTTCAACGTGCAGCAGCAGGTATACCCAGGCATCCCCGACCATGAAGTATTCCAGGAAAGCATACGGGACGAGTTCGGACATTGTCTGTATGACGACGACCTCAAGGGTAATAAATCGCCCATTCCCCCCTCGACGGCCCAGTCAATGATTCTACGGGCCAACTCCCTGATCCATCCCGGGGACGACAATGGGAGGGAAAGTAGCGATAGACCGTCGAGTTCATGGCGGCCTGCGAACGGCGGCATCATGATCCGCAACCAGATCACAGTGGACGTATCGCAAGGGGAGGAGCCAAGGCGGTCGAACGGGGCCTTTGAGATGCAGACTGTCGGGGCGACGGTAGAAGCAGGCTACGTCAAGGACGAAAACGAGACCTTCGTCGACGAGCTCTGTGCCATTTGCCGAAAAGCAGCTGCCGAGCCGGACAGGACAACCTAGTCTACGTTACGGGGCAGCTTGGTGATTTTTGTTAATACCCTCCTTTTTCTTCTGTATATTTATTTAATTTAGATGGCACGGCCGAGAGCTGCAGAGCCATACATATTATAACTATGTATATGTATGTACATAAAAAAAATATATATATACTATAACTAATGAATACGAAACATCGAAGACTTCTTCTTCTTCTTCTTCTTCTTCTTCTTTGTCTCAAAGGTAGTGTCAAGCATTCTGCATATCATCATCACCTAACTACATTCTCTACGTAATGAATACGGTAGATTAGCCGACTCCGTATCTCGAGACAGGCCCTTCTCTCTTCAACGGAGTAACGACTAAACTTCTTGGTAGGGCTTAAAAAGAAAAAAGGAGAAAAAGAAATGTAATGAAAAAAAGAAACAATATGCTATTTAACTCATTTAGGAAGAAGCATAAGAGGAAGAAAATAGCATCATCATCCCAGCACATCCCATGATGGCCTGCAGATCCGTGTTTTGAAGCCAAGTAAGTACTTTGACTAAGGAAGTGCTATAGATAGACATATCGCGCGTGAGAAGGCGTCCCTCCCGCCGCTGCCCCGCGACCGGCAGCGTTTCAGCCCTGAAGGGGGGCCGACGAGCTCAAACAGCCCTCTCGACGCCGTCGTCCTCGCCCTTGGTAATGGTCTTGCCAGTCTTCTTGAGGGCCTCCAGGACGGTTTCGTAGGACAAACTGCTGGTGACGACCTGGGCGGTTTGGTTCTCGAGGCTGACATCAAACGACTTGACTCCTACGCTCGGGTGTCAGCATAGAATCATCTATCCCAAGCAAGACGAAGACCAAAAACAAGGAGGTTTCCATGGCCATTCATACCGCTCATCTTCTTGAGAACACGCTCGACAGCGCCTGAGCAGCCGCTGCAGGTCATGGTGATGTGGAAGACGTACGTGTGTTCTTCCATGGTGGCTGGCTGGTCGTAGTCTCGGCTTGTGTCTTGAGATCAAAGGAGCTCCAGTGTCTCTCTATCTAACAGGCGCAGAAAAGGGGCTCGGCAGCGGTGGTCTCCTGGCTTCTCCTGGCTTCTCTTGTCTTCTCCTTGCTTCGTCTCCTGTCGAGGTGGGAGTTTTGTATTCTCCAGAAGGGCCGGAGGAGGGTTCGGCGCAAAAAAGAAACGAGCCAAGCGGCCTCAGCCAGCGAACCTCGTCCTGTCGACCGCGATAACCACTGCTGCTGCTGCTGGGAACTAGGTAACTAGCTGAGACGACCGGCGACCTGCTGACCTCCTGCTGCTCGTCTGCTGCTCGTCTTCTCCCTCGTCTTCCTCGTCTTCGGCCTTTTTAGCCACCAAAAAAGCAACAAGAAAGCAGCAGCAGCAAAAAACAAGATGACGTCCTGGCTTAGTCATCAAGGCTTATCTCTCTCTCCTTCGCCCACCTGAAACATCGCGAGAGGCGAAAAAGGACAAGGCCAGGAGGACGACAACGACGCTCGCTTCAGCTGCTTCAGCTTCAGCTTCTTCTCCCTCTCCTTTTTGCTGCCTGTTCATGCTGTAAGTCAACAGCAGACAGGCGACTCTTCTCCCCCGAGGACGGACAACATGGCTTGTCCGGACGACATCGACGCGCACAATACCGCCTCAGCACCCGTCGCTATACCCGGAGACCGCCCCCAGGACATAGAGATGGCTTCAGACGACTCGACTGCTAGACATGCTCTCCCTCCCCGTCTCGCCGCGCGGTTCAACCGGGTCTCTGCCACCTACAGGCGCGCCTCCGTTCCCTCCATTTCCCGTCGCAACTCGGCGTCGTCGATACACTCGATCCACGGAGCTCCCCATGGCGACCCCATGGCACCTCATATCCGTCGAAACCTGATACTGGAAACCCGCAAGGCCCGTCTGGCTGATAGGGCCGCCCACGTCGAGAAGGTCAGGCTGCGTGCTGCTCTGGCGAAAAACGGTACCAAGACCGCTGCGATCAAGGAGGAGAGAGCCCGGGCTGCTCAGAAGACGCGCGAGAGACTGCTGGCTGATATCACCGCAAAGTGTGAGGAAGAGGTGCGCCGCGCAAAGAAGAAGGCGGAGGATACCGAAGAGAGAAAGGCGGCCCAGCGTGCCAGGCTCCGCCTCGAGATGGTCGAAAAGTTCGCTGAGGCTGAAAGACGCAGACAGCTCTACCAGGAGACCCCCCGTCGACGCCGTACTTCAAGCATCCCGGCTGTCCCGGCTGCACCGGCTGCAGAAGGGATAAGAGTCACTAGCACCAGCGGTGGCCATAACAAACCACCAGCCATACGCCTTACTCCGACTGCGGCCGCTCATGTGATCCAGAGGATGTGGAGAAACCACCGCTCACGGGTCCTGGTTGGGAAGTACCTGGGGCTGAACCTCACTCTCGAAAGGATTGGGTTGCTAGGCTTCGAGAGGACTGGAGCCCTCGTGGCTAGTGAGACGACTTTGGATGTGACCGCGGCCATGCTTCGGCTCTGTGGCCTACAGGATACCCAAGGGGGTGCCCTCGGTGAGAGAGGTGCCGTCCGCATATTTCTCAGCAGCTACGTCATTGCAGCTTTCCCAGAGCACGTCCTGAGCAGTGATGGAGAGCAGGAACAGGACTTGATTGCCAAAGCTAGGGAGTTGCTTGTCATATTCCAGAATCTTCTTGATAAGATTGCCGTACGTGGACTGGCCAACGTTTCCCTCTCTCCCAGCATGCTATCCTTGGCAGAGGCCTACAACATGTTTGTCTCCGCATTCCACGCCTGGAAATCTCGTGATTCGACCGTGCTTATCGAGATCATGGTTGCTCAGTTTACGGAGCTTGAGCTCATCTGGCAAACGGTAAAGGATGACCGTGCGGGAGGTGTTGCGGACGATTACCAACAGGGAATCCGATACAACCAGACCTTGCTCCTCGCGAGGCTGAAGCGTCTCGTTGGTTCAGAGGAGGCTATGAAACTGATCAAGAAGTCCCTGAAGAAGGCCAATAGCTCTAAAAAGTCTAATGTGGCCACCGAGAACACCATCCCCAGAGCCGTCGACAAACCGTCGGCTTCCGCTGAAGCTCTGGTAGAGCCATCGAAGCCACCGTTTGAAGAAATGCTTCATTATGCAACTGCAAACTTGCCAGAATCTCGTCTTGAGGAAGAGTCGGTCTCGCCCCAAGACCGGCTAACCAGGGTCCTAACTGCTCTCCCTAACAACCGAACTCTTGTCCATGAGCTTCTGATAAACAGAGAGTACCGCATCGAACAGGGCCACTATACCGAGGTCCGTCGACAGATCATGAATCATGTCTGTGATATAATGAGAAGAGAAGTTGCCGCTGGCTACGGCACGAAATGGACTGTTGCTCTGGCTACTGTCATCCAAGACAGGCTGCTCCGTTTCCTCAGGCGGGGGAATTCCTTGCATAATCTAATTACCGAAGTCCTTGATCCCACTCATATCGAAAACCAGTGCAATTCTGGCACCTTTTCATACGACACCTTCTTTGACTTTATGGGGAATGTCCTCTCCAAGCTGTGTGCTCCGTTCCGAGACGCCGTGGTGGAAGAGTTTGCGAATAATAAGTCAGGAGACGAAATAGACCGTCTTTCACGGCTGATGGGGATAATAGACCTACTCTCGCTCGACCATACAAACTTCATGCTTCAGGTGGTGTCACCTCAGTTAATTGAAGAAGGCCCCCAATATGAACAACGCTTGTTTGAAAGGGATCTACAGAATGGTTCAATTACACTGGACAATACCAAGGAATTCTGGAATTCAAATCTTGCCACCTTCGGTGCTGCGGACCCTCAACCAGCCATGGGCAAGATTTATGCTCAGGGGATGGTTGATCTTGTGCTGAGCAACACAGCCACTCCCCAGAAACGTATACCCGAGACTATTCAAGCGGACTATGCGAGACTTGGACAGCTTCGATCTCAAGGTTTCAAGATTGCTGCTACCGCTTCAATACTGCTTACTGCCAAAAATCTCCTGAAGCGTGATGTAAGATCTCAGTGGAAGAGCGAGGCAGACCGGATTCTCTCGCTGGACTGGCATGATATCAAGGCAGAACGCATCCAATCTATTATCGATTCCACTCATCCAATGCCCGCAGCAACCAGGTCCCAGCTCTTGAGCACAATTAAGCGTGTGGTTGGCCCAGCTCTGGCCGCTGCAAATGCAGCTTCTGTCCTTGCTCCTTCTAGTTTGTCCGTTACCACCACTTTCCAGTCTTTCACTGTCAGGCCATCGTCCGGCTCGTCAGATGCTGGTTCTGAGCCCTCGGGAAGCGCTACATCCTTCACTGATCCGGTCGCTCGACTTATGCTCAACCGGCTTCGATCCCATATTCTGGCTCGTTTAAGTGCCACAAACACCAGAGAGCGAGTGAGGATGACCACCACTGCGAGCCAGGGACTTGCCAGTGCCGGAATGCCCGAGTTTGTCAGCGAAGTAGGCAAAATAGTCGAAACTCTTGACAAAGTCCGTGAGATTGACTGGCTGTGCCATGGGTCTATCCACGAGAAGATCTGGAATGAAATCTCCGCCAACGCCTGATGGGAACACTTCCAAAAATTTTTCTCTTTTTTAGGATATTTTCTATATTCCTTTCTCGTTTCCTTCACGTCCACTAATTCCATTTCTTTTTGCTTAGACACAAGGAGTTGTATTTTTAGTGTCGTTCGGTTCAAGATCATATATATCGTCACTGATGGCTGCGAAGCTATATACTAACCGCCCTGCTAATTACTACACCTGTGCTACTTTTACCTATCGAATGCTCCTATTACCAGAGACTGTTTTCATTTCTCTCTCTCTCTCTCTATCTATCTATTCATCTACCTTAACTATATAGCAAATTGCTGAGTCGTTGATCGCAACTCATATCCCAGCTCGTGATTATGTAATAATTTTGGTGTGATGTCACATGTTACTTTGTGTCGCGCCGCTGTGATTATTTAAACAACGTTGAATGCGCCCAAGAAGAATAAAGCACAGCAGAGCAATAGAGAACCAGCACTTGATCAGTATCCGCCGCGGCGTCAACTTGAAAGAGTCGAGTGTCTCTGGACACAAGAACACTTCATGGAATACTCTACCTAAACCGCCATGGGTGCGACCTGGACGTGGAATGGGGAGAATGGTTGCAAAACACCGTGATATCCTGCTTGCTTGTGTGGGTGGCTTCTTCGCATGGGGACTTATAACGAGCTGGTATCCGCTGATACGCTTTATTGGATACTCGTTTATCCTAGGGGCTACTGCCACTTTGGCCTCTCTCATCGTCATTCTCATCACCAGCGTTAAGCGTCCGGATTACGGTTCTGCCCTTTCGAAGCTATGCGGCCAACCTGTGGCCTTCCTGTCTTCTGATAACTGGAAGCGGGATTTAGAGGGCTATAGAGAAAACACCAGTTACCAGCCTGCGCCCCTCTATCCTCAATCGTTTATCGTTTCTGCGGCGCTGGACGAGCTGCTACATTTAGTCAAGAGGGACTTTATTGAGTCGTGGTACACGCATATTGGGAGCAACCCGAGCTTTGCTGACGAGATCGATTCCATTGTTCGAACGGCGGTGGAACGGATAAAGGACTGGCTGTCGAAGGAGGACTTCGTGGAGATAGTCGTCTCGAGGATCGTTCCTATCCTTACAAGCCATTTGAAAGATGTCGACCTAGCTGAACGAGCCGTGAGGGGCAGAAATTTGAATCATGGTGTGACGGAATCCGAGGAGCTGGAGATAGCTATTGCTGCTAGATTTCGAGAAGGCAATATCCATCCAGCGGCTGCGAGATCTTCGCCTGACGTGGCGCAGGTTCAACAGGAACACTTGCGCAAGATCGTAGTGTCTCTTTTGCCCACGATTCTTCCTGAGAGCCAAGCAAACAGCAGGGCAGTATTGGTTATCACTCGAGAAATAATAGCATGCGCCATCTTATTTCCTTTGATCAGCGTCCTTGCGGATCCGGATACGTGGAACCAACTGATGGAAGCCTATGGTCGAACGGCTCTTCAGGACCGCAAAACTGTCAGGAGGTTGCGTGAGGCGTTAGACCAGCATGCCCTGCCTCTAGCAAAGTCCAAACAAGCATACGCGTTCCCAAAACTGGGTCCAAATGACTCTGAGAGAGAATTTGAGCGCTTCATGAGGGGCATTCGACGTTGTAATAATTTATCTGATGCGAGGAGATTTAGGAACAATGTTGCAAGCCAGCTCAAGCGTGAAACGATGTTTGACGGACATGACCCAATCTTATATCCGGCGCTTGAGACAGCCAGAGAGCCTTGGACCAGAAAGTTACTAACTTATCACTCCAATGGTGCTGCAATGCTCAATCACTTTGCTGATCAGTCATATCAAGCCCCTTCGAGACCGCAGGACATCTCCTTAGTCGATGTTTTACATAATGCAGCTGGTCTGTCTTATTTCATGGAATACATGGACCGCCTGGGCCTCATGTCGTTGGTCCAATTTTGGCTGGTGGTAGATGGATTCAGGAACCCACTAGAGAACGATATGGGAGATGATATGTCGTCTGCACCTCCAAATTGGACCATGGCAGACAGAAATGACATGATTTTGATAAGCGAGAACCACTTGTCAAAACCGGAGCTGAAAGTTGACGAAGAATCTCGAAAGATTGTTAAAGGCTTCATCTCAGCTGGTAAGCGGGCGACACCAGAGCAATATTGGAAGGCAAGGAAAGCCGTTCTGGCTGCCCAGGCTACAGTCCTTGAGGACATGAAGTGCAAGTATTATCCTGCCTTCAAGAAGTCTGACCTCTACTATAAGTATCTGGCGTCAGACGAAGCAGCCGCAGCAACCAGCATTGCAACCCCTTCTAAGCAGTTAAATAAGCCGCCTCTTAGCCGATCTCACACCTCAGGGAATTACCAGCCATCCCGAGTGTCTTCACCCATACTTCGAACGGACTCTCAATCTAGCATGAAACAGGATTCGCGCCGGAAACATTCCCTATTCAGCTCTGATGCATTTGATACTGGGCGATCTACAGACTCTGATCACCCACCCCTTTTTAGTGATGATGTTGAACCCGAAAACCTAGAATCCTCCACTTACAGCCTTGGTAAAGATTCTCAAATTGGAGAGGCAGATGTACAAGAAAAAAGAGTACTGGAAACCATGGAGGCTGCTCTCAATGATATTATCTCGGACACACCAAATGACTTCAAGGATGATGTCCTGAGAAGTAGCCTGCCATCACCGTCGCCCAGAACCTCAGTCGACATGGGCCGTATGGATGGGCAGCTAGCCGAGAAAGGGAAGCCCAGCATATCGTCGCTGGGTCTAGTTAATACATCTTCACGCATTGGAGTTTTTACAGACGATGACTTATTTCCAGATCAAGAAAAATTTATTGAAGATGAATATGCTGATCCAGACGTGCCTGAACACGATATACCCATAGAGGAAGAAATACATGAGGCGGCGCCTGGAGACCTGGGCCTTACGGAAGCAATATCTGGTCTGACAGCGGACATAGAGAAGCTTGTTTCGCAGGAGTCCGTGATCGACTCCCTTACTAGGAAAGCTGAATTAACGAATAACGTGGCTGAACTGCGTATTCTTGGAAAATCGAAATCTAGTTTACGAAGAGAGATTAGGCGTAAGGAAATGCAGAGGCAGCAGTACATTGTGCAGGAGAGTGATAACAGCCTGTACGGGCGATCGACAGTTCAAATACCATCAATTCTTCTTGAAAAAGAGCCAGATGGCCGCGAGTATGCCTTATGTGAGTTATTACTTAGGTGGCGTTATTGTAATGGCTCATCCCTTCTGACTTGTGGCCTGTTTCCTTTTTAGATGTGATTGAAGTGAAGCGGCAGGCGGGTGAACAGATGCCAGTGGCCTCATGGGCTGTCCCCCGAAGATACAGCGAGTTCCACGAGCTACATCAACGGCTTCGAGCAAGATATCCTTCTGTGAGGAATCTTGAGTTTCCGCGGCGCCGTATGGTTATGAAACTGCACAAAGATGTCCTCCATAAGCGCCGTGTTGCACTGGAAGCATACCTAAAGCAGATCCTTCTTCTACCTGATGTGTGTGGCAGCCGCGATCTCCGCGCGTTTTTGTCTCAGCGCGCAATTGCACCCACCCGAGAAGAGACTGGGGAAGGGGAAAGTAGGGATATAGTCACTCGGCTTTATAACTCGGTGGCGGATGGTATGGATGATTTCCTTGGAAACATAGCCGTGCTCGACCAGCTCTCAACTGCTGGCCAGAACCTCATATCTGCTGCAACAAACCAGCTGAGCACTTCACAGGCTGCAGGGCTGGGCCTTGACGAGACTGCCACATCAGCGGAGGCGGAGGCAGAGCTAAATGCCTTTGAAGACCGCGAGCTAGAGCCTTTTATCAAGCCAATCTGCGATATCTTCCTAGAGATTTTCGAGCTGACCAGAGGTAACAATTGGCTTCGCGGAAGGGCAGCAGTTGTTGTGTTGCACCAGCTACTTGGAGGGACAATTGAGCGTAAAGTACGAGAGAACGTCAGGTCCCTGCTACAAGATTCGTCGTTACTGCATTATATCGGGCTTATAAAGGATACTATGTGGCCGGACGGAAAGCTTCGCGAGGCTAAGGTTCGAACAAGCTCAGAGAAGATGAAGAGCCGGACGGAAGCGGGTGTGATGCTAGCTACCTTAATACCGGAAATGGCAGCGGGCGTTGTTGGACGTGCAAACGCCCAGGCAGCTGCAAGACGGATCTTCTCTACGCTGAACAACCCGCGGCTTAATTTGCATCTAGTGTACACCATCCTTGACGAGATTCTCCTCATCCTAAATGGGAGATGAATGTTTGTTATTATGAATATACATGTACATCATCACGATCATTTGAGCAGGAACTAAAAGAAGAGAAGAGAGAAGAAGTATCATAGAAAGAAGAGAGTTTCGAATTAACTCAATATGATGATGACTCGACGCCCCTTGTGACAAAGAGTATCTAATGCCGATTTGCTAGCCATACATAATGAAGACGACCGATGGATGAATCACAAATAACAGTGACAGCTCAATAAAGGAGAACACAGGTCCTACTCAGCAGCGGCACCCTTCTTTTTGCTCTTCTTGGGCGGTGCGGAGGCTTCCTTCTTCTGATGTACAATGAGTCTTGTCCACGACTCCTCCTTGTCCCACTCGAATCCAGCGAGGATGGGGTTATCTAGCTCATCATCGGCCTAGGTTTGAGAGTCAACAAAGGGCTGCTCATCCTAACAAGTGTGCTTATAGTGGGTTGTAGCGCTAAAGGCTTACCTTCTTTTTAAATTGTTTGTAGATAGCATCGAGGGCATCCTTGATCGTTACGCCCTTGAGATTTCGGGCAGTGACCTCAAGGCCAAGTGGGAAGTGTAGGTCAATCTTCTTGACGGGTGGTGTGGTGAGGAACTTCTTGAGGGCGTCCTTGTCATCTAGGGACGCAGGTGACGTGTTGAGCTTCCTGTATGCTTTGTTAGAGAACCAACTCTGGCCACCCGTACGTCACTATAATCTTAGATCCAAACAAAAGAGAACATCTTCTTACCAGTTGAGTTTCTGTGTTTCTATGGCTATTTCGAGCTCGATCCCTTTCTCTTCTACACGGTCGAAGCAGAGAACATAAGCAATGCTGTCCCTGAGTTCATGGGTTGGCATGAATGGAAGGATGGGCCACATACCTAGGTCTTTGATGTTCATAACATCTGAGTTTGTACTCTTCTTCGAGTCTTTCTTTATCGACTCTTTCTTCGCTGTTTTTTTGCTCTCGGCTGGTGAAGGGAGACCGGCGACGGCAGAGTCGACCTTAGTGAGCGTAGACATGATGAATGGATGGATGGATGGAGTTGAGTTGAGATGAGATGGGAGTCGCGCTGGAGTGGCTACCTGGCTCGGCTATGTTAGTGATACGATGAAGCCCCAGGCCAACATCCAGACCGAAGAAGAGACGGCTCGACGATACCAATGGAGGCTTCTACAGCGCTATGCTCGAGATGGGTTGTTTTTGCTGATGCTGACGATGTAGTTGTAGTTGTAGATGTTGTTGGTAGAAGAAGAAGAAGAAGAAGAGGAAGAGGAAGAGGACGAGGAAAGGGAGAAAGCGGGGTAGGTTTATATACAGACCAAGCTGCGCAACCGGCCGTCCGAAAGGGGAAAGGGAGCAGGGCGGTACCTCAGCAGGACCTCGCGCTGCCGCCAGCCGCCGCCTGCCGCCCCAAGTACCGCGCAGGTACCGCGCAGGTCACGCCCTCCCTGGCTGCGCCGACTGCGACGCCCGGCGAGTCACCTGAGCTGGCGTCACACCATCCGGAGCTTGTTCTGCATCTTCTTGTCTCGCCCTGCCTTGCCTTGGGCCGGGGAACTCGGCCTCGTCCTCTCCTGCATCCCGTCCCTGTCGACTGGTCAGAAGAGTTAAGTTAAGTTAAGCTACGCATCGTTCTTCCTAGACTACTTTGTCTCGACAGCTACAACGTCCCTGGCCGGCGCTGTCTCGTACATGGCCTGATCTGTGGCATGATGCTGCCTCTCGCCCTCGCTCGCCCGGCCCATGCATTAGCTGTCGTCTGTTATGATGCCATGATGGAGCATGGATGCGCGGATTACATAAGTAGCGGCATGCACCCCGCATCCCGCTTGCCCCAAAGCGGCAATTCGGCGGACGACCCGGTGGAGCGCTCCACCTTTTATCCGTTTTAAGCTTCACCTGAAAGATGACTAATATATTATATAACTACACATCATGTGACACGCTTAGTCAGTCTTAGGTAATCCTCGAGGAGCTTCTTTTTTTTTCTCTGGACGTTGGGCTTGGATGACATACAAACACCTTCTTTGCTGCCTTTTGAACGCGCCGCGACGAGGAACAGAAGGATTCCTACTCTGCCCCCTACTATCGGTGCTTTGCCTGTACCTTCATTTACCGGCGCATTCTTTGTTTCCTTTCCTTCTGCTGCCTAGTGTTTTTGTTTTCCCACTCTTTTGGTTTTTTTCCGTTACGACAAGCTACAATGACGGGCCTATTCGGCAACATCACCTCAAATACTGCCACAGCAACCACCACAACGACGGGTGATATCTCAAAGGATGTAGCCCTGGTTGCTCCGCCAGAAGATAGCATTTCAGATCTTGCCTTCTCCAGCCAGAGTGATCACCTCGCCGTTGCATCATGGGACAAGAAAGTGCGCATCTATGAGATCAATGAGCAGGGGATGAGCGAAGGAAAAGCCATGTTCGAACACCAGGCTCCCGTTCTTAATTGCTGCTGGTCTCCGGTATGTTCTGCAGAGAAACCCGCGTGTTTAAGACATATATGCCCAATCATACATGCTTACCGTTTTTCTTTCTTGTTTTAGGATGGCTCAAAGGTAGTTGGTGTCGGAGTAGACAAAGCGGCCCGCATGCTCGACCTCCAGGGTAACCCTACCACCCCTGTCCAAGTTGCCGCCCATGACGCGCCTATTCGAAGCTGCTGCATGATTCAAAACCCTGGAAACTCGGCCCAACCACTCCTCGTCACCGGCTCGTGGGACAAGACAGTTAAATACTGGGACCTAAGGCAGTCAACTCCAATTGGAACATTGCAGTGCCAGGAGAGAGTCTACTCCATGGATGTCAGCAAAACCCTTCTTGTCGTTGCCACGGCGGACAGATATATCAACATCGTTGACCTTAACCAACCAACAAACATATACAAAGTCATGCAGTCTCCACTCAAGTGGCAGACAAGGGTTGTGAGCTGTTTTACGGACGGAACTGGATTCGCGATAGGGAGCATCGAAGGCCGATGCGCAATTCAGTATGTGGAGGAGAAAGACTCCAGCTCAAACTTCAGCTTCAAGTGCCACCGTGAAACGCCCCAAGGTCAATCGAACGTGAGCAACGTCTATTCAGTCAACTCTATCGCCTTCCATCCTCAACACGGCACATTCAGCACTGCTGGGAGCGACGGGACCTTCCATTTCTGGGATAAGGATGCAAAACATCGACTCAAGGGCTACCCGTCCGTCGGAGGCACCATATCTACCTCAACATTCAACAGAAACGGAAACATTTTTGCCTATGCTGTTAGCTATGACTGGAGTAAAGGTTATACTGGTAACACCCCACAGACACTAAACAAGGTCATGATGCACCCAGTCACGCCAGAGGAGGTAAAACCAAGAGCAACATCAGCAAACGCACGAAGGAACAGATGATTTGATTTTCTTTTTTTTTTTGTTTACATCCATACTCCTTATTCCCAATTCAGCCCCATAGTGATCATATCCACGTACTCCGGGGTTTCCCCCTTCTGTTCTAATGAAAATGATGAACATCATGTACTCTGCTAAAGCACAAACATCAACCTTACATCTCTGTGATCGTCAAAACTACTACTTACTACCTTTCCCACCCTAAGAGATGACTTGGGGCGCATTTCCTCATGTCCATTCGCAAATGCCTAATAAATAGACTGGTCTGACTATAAACTAGAAACAAAAAGGAAGATTTCTAATCCATATCGTAAACCTCGCTTCTACTGCTTAAGAGGTTGGTAGTGTCACTTGAGCAACACCATCAGCAACCGCCTCCACGGCCTTGTCACCACCACTGGGCGCCACAGCTTCCGCTCTTCCCTTAGCCGACGCCTCTACAGGACCGTCACCGCTAGTACCTTCACTAGCTTTGGACTTTTGCTGCTTCTTCTTAGTCTTTGCTGCCTTCTTCGCCGCTTGCTTTGCCTTCTCTTCCTCTTTTTTCTGTCGCTCAGCCTGGGATCCGCCAAACTTTTCCCTCCACTCGTCAGCCTTCTTGACATCAATGTTGCTGAAAAGGTACTTTGCCTTGCCAACACGGTGGCCAGGCTTGATGACTGTAGGCTTCCACCCATCTTTGATATCATCGAGGCTTGGTATTAGACCGGCTGGCGCGTCCAATTGCTCAAGGATGGAAGCGGACGTTGCGGGGAGATATGGACAGAATACACTTGAGCACAAATGGATCAAATTCACCACAATACCAACCACTGCCGCAGCACGTTCGGGTTCGTTCGCAATAAGCGAATTATCAAGCTTGTTAGCCTGAATCAGGCCATTTCCAGCCTCTGCAATCTTCATGGCCGTGAGGATGCCAGCACGCAAGTGGACTCCTTCCATTTCGTTGATGTATTGGCGGAGAAGGCCAGTTACCTCCTCAAGGGCTGGGTAGAATGGCTCAGTGACAGTGAAGTCTGGGATAACTGAGTTATACGCCTTTGGGCTAGCAACCAGCTTAACAACTCGATTAACAAGGTTACCAAGCTTCGCAAGCAGCTCTCCGTTGTTGCTATCAATAAACGACTTCCATTCAAACTGTGTATCTCCGGTTTCCGGGCGATTCTTCAGCAGGTAGTATCTCCATACATCAGAGGAGACTCCTGTTTCCTTTGCGTTGTTCCCAAAAACTCCGATCCCACGAGATTTACTGAATTTACCGCCTTCATAGTTGAGGTACTCGGTTGTGCTGAGATGGTGTAGCATCGTCCACTTGTCCTTGGTACCCAGCTGACACCCAGGGAATATAACAGCATGGAATGGTACGTTATCCTTGCCAAGGAACTGGTATAATTGGACATCTTCAGGGTTCCTCCACCATTTTTCCCATTCAGGGGTATAGTTGGCAGTGATGGAGGGGTATCCAATACAAGCCTCAAACCAAACGTACAAAACCTTCTTCTCAAACCCGTCTAGGGGAACAGGGACACCCCATTTCAAATCTCGGGTGATACCGCGAGGTTGAAGGCCTTCTTTTAGCCACGATCCCGTAATAACTCGGCTATTCTTTGGCCAGTCTCCCTTTTCAATCGCCGTAGCTGACCATTTCTCAATTTCAGGCTGGAGTTTATCTAGCAGGAGAAAGATATGTTTCGTTTGTCGACGAACCGGGGTAGCGCCGTCAACTTTGCAGCGTGGGTTTATTAGATCGAAGGGGTCAAGAAGGTGCTGGCACTTGTCGCATTGATCTCCTCGAGCGTCATCATAATGACAGCGAGGGCATTCGCCTTCAACAAACCGGTCAGCAAGAAATGAGTCATGCTTTTCACAGAAGGGCTGTTCCGTGGTTTTCTCTTCCAGATATCCATGTTCATAGAGCCTTTTGAAGATGCTTTGGGATATCTCAGTATGGGCTGTCGTTGGCGTGCGGCCAAATATGTCGAATCCTATATTAAACCACGAGTAGACTTCCTGGTGGATTTTGTTATACTTTGAGCACAGCTCTTCAGGGGTGACGCCTTCTTCCAAAGCCTTGGTTTCAGTTGCAGTGCCATACTCATCTGTGCCACAGACGTACAGCGTTGGTCTACCGCACGCTTTGTTATACCTGTGTAAATACTCCCCATATCAGCAGCAGTTGGTGAAAGTGTCGAAAACGCTCGCATGGTAATACTAACCTCGAAAACACATCAGCACTCAAAACGGAGCCAACAATGTTACCAAGATGCGGGACATTGTTCACATAGGGCAGGGCACTTGTGATGAGGATGTTCCTCTGCCCTTGCTGGGGTAGAATCTTCGCTGTTGACTCCATGGCTGAGTTGTCGTGGCAGAAGTGGGATAGATTATTTTAGTGGGGGTTTGGGAGATGTTTTAACTAGTTAAATCAGTTATCGATGAGGCTCAAGTTGCGCGAGCCAAAGAATGACTTTCGGCGCTTGTGACTAACCAGTGACTCGTTTGCTTCGCCCACAAACCGTTTGAAAGTCAGTCCTGTTCAACGACAATAAGCTGCGTATGGGACGCTGGGCTCGTGGAGATGGATAATGGCCTTTTTCTCGACGATATTCTTGGCCTCGAAGACGAGTTTTACGCCGAAGGCTACAGGCTAGGGACGCTTGACGGGACAAAGGCGGGCTTCGACGAAGGCAGCGTCTTCGCCATCGAAAAGGGCTTTGAAAAGTTCCAGGCCATAGGGAAGCTCTACGGGAAGGGAATAATATGGGCGAAGCGGTTGCCAAACCAGCCGGAAATGTTGAAAAGCAGCACCGCTCAGTTATCCCATAAAAGCAAGAATGAAGCCCGGGACAATGCGCTGAGTGCTGGTGCTAAGTCGGGGGATCTGGAAGCACAACCTATACCAGCGCAGGATCTGCCTGGCCTCCCCAGTAACCCGCGACTGGAGAAACACATTGCAACATTCCTCTCGCTGGTGAACCCCCTCACCCTATCTATGGAGAATAATGAAGAGGCTGTTGACGACTTTGATGACCGGCTGAAGAGGGCTACTGCGAAGGCGAGGATCATTGAGAAGATGCTCGGCGAACCAAGCGAGCATACCGCTGAGTGCTCTACTGGGGCCAGTAACATCGAAGACATCAGCTCATTGCCAGCTCATGTCACCGGCAACCGGCAACCGCGGAACTCTAGCCCCGTGGTCCAACTTTGATCAAGAAGGGGGTTGGTCTTAATAACAAAAGCTGTCTGCCGTGACTTTCCTTTCCACTTGGCACAGAGGTTTTTGACAATCGCACCCGTTAAATGGCCATAACTTTGGTCGTAAATTACTAGCTATCTGTCGTGGCCAGGAGCCCAGGAATGGTTAACCAAACCTTTTACGAAGACATGAGGGCTGTCAAACCTGATATAAACCGCCTATATAGATAGAAGCTATCAATAATTAGTAGTTAAGAAAATGCTATTAATTTCAATATTATAACTTTTTTATAGTTAATTAACTTAGTTACTAGTTATATTGGAAATAAGATTTCGGACCTTGATGATTTTTTTAAGGTAACTAACTAGGTAGTTTGTTGGTTAATTAGCACACATTAACCAGTCAACTAACTTACCTAAAACTTCAATTTGATCAAACTAACTAATTATTATGACCATCTTCAACTAACTGCCTATCCTCTACAGCAATCCTGATATTGGCAACTGTCTCTCGCGTTTCTTATCACCCTGGATTTTTCTTACTTTCAGAAGACAATTTTAAAATGACAAGCAAAATTTCACATCTTGCGGACCTTACGCCGGCGCCGCAAGAGAGATTGTGGCATTCGTGTCCCCACCCTCGATTCCCAATTGTTGCAACTTGTGGCGCGGATAAAATTATTCGCATCTACTCTCTCCTAAATTTCACATTACTCTCCTCAATATCTGGCGGCCATAAGCGGAGTGTCCGCTGTTCAGCGTGGAAACCAAACTCCGGTGAAGAAATTGTTCTTGCAACTGCAAGCTTTGATGCAACGGTTGGTATATGGAAACGATGGGAGCAGTTTCAACCCACTTCGACACAGGATCCAGAAGTGGACGATGGCGGGAAAGATATACTCTGTGCTACTGGGGATGAAAGTGAAGAAGACAAGGACGACTGGACGTTTGCTGTTGTCCTTGATGGGCATGATAGTGAAGTGAAAGCTGTTTCCTGGTCGTCCTCTGGCTCTCTTTTGGCAACTTGTTCTCGTGACAAATCAATATGGATTTGGGAAGATCTAGAAGATGGTGATAGCAACTTTGAAACCATTGCTGTACTGCAGGACCATCAGGGCGACGTTAAATGTGTTTCCTGGCATCCAGAGGAGGATCGCCTCGCAAGTGGAGGCTACGATAACACCGTCCGATTATGGAAAGAAGATATAGATGATTGGAATCAAGTTGCATGTTTGATTGGCCATGAAGGTACTGTATGGTCAGTAGATTGGGAGGCACCGGCGCCGTCTGGAACAGACACAAACGATGAACCAGACGTATCGACCGCACAACGCATTGAGGGGGAACTACGACCGGGGACAGATACTAATCGGCGCGAACCACGTCTTGCCTCCTGTTCAGATGACAGGACTATCCGTATTTGGAAAAAAGTGTCGGATCCCGCAATATCAACACCTCAAAACGTGCACCATAGTATACCCGGAACAATACGAACCAACACCACTGAGGAGACTTGGGTTCAAGAAAGCGTTTTGCCGAAAGAGCATGATATGTCAATCTATTCGGTTGCCTGGAGCAAGGCGACCGGCCTTCTTGCCTCTGCTGGCGCGGATGGAAAGATCGTAATCTATCAAGAACGCCAGAAGCTGAACCACCACGTCAATGTTGACTTAGGAGAAGATGCAGTTGAATCTAAGAGAGACACTCATTTTACGGACAAACAACAGGAGCTGGACAATCGTAGCATGGAGAGGGAATGGTGTGTTCTTTCCACGATGGAGGCAGCCCATGGTGTAAATGAGATAAACCATATATGCTGGGCCACCAGAGGACCCCGGAGAGAAGACCAAATAACCCAGAAGGAAATGCTTCTAACTACAGGAGATAATGGGATAGTCAAAGCCTGGACAGTGTCAATGGACTAATATCATCAATTATTAAACATATAAGATTACTGTCTGAAATATAACAGCAACTATAACAATCATTACATAGATTTACTATAAATAAAATTAAATAAATGTACTTTTCTGCTAAAAACTGGCTAGTTATAGTAGGAATTAGTAATAAATTATTGTCTATAAGTGGCTTTCTAAAGTGTTATTAATAGAGGGCTACTGGTATAGAATAAGTATATGGGGAAAACAACTGTTGATATAATAATATACATAATTAAAATAGTGTGTGATATTATTCCTGGGTTTCAATTAATTTGTGAGTTAGTTAACCAATTAACTAATTAACCATGACTACCTAACTTAGGTAGTTATTAGTAAAACTAGACGCTTTATAAGCGTGGCAATAGAATGAATGACTTTACTAATTACTTTTAGTATGCATTTAGTTGCGTCATCGCTATCAACTCCTGTTAACTATATGCTGGATTATTCTACTTTTAACTATAACTCACACACATTACCCAAGGTATTCTTGGGGTATTAGGCCTTTTATCCCTTGTGGTACAACATTATATAATATTTCCCTATTTCAGTGTCTTCTTGTGTTTTTATAGGACAGAGCACTCTAGTTACTTATGTGCAAGTTCAACACCGACCGTCTCGAGAAATACTAGATAGGAGGCATGGAACATAAAATGCTAGAGGAAAGGAGCAGGTTCTTAGCAGGCCTGCCCCAAGATACCAATGAATACAGATATTTAGGGCAGGAGCATGCTGAGATGATAGTGAAGAGGGAATATACTCGTTTTGTTGAAGAACATAAGAGCCCTTATGTTATTTTCACGCATGTACCTCCATCTGAAATTGACATGATCGATAACAGAAGCCTTGGAAAACTAGACTACCACCATTCTCTACGGATATTGCTTGCGAATATGCCCTGTCTTCCACACGAAGAAGCTCTAAGCCTTTTTGGCAACCTCGTTTTGTTAAAGGCCAACAAAATGCAAGTCGATCGCCTGATTCGCTATAGGGCGGCTACTACAACTAAAACGAGGGAAAGGGACAAAGAAGGAGATATATCTTGGGCCCCTCGGTGGCTCCCCCCGGGACGATCAAAACAATGGCCAACTGTGGCGCTTGAAGTGGGCTATTCTGAGTCACGAGAGAAGATTAAGCACGACATCGCGTGGTGGCTCTATAGCTCAAATGGAGATGTTTTGATGGCCGTATCAATTGATATAAAGAGAACGAGCGGTAATATTTATATTACCTTATGGGAACGAGGTGTTATGCCTACCCGAAACCACCCAAATCCCGACCCAAAGGTGGTTGGAGAAGTCAAGCTATTCCGGGGAAAAAATGGCCGGCCAGCAAGGGTAGAAGGTGCCGACCTAGTTGTCCCTTTCAAATACATCTTGCTTCGCTCGCCCGACCGAAGTCAGGGGGAGGGCGATTTTACTTTTACTAAAGCGGAGCTCCTACAGCTGGCTGAAACAATATGGGAAGATATGGATTGAGGCATAGGGCATGTTAGCAACCGGAAATCCCAGCCATTTGAAGGGCATAAGATCAGAGGTATTAATGGCAGACGGGGATAGAAGTATTATTGGTGGAAGTGGTAGTATAAGAAACAAGCGAGAGAATTGCCATGGTGGCCTTCCCTGACACCTCCGTTAGCTGCTGAAGGCTATGGGGATTATACAAGCCAATATAAAGAGTTAAATATACAAGCTGATGGAAACTGAATGTTCTCAGCAATTAGTATCAAATTTTAGTAGAGTTTATTAGGTCGCCAGAAACAAGGCGATCTGACGTTTTGCTGATCAGTTTCTATGTTTTGGTCACCGGGGGCGGCCTGCTCCTTGGACTGTAAATAAGGTGTCACCACTCGGGAAGGAGATGTATATAGAAGGTATCCATCAGGCTCAGATGGTGTCCGCAAAGTTTGGGCTTCGTCATCTAGCAGATGCAGTGGCTCCGGGCTTTCCACTCTCGAATATTGGACGTCCAGGTCTGTTAATTTAGATCGAGGGTAGTTGATTAAATTAAACGGGGGTGGAGAGCCATAAAGACGATACTGACGGTTGAATAAGGGTGTATCACTGGGTAATTCCGATGTAGGGCCCTTCTGTGGTGTATGGGGTCCCGCGTCATACGCTAGACTGGAGCTTTGGCATGGGAACCATCTCTGACTGCCTTGATTTAAAGAACGTGGGATAACATCTTTCCATGTCTCATGGCCTGGGGGATAGAATCCACGGACTGTGTGGTAATATTCTGAATGCGATTTTGCAAGATGACTGGTATCATAATCATAGCCAGGTGGACAATCGTAAATTACTGGACGGGGTATATCCTTCACACTTGGCCAAGGACGGTTAGATTTTTGGCTCAAGTTGCCCTGTCTCTTAGTATCTAGTTTCTTTAATGAAGGGGCGAAGTCGTCACGAGAGCAGTATGGGGATGTTTCTGCCGCCTTTTGAAGCAAGCCTTCCAAAGAATATGGCTTTTGAGCGCGTTTTCCACTCTGCTCTAAGGGACCAGCAATATATGCGTTATGAAACAGCATATTTTGTACTCTTGAGTCCAGTTGGGATGAACCCGCACTAATAGGGCGGCTAGGCTTTTCAGAAATATGATCCGTTCGATGGGAGCCTTTAGGATCACTGGAGGAAAGTTTTGAGTTTGTTCTGGACCAGGTATAATATGTAGTTGACCGGCCACTGTCAGCAACACTACCTTCAATCTCAGACAGGGTTCTTTTCTTGCTGGGGTTGGGGTAGTGAGATCTTGCTTTGCTCCAACTGGAGCAACTGGGGGAGGCTGAATGTCCAGCATCCACTCTCGAAAGTAATCGTCTTGTAGTTCCCGTAGGTTTTGCCAACTCTAGATCCCTGGGATTTTCCAAATGAGCACGGGTAGCACATTGGGGGTTGGCCGATCGTGAAGGTGAAAAGTATTTTGATATAGTATTTTGCTGACTTTGATGTAGCGAATTCCTTTGTTCTAGGTTTGTGGTGAGTATTGGGTCACGACGAGCCCTTGAGTGAGAAGATAGGAAGTCAAGTTCAGGGAAGGAGAGGTCCGGGACTATTAACGGGCGTGATAAGTAGCTGGCTATATCTTTATTGTTCGGGACCGAGGTGGGAACATCTTACGCTCGCTCCGTATGACAGGCGACGAAGCTCGACCGTGCCTAAAGAGACCACCAGCAGTTGCGTTGAGCTTCCCGAGGGAGTTAGCAATGTAACTAGCACCACTTATATGGATATTGTCCGTACCGTAAGGCGCGTTTGCGAAATATTTGGTGGCTTAAAATTATCTTTGATGGCCGTGTTTCCGAGTTTCCGGTCAGACGCGAGCCTTTTGACCTGACGATGGGTCTTCCTTGGCCTCCGTGCTGTTGTTCTAGGCTCATACCGATCTTCTCTTGTTTTATGCCTAGGCTGGCGTTGGTATCGTGCGTTTTTCCCTAGCTTGTCAGGGCTAGAGCCACAGTTCATGCCCATCTCTATCGATTCACCTGGGATAATGCTATCTTGACACTGGGGTATACTGGTTTAGTGGTCAAAGATCACGCTCTGGCGAGAGATAACCTGTGTATTGATGGAGTTTCTATCTAGAACAAACACCACCAAGTCGAATATATGAGGCCAAAGTCAGTAATGGTATCTTTAAGCAATATCAGGTTGAAGTCTGCAAGAATGTGCGAGTCAGTTGTCACAACCCGTCAACCCGTGTGATAAAGTTAAACCCAAAAAGGGTAATTCAACGTCATGTCAACTTGTAGCGCGAAGTAGACTGTCAACTAACTAGCAACTTCCCATTAAAACTGATAACCAGCTGGCTTTTTAGTTAATCATCAAAATTCATTCATCACTCTGTCCAATAATAGAAGGTATAGCTCGAGAACGAGGCATCTAGTGTTTGTTATCAACTCCTATCTTTCTGTGGACGTTGCCTGTCGTCTGAAGGCAGTTCTCGTAGCTGAGTATCAGATTGTGGGTCCGAAAATTGGACCTTTCCTCATACTAGTTGATTTACCAATGCTAGCAGCAGATGATAGAAGGCTGTCAAGAGTATTCAAGTGCGAAAATATATCAATATTGATCATTACTCTCATGTAAAACCTTTATATAAAATGCAAAAAACTCAATAAAACCCCCGATACTCGAAAACGAGAGACTCAACAATTCCCTTGTCTCAAAACATTGATACCAGCGTAACCAAATCAAAAAATACCACGGGAAAGTGCAGGAAAAACAATAACCAGTAGATTTAATGTTATCTTGCCCCGTGGTCCTAGCACTTTCGTAGCATCATATTTTGTCCCTCGAGCCTTGCAACCTGAAGCCTGAGTTCGTCCCGTTCCTTGAGGGCATCGGCCAGCTGTTTCTCCAGGCTGCAGATCCGATCTTCCTTTCTCTTGCGGAACCTGCGAGCAGCCATGGTATTACGCTGCCGTTTCTCACTTGCAATTTCCTCTGCAGATCGATTGTCATCATCTGCACGTGACCGTTTCCGGCTACCACTTGACTTGGTGGTCGAGCTAGAAGATGATTCAGGGCTGGGGCAAACATCGGGAACAATCGTACTGGACAAGTCGGGTCTTATAGATAAAGTAGGGACTGAATTGGTTACTGTTGAGACGTTGTTGTTCACCTCGGGAACGGAGCTCCCGGCATCACGGGTCAGGGGGATGTCAAGGAGGCATGGATCACAGTCTTTCATGGAGTATAACGAGTCCTCCGTTGACACTGGCGTTTGAATAGGGCTATTCTCGAAGGAAGGAATAAGGACCTGACCCTGAGGGTTGCTGAAATCGAAGTCCTCAGTAGAAAGGAGCGCTTGTAATGGGTCGTCGTAGAGTTCCCAGCTCTGTGAGAAATCTGGGATATCCTGTCCCGCCGTAGAAAGAGGGTATTGGTCCTGGGCAAAGTATGGATGGCCGGGAAAGAGAGTGGCAAAAGGGTCTGATGCGTGGAAAGGAGACGAATCCGCGATCGGCGGCGTAAGTGAGGAGGAAGAAGAGGAAGACAGGCAATGCGAAAAGTGGCTGTTGATACTTGTTGAAGAGGACGAGGACGGATGATTGTATAATGGCGGAGACTGATGGGGCGAGTTGGTACCGAGGGGGTCGCAATCACGATGGCCACTTGGTAACGGAGGCAAGGGAAGGCTGGAAGAATGCGATGGTCTGGCGAACGCAGCCGGCTGGTGCACAAGCAGTGGCCGACATGACGAGATGGTGGGGGGTTAAAGGAGTTCTAGCACAAGTGCAGCTGAGGTTCACAGCGCTTTGGGAGCCACGATGTGAAGGCAGCAACGGGCAAGCAGCAAGGCAGCGATGGGAGGCGGTCCTAACTACTATATAGTCGCCCAAAAGGCACGGCTGAGGTAAGCGGCTTAGTCATTGAGCCAGCGGGCCGAGGCACAAGGAACGCATTTCAGCCAACAAAATGAAGTTATCAGATCCACTCACAAGGGCCCGTAGTCTTGGCATATATCTCACAGCCAATGGGAGTCACTTAAAATGAGTCATTCTTGCTCACCATGAGAAAACGGACAACGAAGGATCAGAAGCAGCAAGAGAAGCAGAAGCCTCCAAGGCTTGCGATCCAGACGAGACGAAGATCAGCAACGCTTTTCAGCCCCGAAGACAGACAGACAGATGTTTGGTTGGAATGGAGAAACATGAGAGGGTTCTGACGATGTCGACAAGTTTTGACTCCTTCATGACAGCTGGGAGTTCAGATCGGCAAAAAGACTTCTTTATTGCCCATGGACGGATAACCTGTTTGGATGGGGTTGGATGGGATGCTAGGTTTGCTTACATTTCATCCAGAAAAGGCTTCTCAGCCCCGTCAAGGAGAACACCTCTCTCCCTTTGATGATTGTCGGTATTGCCCGAGTTGACCTACTTGACCTGCGCTGTGTCTCTTGTGTGAATATATATATATATATATATATAACTACATTCAGTCTGAAGGATGAAGACGAGAGATGCTATAGATGATTACGCTGGAAGGCTCAAAATTACTCATTCTTACGCCCGCCGGATTCACTTCTCAAGGAGAATGTTCACCAGAAACACTAGGGCTCATTCTTGACTAAGACATAGGCAGCGGACGTACGAAATGAACATTCATTGTTGTACGTCCATAAGCCCCTTCGCCAGATATCTAGTAATTATTCAAATGGAACTAACTGGTTTGGATGACAGGCAATTGCCCGAGAATCGCCCTTGCAACTCAGGTCAGACTTATAACCACTAGTTACACTGAGGGCCTGACGTACTCTCCTTTCTTGCTCTCAAGGTCGAGTGACGGAGTAATTCTCCCCAGGGTCATCCCAACCGTAACTAATGAGCTAACTTACGGCACTGAAACAACTAATTAGTTATCCCTAGCCAAATGGATAATCAGTATTACCCGGAACCCATCTCCCCAGCGTTCATCCCTCATGCTTCATGGGGGGCCTTCAGGCGGGTGAGAATGGCCCGGTTGCTGCAGTTAAACGGGACAAGGTGTCCGGGTAACTAACTAACTCAGGTGGAGTTTCTCGAGAGGGACAGACAAGCGGCCGCCTCGGAAGAAATAGCGTAGGGTAATAGGGCACTTTCTGATCTCTCCGTCTTGCTGGAGAGAGGCCGACGATCATGGAGGCTGCAGATGCCAAGCTCAAGAGGAGCCTGCTTATCTTCGTGTCGGGAGCGTATGTATGGGGTGGCAGGGGCCAGCAGGAGCATCGTCCATCCCTCCAAACCTGAGCCTGCCCAGACAGAGATAGATGCCTGCATGTACACAGTACTTCCATGCACCACGCTGCAGCCTCTTATCATGCCAGCCAGTCCGCGTCCCCGACCCCGTTTCCCCCCGGCCTATAGGGGGAACGAGAGATGGCGAACAAGATTTGTGATAGTTCAACCCTGGATGGGCCAACGGGCCAGTCAACGGGCCAGGACGAGGGCTAGTGTGCAACCAGTGCAGCACTTTTCTAGGACTTGTGGACGAGATGCTGGCTATCCAAGGCTGCCATCGCGGCGGTCGACCGTCGAATGCTGGCTAGAACGCAGCAGCAGCAGCGCCAGGAGGAGCCGTGGAGGGGGGAAGATGCGAGGGCTGCCGCCTCCCAGGAAGACGCAAAGTAACTCCTACCAGCTGCGGGTTGCTTCTGGCTACGCTGTTCCAGTTAGCTCGTTTAGGTGACTTTGGGGAGAAGGATGACGGAGGAAGAGAAGACGAGATGGGGAGAAGAAGAAGCAGAAGAAGAGCTCTCTCTCTCTCGTCTCTCTCGGCTAACTATCTCGTTGCATCGGGCCAGCTTCTAAGTAGCTAGCTAAATGCCTAGAAATACGGAGGAGTGCCTGGGTAGTCAGCCACTGCTGCCGCTGCCCTCTGGCTTCCTGCTAACCTAACCACCTCCCGGGCTGCTACTCCGAACTCCCATGACAAACCATCCGACTCTGCTGTCTACTTGCTTGCTAGTAAGCTGGCTTGCTAGTTAGCTCGTCCGTCCGTCTCGCACACACACACAACACACACACACAAAAAAGCCTTCTTTGCTTTTCGCATATTTTTCATTCTTTTTTAGTCTTTTTCTTACTTCTTCCTTTTTCTTCTTTCTTCCTCCCCTCCTTTTCTCTCTCCCTTTCTCTCTCTTCTTCTTCTCTTTCTTCTGCCAGCTTTCTTAGGTTGTCCTTGTTGCATTCGTTCTTTGCAAAGGGAGGCAGTCAGATAGTCACTTGATCCTTCTTCACTTCTACTTCTACTCACTATCTTCTTCTTCCGCTTCTTCTTCTTCTTCCTCCACTACTTCTACTTCTACTATTGCTACTATTCATCCATCCGCTGCGCGCCCTTCTCTGCCCGCATCAAACTTTTACGGCCTTCCAACTTTTTTCTTACGCGGCTTCTTCTCCCCTGAAGAATCGCCCTCTTCGCTGTCCATCAACTCTCTGCTCTGCTTGATATCCATCTATCTATCTCGAGATCAAGATGGCCCCTCCAAAGCTGTTCATTGGGTTTGTTTAGTCTCTTTGCTTTTTTTCCTCTCTGTCTGTTCGCCTTTTGCTCCACCTGCTAATAGCTACTTTCTTCGTCTTGGGACAGTGGCCTCGCATGGCATACAACTGACGATACCCTGCGTGAAGGGTTTTCGCAGTTTGGCACCATCGAGGAAGCCGTTCGTTGCCCTCTCTTTATTACTTTACTCATCTATCTGTCTATCTGGCCGGACACAGGGTTGGTTTATATGTTTGTAGATCGCTGATCTCCCCTGGACAGATTGTCGTCAAAGACCGTGATACCAACCGTAGCCGTGGCTTCGGGTTCGTTCGTTTCTCTAGCGAGGCCGAAGCCGATGCTGCCCTGAACGCCATGAACAACCAGGAGTACGTTTGCTGCCCTCTTAGCTGTGGGAACTCTCTCTTTTAAAACTTGTTCACTTTTTGCTCACTATCCACCATCAGGTTCGACGGTCGTGTAATTCGTGTTGACAAGGCCACTGAGCGCTCCTCCGGTGGTGGTGGTGGCTATGGCCAGCGCCAGGGAGGCTACAACCGCTTTGACAACTCTGACCGCGGTGGTAGCTACAACCGCGGCGGCTACGGTAGGTTCAGATAAATCATACGCTGTTCATATGAAGTTCGTGTTTTAACTGGTTATCTTGGGGCGTCTAGGCGGTGGCTATGAATCTCGCCAAGGTGGCGGTGGTAAGTACTATGTCTACAGTCTATGTTGTATATCAATTCTTATTAACTTGTCGATTCCTTACTACAGGCTGGGGTGGACAGCAGCAGCAGCAGCAGCAGCAGCAGCCATACCACGGCCAGAGCCAGGGAGGCAACGGAGGAATGTAATCCTCACACTTTCTGCAAGCTAGCCAGCTAGCTCTGGGATGATGCCAGCCTTTCACCTCGAACCTGCCCTGGTTTTCTCTCTCTTTTTCTCCTTGTCTTTTCCTTTTCTCCCCCTCGATTTATACGATTTTCCAGACGATTCTCGACAGCGAAGTACGATAGTTCACGAAGAAGGGCCACGATGTTACGAATAACGAGTGAGACAGATACCTAGTTATGTACCAGATAACCTGACCCAACCCGACGATCAATCAGCATCTCTTTCATTCAGACCACGGGAACAAGGGGAACCTACATACCACTTAAAAAAAGAAGACAAAACTTATTCGACCAGAGTATCTTGCTGCTGTTTTCGAGGATAGAAGGGTCTCTGTATCTTTCAACCACATCTTTCCTTTTGCCCATAGTTTCTTTAATCACCCACCCTCCCCTGCCCAGTCAGTGTTGCGCCATAGTTTATGACTTCATTCCGGATATGAGGGGGCCTTCCTTGTCTGACCTCCTTTTTTCCACTCAGCATTGACTTTTTTTTATACCAAAACATCTTCTCTATCTCTCAAAAGTAGGCTTACTACGAGACAAAAAAAAAGACACCGCCCCTTTTTACTCCCTTTCTTCCACTTCTATTATGTGTGCCTCTTTCCACCCTCTCTTCTTTTTCAGATATTTTCGAATGGCTGGCCACTCTTCTACAATTGATCCCTTATTTTTGTATGATGAGCTTGCTACTTTGATCCCCTGAGTTAAAAAGAAAAAAAGGGTTGTCCCTGAATTTTTCCCGAAATCTTAAATTGCTTCTATCCAGTTGGTTGAAGGGGCTTATTTTTGATATTCTTATTATTCTGCATAACAATAGTACAAACTAAACGCCTCTGACTTATCCCATCGTGGTGCAGCTTAGAAATGTACTGATCAAGTAAGAAGTGTAGTTGAAATAACATGCAAGTAGTTATCCAACTAGCCAGAGCCGTTGCTTTTTATAGCTATGGTAAAAAAAAACGTTCTATCGACCCCACCAAGCCCACTTCGTTTCTATAGACAGGTGTAAGAAGCCTTGCATAGGAGACCGCATAGGAGACCATAGAGCAACGCCCATGTATATATGTATGGATAGAATAAAGGAATCTAAACTCTTAACATATAAGCAAAGCCGTCGTCAGTTCTTCTGCTCCATGGCCTTCACCCGCCGTACCAGGTCTGTGACGTGAACATCAGAAGAGCCCAGTCCAAGGCCTTCGAGCGCGGTCTCAAGGGAATAGAGATAATCCCTGTTCTCCCCGCTCTGGCCCCGGCTTGCATGAATAACTCTGGCAACAGCATCTGGCTCGCGCAGTGCTGGTTCACGCAAGAACTGGATGTTACTTGGGAGCCCAATATAGACCAGACACTTTCTTGACTGCAGACTAGCCGCAGACTGGGCTTCGTCGCTCTTGGGACTCGAGTATGGATAAAAGGGTGTGTAGTGTACACTGTAGCCATCTATCTCTCGGTCGTCTAGGTATGCGCTCACTTCGTCTGCGTGTGAGGCAGGGATGTGGTATGCTGCTCCCCAGACTAGAGACCCATCCGTGGTCCGTTCAAGCTCTTGTTGCTGAGACACGTTTAGTTTGCTGCACACATATATATGATTCCAAGAGACGACTGCGCCATCCCACTGGACGTAACAAGTAAAACACAATCAGGAAGCATGTTGGACTGACCGGGTCAGAGAGGGACTCCCAAAACGAGCGCTCGATAACTGTGACCACACGGCCAGGTGCTTCTGGTGTCCCACGATGGTCCGTACTGAAAATGTGAAGGCGTTGTCAAGTCAGCAAAGGCCGTAGTTGGCCGGAAGCCCTTTATTTCTACTAAATACGGAGTGAAGCAGCCGCACCTTGCCTATATATTGTGCATCCATCCAGTTTAATACCAGTCAGCCAATGTCAAGCCGTCTTCATTATTGGAGTTTTGGACGTGTTTAACTCTCGAGGTAAACCCTACCTGCCAGAATCGACGAACGTAGCCCTTGATATACCCGGCAACCCGCTGATCTGAAAGCAATGGTTATTAACAGGACTGCCACATTAACAGCCTGGCTGTCAAGACATACCGTAATGTGGCGGTGGCTTCCATATAAGGCTCCTAAACATGCCACACATCACTATTAGCATGGGATGTCCATGGAAGGCCAGGTTTTTTCGACTGCTCTGACGGACCCGTAACCAAATACCCAGAGATCTCCGGCCGGGAAATGACTCTTCCACGACTGTAGCTCTGCGGACGCCATAACTAGCGGTAGCTAACAAGTTAACTAGCTGTTTGAATGTCGCCTCTCGATAACTACACCAATAGGAAGACCTGTCCTGTAGACACTGGGCAGCCAAGTAGTCAGAGAGCTCTAGGGAGCGTACTGGATACAGAGAAGCTAACGATGACTGACTGTCGAGGCACAAGCGAGGCTATCTTAGTTAGAGCAGTGTGGCTTGCATCATGACATCGAAGTCGATTCGCTAGTCAACTGACTCGACACCTTTGGCCGTCACTAGCTAACTCACACAATGCCCCGTTATCAGCCGCACCGGGCGTTGGAATATCGTTCTTCCACGGCGTTTTTGATACCTGCAGGCGGGCGGGTGCCCAAGTGGTTGTGCGGGCAGCGCAAGTGAGGTACAAGGACGGTGGTTGACGAAATGCAGTCCGCAGTGAAGATCAACAGTGCGATAGAGTGCGAAGCAGGCGAAGGACAAGGCTCGCACAAGGGCGAGTTAACTAGTTAGCTGATCCAATAGACGAGTTCGCTGAGGCGAGAAAGGCTCGACAGACCCCAAGGTGGAGGGTGAGAGAGAGAGAGAGCCGGGCGCTGCTTGCTGTGCTGCCAGAGACCGCGGGCCGCTGCGCCTTGCTTCTTCTGCTTCTTCTTCAAACAATCAACTACTACTTAACCAGGAGTGAACTGGGATTCTCTTGTCACTTGGTCAACACAATCACCAGCTCAACTCACTCCGGTCAGTCGTTTGGTCATATCTCAACAGTGACGAGGATGGATTAAAGGAGATCACATGGGCCTTGACGTCGACTAGTTACAACAAAGTCTTTTCTCTTCTACTGCTATCTCGTCTGCTCCGACTTCGAATCCCCTCCTCAGATACAACATATCAGACCCTCTTACTTTCTTTTATCGACGCACTATCGGCGTTGGTGTCTTCTCGTCAACCAGTCACCCTTGGACAAAATAGTTAACTAGTTATCTACTTCGGCGGGAAGCCACAGCGGGATAGCCCAACGATAAGGCCGCCGCATGAACAGCGCAAGCAAAAATTAGCTATGGCTTATAGGGGTGCCTACAATCCTGATGCGCTGCCAGCGTAAGTTTCCTCTACGCCCAACCTGTTATTGCCTAGAGACGACGGGCTGGCTAACCTCTGAACTGTGTGTCGTCATGATATTAGACATGCTGAGCCAGAGCAGGTTTGTCTCACCGATTAGAGAATGACCATTGAGGGGGTGGAACTGGACTTTTGCTAACGGAGTACGACTCCTTTGCGCGCAATATAGGTGGCTCAAATGCTAGGTGCAATGCAACCGCCACAATCTCAGGCCTCTGCTCACAGCTCACGACACCAGGGCAACCCAGAACAACCTTCACAGCGCCGTGCCTCGGCCACCCATTCATATCAACCCCCGCGACAGCACTACCAAGCGTCATCACCGCAGAACGGCCATCCGCGAGTAGATCCGTACTATAACCAGCATTCCAACCCCTCAATAGCAAATCGCCTTCACTCCCCTCCACCGCAGCACTATGGATTTGGGCCTCGTCCCGTTCAGCCGGCTCAAAATCGGCCACCTCCCACCTCATACCCCCCACGGACACCCATACCACCAAGCGCTGGAGGGGCCGCTCTGCCGGCTTCCAACGAACCACACGACCTGTTTCCGCTATTTCGTGCTGCAAACGCATCGAATTCCGGTTCTCTAAGTGCGTCTGAACTCGGTTCCGCGCTAGTAAATGGGGACTATACCTCGTTCAATCGAGATACCGTCACGATGATGATTCGTATGTTTGACCGGGATGGCAACGGCGCGGTAGGTTTCGACGAGTTTGTCGCTCTCTGGAGATTTCTAGCTGCCTGGAGAGGATTATTTGACCGGTTCGACGAAGATATGAGCGGACGTATTAGTTTCCAGGAATTCAGCAAGGCCCTGGTGGCATTCGGGTACAAACTAAGCCACACATTTGTTCAGACTTTGTTCAACACATTCGAAAGCAAGGCCCAGCGGAGTACGGCATTGGTTCCTGGACGGACTGATGGAATGAGCTTCGATCTCTTCGTGCAGGCTTGTATAACCTTGAAGCGAATGACTGATGTTTTTAAGAGATACGATGATGATCGGGATGGATATATAACATTGAGTTTTGAAGAGTTTCTAACAGGTATGACGAGCGCGTTTCCTTCCTTACCGTCTGGCCCCCCTTTTATACACATATTATGCAGGACTAACTAACATGCCATGGCCAGAGATCTTACCACTTCGAGAATAAATAAATACCTTAGATAGCCTGGATGTAGTAGCATTCTTGGGGTTGCGCAGTCGGTTCAGTTACTTGCATCGTTATTTGGTGTTGTTGCAAATGTGTTAGCACCTACATGAATGAAAACGGATGGAACATAGAGGCCTACAAACAAAAATATATACCGCATAAGTAGTTAGTTAGCTAGCCCTATATAACTAATGATTATATAAAAAGGGAGGCAAATAAGAGAATATAATAAAAACTACCCATTGCCATGCGATGGCAGTTAAAAACACTCAATTAGGTTCGGTTGGATACGTAAGAATTCGACTAACTAGACAGAAAGTAAGAGAGCATGATGGTAAAGGGTTCTTCCATAATATGGATATGTTGAATGTAATTGATCGTGGGGTTGGGGGAATAATGAATATATTGCAATAGGCCGAAGCCAGCTGTAAGGGGGAAGGAGGTGTGCCCGCGATCGATATGGCAAGGGTAGTTAACTAGTTCGTCAGGAAAGCTGCGAAACAAAAAAAATGTAACTAAATCAGTGAAGTGACAAGATGGATTTCGCAAGATAACGGGAAACGTGGTGGAGAGAAGGAAATTTTACGTGGAGCACATCAGTAGCCCTATTTTGGTAGTATGTTATAGGGACATGAATTTATTTTCCATTATACACCCACTTTAGTCAAGGGGGAAGTTTTCGTAAACAATTCTTGGAACAAGACTAAGAAAAGTGTCGTTCGCCATTGGAACGTAACGTAAGTTGATTACAAGCGGTTAGGTGTTGCAGTAAGAGGCCACTGGTAGCCTGCAGCATCGCTGAATTTATAACCGAAAGACGAGGTGAAGTCATCGAGGACGGCAGGTCCTCGGGAGCCTGTGACGACAAGAACAGTTGTTAGAGAAAGAGATTGCATGGGGGGTTTAGGTTGGAGAGCGAGGTTGGGTAGGAAAGTGAGGCGGTGGTTGCTTACCGTATGGGTATTCCATCGGGACAATTTCTTTGTTGTCGTCAAGGTAGTGTAACAATGGGGTAAAAATCCTCCAACTGGCGTCCAGCTCGTCATCACGGACGAAGTTTGAGTGATCACCCTTGAGTGCGTCTAGAATGAGGGATTCATAGGCTTCCGGGATCTTCAGGTCTGAGAACCTTCGGCGGTAAGTGAGATCGAGCTCAGTGACGACGGTCTGCATTGAGAGGCCAGGGAGTTTTGAATTCATTTTGATATATACCGATTCGTTTGGCTGTACACGTATGACCAGCTCGTTCCTTGGGATATCTTTGAATATACCGGAGGTAACATCACGGAACTGGATGCGGATCTCTGTCTTTTGTTCGTTGAGAGCTGCAAAAAATGGCATGGTGAGTATAGATGTCATTAAGGCCAGGAGGCACACAGGCACAACTCACCTTTGCCAGCCTTTAGGATGAAGGGGACACCATCCCATCGCTCGTTCTTGATATATGCAACCATCGCACAAAATGTAGCACATCTGGAGTCCTTCGGGACGGTTTCATCTTCCTTGTATGCAGGCTTAGTGCCATCTAGCGACTTTCCATATTGACCAATAATGACGTTTTTGGGCTCGATCGCATCTATACCCCTCAACACCCTTACTTTCTCATCACGGATGTCTTCTGCGGAGAACGATATCGGCCGCTCCATCGCAAGCAGAGTCAAAACCTGGAGAAGATCTAGCGTAGATATATAATTAGCGGGCGATTGATTGCGGGCTGCGAGTATGATGGGTAGCTGTTTGCATACGGTTCTGCATGACATCTCTGACAATTCCGAACTCATCAAAGTAGCCGCCACGGCCCTCAGTGCCGAATGGCTCCTTGAATGTGATCTGTATGGGGAGACAGGAGTCAACTGACGGTATTCTATCCCTATATCTAGCTCAGATTGTATATATTAAAACATACCTGCACGTTATCTATGTGGTGTCTGTTCCAGGTGGCGCCAAAGAACTCGTTTCCGAAGCGTAGAATGAGGATATTTTTCACCATCTCCTTTCCAAGATAATGATCAATACGGAATATTTCATCCTCTCGCCAATTGGGCTCAAGCGCCCTCTGTAGCTCTCGTGAGCTACCCAGGTCTTTCCCAAACGGCTTCTCGACCTGCACATGTCATGGTTTGTATCATTAGCCATAAGCTATCCTTCATCCAAGAGGTATCAGGGTGAGGCTACAAACAATTATCCTTGTGATGCCATTTTCTGGGTAGCAGTTCTTCTTAAGGTGTTGGGAGACAGTGATGAACACGCTTGGCGGAAGGGCCATGTAGAAGACCCTGTTTTGCTCCTTTCGGCCCTTTTCTAACTCCTCCAGGTGGTTTCTGAGGGTGATGAAGGACTCATCCTGGTCATACTGCCCAGATATGTAGGAGCAGAGTTCGCAGAACCCATTCAGCTGCTCCTCGAGTTCCTTGGTAGGGACTTTGATATAAGACCGGATTCGTCGGACATATTCGTCATGGTCCATCTTAGTGCGAGCATATCCGACGATCTTGATGTCCTTGGGCAGGAACTTATTGCGATACTGTAGATTAAGACGGACAGTCAGCTGCTGTGATGCGAATGGAGGAGAATAGGTGTGGTGTGGTGTGGGTGAAGGAACAACTTACCAGGCCAAAGAGCGCCGGAAACTAGATAGAGCTGCCGTGTTAACTAGCCCACCAAACCGCATCGCAACTGCGGCACAGAGGCGAAGAATACTCACAGTCTTCTTCTTTGCCAGGTCTCCTGAAGCACCGAGGACGACGATAACTGTGTCATCCTTGAGCTCCATCGAACTACAGAGACGTCATCGTCAGCGCGCCATCTCGGACGAAAGCCAACCAACCAAGCACCAAGCGAAAAAAAAATAATACAGAGAAACGGAGTGCATCTCGATAACGAACTTACCCAGGAGCAGCCTCGTTATGTGTAATTGAGCCCGCCATGGCGTGTATAAGGACCGCAGCTGTTGTTGTTTGTATTGCTGTAGTGGTGGTTGGTAGTGGTAGCTGAGCTGGACGACTAGTTAATGAACTAGACCTTGATGACGGATGGGATGGCTGAGCAGAGCTGGCGGGGTGGTTTCTCTCGACTGGAACAACCGGCGGGATCAGCGGGCGAATAAGCAATTGCCCCACCGAGAGCAGCAGCAGCAACAAGTAGCAGGACGAGCAAAGGGGCAGAGGTTCCTTGGGCGGCGCTGGAGAAGCAAGAGAAGAACTGAGAGAGAGAGACAGAGGGAGGTAAAAGGCTGAGAGAGAGCGAGGGATGAAGATGTTGGCAGGAATGGACGGGGATGCAGCAGAAGACGGTCGGGTCGGTCGGTCAGCCGGCGGCGGCGGGCGGAGGAAGATGGAGCGATTAACTAGGGACCTGGTTATAGCTAGCTAGGACTCTGCAACAGCTACGTTGACTCCTGACAAGGCGACGGTTCTCCTTATTGACTTGGTATCGTTAATAGCAGGCGTTAAGTTATCCATGGATGGACTGGACAGCTGCAGGCCGATCTTCTCTCCACCGTTCGGCTCACTCCTGGCGATGTGGACGGTTAGTTAACTACCTAGGTAACAGGTAGTTGGTTAAGATGGCTAGTCAAGGCGTTTCGGTGACTGCTGTAGCTAACCAGCTAACTCCCGTAGCAGTTGGCTGTCACCGGGCAAATAAGTACTAGATAAGTAACCGACCGAACGACTACTGTTATTCACTAGGTCTACGGCAGGTGGCCGGCGCTTTGTTCGGCGGTGGATGTTGGCTGTAGCAATTGAGGCGGACCAGACAGTCAGGCCCTTGAGTTACTCCGTCGTATATATACAAGATTCGGCATCCTTGGAGGTGCCAGAGCTGCTGCTGGGGAGTTCATGTGGACCTACATAACTATACGCTGTCTCTCCCCCCTGCAGCTCACTCGATGGCTTGACGGCTCGTTTCCTGGAGGATGATAGTTGCAGCGCCGTCCGTCTGCCGGGATAGCAGGTAATAATGATGGAGACGAACGCCGTCCTGTTCTCCAGATAACTGACTGCCCAGGCATCTTAACTGTCTCGGTAGCTAAGACAAGTGTTGACCTTCTGCCAAGTTGTCCCGAACGAACCTGAAACTGCCTTCAGCAACCGGGCGAGCTTCCACCACTGCCAGAAGAATTAGGTAGTTATCATGGATATCCAGGCAGCGGACCTTGGTTTTTCGAGCAAGAGCAAGGACGCAGCGACGCCTCGACTTTTTGTGCTGCAACAATCCTCGCGCTGCCCGTGGAGAGACGATTAGTTGCTGGAACTCCACGTGGACGATGCAAGGGATCGTTATAGGTACAGTTAGGATGCGGATGCCCACGCTCTCTCGCGGATGGGGAGAAGTTAGTTAGTTACATAGTTAGTTATGCACCACTGGCTGAAGAAATACGAACCGAGCTGGCCTTTTGCACTGGAGAAGTGGAAATATTGAGCGACCAGCGGACTGAGCAAGGGAGGAGAGCATGGCAGCGCATGGCAGAGAGCGAGCCAGAGGCCTAGCCTTAATTTAACATCCGTGGGAGTAGGGCTGATAACTAGCTGTGGCCGCAGAAAAGGCTCCGGTTTCTCTCGTCTTGCCAGTCCGCCCGCCCAACCACAGGCAGCAACCACCACGCCTCCCATGCGAGACTAGTGGTTAGTTAGCTGCCGTGATTCCGCCCATCTTTGCTTCTTCTCCTTCTCTCTTCTTCTTCTTCTGCTTCCTTTTTTGTTTTTGCTTCTTTGCTCGGCGGAAGATACCCTCTTTGAACTGCGTCGAACTCGGTTTGCTCGTATTGAGCGGAAGTGTCTGAGATGGTGGTTGCATTTGGATCTGGCCAAAGAGCCGCTGCTCAACTGCCTAGTTGCTGCAGCGGAAGAACAGCTTTCCTGCCTGGATGCATGCATGAACAATCAACCAAGGGGCCAGAGCATCCCAGGTTATCATTATCCAGTGCTCTAAAAGGAACGGCTTGTCCTCAGGGCTTCGGGCTTATACAGCCGGTTCTCGGATGCCTAGCACTGGAAGGAAAACTCCCCTCCTGTAGGAACGTCCTTGTCCTTCGCGTCAAGTAGCTTTCTCAGCTAGCTTGCCTTAGCTCCCTCTCTCTTCCCTGTCTCGCCAAAGCACTGCAGTGCAAATTTTGCTTGGGTCTACCAAAATGCTCCGTTCAGACACCCGGGTTTCTCAAGCTGCGGCGAAACATGATGATCTCATGCTTTCTATTCTTATCATATAGTATTGACTATATATTCAAAAGTAGCGCCATGCTGCACCATTTCCCTTTGGGGGTTTCTTTTCCTCTTCGCTAGTCAACTTCCCTTAGACTGAAATCCAGTCTTCATCCAAACAATATATATCTATACCCCCTGGCCCGGTGCTCAACCTGGGTGCTCCCTTTACGAAAGCCAGAGTTGCTTTGCTTCTTCCAGCTCTACTGGTTCACTGCAGGGCAGCGACCTGAACGCATATATACACACTTTAATCACACAGCGCCTTTCCCATCTAGTGCAGCATTTTCGTCCTCCTCGGACTGCTCTACGGAGTACTCACCACAGCCATCCAGTGAGAAGGGTTTCGTCCCTCATACTTTTACTTCACAATGACTCGAGCAGTCGATGGAACTGGAAGGCGGCTTCGGCCGCTCAGCATGGGACCCAGACCCCAAAGGCCGATGAGTTTTACTTTTCCCGATTTCCCGTTCAACCCAGAAAGCGATGTCTTCCCGTACGCCGACCCAAACAAACGACTCTCGTACTTCAAGTACCCCGATGTAGACCCAGTATCTCCACTACCGACCCTTTCGACGTCACGAAATGGCAGCCAAGATACAATTGTCCCTCCTCCATACGAAGGTGTCGATGCAGAAAAGGCAGAACCTCCACCTGAAGCGCCTCCGAGTAAAATGAGTAGACAGGAGATCGTTATTATCATGACAGCCCTATGTGTAAGACCCCAATTGCAACCAAAAGAGAACTTCCCTTTTTGGAAGCATGAAAACGTTATCTTCTAACATATATTTCTCTCTTTGATACAGCTCGCCTTGTTTCTTGCCGCCCTCGATATGGTAAGTTTATCAAAGGCCCTCCCAACAGTGCAGATAAACATAACTCTAACGGTGTTTTCAGACTATTATTTCTACCTCTCTCCCTACAATATCAAAAGTATTCAATGCCAACGAGAGCGGTTACACATGGATGGCCTCATCCTACCTCCTAGCAAACGCTTCGTGTGTCCCACTTTGGGGAAAGCTCAGTGACATTTGGGGCCGCAAAGTCCTCATCCTAGCAGCCAATGTTCTTTTCCTTGTTGGGAGCTTACTCTGTGGAATTGCACCAGGACTAGCTATTTTCCTAGTTGGACGAGGTGTCCAGGGAATTGGCGGAGGCGGACTGATTATTTTAGGACAGATTTGCGTTAGTGACCTGTTTAGTGCGAGGTATGCATTATGATCCCCTGGTTCTGACAGTGATAGCTAAGATTTCACTAACATGATACAATTATAGAGAACGACCTGTGTACTATGCTCTATTCGGAGCTACGTGGGCAGTTGCTGGAGCGCTTGGCCCAGTGATAGGTGGACTACTGACTCAAAACACCTCCTGGCGCTGGTGCTTCTACATTAACTGTACGTGTTATGCTCACCTTTTCCACTCCCCGAAGATTTAACGGATTAGCATATTCCGTTACTTGAAAAATTTGCACAACTAATACTAACTTACTGGTCGGGATTATTAGTACCCGTTGGCGGCATTTGTTTCGTGATTCTCTTCTTTTTCCTAAAAATAGAATCTCCAAAAACCCCCCTCCTTGCCGGATTACGTGTTATTGACTGGCTGGGAACCATCACCATTGTCGGAGGAACCGTCATGCTTCTATTCGGTCTAGAATTCGGTGGTGTCAGCTTCCCGTGGAAGTCCCCGACCACCATCGGACTAATTATTGGTGGCATTGTTATTCTGGGAATGTTCGGTGTGGTTGAGAGATACTATGCAAAATATCCAATCATGCCTCCTGCCGTATTCGATGGCATGAACAACATCCTTATCTTGGGAGTTAATTGGGTCCACGCATCTCTATTCATCTCTGGTGCATACTTTCTTCCCATCTACTTCCAGATTGTCCTCGGCGTCGGTCCAACGCTTAGCGGAGTCTACATTCTGCCACAGGTGATGGGGCTCTCAGTTGTTGCCATGCTGACAGGAATGTTCATCCGAAACACGGGCAAATACGTCTGGATTATGCGTATAAGCATGTTGATCACGACTTTGGGATACGGCCTATTTTTGGATTTCCAGTCATTCACATCCTGGCCTCGACTCATTATATACCAGCTTATCTCTGGCATTGGTATCGGTCCCAACTTCCAGGCCCCGCTGATCGCCATCCAGAACAACATGCCACCTGGCGATGTCTCCGGAGCTACTTCGACGTTCGGTTTCATGCGCCAGCTTGCTACATCATCATCCATTGTGCTCGGTAGTGTGGTGTACCAAAACATCCTCAACGGTAAAGAAGCTTACCTTAGCGAAGTTTTGGGCCCGGAATTAGCACCAAAATTCCTCGGTAGTATTGCTGGAGCAAATATTGACTTGATCCACCAACTGACTCAGGCTCAAAAAGACATCGTGCTAAACGAATATACCACTGCACTCAAAAGAGCTTGGCTGTTCTATACAGCTCTTAGTGCTGTAGGGTGCATTTTCAGCTTCTTTGTCCGAGAAAAGGCTTTGAACCAAGATCATGAGATAACCAAAACGGGACTAGAGGAGCAGGAACGTGCTCGACTCGCGCGCATTGCAGCTGCTAAGAAACCTGAAGAGAGACAGGCGGAGTGGCCCGGTAGTGAATCGCGGTAGCCCCGTGCGGGAGGCAGAAGCAGGCCATACAATATATCTATGACGCCCTCAATGCCCTCGCACTTTCTTTTTGATTAGTCGGTTTTTAAATTGCAGTCATGCATGGGTTGGTACCTTTTTCTTTTTGATACGAATGGATGGACATTTTGCTAAGGATATTGAGTGTATTCCGCTCAGATAGTGATGATAATGCACCCTCCCGTTTATATTTGTACATAAATTAATGTCCTTGACCTTTCAGGTGTTTCTGGCGTCATTGTTATCAGTTTACTCGCTGTTATAGACTATCAATATTTATCAGCTGTAATTAATTAGCCAATGAGTTAGTTATGTAATCACATGTTGAAACTCAGCCTCCCCCTTTAACTACCTAACTACCTAGTTCTAGTTTAATTGAATTTGTGACAATAACTACCTACCTTACAAGCTTAAACTGGCTACATATTCGTCTATATTTTCTGTTGGGCTGTCCCTGTGTTGCGTGAATGTCAAATTACACTGACAAGCGTTGAGGATAAGATGCGACGTGCAGCGTCATGGATAGGCAGTCCCTCAGTCAAGGGCAAAACAGAATCAGCTCGTATGGCGCTGCTAACTGTTGGCCTAGCTGGATTGCAGTATGTTCCCTGTTGGGTTCTTCTCTCCCGATAAGAAACCCATATTCTAGTGATTCGCACCACCATTGGAGAGCGAAGATCCTCTCACTATCAACAACTCAAAGCTATATACACTGGCTGATATTTCTATTTTAAACCTCGGTCGACGTTTTAGGTTTACATGGAGCCTTAAGATGATATGTAGTAATCCCCCCCCCCCCCATCCGCTATATTCAAATTTCCATATCGTGTGCTAAATCGTTTGGACCGACTAGATTTTACTCCGTATCTCCTGAAGCTCGGTCTCGCGAGATCGCGTGTCCCCCTAGTATGGATGGCAAGTCCGACATTAGGATTGATGCAGCCATTGATTGGAGTATTTTCGGACTATTCAAAATCCAAATGGGGACGACAACGACCTTTCATTGTTGGTGGGTCGATTTTTGCAAGTATATGCCTCCTTTTACTCGGCTGGGCAACGGAGCTTGTTGGGCTGTTCATTGCAGATGAACAAACAGTTAAGCTTCCCGGATTATTCTCCCATCCACTTGCTCACACTAACGAGATTCTAGAAACATAACTGTATAATTGTGGTTGCGATTTTTAATATACTTGTGATCGATTTCTCTGTTGATGCTGGCATGTGTTAACTTCCCCCAAAATACTTGATATCGCCTTCTAGCTTCTGACTAGATATGAATCAGTCCAAAATTGTTGCCGCAGCTTGGTTATTGATACCTTGCCTATTCCACAACAGCAAATCGGCTCCGCTTGGGGTAAGCCTGTCATATCCCATATATCTCAGACCGTTTCTGACTAGAAAAGCTAGCAGGATGATAACTACTGGCCATCTAATTGGTTGTGCCTTTGGAGCAATTGAACCTCCAAGCATTTTTGGGCCTTATTTGAAAGATACACATTTCAAGCAGGTTATTGTTATAGCTTCCATCTCGCTCCTCTCTTGTGTCCTTGTTACCGCATATGCTGTAAGGGAAAGGGTATTGATTGCAGCTAGGTACACTTCATTCGACAACGAACCTCCTTTCCTTCGATCAACTAACATATTGCGTAATTAGAGGCGGTACAAGTCAGCTTACGGCAACAAACATGCTCTCCCGCTTATTTCAAACAATTGTTTCCTTGCCGCCGCGCATTAAAGTTATATGTTGGGCTCAATTTTGGGCATGGATTGGTAAGGACCTTTATCCACAAATAATCCTAGAAGCTTTTTCTACTCACCTATGCTAATCCAAGCTACAAGGGTGGTTTCCATTCCTCTTCTATGGTTCGATCTGGATTGAAGAAGTATCCTTTCATCAAGGGGCTTCAAAATCGGACCTCCAAAATTCAAAGAATTTACTGGCTTATTTTGGCCGGCTGGGTAGCCTGGCCTTTGTGATATTTTCTTCAGTCGCCTTACTTGCATCTATTATATTGCCTTTGGGAGTCTGCTCCACGGAGTATCTGAAAAGTTCCTTCAGCCCTATGATCACGCTTGCCATTGGACGATATTTCAAGCGAATACCCGTCTTGTATCCCGATCTTGAGACAGCTTGGATGGTTTCACACATTGTATATGCAGGTACAATGCTATTAGCCCCTTTAACTGGGTCGGCTGGATTTGCAACGTTTTTAGTTGCACTCTGTGGTATTTCTTGGGCGATTTCCTGTTGGGCGCCATTTACATTCATAGGGGAGGAAGTTAATCGTCTTTTCGTTCCAGTGACATCAAGAGACCCAAACGTTACTATGATAACATCTGCAACCTACCCTCGTCAACAGGGCACCAGTCGTTCCGCATCTAGAGACCGAGACCTCTCGGATGTGGAACAAGATGATGGCGTATTGATGTTGAATCACGGTTATGATGGCAGTGACAGTGAAGATGAGGGTAGCGAAGTCCCATATGCAAACGTCTCAACCGGAGAATTAGCTGGGATCTACATAGGTATCCTAAAAGTGCATACCACCCTCCCTCAATTACTCAGTATGTTCTGCTGGGTAATTTTTGGCGCCTTCGAGCCAAAACTGGCGGACTCGCGGGAAACACAAGCTGCTTCTGTGAAAGGCCAGTTTGCACCAAATGATATGGACGTTAACATCAGCGGTCCCAATGCCTCGGGGTTACGTTTATTCGTTGGCGCATTAGGAGCCTTACTTGCTGCAGAATTCGCAAGGAGGCTGAAGCGGACCCGCTAAAAGTGCCCTAGGCCCATACCAATTAATTAATGACTTTAATGTTTATTACACCTAATCAAGAAAACCGAGGACACTTGTGATATATATGGAGGTTCAGGCTTTTTCTACAGCCATAGCAAGACGTTATAGCCCGTAAGGTATAATTATACAGCCAACGGCAGTCTTCGCACTCAGGTCGGTCGTCGTTTAACAAACTGCTCCAAATCCTCTCTAGTGGCAACGCCGAGAACAAATTTTCGACTAGCATCAGTCACCACTGCAAAATCTTGTCTTTGAGCCTCTTTACCATTCTCAGCAGTTGGATGTAGCTTGCCATCAAAAAACTTTTCCAGTTCTTCAAGAGGCGTATCCATAGTTATAACTTGGTAAACATGGCCTTTCCGTCGAAATTTCTGCATCGCCTTCTCAACTGGGTCAGATTCGGACACTACACCCGATTTTAATAGCGACTTCAGCCGTGGTATAGAGAGATAACCCAGAAGCGAGCGAGAATCTGATGATATCACAGTCAAGTGAGTGTAGTCGCGCTCATATGCCGAAAGTAGGGCGGAAGAGATGAGATCATGAGGGGATGTAGAGAGCGCAGGTGGTGGGTCAAGGTCTTCGACAGTAGCCTGCGGCATTGTAGCTAGCATCAGCAACTAAAATCAGGGCGGTACAATATAGAAGTAGATAAGGAGAGCATTGGTAATGGTAGGAGATGATCTTGAATACACCAAAGTCAAGGCAGCACATACCCCTCTATATCTACCAGACCACTCACTAGAGGAGGTATTGGAATAGGTATCGTTGGTAGGTGTTCTTTCGCGCTCATACGCCTGACTTGCAGAGACGTAAGAAGTCATATTTAATTAAACCCAGCATACACCGATAATATGCGTTAAAGGGCCAGTAGATACTGGTGAAGGGAGACCTGTTGATGCAATAAGCTAGTGGTCACTGGATGTCGCGTTTTTTAATTCATCAGTCAGCTCTGGAGGGATTCTTGACTTTGGCGACAACCTCGAATTTGATGATGTTGAAATCCAGCAGCAAACAAGAAACACGTGACTTTTCTTTTTTCAGTGCGGGCTAACGTGAGTTTTAAGGTTTATTATTTCCGCCGGCTTTAACTAAAGTTAATTAGTTATCCCCGGCCACCTCTCTTCCAGCTTGTAGTGCAAACTACGTCATCGCATATCCTGGTGCTGTTGGATACCTACTTATTGATTCTTTTCCGCCGCCTCCGGGTAAGCAAGAATACCAAACAACTCCGTCTTGCTCTTAGATTGACCTAGACCTGTACGGCATTCTCAGTATTATACGCTTTACGGAAGGTAAGGTAAATGGCTCAATGAGCTGTTTTTCTTTGGGCGAGAGAGGCATACTTCTGGTTCCCTCTTTACACACATGAGCCAGGAATCAATTGAACCTGCTTCTCCCCTTGCATACTTGATTGATATATTATAAGCAAAGTGCGCTGGACCTTAACATATTATATAGATTATCATCATACCTTTACTCGTATTTGCTAGTGACATTATTGACTCCGTGCTGACTGTCCGTACCACAGGATGCCTTCACTATTCCCTACCGGCTTGTTAGAGGCCAAAGTTGCTTTGCATGATCCCTATTTAAACCATGGGGCATGTCTCGGAACATCTGAAAACTTGAAAAGAACACCTTTTCCTGCATGGAGTGTTGCTGAGGATTTCAAAAAACATACAGGGCCTTCTCAAGGAACCGGCAACGCAGCTCCGAGTGGGCGAGGCCCAGCCGGCAAGATCGAGCTTTACTCAGGAAAATACTATGCAGCCTGTATAACAGGAGGCATACTTGCATGTGTATGTGAAATGATCTTGAAGCAGATTATGTTCCATGTTGCTTTCAGCCTGCTAAAGGCAACGAGCCGCTAAGTCTCGTATTATATTCTTGTTTCTCTGGCCTCCATTTCAAGGAGCATTGAGCTCGTGGCCATGATTGAGGATGAACTGCTTACGGAGGACAAATGCATTAGGGATTAACTCATGCGGCCGTGACCCCCATGGACCTAGCAAAATGCAGGCTTCAGGTTGACCCAACAATGTATAAAGGCATTATTGATGCCTGGGGGAAGATTGGCCGTGCCGAAGGCATTCGAGGGATTTTTACGGGGTGGGGCCCAACGTTCTTTGGATACTCGGTATGTGAATAGGAATTGAAGAATATAATGCGTCATGGTACTCCAAAATTCTGACCCAAAGAACTAGGCCCAAGGAGCGTTCAAATATGGCGGATATGAATTCTTCAAGAAATACTACTCTGACCTGCTAGGAGAGGACATTGCTAACGCTGGAGGACACCGGTTTATCTTGCCGCAAGTGCATCTGCGGAATTCATTGCTGATATTGCCCTCTGCCCCTTTGAGGCCGTAAAGGTCCGGATGCAGACTACCATCCCCCCATTTGCAAGAGGGACATTTACTGCCATCTCGCATGTCACCGCTAAGGAAGGTGTATCAGGGTAAGTCTTGAAGTGCGAATATTCCCTGACGTAAGATATATGGTCTTGCTAATTCAATTGGTGCATTGGTTACAGCCTTTATAAAGGGCTCTACCCGCTCTGGGGGCGGCAGATCCCATACACTATGATGAAATTTGCTTCGTTTGAGAAGGTCGTTGAGATGATTTACAACTATCTTCCTGGCCAGAAATCAGACTATAACAAGGGAGCCCAAACGGCGGTTGCATTTGCTGGTGGGTATGTGGCTGGTATTCTGTGCGCAGCCGTATCCCATCCTGCAGATGTGATGGTGAGCAAGCTTAATGCCAATCGCTTACCGGGGGAGGGCTTTGGAGCCGCCATGGGACGCATTTATAAGCAAATTGGATTTGCAGGGTTATGGAACGGTCTCCCTGTGAGGATTGTTATGGTCGGAACCCTGGTACGTAAATTTTCTCTGTCAAGGTACCCCGTGCCATTGGCATTTGGATATTTGCTAATGAGATCTGGATTGGATGACTACACCAGACTGGCCTACAATGGATGATGTAAGTGTCTCCTTCCTTTTCCCGTTCCTCAACATACTCGTACTAACGGTGTTTCACCATGCAGATATGATTCATTCAAGATTTTTATGGGCCTACCAACTACTGGTGGCCCGGCACCGGCCAAGCAGACTTCCTAAGGAGGGCCGGAAACCAACGCTGTTGACCAAAGCTACATATCTAGTTAACTACTAGTTAGTTATTAATTCACACAAGTTTGTTGATCGTCAATTCGGGCGGTATATCTGCCTTACGTGGTTATGCCTTTTCCATAGCACCCATCTAACTGCCTAGGTAGCTATTGTTGGTTAAACTCGTAGTCTCTTTACTTCATGGCTAACTAGCTACTTATCGTTTTTCTACTTTTCTTCCGAGCCACGCCCAGCGGCGACCCTTGGCGACCCTAGCTAGACCCGTGAGCCCATGTTTCCGAACGTGCTTGGGTGAGCCCTGGGCCACTGGATCCAGTTAATTAGTTATATTAAATACGGAGCCAGCATCAACATGTGTTCTCCCTGGAATCCACCTCGCAACCATGGCTTCAAACAACTGGGATTTTGGCCAATCCAAGGCCTCGTAATGAAAAGCAGAGAAGCAGAAGAGAAAAGTTAACTAGCTTAGTTGCTCGCTACCTCGTAAGTTACCGAAAACTCCGTACCAATTAACTTGTTACGGGCAGTTTTCCCCTCCAAGGTTCGACACATGGGACGGAAGCTATTTGAACGCTGACCAGCTAACCGGCGAGTGTTTTAACGACCCGGCCCACGACGGCTTACAGTCTCCATTTCCACTTAATTACTTGCATATGGGGCGAACATCACAGAGAATTGGTACTTCGATGCCGCACACAGCGGGCCTATCTATATATCCCCAGGGTATATCCAGGGTTATATGCAACCCAACCTGGTCTCACGCTCTCCTCGGGATGGCCTACGACTCCCCACCACCACTACTACCACCACCACCGCCGCCAGGGGGCCCATGCTGTTAAAGGCGAAGGATGCAGTACCCGTGTCCATAGTTACCGGTGTTAATTTCTTGGATGCAGTCGAACGTACTTACGCTGGACCCAGAGCCCGAGAGCGGGTGAAATGGAATCCCCCTGGATTTGTACTCTGCTCTCGAGTACTATAAATAATGCCATACCATCCCCCCTAACAGTTGGCGCACTCCGTTATTGAAGCCTAGTTATACTACTACAGAAGAGCCTCCTAATCTACCTAGGTATTCCTTCCTACAGAGCCAACAATGACGGTATCAGAAGAAAAAGCTCCAGCCCTTCCGGACTATGTTCTAGATCCCGATGCTGTTCTCAAGGATGATATTAACTGGCGGTATGGACGAGCACCCGATTACTCGAAAACACGGAAAGAATATGAGGGAGGCATGTATATACATATATCGCACACCCAACTACCTGATTACTTGAACAGCGGCATCTAATACATGGTGTTTCCGTAGGCAGACGAATGAACCACGAAGCCGGCAGCCTCCCCAACTTGGTCGAAAACCTCGTAAAGAACTGGGAGATCGAGGCGTCATTTAAACCAAATTTTTCTGATTGGCGAACAGTCGATCAGGAGTGCTACACTTTCTCCGTGAATGGCGGGCCGGCCCAGTCTCCAAACCATATGCTTTCAGTGGGCACATACAACGCTATTATCCCTCCCAATGAATATTATGATCCAAAACATTCCGATTTTGCAAAGAGCCACAAGACCTTCAAGAGGATGATGCCAACATTTGCATGGGAAGTGCTGGAGGTATATAGTGGACCACCTGTGGTGGTGTTTAAGTGGCGGCATTGGGGAAAAATGACCAACGACTACTCCGCGGTCAACAAGTAAGTTTCTTCCTTAGCCGTCCGATATCCGATTCACTAGTTTCTAGTCAACAAATACGATTGCCAGAAGCTAACCATTTCTGCGAAATAAAGCAAGGGGGAGAAGGTTACGGTTAAGGCGCACAATGGGGCTATAGATATTGAGGGACTGGTTGTTGCAAGGGTGAATGACAAACTCCAAATCCAGTCAATTGAGGTTTGGCAGGATCCCATGGCCATGTTTAGGCAGATTGACGCGAACGGAGACGCGGTAGCTGCTCCTCAGACGGATGCAGAGTTGTTTGAGGATGGGTCCGGGAACGAAGTGCAAGCACCAAAGTGCCCTATTGCTCATTAATCAACAGGAATCATAACAAAGTTCTTGGTTCTTGACTCTCGTTAAGAAGGCGTACATTTGTGAAGCTCGAGCCTTACGCATGTCATATCTTCTTGACGATTGATGGTGGTGTGGAGGTACCAACCAGTCACTAGCATAGCCCGTTTGAATAAAGCAGGAATAGAAATAGTTTCTAGTTAATACAGGGGCTGAATAACAACAAATGCTCTATGAACTGCTATACAACATATTATTATTAGTCTATTTAAATCGCATTGCCCATTCCTACATGTGGCCGCGCGTCTTCTCGTTACTGCCTTTGCTCCCGGACAAACATTCCTCGCCGCCATCATGTGGCTCTGAACCTTCTGCGGCGCTATATAAAGTTTCCAGTTCAGCTTCATCTGATCGAGGAGCAGACTCAACGTCCATTCTTCCACGGCGCTTCCCCCTAAAAGTTGCAAGGCTAGCGGAGCTGAAACTCTCAAGATTAGGGTAGATACCCTTGTATTCCAATCCATTCTCCCGTCGTTTGGATCGCCAAATAAAAACTCCCCATAGAGACGCCGCAATAGCAACCACCACTAGAGCGACTTCGCCAGACTTATAATAAGCTTCCCAAGCAGCAATTTTGATCTTCTCCTTCTCTTTTTCCTCGGCAGTGGTGCTGTTTGGATGGGCACCGACCGACGTTGGCGCTCCTTTCAACCATCAATCCTCGAATCCGCTGGGTCCCCTCATAGTCGTGATATCAATGCTAGGATCGATCAACATATCACGAGACGACGGGAAAGTCGAACGGGACCATATGGCTGGCGTGTAAATTACATAAGTCAAGTTTCTGCTGTGTATATGCAGCGGGCTCCCTCAAACTCCATTGTGACGTGTGCCCAGACACCTGGAGAAAGCTCAAAACCAGTAGGATTCGCCATTTCATGTTATGTATCAAGTCTTCTGTACCTATGTGGTTACAAATCAGGTCTTTGTCACCACTGAATAGTATTATCGGTATTCCCCGCTCGAGTAGACCAGGCAGAAGCTGGATGGACGGCACTGATTCTGCAGCCTTCAGATTTCTCCCTACGCCGGGCGAACACTCGCGCCAGCCTGAGGTCTTGTCCTCGTTGATATTCAAAGCCTTCACAACGTCCGCGCGGCGAAGGTATGAGGTAACGGAAGAGATATCCGGAGGCCAATTCATGCCACAGGAGTCATCGGTGTCTTTGAGCCTGATATCATACATGTTAAGGCATTTCCCGTCTGCCTTCGTTGTGTCTAGAATCAATTCCAGGATTCGCTCGCACTCGTCGACGTGGACCCCGAATTTGCCTACGTCTTTGAGCTTAGACATGCACTGGGATAACTGAACTTCTGCAGCCCGGGCTCCATCAGATGACTTTTCCAGGACGCCTTCCTTATACGAAAATGGTAGATAGGAACGGTATTGTTCAAGTGGTGAAATCCAGCCGTTTCCGATCAGAAGACCTTGAACATTCCAAGCAGTATCTTTGGCGGAAAGTTTGTCGTTGGCTGCACGATAGCTTCAGCAATATAAGGAATGTATTGACCAGCATACGATTCCCCAGCAATATATATCTGTAGTATTCCGTTAGCTTACGGTGAAAGGGGAACATGAATGCAAGCAAAGAGAAAATCACACACATCGTCATTTTCATATTCGGGGAAATTAGTTTTGAACCATCTGTCCAGAAAATGTGATAAACTGGTCGGCCATGGGCTGCAAATTCACGGACATAAACTGTCTGTACTGACGTAACTGAACCCGGTCCCTACTGGCTGGTCCACAAACAAAAGATTTGCAAATTCATCCCATGATCCGTTGTTATAAGTTAGAGTATGGTCGTCCTTGAGTCTGTAAGGGCCAATTTCCATCAAGGCACCATCCATGGAGCTGCATCCAGGGCCTCCATTTAGCCATATTACGGTTCTCTGGCGGTTTGCTATATGACGGTTTTGATAGTGCCAAAAGAATAGGTTTCCTTTGTGCTCAGGGTCGATCTCAATATGCCTGATAGGTAACGATTGAATGGTTAGCAACCACACGCCTGATCAGATCGAAGAGGAAGGGTGAGCAGAAGGTACTACATACCCAGCATGCATCTTCAGCAAGGGTCCTTCCGGCTGGCCTGGAAGAGAGCGGACGAAGTAATCGGAAGCACACTTTGCAACAACAGCCGCTGGATTTGAGAGTAGCAGCAGCAGCCAGGCACAACGTGCTCGTGTGCTGCTGGGCAGCAGCGCCAGGTTAGAGAGACAACGCATTTTAGGTGGTAGGTCCTTGAGTCCTAAAGACGCATGTTCGGGGCCCGGTGTACGAATGACACCTGTATCAAAAAGGAACAGGCAAAAAGGCGGCAGGCTGCAGAACAAAATCCCAGCCTGGTGCTCGTCCAAGGCGTTCGTCCGGAAGTTGGAGGGAGACAAAAGATGCAAGAGCGACTTCCGGCAGCCTGTAACGCGCGCGAGCAGGATTATGTAAGTAACTAGTTATTATTTAACTACCTATGTAGCCCCTTTCTCTCGGCCGCCACTGCCTGCCCCCTGAATCTGGCCGATGTGCATACAAAGTACGGCATCCGACTAGTGACGGCTCTGCATGAAGGACCGCGGGATCTAGCTAATTATCGCCCCAGGAGAGATTATATATATCCTATCGCCTCAATTGCATTTTATTACACTAGTTGCGGCCAAGACATGTTCTAAAGTAAGTCTTCTATCGCCTTGTCTGCGTCTTGCTTAATCAGAGCAGACATGCCCTACATCGTTTCGACTCTCCAAGTCAGTCATAGAGCAAAGCCTGGGAAGGGAATGGAAGAAGCCTGCTTACTTCTGGCATGATTGGCTCTCCGTCGGGCCCTTTTACGTAGCGAAAGGGCATCTCGATAGACTCGCGCTTGTCGACGCGGATCTCGGGGAAGTCCAGCCACGGTATCTGGCTCAACGGCACTGCTAGTTATTTAGCCTCAAACTAGACGGAAGAAGGTATAAGGAGGAGGCGGGCTGTTTGAGCAGTTGCCCGGCTTTTCGCACCTTTCTCCTGGGTAACTATCCGTGTCACTCTGACGGCAGTGTCAGTTGTCATCTGCTTGGGGCCTAACCGACGAGCGGCATAGCCCTTTTTCCTCAGCTCAGAGGTTCGGTCTCCATGGTTTGGTTAGCCTGGCATGGTGCAATAATTGCTTCCGCTAGCTGTGTGCTCATCCCAGGAATGACTAATGTTTTGAATTGCCCAGCCAGTATGAGAGAACAGCAGCGGCTCAAAGGTTCGATTTAACAACCAGGGTTGTTACAGTCACATACCTCGTGGCGGATGGTCCCCTACCCAAAAGACTTCTGGTCAGCAAAGAAATTCATCTTGCAATCAAGTCCACGCTTAACTAGCCAGCTACATACCAAGAATACCGCCAAAGAGGAATACCTGGAAGGCAGTGCCGTCAGCGGGCGACAACTCGGTGACAGCGGCAGGATCTAGAAGGCAAACAGCCGGCTTTTTGTCCACAAAAAGCTCCTCCACGCTCTGATGCTCGACGCCCAAGTTGCTCTGCGATGCCAGACTCTGGGGCAGACGCAGTGACTTCGGGACTGAGGTGAGCATGAATTTTGCGCCGGCTTTGCCCAGCTCTTCGGCAATGCATTTATATTCCAGCGCTGACCAAGGTCCCAGTTCGGGGTCAAGATGCTCGACGACGAAGGTGGGAGGTATCTGTCCGGCCGTACCCGCCATTACCGCCTTTCGAGGAGGTTACTGGTAGCGATGATTATTCAAGATAGTATACAAATTCAATTATTATAAGAAAAGCCTCTAGATACGCTCTCAGAGACACTGATATTTGTGGCCGTTCGCCGTCGTTTTAACTTGGTTATTTCACAAAACTAAGTACCTAGGTGGGCAGGTAACTTAACTCGCTGACGAGCCAGTTATCGATAACCAACGACGCCCAGCCCGTAGAGTGGGATGAGAAAGACGCCCAAGCAACCTCGCAAAACAGGTGATGTCAAGCAAGAAGAAAAGGAACAACACCGCAGCCAGGACCACCACAACCACGATCACTATCACTATCACTATCACTATCATCACGATCACTATCATCATCTATACGCCTGGCTCTTTCGTTGGCCGCTGCCTGAACAGCTAGTTAGCTAGCTATCATCACCGCGTCTCGTCCAGGCTTCGTTCGCCCCTCGCCTTCGCCGTCGACCTCGTCACTAGACTATCCATCCTTCCCAGAGCAAACACACAGCAGGGGCAGCAAAGGGCCTCTCCTCGCCCACGATGAACCCTCACCAGCAGAACAAGATAGATGTCAACGTAAGCTGCCGTTGCTAGAGCTAGTTATCGCAGGATTGTGTTCCCTGGACTCCATGCTAACGGACATGGCCTCTGCTTTTAGTCGTTGAGCCCCGATGAGCAGCGTCTGCTACGCATGTATGGCAAGATGCCCAATAAGAAAGACCTCCTCCAGAACAAGCTCAAGGCAAGCCGTTGAATCACTCACTCTGTCTTCCCTTTCCTACTCTCTTTCTCTTTGTATTTTTACTGACTCTTCACCGCAGGAAAGAAAATACTTTGACTCTGGAGATTATGCCATGAGCAAGGCAGGAAAGGCCTCAGACGTCACTACAATCGGGTCCCGTCACCCTCTGCCTGAGAACATCCCACACCTTACGGCCTCGTCGCCTCCCCAGTCCGCTGCTACCCCAAGCCATTTTAATGGAGGTCACGGTCCCGCACACTCACACCCTGGAGGAGTAAATAATGGAATGTCCCCGAGCATGGCCCGTAGCCCTATAAAGGAGGGAAGTTTTCTCCAGCGGCAGACCAGCATGGAAGACGCCGGCAATGAGGAGGGATCAAATGACGGTACGGGCCCGAAGCTGGGTAGCCCAGAGACCAGAGAAACCCAGCGCTCGAAGCTATCTATGTCCGAGAGTAGGACGGAAGAAACTGACGACTCGTCGAGTGAAATCCCTATTCGACGGTAGCCCTATATTTCTAGAAGCTTTTGATGTTAATGATTGATTCCTGGCTGGATAGAATGCCGACGCAGTCAGCCTGATGTTCCCCCTTGTTCCTGTCTTGAAACCTCGGTTTCTGTCTGGATTTTCCTCCCCTTTTCGCTTAACATTGAAGGAACATTATCTCCATTTCTCTCTCCTTCTCTGTCTTCTATCCTTTCTTCCTTTTCTTTGTGTTCTCTCTTGCTCTCCCTCTCCCTCCCTCTTCTTTTCTTTTATTTTCTTTTATTTCTTTTATTTTTATTTTTGGGTGTTAACGGCTCCCTAGTTCAACGCACGATAATTTGTACGCAACCTCCAGGTGTGCTAGCCCCTTTGCATAGTCATTATCTTCCTTCTTCTCAATTCCCATCTACTAGTTCCTTCTTCTCAGTTCGAAGTTCCTTTCAAGTTGCCTTCATATTCGGTCATAATTAGCCACAACTTCAGACAAAAGATGCTGAAATCTCCCACCCACCAACTTCCTTCCACGCGCATATATTTAGATTGGAGTACTCCGTAAATATAGCTACTTCACTGCCGTGTAGTCAGCAGCAGCGAAGGCAGCAGTAGCTGTCCAACCGCCAGCATGCGGCCACCCGTATCCCAGCCAACTCGAGCGGTTCAGACGGGCTGATAGTTACTTGGTTAACTACGGAGTACTTGGTTAGAATCAATGACACAACTAGTCAAAATGGCCTCTAGTCCTTTGCATCCACCCGCACAAAGCAAAAAACACACAAACCTCTCGGCAACACAAAAGCGGTCAACTTCAACCAAAAGCCAACCAACAACAGGACTGAACTTCTTCGTCTTCGTCTTCGTCTTCTCTTCTCGCTCCCTCTCTCCCTCCTTTCCCACTCTTGTCTGTTGTCGCCGATTAGTTACGTCCTTTGCCCGCCCGACCACACCTGGTTACCAAAGCCCATCGGTCTGTTGCCTCCGTTTTCAGGCCCACCGCGCGTCGTCTACGCTGTATCGATAACTATCGGGACAAGATGATTTAAATGACACGAAGCACCAGGAATCCCGACCACTGACGCCAGCAACCAGAAATCAGCCAGGCCAGAGGACGCCGAAGGAACGCGTAGCTAGTGAACCGTTCGGCCAAGTTGGTTATTTATCTGATTGATCGATTGGCTGGTTGGTTGGTTGATTGCCTTAACTGGTCGAGCTGGCCGTCGATAACTCGCCTTCTACCTACCTGATATCCCGAACGCCTGCTTCGCCAGACCACCAAGCCAGCCAGAGCTTTAGCCACGGTGTACTGTCTGTCCATGTGGATCTTTCGGATATTCTCGTCCATCTTCTTTCTTTCCTCTGTGGTCCTCTCCATACCACTCGCTTTCGATGTAGGAGGACGGACCTGCGGCCTGGCCTTCTCCCTCTCCCTCTCCGCGTTCTACTTCTTCCTCTCGCTTCTCAAACTTACTACCCCAACGAGGTCCATTTTCCGCAAGACCTGCATCTTTATCATTAGCTCCACCCAATGGCTAATCGTTCCCGTATTGTTAATATGGTCTCTTAATCGCTTTTCCATCGATTCAAACGGGTCCGGAAGCTGGGTGGAGCGTGCGTTCACAACCCTCAAAACTAGGAATAGCTCTGTGCGGCAGTGGGTGTTTGGACAAGATGGTTTGCTGGAGGCTGCTATCCTTGGCTTCTGGGATAAACTGCTGTGCTGGTCCATGCCCGTATTCCAGTTAGCAGAGGGCTTCTGCAGTCTGCTTGTTATCCAAGCCTCTGGACAAATTACCAGATACCTCGTGAATAGGAGTGGGAGGAGTGATAGCTGGATGGTATGTAACTGCTTGCTACTTTTAATGACATAGTCACAATCCTGAACTGGCCCTCACTAACCTAATATATATAAGATCGGATTACTTGTTTTCTCTGCGTCAATCATATCCAGCTCGCTGTACTTTCTCTGGCGTGTCCTTGGATTGCCTGGCATCAGCAATCTAGACTCAGCGCTGATTGGGGTGTCAATAACCTGCGCCGTCATCCTTTGCGCATGGGGTATAGGTAGCGGAAGAGGCAACCCGGTTGAGAGCTCTCTTTTATTTGCGTACGCTGTGCTGTGTTTATACCAGATTTTTACCGATTATCAGCCTTCTGGATCTAGGGATAAGGCAACAACCCCTACACCTCAGCCGCTTGAGTTTCCTCCACTACCACCCATCATTATGGCGTCTTACACGACCTTAATGCATACCATTTCGGCTTTGCCTTCCATTATACATACGTTCTTCAGCGTGGTGACGGCAGCCTTCAGCGCTATTACCCCGTCAGTGTTAATCTCACTCATTTACCGACTATTTGTCCTGTACGCGTCAACCCGGATTATTCCCGCGGTGCGTGAATCAGGTGCCCGCGCATTGTCCCAGGAAGCATCACTAGAGGATACAGATAGCGCAGGCAAGTTCCTTGGGCTGCTCAGCTGGTTTTCCCCTTCGATCCTCATCGCGGTATACACTAGTTTGCTCATGCAGCACTTTGCATCGATGTCTCGTATAGCTGAAGAGGATTTGGAATGGTGGAAGGTGCAGTCCTTGGGCAGCGGAAATGCATGGAGATGGCTAAATTTAGGATGCACAATGGCTCTATATGCAGTTGAGCTATGGCTTGGAAGACAGGATGATATTGATAGTAGCTTAACAAATCACTGGAAAAGTGATTAAAAAATAAGAACTTTTTAGTCTTTTCTTATATATTTTTCAATATATTATTAATAAAATAGTAAATAAAAATTACCAAAAATTACTAAAAATAAAGAAAAAACTAAAAAAAATTGTATTATTATTATTATTAAAGGCTTGTGGATAGCAAGTTGTTATATCATTGTGTTATCTTAGTGAATGATAATGTTGTGATGTTGTACGGAGTAACAGAGATACATAACGTCGTAGCTAAGTGCACGCGATGACTAATATAGGACGCCTAGTACATGTGAGAAGCATGGTAGCATCGGTGTACTAGAACAAGTGACAAGCTCGCCATGATTCCCACGCCTCTTCCCTGCTTATTAGATCCTTTTTTGGCCCTAAGGCTATCTACGGGGCTTTGCATATCCTTTGAATGCTTGTTTGGTGGTAGAATCAGCGGTCTCGCTGTGGGATTGGGATTTATTCCCCAAGCCTCGTCTTGATGCTTCATTGCTTCTCACGAGTTACCTCTGTTCTAACTGGTTTGGAGAAACAGATACTCTATGCTTCGATAGTTACTTCATTCCGAGCACTCCAGCCTATAATGGTAGCAATGGTAAATATACCCCTTTCGCGATCCCGATCTTTATTGCTGTGCTACGTTTCCTGGGGGGGAGCAAGTCCCATCTAGGATTTCATTTAACTAAATACTCCAGGCACCCTATAACTAGGGTATCTACGGAGCAGCTCGCCAATCAATCCATAAGGAAATGAAAACAGAACAATAAGGTCAGCCCGTGCTCATACTCGTAAGCCGTTCTGCACGGCACTGATGACTCCCTCGCTAATCAAGGTGGAGGCTACCTCTTTACCACCACCTCAAGCCACTCTCGGATATCCCCACCCTTTTTTTACAAGCGCTAAGACGAGGAGGCTAATACCTTTTTCCCTCCCTCTTGAATCTTCTTTGCGACTTTATCGCGCTTGATCTTTTCGCCATTATTTACCTACATATTGATCGGCGAAAGATTGTGGATACATCATACCCGTAGGTGTTCTCTTCATGTTCTAGTCCCTGGGCTTTGTGTTAGACATTAGCTTCCGCGACGTGTCTCTCGCGCTGGGGTCTGACTCCCCAAACCAACATGCTCTATGCGCCAACAAAACTTCTACACAGCTACTCCGTACTCCGTACTTTAGGCAGTGTCATTAGAGATACTCCGGCCAGAAATGAGAAATTGTCTCATTATTTAAAGAGTATGAAATTTTCATAGGGAGGTTCAGGTCAATGTGAACCCGAAGTGACACCGAGGCTCACTAGTGCGGAGTTGTCTTTGATACTTTTCTGCTAGATATAGGCAGCGCTGACCAATGTTTTGTTAGTTAATTGTTAAAGTGTCACTTCACGGCCGGGGTTTATAAAAAATGGCGATATTTGCCGCCTCAGTTGACTGGTTACACACAAGAGCGCGGCACTAGAGACGACGGTTCTGACATGTTTATGGAACTAAACTGGAGTAGCAATGTAACTATCGATAGTTATTGGCTTGAGCAGCGGTCGAGCCTCGTTCTGGCAAAAGAGTGATCTGAGTACCGCCATCCGTGGCTGTGGCGCCTGCATAGTACTGGTCTCATCGCGGGTCGGGCAAGGTTCGACAACGGCTCGATATAATTACGGTTGATACTAGTGGGAAGCGGCAGGCAAGAGGAAAATGATAGGTATAAGCAACAGGTGAGTATAAGCGACAAGTGGCTACCAGCGATAGCGGTTGTTATCAGTAACCTAGCAGATCCCCCAGGGTCTGCCGTCCAGCCGGAACCCGTTTATAACCAACCATTGGCTTTCCGGAAATATTAAGATACTCTTGGGACTTCTTAACCTCCCGTCTGGTGGAGCGCTAAGTTCAATAACTAATGGCGATAAGAACGCCAGGGAGGTGTCAAAAAACATCGCATAAGCGAACAGGCCGTTTTGAGGGCAGAGGCTTTTATCGTTCTAGAAATCGAAGGTGATGGATAGATATATATATGTAAGGCCTGCATTCGCACTTGAACCAGTTTATTGACCAGATGATAGTTAAATCTCCCGACTTGAGAAAACGGCTTACTACACTTCTCACCGTCAATATTACAAACAATGAATCTACTATCGATATTCACCTTGTTCTCGGTGATTTCGGTTGCCCTAGGATATCCACTTACTGTTACCCCACAGTTGGCTCCAAGAGACCAAGGACTGGTTGCTCCTCAGTGTGCTGTATGAGTCCATAATCCCTTTTTCCAATGAATATTATATCTAACGTGTGATTAGGTCGATTGTCAACTTCAAGTAGTTCCCACGAGATGTTCAACTAAGGACACGGCATGCCTCTGTGCAGATGAGGCATATCAAGCAGAAGTCGGTAGCTGTGTGATGGCCAATTGCACTTCAAGCGAGGCGCTGAGTATGGCACCCCCTTATTTCACACCAGAACCCTTTAACTAACTGGGCATAGTGGCCAAATACCTGGGTTCTCGTGCATGTAATATTCCGATAGTGCCGCTATATCCTGTGGTCGACGCTGGCACACTTGTCCCATTCCTAGCTGCCACCCTTTTTATTACGTTTAGGATAGCTTCTAAACTTTTGCACCTGGGTAGCAATTGGGGTGTCGACGATTTTACTATCATTGTGGCATATGTAAGGCTAACTCCATCTAAATTAATTTGGCCTTCTGCTTACTGGACTTACAGATCCTTGCTGTTGCAGTTTACTCAATACACGCATCAAGTAAGATTAAGTCTTCTTGGAGAGTAGACGATACGTTTCTAACTACTATATTTAGTGATTTATTATGGCTTTGGAAAAAATATATGGGATATTATTCCACAAGAGCATATTACAGTGGCTTTTAAGGTTTGTTTATTTTTATATTCCAGGAAATACGAGAAAGACAGGCTGACCTAGTATTTATCTAGCTCTTCTTTGCCTACGCCCTGGCATATAAAGCACTAATATCTCTTGCCAAAATATCCGTTGGTCTTTTCTTACTACGGATTTTCCAGTCGAAAGGATTCCGCTTTCTTATGACTACTATCATAGTACTTAATGGTGCCATTGCAGTTACATGGATCCTCGTCGATACCTTCCGTTGTATCCCTGTCCATCTAGCCTGGACTGGATGGAAAATGGACGAGCCTGGAAAATGTATTGATTTCATGACTGCGACTTATGTCAACGGATTTGTCAATATCACGGTAGATACTATTATGGTATCTTTGCCCATGTACGAAGTGTTGAAGTTGAAACTATCATGGCGCAAGAAGGTGAGTGTTATGGTGATGTTGGTAATGGGCCTCTTGTAAGTTACCCCCCCACCCCCCCCCATATAGAGATGGTTTCGGTTCAGCCATTCACTCTTTACCATGCTGACTGAATCCTGTTGCGGGCAGTGTGACGGCTATCGCAATTGTGCGAGTGGTCGTTCTATTTCAGCATGATCCTACCAAAAATCCTACCTGTGAGTATATCTAAATTCTAGATCCTATCTCACAAACTTGCGGCCGTGGACTCATTATTGACCCTTCGCACTATAGACGAAATGGAACCGCTTATCTACTGGTCTATGATCGAATGTCAGGTAGCCGTTATCTGCGCCTGCTTACCTGCTACTCGAGTATTACTTCTTCACTTCGCACCAGGAGCCCTCGGCCCACCCACTGAAAATGAGTCGAAGAAGTCTAACAACTCTTCCTCGAATTCCCAGCCAAGAGAGCAGCCCACTTCCGATTCCGCTACGTTGATTGAGCAGGGCGACGGCATCTCTAAGACAGTGACTTATTCAGTGGACAGTGCTGTCAAGTCTCAAGCGAGTACTTCAGGCCCTTGCATAAATATGGTTGATATTGATACCAGAACGAAATGATTTTTTTTTTTTTTGCTTTCGGGTTCATATGAGTTATTGACTATTAGGAACTTAGGGGAGTTAGATTGTACCATGTATATATATAGGGGAGGGAGGATAATACAGTATTTACCCCTGCTTTGATCTGCGCTGCGCCTCATCAGGTGTACTCCGTAGGTGTAGCCTAATTACGTATAACCCCGTATTGGAATCTATATAAACCACGCTTGTATTCAGTGGTCTGTTCATTGCGTCGCTTTGGATAAACCCCTATTTAGGTGCTGGCTACCCATTCCGCAATGAGACGATTCTTTCGCCACTCTGGAACTGCCAGGTACTTCAAAAACGCATTGTTGCCGCTCCTCACTCGCCATAGCGCGGATATTAATTTCGCCGGCACGAATCTAAAAAGCCAGACGACACTGCATATTGCAGCGCAATATGGAAACATAGAGGCTATATCTGAGCTCATCGCATCTAGCACCAACATCTATGCCCAGTTTCCAAATGGCAAGCCGGCGCTAGAGGTGGCCGCGCAGCGTGTACAGATCAAGGCAGCCTCAATTCTAATCGACCACGGCATGGATCCGCTACACAAGTTTGATGGAATGCTTAGTGCCGTGTACCTGTCAGCTGTACACGGCAAGACGGAGATGCTTCAATGGTTTCTGGACCGGTACAAGGATCACATGGGTCGCCCGCGTCAAAGATTAGTATGGTGATTGGCGCGGCTGGTATAAATCGCATCAATATTATCGAGATGCTAGACAAGAACGGCTTTCAGACAAGTCGAGGCCAACATGAGAGAGATTAGTCTGTATAGCTTTTGCGAGCCGCACCGCACCGCTTTCTCACCACAACCGCCGTTGCCTCGAGCGATACGCCAATTTGCTACGCTGCAGTGCTGCTTGAGCGTGAGACCATGTCGCGGGAATGGTCAGGCTACTGTCAGATTGATTGGAAATCCGAATTGCTTCTGGCAATAATCTGCAGGATGAATCTGAATCTTCCCTGTCGGCCATGTCTTCGACCAGATATATAAAGGGACAAGAAGGCATCTTAAGACTTTCGAGCAACCTTCGTCCCAACAACATTTCTATTCACAGCAAACACAGCAGTTTCAAGTAATCTTCTCGTTCCCACCCCCGCCATGATCCGCGGTGCCTGTTGGCATCGCTAGGCTGCCGCACCATTTATGAAAAAGGAAGCATATGTACTCTCAAATAGTTATATGAGGGTGGATAGCGCCGGGCCTGGCCTAGGATGGACTTCAATTCGAGGCTGTGGGTATCATGTCACAACACATTTGCAATTTGTACATAGCTCAGCATTGTAATGATTTGATTTTGAGCACGCACGAGGAAGCAAGGGCTTTTTGTTATAAAAGCATATAGTTTCTTTTATACAAAAAGTCCAGCCTTTAAACGTCCCTCTCGGCCCATGACTGAATAATCCCCTCGTTACTCTCCTCGTAAATCTTTAACTCCACAGCTTCTCCGTCGAAAAATGTATTGAGCTGTACGAACTTCCATCTCGGTATTGGCGTCGAGCACACGATCTGTCTCCATTGCTCATACACGCCCTCAACCTCGTAGAGGGCTTCATAAAACTGTTTGCAAGAGGAAAGGTCAGCCGTGCAGCGCCAGATGTGCAGGCGACAGAGGTAGCGGCCCAGGGCGGGTTTGCCGTGAGATCGAATCTTGGTGCGATCGACTTGAACGGTAAAGGTGGAGGCAGCGAGGTCGTGTAAAATGCGAAGGGCGCCGTCGCCGTCTTGGAGGAGGTGCTTGAGGATGGAATAGTGGGCCTAAGCAGGCGTCAGGCATTCTTCCTAGAGGTAAGGGGAAGGAGTGGGTAGACATACCTAGTGGTGGACTTGGCCCCAAATCTTGCTTTAAAAGTTGTAATGCTCAAGAGCTTGAAGGCCGTCGACACCGATGTAGAGATATGTGGTGTATGAAACTACCATAGGGAATTCTGGTGAACTTGCGGAACGGTGGAAGATTTATTCCGAAACTGTATATTTAAAAGGCACGAGCTTAAAAAGGAATAATAGAAAATTAGAAATACTATAGCTATTCTAAATTATTCTAACAAAATATAGATATTCTAATAGATTTGAATATATAAATACCCCCTTTATATTTAGTACCTAGATAGATTAATACTATTTGGAACTAGGTATAACTTAATACTATATAGGTTGTAACTATATTAGTACTATCTAGATTAGCACTAGGGGTTCCTTATTAGAGAGCCCTATCTAGCTATAGGTGTTAGGAACCGACCCCTAGTAGAACCGACTATAGGTTAAACTAAGGATATAAGGTGTAGTAGCTACTATAAGCTAGCTAATTACTATATTTACTAAGAGTATAGAGTATACTACCCTAAGTAAATACTAGATCTTATAGATACCTTAAGGGGACCTAGAGTTAAAAAGACTAATAATTAGTTATATTATAATAGAACCCCTATAGTATTCCCTTATCTATTATTAATAACTATTATAGTCTCTTTTAATAAATAAAAGAGAATTAACCTCTAATACTATCTAGTATTAGAGGTCTAATATTTTAACTATTCCTAATAATTAGGAGATATAACTATAATAAGGAGCTATATATATATCTATAGAAGGGTAAAATTATTAAAATATAATCTATAGATAATATATAGACTAAACTATATTTATTAGTAGATTAAATTATAAATATAATTATAGAGGAATAATAGAAACTATAGAGGTTACTTACTAATAAAATATAGAAATATAACTACTAAATTATACTAAAATAATATAATAAAGAGGCTTAATACTGTTACAGACCACCTGCGGCGCAACCCCGATAAATACGCTCATTGGACAAACAAGGTTACGGGACGGAAGAACCCAGGAACTCCCCAGGTCACGTGACGACTGGAGAGGTCCCAAATGCCAAGACCATGGACAGGTCCATGATGGGACCTCAGGGAGGAGGTCCAACCTGGGACCTCAGGACAACAGGTCCACATGGGACCTGAGGAACATTCGAAGGATGAGGGACCTGATATAGCACATGTATATAAGGGCACTCATCGCCCACTTGATTTCGAGTTATCTTCTGATACTCAAGATCAAAGCCAACTTCATAGCAAGCCATAGCTTTACAGCACTAGTCAATACACATACACTTCCCTTTGTCTATCTGATATCCCTTGACACCTTTATACCAGACTTGACCAGTGTACCAGCTTCATTGCTTACAAGGACCTCAGAGAGTACATGCACGCTGAGCCAGACTTGGAGCTATCGCCTTGAAGTCGGATACCGGAGTATCCTTCCTACAGTGAACGAGCACCGTTTATACTCCAACCCATCCACAGAGCACCTTGAGTTACACCTTTCCTCGAGACGCCTCCCTTATCCCTATAAGAGAAGCCCACCTTTGTAGCATTGATCTTCCCGGCCCTACGGTTACAGGCACCCGACATAATCGATTCCGACTCGATACAGTCACTCCGACCAGAGAAAAGTCTATAGCCAAAAGACTAGTCGACACCCACGGCAGATATAATCACGACCCCGATTAGCCGAACATCTGAAAGGAAAACACAGGTACGTATTCCCTACCCCGAACATTTAAAGAACTAACTAGGACACATTACCCGAACAACAAAAAAGCCAATATGTCTACTGCAAGCGGACACACCACCAACTCCAACCACATCTTGGCCCAACTCAAGCAGCAGATCGACGCGCTGGAGAAGAAAGTCAACGACCAAGACTGTGAGGACGACATCGAGCAGTGTGAGACACAGATCAAGGGAATGTCAGACGAGATTCGAGCTTTGAAAGCACGGACCGGAGATACACGAGCATCAGTCAAGATTAGGACACCCGACACCTTTAAAGGAGAACGACACAAGCTAGAGCACTTCTTAAGTGAATGTGACATCTACCTAGCCACCAAAGCAGGACTTACCGAAGTTGAGAAGGTGATCTTTACTGGATCATACTTACGAGACACCGCAGCTACATGGTTCAAACCCATATTGGAAGACTGGATCAATACCCAGGGACGACCCAAGGTCTATGCCGAAGTTTTGGGAAGTTACCCGAATTTTAAGACCGTGATCAGACAGTTCTTTGGAGACACGGATCGCAAACGAACACTTGAAAGGAAACTCGCTAGCCTACGACAGACCAGGGACGCAGCTCAGTTCGCAGCACAACTACAACAACTATGCCAGGAACTTGAGATTCACGACGATGACAGAAAGATGGCTATATTCGAACAAGGACTTAAGCCAGAGACTCAATACGAAACAATCAAAATGGGACCCTACACGAACTACAGCAAAATGGTTGAAATGGCGGTACGACTGGACAATC